CGAATCTGCACCTGCAGTGAATCAACCGACCACCTACAGCTGCACTCAACTGCAGTTTGCAGGCGACCGAGATGATGTCACATTTCCTCAAGTCATCAGGACACAAACTGGAATAGAACTTGGAAGTGTTCCTTGGCGCTTCTTGGCGCTTCTTGGCCTTTGAGGGCTGCGAAGCCACCGTCTCATCATCGCGAGGTTTTATGGGCGGAGGAGTCACAGAAGTCGGAAATCATGATTCGGACAATCTTGGCAAGTCACACACAAGTCACACACCGACACGTGACTGGACCGTAGGCGTACCTGCATGTCGCATTGTAATTTGTCACATGGCCGACAGGGATGGGAAAACAGGCAGGTCGGGGTGCAACCCCAGTGTTCCCCACATGCCCCGCATCTATGATCTGGAGATCTACGGCAATCGGTAATCGACTGGAAGCACGGACCGGGAAACCATCAAGATCGGGATCAGGGATCTCAGTTCAAACTTCAAACTTCAAAGTTGAACTACCTATTTTAGTACAATAGTATTACCACTTACTGCAGCACCGCCTCGCACACCAAACATGGACGTAGCCAGGGCAACAACATAATGGAAACGCTGTCCACGTTGGCGAGGCTCCAGTTAGTCGTCTTAATACTGGGGCAATCACGTATGTCGTTTCACAATGGATGGGTGCAAGGGGCGAGCATCGGAAGTATATTCCACGGGCAGAGGTATGCTCCAGTGTCACACCGCAATGGAGTGTCAGGGCCTGTAGACCTTGTCGCCCGGTCTGGGCTCGACTGCCTGCATCAATAAGCCTCTCCCAGTGAAAGGGGCTCCGGTTCCATAGCCACATCACGCAGTAGATGATGAGCGGAAAGAGGAGGCCTGCGTTGAATGAGCATTCGCTGGCTGACATATCTCGGAGCACAGTCGATGTAGGTGCACCACCCATAGTACAGGGGACAAACATGGACCAGTTTTCTTTTCGTACAGCGACTCGACGTCGCCTGTCCCAAACAACCCTTGGCGGTGCCTTCAGCGTAGCAGCGCACAGAGAGTCCTAGGTAGGAGAGGTTGCGCCGCTGGCTTGCGCGTTGAACACCTGTGACTGGAGGGTGGGAGTAATAGAGGCATATCGTGCGGCTGATAAGAAATGTGGTCGTCGTTGACTACTAGGTCGAATTCAGGCCAAGTCCGTTGGGAGTATATACAGCACGGCCCAACATTGAAGGCAATGTGCTCACTTAATTGCTTCACGCAACAAATGACCTAAACATCGGTGCCCATCATCCAATATGCCCGCCTCCCTTAGCATTCGCCGTGAATGCCTAATTCACCGACTCCACGCTTTATTTGGCCCCCAAAGCATCTGTGCGAGTTTCTCAGGCTACGAACATCGGCAGAAATGGAACAAGTTCCTTTGCGAGCGCAATCTACTACCGCGAGGAAAAGAGCAGAGAAAGTGTAAATCGAATCGCTGTTATCTATCTACCCATTACAGCGAGTAGCATGGATATCGCTCCCGTACCGGTATCGGTACATCATTTCTTCTGTTTGTTGACAAGGGAACGGATCTTGTTCTTGATCCTTGCGAGCAGTTTTGACAAGAAAGTGCTGCGTCGAGCAACGCTTCCGAGCGGCGCGGAACTGATAGAACCCACGCTCGTCGAGGTCGACGCTGGTGTCACGGTTATAGCTGGAACCGTGACAGCTGGACTGTAGTGAGGATGGTGTTGTGGGATCCCAAGCTGGCTGAAATTGGCCATCATGCGGAAAACAGGTGATGCTTCCGTTCTCCGGGAGCTGCTGGTCCTACCAGGCAATTGTTGGAGGCCCTAACCCAAATAACCCTTGGCCTGTAGAGCGTGAGTGACAGTCATCGTCGCCTTCTGCAAGGTATCGCTCTCGGGCTTCGAGGCAGCCTGGCTATTCGAGCTTCCAGACTCCGCGGCAACCTGGCTATATGACTTGGCAATGTCTCTTGCATTGGCTCGTAGATGCAGCTGAACCATGTCTTGCCAGATTTCATCCAGGCCGGCAGTGGCAGCGCCCAAACCCGGCATGGAATCGCCGGCCCCAATCGCGTTAACCCAAGGCAAAATCGCGTGTTTAAGGGTCGACCTTCTCAGCGTCGTATTGTACTTGGCTGACAGCTGTTCGTTGGCCCTTTTGTTGGCGTCCCGGCCTGGTTCATTGTACCAGGGCTCTTCACATAGAATCATTGCTTGGATGCTCACCAGTACCTGGAGGATAGTCGAATGCTCTCCTCGCCATGGCTCGCCCGCCCACGTGCCGAGAAGCGAGAGGCAGACTACACGGAGAATTAGCAATCTTCAAATCGCCGTTGGTCTGGGTGTTGCGGATAAGAAGATGCAAAGAGAAAGCACTTACCCTTTCCATCCTCGTACAAGTTCGGGTTGAACCGGACCCGGCCACGATTTGTAGTCTTGAAATTCATCATCGGCGGTTCTTTCGGGTATTTCGTGGGGCAAAACAAGTCGAACTCGAAGATCCCGAACTCGTACGGAGTTCCTCTCGGGCCAATGATGACCACCTTCATCATGTCGAGCCGAGAAGCGCCATGACGAATGTAAATTCCCTCTGGAAGCGACGTCTGCAAGTTCGACATCTCGGTAATCAGCCTCTTCATGCGACCTGGGAACGGCGCCCGTATGGCAGTAGCTCGTGCTCCCTTGGCGAATGCGAAAATTTGTAAGATGGTCTCGTCCTCGACCTCTCGGACACAATTCGCACGGTGCCACTCGGACATGTTGACCCCCGTCTCACCGGAGCTTACGTCCATCTCTGTCCGGAAATGCTGCTTGTTGGAATCGTGCAGAGCTGAGAGATGCGACAGCCTTTGGCTGAGGGCCAGTACGTGTTGTCCTCCCCCGTTTTGAAACTCCGCAGCATTCGCTTCGGCGTGCCTGCGAATTGTCTTGGCCTGAACGGCTAGGCTCTGCAGGAGCTTTGCAAGGGACTTGCTCGTGTCCTTTGGCGGGATCTTCACTCTCCGTCCGCTGGTGTCGAATGACACGTCAAGCAAGCTGCCACCTTTGGCGTGGTAAATGCTGCGATCCCCGTACACCAGCGTGGCCGTTGCTGTGTGACTGCCAAGTGCATAGATGAGATCAAGTAACCCGTCATATAGATGGTAATGACGAGCCATGTCCTCGATGGAGTCATTACCCAGCATGATAGCCGCCTGTTCGAATAGAGCGCTTCGCGAAAGCATCGGTAATAGGAGAGCCGGTGGGCAAAGATCCAGCGCACCTGATCTCGCGTGAGACGGCAATGACAGAGCCAGTAGCCTGAAAAAGGTCTCATGCACCGTATCCTCTTTCGTGTCTATCGGCTTCGTCACTATGGGTGGTGGTTTGCGAGAGGAGTGAGACATGAAGGATATAAGAGAGCCGTCTCCAATACTGACTCCGTAGTCGCCGCCGTACCCAACCCCTTTCGCCTTAGTCGAGGATGTAGGCGTCCCAATAGCCATGTATATATATGGAGGCGCCCCAATAGCCAATAGCAGCGATTTTAGATGCGCAAGGTTGGATGATCCAAACTGCGGCTGTTGTTTGGGCGCAGACTTTGCTTTGTCACGGACCTTTCTCACTGCGCCAGCCCTAGGTCCTCCGTCCCATCCACATGATAGTGCCCACATGGCTGCCAACCTCCCGCTCTCGCAGCACCAATGCACGGGTGACTCCTTGCCATGCAGCTTGATCATCTTCCAAGGCTCGTTTTCTGTCTTGTCTGACATCATCTTGCCGCAACCTGGACAAGTCAAGCCATGACATTTCGGGTTGTGGCATCTCAGACCAAGAAGAATGCAGTCTACATATAGTAAAGTCAGAATCCACGAGACATTGTCTGCAGCCTCGGGAAAGCCACCCGCCAGACAAACGATAAACATTACGGCTGGCATGAATGGCGACTCACCTGTATTCCCAGCCCAGCACCTGGTCAGCTTCACAATTTCGTTGGCCTGCAAGCTGATGTTCTTAAGGCATCCGGCACAGGAGCGACCTGTGAAAGCTCCTTGAACAAAGTCCCGTAATGGCGCCAACTGCTCGAGGTGCTCAGCAGCAGCAGCACCTGGCGAAGCCTGATCTGCATTTGACGAAGCATCGCTCTCTTCTGCTGCGCTGGTAACATCGTAGATAGACTGTCGATCGTTCCGGGGTGGCTTGTATCCAGGCATGAATTTGGCTGCAGCGCCTTCGAGCACCGGATACAGGGCACGGAACAAGTTCAGTTTCCCCTGCAATTGCCCGGCATGTTCCTCGTCTGTATTATTATCAATTTCGTATCCCTCGTCCGTACGAATATCAAATTCTTCTTGTAACTCTTTAGGAAGAAACCATGATGCTTTGTCCGTCGACTGTCTGCTCGGGCCGAGATGGGAATTCTGTCTCTGCGGCTTCGGCTTCCTCTGACTCCAAGAAGATGGGCCAGCTGCACTCCCGGAAGGGGCAGTCTGTGATGGCGAGCTCTGATAAAAGTTGACGGGAGTGGCTTGACTGCGGGGTTTCTGCTTACTGGAATGATGTGCTGTAGTGTTCGGATGGGCATGCGGTGTTGAGAATCCCGCGGGTGCTGGGGGACCTGGTGGTGCTGGGGGCCCTGGGCGTGGTACGAATGGTAATGGTGATGGTGGGTGTGAGAACGGCAGGCCGGGCAGGTCGTGTGGAAACGGCAGGCCGGGCAGGGCGGTCGCGGAATTATAACCAGCTGGAGAAGGCCCAGCCCATGCCGGTGGTAAGCTGGGTCCAGACCCGGAAGACATGTCATACGGACTGCTGGACGGATGGCGTGCCGCGTGCGTGTAAGATGAACCGGAAGGCGTGCCATACGGACTGCTGGACTGAAGAGGAGGTGTCGGGTAGTAAGATAAACCGGGTGGCGGGTAAGATGGACCGGAAGACATGGAATAAGGAACGCTGGACGGATGAGGTGCCGCGTGCGTGTAAGATGAACCGGAAGACGTGCCATACGGACTGCTGGACGGATGAGGAGGTGGCGGGTAAGACGAACCGGATGTCGGGACGGGAGCGAAGGGCACAGGTTGATCCGGTTGTTGGGCAGGACTGTTGTTGCCATCCGGGATATGGTCTCGACGGTATCGATATTGATCCTTGAGTTTCTTGAGACGGTCGAGATTGGGTGGCGCCATGATGGGGATCTTCTGCTGGGGCCGAGCAGCTTGCCGCGTCTGTGGTCTAGGTACTCAAGTGATGCTGGGTATTAAGCGTGCCAAAAAGAGTCTACCTTGTGCTGCAGGTAATGATGAGGTATGGAGCTGGTCGACGGACAAGACGTTGGGATTCGGAAGCGGACACAAAACTGGTAGTGGAAGGCGAAGGAGAAGGCGAAGGAGAAGGCGGAGACGAAGACGAGGCTACAGCCTGCTCCTGCAACATGTTCCAATTGCACTCCTCAACTGCATACCAGGTAGGTACAGTACATGCACATAATTGTACTCCTAGCTCCAGCCACGTGCAAACATCGGTACGTCGGATGCTGGAAGGCCCTAAGAAAGGGTAGATCCAAAAAGGGGGCTGAAACCTAAACCTTGAAGCTTGTGAAGTATGCAAAAGATACGGGCGACTCGCGAGAGCCAGGGGGCCATTAAAAGGGAATATCTGAGAAGCTTGTGATCTGGAGATACTAGAATAAGCAGACAGGAATAAGCAGCTGTGATTTAATACTTCACTTCTGATGCTTATTCCAGTGTGCTTGTTCCGATTTGATAAACATACCGTTGTTTGCCGGACGGGTGGTGTACAGAGACTTATAGATGTTCAGTGTACCTTCACAAGCTTCCCAGCCGCCTTTTTAGAAGTATGCAGAAGATGAGGCGTGAGCTAAGGTGCCCTAAAAGAGCGTAGATCTGAGAGGCGACTACTCCAAACGGACATTCCGTGAGTTAGTCCAGTGGCATTGTTGATGATGATTGCTCGCGAGAAAAGGATGGAATTGAAACTGGGCCTTTTGTTTGGGTATCGTAATGCTACGGAAATTGTTGTGTGAGATAAAACCAATGAGATGTAAGTTGCAACATAATACTCCAGGGACCTCCCATGTGAGCGAAGCTGATGTAAACAATACCCCATACACCCGTATACCAGAAGTCCGGGGATGTAGGGGAACAACGAGCGAGTTGAATGAGCCAGCCGCTCGATGGCTCATTGCCCCTCGCCAAATGGGTAGTTGAACTTCAGCAGGCCGTTAAGGCCCCCGACCCATCCGTCATCGTCTTCAGCGATGCCCTCGCGACCCCCATCGCCGGTCGCGGGCGAGCGTATGACGCACGGTACACCGCCTGTCCAGCTGCCGCCCTCGGCCTGGCCGACCATTTCGCCCTCGACGCGAATCTCCATCCCGACAGTCACACCGGTCCTGCGCTTGCCATCGATGCTGACCTCCAGCTCGCGCCCGCGATTCTTTTTGCTCAATTTCAGAACAACCTTGGTGTTCAGGGGTAGGCCAAGGGGGCGGAAGCTGAGGCTTCGCGCACAGATTGGGGTGATGAGAAGCGTCTTCACCAGTGGATGCATGATACTCCCGCCAGCAGACAGGGAGTACGCGGTGGACCCAGTCGGGGTGCTGACCAAGATTCCGTCAGCCACAGCCTCTGTGAGGAAGTGGTTATTGACGTAGACATCGATGATGGCCAGATGGGGATTAGGACCGCGATGGATAACCAACTCGTTGATGGCGTGGAAGGCTGGAGCTATGGGTCCCTCCAACTTGGGCACATGCTTGAGCTCTGGAGGCACAGGCGGCAGAGGCTGGTGCGACTCGGCCGTCGTCGAAGTTGGCATTAGCTGCTCGTTGACGTTGACGCCTGACGCGTCGTAGACTCCGACCTTGAGGCGGTGCCGCAGGAGGATCTTGCTGGAGCGACTGGCTCCCAAGCTCTTGCCGCGGACACCGTCCCAAGCCTCGTTCAGCCGGAGCCCATCTCCCTCGGCTAAAGCAGCATCGGCAGGAATGTGCGCCTGAGATGCCGATAGGTCGGCGACGGCAACTCGGCTGCCGCTCATGTAGACCTCGCGCCAGGCACGCTTGTATTCCTCGAATTTCCACTCACCCAGGAAGCCGAGGGATCCCATGCTGAATGACAGTATCGGGGGCACGGAGGCATGGAGGCTGAAGAGGCTGGCTGCGCGCAGAATGGTGCCATCGCCGCCGAGGGTGGCGACCAGATCGATCTTGGCGGGGAAGTGGATGGGGTCGGAGGTGTAGATCGGAAAGGGCAGCGACTCGTGGATGTTGGAGGCGACGCGGCGCTCGAAGATGAGGTTCAGGTTGGGATATTCGCCGTGGATGTGTTTCGCGAAGTCGATGGCCGACTCGGTGACCTGCGGCGCGTGGAGCTTCGGGATGATCAGGACGTTTCGCGGGGGCTCGGGCCATTGGAGCGACAGGAGAGACGAGGTCGCGGTCTGTTTGTACTGGGGCAGCATGCGATTCTGCAGAGTAGCAACATCGAGGATATCACGACGGCAGACGGTGGTGGAGAAGAAGCGTGTATGTATTTGAAGCTGTCGACGGTGAAGCACATGCCCACGCCATACCCCCAGTTCCAGTCGATGCATCATCTCCAGTTCTCCAGCAGTCTCGTCACACGATATCGATCATCGAGGATACAGTGGTATCGCAAGGCATCTCGCATAAACTGCAGAACACTGTTCAAGTAGCTCCCCGAGCTCGGTACGGTGTAGCTCAAGCACTGGAGTGAGGAAGTCCAGAAAAGGAATGCGGCGCGTCAGCCCATGATCCGCTTCCGCGTCTCTTCCGGATGGTGTTACTCGTGAGCTCTGGAGCTGAGGCTCAGCAGTCAGGAGGAGAGTTGGGTAATGCTGATGATGATGATGATGATGATGATGATAATGGTGATGGTGATGATATTTCTTGCGACAATCCTTATCAGTGATAAGCATCCAACTCTTTACTGATACTCCAAGCAGGTGGGCAGGTGGGCAGGTGGCAAGTGAGAGTTCGTCAGGTGGTCAGGTGGAGGAACAGCTGGCGAGTCCCTTTGTCCGTCCGGTGCCTCGCCCCCGCAGCCCCGCCCCGGGCCGTCTTCACAACTCGACTCCCATCCATGCAGGTGGATGGATGTCGCCAGCCAATGCCGATGCCAGAGGGAGTGAGTGTGTAATTGGAAGGATGACCAGAGTAGATGATCCCGCCATGCTCTGAGCACTTCCTACGGTTTGAAGCAGTAGGAAGGCAGAGCCGCAGAGCCATAAGTTACCCTACTTGAGTATTTTTTTACACTAGACCTGACAGGGCAACTGTAACAGTTTGGCCCACCTGCACCACCCTGACTAATAGATGAACTACCTGCCAACCTCGTAAACGAATCGTCACTTCATCCGACTTCGCCCCATGCCCAAGTGCGAACCACGGGCATATATCTCCTCGTCTTCCTCTTGTCAGCTTACACTCGTGGCCCTCCGTCGCACTGACACAAATTCGAAAGCGTGAATGAATACTGGTCTTATCACATCTCCAACATTGAACACATCACGGCACCATGGGAGAAACGTCCAGCAACAAGACGTTCAACGTCGGCGTCATTGGCTACGGGTACGGAGTCCAGATGAGCATACCTAGATATATCACTTCCGGGCTGGACTACAATGCTAACACTCAAGTCCCAGCATGTCAGCTTCGACATTCCACATCCCCTTCATCACGTCAACCCCCTCTTTGAAGCTGTACTCCATCCTCCAGCGCAAACCCTCAGACTCATCGTCGGCCCCGCGCGACTACCCCCACCTCAAGCACCACACCTCACTGGAATCCTTCCTAGCTGACCCGGAACTCGACGTGGTCGTCGTGACCACGCCCCCTGAGACCCATTTCGCATTCGCCCAGCAGGCCTTGCAGGCGGGCAAGCACGTCTTCGTCGAGAAACCATTCGTTCCGAGCTCGGCGCAAGCCGATGAGCTCATCAAGCTCGCCGACGAAAAAAAGCGTTCCATCTGCGTGTACCAGAACCGCCGGTGGGACAGCGACTTCCTGACGGTACGAAAACTGGTGACCGACGGCCTACTTGGAAGGATAGTCGAGTTCGAAACTCACTTTGACCGGTACCGTGCCGAGAAGCCCACCAACTGGAAGGGCTCCCTGAAGATGGACCAGGGCGGCTCGGCGCTCTACGACCTGGGAACGCATCTCGTAGATCAGGTGTATACGCTATTCGGTATGCCGCAGGGCGTGTTCGCCAAGCTGGTCAGTCAGCGGGATGGCCTCTGCCTGGGACCCGAGAACCCCGACTTGGAACCCGACAGTGTCAACCTACAACTCTTTTACGCCGACGCCCTCATAGTGCACGTACGCATCGGCGTGATGAGCGTCGAGACGAAGCAGCCGCGGTTCTGGATCCGCGGAACCAAGGGGAGCTATCACAAGACGGGCCTCGACCCGCAGGAGCCGCAAATCAAGTCTGGTATGAAGATAAATGACGCCGAGTTCGGAAAGGAGGGCCCGGAGTGGAACGGCAGCCTGACTACTGTCGGTCAGGATGGCAAGATCACCGAGGAAAGCTGCCCAAACGTCAAGCCCGAGACCTACAGCAAGATATATGAGCTGTTCGCACACGCTCTGCAGGGTCGATGTGATGTGCCGGTTCCAGCGTCACAGGCCAAGGATGTGCTCCGAATCCTAGAAGCTGCCAGGGAAAGTGCAAAGACTAAGCGCGAGGTCGAGTTGTCATAGGAGCCATAGAGCCATAGTTGAGTCAACGGGACCAACATAATGCTCGTGAAAATGGAAAGGCCATCACGTCGATTTCCTCATGCTAGTAATGTTCGAGTTATCGGGATGATGCGACTTGTTGGACGAGAGCTAAAGGGTTGCTTTCGGATTGACAATGTCGATTTTATGCTCTCCTGGCAAATGCATCCCCGAGACAGTGGAAAACGACGACGCTTGCCACTGATGCCAGTCAGACGTCGCGAAGTCTGATCCTTAGACGTAAGAGTAGAGACGTGGGTAGTATTCAATATGTAAACCCGGGTACTGCTATACGCCCACAACTCTTCCTCCATGGACCGAAACTCCTGGTGCAAATGCGAGCTTACGCCGTGGTATCATCAAATCGCCTACTTGCCAGCCGCCACGGTACCCGGTCGGCCGGTGTACGCCCATGCACCCAGCCCGTACCTAGGTATCTATCATCCAACCAATGCATCCATCTTCCCATCCGCGAGACTCTCTACACACCGCGAACAAAGTAGCGCGCCATTTTGAGCATGAGATTCAACAACATGCCAAATGAACCAAGCATGATGAAGATCTTGCCAAACTCCCACCAATACCGAGTACGGACCTCTGTCTCGATGTGCCCCTTGATGCCTGCACCGTTTGCTGGGAAACGGCCAGTCGAGACGTATTGCTCGAGCAGGGCATCCTTCTCATACCACCGCTCGCGGAGCCACTTGTCAAACTCCATTTGGCTGTCCAGAGGCATGTCATCAAGCGCAAAGCGTCTCCAGTAAAAGTTGACTGACTTCGGAGGTCGGCCCTGGAAGTATGTACTAGACAAGGTGAAGTACTGTTCACCGTACTTTCCCCGGCTGTCAAGTTGTCAGTCATGTCCCCGACGTCTCAGTTCGATAGAAGTGTAGTCTCATGTAGGCGCAACTCACGGGATCCCTTCGTACGCTACGGTGCAGTCGTACACATAGCCAACAGTACCCTTGAGTTCGTTCAGGCAGAAGAACATGCCTGCGCTCCGAGGCAGCATCTGGTGCTGCATGTCTTTGAGTCCTGACTTTTCCGCCCACTTGGCAGACTTGTTCCTCCCGTTCCCTGAGAGATTTGTGCCTTCTGGGAACAAGAGCAACCACATGGGGTTCAAGAATTGTTTGCCGCTGGGGTCCGTGTGCCGCGTCTTGAGCTTGCCCAACCGATGCGCAAGGCGCGGTTGGTCAACCGCCATCTTGCGGGACATGAAGATGAAGCCATACAACATGCAGGCCGGGCCGAGGACAGGGATCCTTTTCAACGACTCCTTCAGGATGATGTATATGTGCCCGTGCATTTGGGGGCTATTTGTGTATCCAACCCACCATAGGTACAGCCAGTCGGTGTAGATCTGCCAGCAAGGATGGAAATTAGCAACCAAGTCTCACCGGCGGGGATGGCCCGGCAGGAAGGCTTTACCTGGTGGTTCGCGATCATGACCATGCGCTCGGGAAAGGCACATTCGACCCGGCCGTCAGGTGTCAAGCTCAACTGTCCAGCAACTGAGGCGTCCCCGCTGATCCGTATGAGCGTGGGAGCCCACCACTGGGTCATGGTGGTTATCAACAGGCCAAATGACGCCTTGGTCAAAGATATGTACGAATAGTAAAAGTCATGGTCGACAAGGTAAATTGGGATGCCAATGATCTGGGTGAGATGTATACTGCGGGCAAATCAGACACTGCTCTTCGATCCTGTTGAGACCCGGGAAACCAAGGAAGCATACACTACACAACTACACGCGAAGTACATGGAGACGGAGAGAGCACGGAGACGCGCTCTGAACCGGCCATACTTGGCCCTGCCACCGGGATGGGCGATATTCGGATCGAGGGCCGGGTTGGCGATCCCGGCGGTCAAGTTTGGTTCTGGGACCACCTGCTTCGTAGCGGGCGGGCGGTGTCGTAACTCGCCGGTAGCCATCTTGGGGTCTGGAGCAGCGGGTGCGAGACGACGTCGAAATTCGTGTGGTTGAGAGATTGGGAGGACAGGCTCGATCGGTACGGTATGGATTATGGAATCACAAGACGGCTCGTGTGCGGCAACGTTCGGCGCATCTAGCAGGGTGCAGGGTCTGGGCGAGGCAGCGAAAGGACGTAGATGCGCACGTGGACGACAGAGAGGTCAGGATGAGAGAGTAACCTGTAACCTGGCAGAACAGACGCAACGTCAGTAGAGGTCCATGATGATACGGAGCAGAAGGGCATAGACTGTCGGGCAGCTGCCTAGGCTGACCGGCAGATAGAAGTACGCGTGGAATGTACTGGGACTCACTCTATGCAACTGGTTGGTTCATGCTGTGGGTGCTGATAGCAAATACGTACTTCATGTAATTCGGTATAGATGGGGAAATAGCGCAGCAGCCAATCGGTTGGTCGGTCGGGTCCTTGAACAGACTCCCTGAAGGGATCGTGAACGGTGAGTGTTCCTCAACGCAAGGTATTACTATCGTGGATTGACACAACGCCCGGGCTGGTGGGGGTGAACCTTGAAATGATCCATGGGTTGATGACGGAAGACGGATGTCCACTGGGCACACAATTCTGCATAACGTCTAGTTATGCCACATGTTGATTTGAATGCGCTGCATAAAACCCTTGTGGCTTGCAAAATGTGGCGCTCAGCCCTTCTCTCCAGTCTTGTATCGTCGGTATCAGCGGAACGCTTCGCCGGCATCGCGCCTGTACAGTTCCAAGGTTGTCCTCGCATTCAGCATATAGGGGCAGACAGACCATGGTCACTCATTACCTGGAATATCCGGCGCCCGCATCGTCTGACATCAGCACCGCCGAGCCACGTCGAGTGCTCATCTTCTTCATCACCGGGAACCCGGGCCTCATCGACTATTATGCCCTTTTTCTGTCAACCTTGAGCGAACTGATACGAGACTCTGCGTCCCTTCAGAAGACGGCGCGATTTCACATATACGGCCAGGACCTGGCTGGTTTCAACGACAGCGACCATGAGCCCTTCACTGCTCACCGAAAACCTCACGACCTAGAAACCCAGATCCAGCACACCCTCAAGGCGTTGAAAAACATCCGCATCGAAGATGGCCCCCGCCAGGGCCAGCCGTACGACGATGTCCTACTCGCCGGACACTCCGTAGGTACGTACATAGCTCTCGAGCTGTGTCACAGAGTCCTGAAAGACCCTGGCCTCGCCCCGAGCTTGAATCTCGGCTCCGGCATACTCCTTTTCCCCACCATCCATCACATCTCCAGCTCGCCGAGTGGTAGGAAACTTGACCTCCTTCGCCGAATCCCCATTCTAGGGGACAATGCGTACCGGATCGCCCAGGGATTCCTGCACCTTCTGCCGCGCCGCGGCCTCCACTGGATCGTACGTAGGGTCATGGGCTTTCCCGTCCATGCCGCCGAGGTCACGACGCGGTGGCTCAAGAGCCGCGACGGGGTGTGGCAGGCCCTGCACATGGGCATGGACGAGATGAAGGTCATCGGAGAGGACAAGTGGGACGATGAGCTATGGGGGATTGTCCATGAAGCCCAGGCCCACGAGATGCCGGTTCCCAAGTTCTGTTTCTTCTTCGGCAAAAATGATCACTGGGTCGCGAGTCACTATCGAGACGAGTTCATCCAAAAGAGGCAGAGGCAACCTGAACGTACACAATTCGTCGTCGACGAGGGCAATATCCCTCACGCCTTCTGCATACGTACGTCAGACCAGGCAGTGTGTACTGCGAATCATCCCTGAACATTGGAGCTGACCAGCGCTACAGACCACAGCGAGACCGTCGCAGAAAAGGTTCACCACTGGATCACTGACATGTATAGCGCTGATTGACACACTTCGGCTTGAATCATGGCATCATCTGCATGGTATTGTGAAGCCATCTAATGCCTTCCCTACGTCGTCATTGTCTTATTACCAACCATCGCCATTCACAACATTGGCCCAGACGTCGCTCCCACGACTGGTCAACTTGTTCGTGGAACAACTTTACACAACTCTCAGTCCAAGGAACACCTACCGCACCTGTACTCGGAGGGCGATGGTGTGGGTTGAGTGTATGAGGAATGTGATGGGTTGTACGTCAGCACGACTTGCTCAAGTCCATGGAAAACCAAGTCAATGGAAAACCAAGTCAATGGAAAACCAAGTCTATGGAAAACCAAGTCTATGGAAAACCAAGTCTATGGAAAACCAAGACTGTACCGAGAAGAAGTAGGCATGTACAGCTTCTAGCTGGCCTACATACCTTGATTGCACTCAGGCTTCACCATTGGTGCTACATGAAGTGTGCCATTGCCGAGGCTGGACATCAAGGACTTGTTGTATTCTGATCTACCGTTGCCAAGGCAGTTATAACAGTATCCATGAATATCAAAGAGTCCCGGACGGTCGCCCAGGAGGGTTGCGCCATGCTCCAAAATCTCGCCTCGTCTTGCCTCTACCAAACAGAGACAGGGACGAATATGTTTTCAGGTTCCGCATACATGCAAAGCGTCTTGGCCGAGCCCACATTTCCTTCGCATCGTTTGTTACAGCACAACCATAGTAACACCAACGGCCATGGCTACCAACATGTAGAAGCCAATGGCCACATCGCCCATGGTCATGAAAGCGCTCATGCGAGCGTTGCCCGGCAGGGCGGCATTCTCGGTGCTGGAAGCCGTGGAACCGCTCGCAGCTGCGGTGGCTGTGGCAGCAACTGAAACCGCAGCGCTGGCACTAGACAGCGCGGCCTCACATCTAGAGAAATATCAGCTACTGAAACCCAAACGTAGACCCGTCTTGTGAGTAGGCGGTGCCCGGAACTTACGTGGAGTCCACACTCGGGTTGGAAACGACCTTGGCAGCGCCGTTGAAGTCGCAGGCATCAGACGCCTGTTTCTGGTTGACGTAGTAGGCATGAAGCACGTTGGCCAGCTGCTCCTTGGGGTTGCACATGACGTATGGGCCGTAGACGCCGGCTTCCGAGTCATGCTTAATGCCCGCGCAGGCGTTCGCGTCCGCGTCACAGACGTAACCGAAAATGTCGCCGTAATCCTTCTCCTCGAGATTATCGGCTGGCACGCAAGACATGGATTTGGACATGCAGTCACAGAGATCACTGTCGGGAGTAGGTGGCAGTGCCTCCGCGACCTTCCAGTTCTCCGAGATGGCCGGGCACGCAGCAGCAGAGTTGGTCGGCTTGTATGCACTCATCGCAGTGGACGAGGGCGCGACTCTGGCGAGCTTGGTCTGCAGAACGCCGTAGTTCTTCATCGGGGTGGCCGTATTGCCGTTAATCTTGACCAGACCTAGATGGTGCGTGTCAGCATCCTGAGAACCCAAGTCGATGCAGCAGGAGACCTACCATAGTCGTTCTCTTCCTCGTGGAACATGTAGACAATGCCGCCGCTGAATACCGGCGTCATCTGGTCCGAGTACAGCGCCGTCGTGTCGTCCCAAAGACGGCCCTCGGCACCTCCGTTCGTGTTGCAACCGTACTCGGCAAAGAAGACGGGGACGGAGAAGTTGGAGAAGAAGTCAACCTGGACGTTGTAGCCAGACTCGGTGTAGCTGCTCTTCCCGCACCACGAATAGATATTGTAACCCCAGAAATCGATAGCTGCTTCTTGTTCGCCACAGTTGAAGAACTGGGCCATCGAAATACGGATGTCGGCGTCATCGTTGGCGGCATATCCGACACCCATCCATCGGCCACCCTTCGCTACCTTGTCGGCGATGTACTTCTTGGTGTCTCGAGTGGCAGCCTTGACATAGGCCGAGGCATCAGCTGCGAGGTTCAGTGGTTAGCTCTTGTAGTCACAAGCAGGGGCAGGTACTGAGGGTCCGGTGACTATACACCGCGGCACACTGACAGTACCAGACCTCTGGAGGACGTGAAGTCTGACGTGCGGGTATGGCACTCGCCGGTGGGAGACTTACTGTTGTTGGCGCTGTTGGTCACCTCGTTTCCAGAGAAAAATCCGATGGTGTTGTTGTACTCGCCAAGGTTGTCAATAACAGCCTTGTAACGAGTGAACAGCTCCACGTTCCAGGCAGGCGAGTCTCGGTTGATGGACAGGGCGGGTTCACCAAGATCAGCGATGACATAGACACCGGCGGCGGCGAGGAGCTTCATGCAGGCGGAGTGGTCAGCATCAGGGTTGATGGCGTAGGTCCGGATGGTGTTGATGCCCAGCTTCTCCAGCAGGGGCACATCACGCTTGCAGACGCTCTCGTCGGCCAGGGGGTCGACGTAGGAGTTGCCGCCGTCACTGGTGCTACGCTTGGCGCCAGTACCGCCAGTACTGCCAGCCTCCTGCTGATAGGCGACACCCTTCATGAAAAACTGGTCACCGTTTTCGTAGAAGAACTTGGAGCCCTGCGAGTCGCGTGGTGTCAGTCCGGATACGTCCCAAGTCCGCTCTGAGCGAGGAGCAGAAACATCTGGGCGTCGATGACAGGGCGGTCTGTCCGAGATGCCCTCATTCGTTGTCTACTCACCTTCATGACGATAGGGTCCAGAGCCGAGGCATGGCTCGCGAGCAACAAGGACGAGGCTAGAGCCGTACGCAGGAACCCCATTTTTGCTGATTAATCTGTGTCGTCGTATGGCGTCGTTCTTCTCCGGAGGTGTGGAGGAGCTCTGAAGATGAGATGGGCAAGGCGAACCACTCCACTCTACGTTGACTTGATCTTGAGAGTTGCGTAGGCAGGTACCTGTATACCTTCTGAAATCTCACCGCGCGTCCGTGTCAAGTGTCCCAAAGAATTCGCAGCGAAGAGGGCGAGTTCGTACAAAAATGGTCGGCGGCGACGGCGCAAGAGAGCGTGGTAAGGAAATGAGTGCTGGGTTTGGTCAAGGAGTGTGTGTGAAGTTGGGATGACAACAACTAATGTTCGTCCTGCTTTCCCCAGTGCAATTAGTAAGGTACAGAAGGTGGACGAGAAGACAGAGAGGGACAGAGCGATAGAAGAAGGTTGAGCAGACGGGTAGACGGGGCAGGGAGAAGGAGTAGGCGTGCACCAAGGGTGGTAAGTACCTACCTTACGGTCAATAGACCTGGAGGAGGCAGTAGCAGGTGAGGAACCTGTACGTACCTGCCTACATGCACCTCGGGTAAGGTATGTACGAATACCACTGCACTGGAAGCACGAGAAGGAGATTGGGTCTGGCGATGGATGCAGGTACACGGGAGCAGGTACTGATTTGTAGTTCCGGTGTATGAGATGAGGATTGATTCGATTGAACTGCATGTGGTGAGCATAGCATCAGATCTACTACTATTGAATGCACTGGTGATGACCGTCGTTACGCTGCTGTACAGTACCATGTGCGGTGTGCGGTGTGCGGTGTGCGGTATGCCTTTCGACAATAGTAAATTCTACCCTCCGCCGGTCCATCTAGCATGATGCATCGCAGGGGCATTCTGCCATCTCTCGTCGAGACGGGCCATCATTGATCAAGATGTTCCTTCTCCTGGACTCTGGACGTTGAAAATGATGCAATGTGACGGTCACAACGGTGTCTGCACTGACCAACACCCGTGGACCCGAATGACCCCATCTGGGCGGTGGAGACAGGACGGGTATGCCAATGCAGGGCTAGTCTGTAGCGGCACCACCTAATCTCGCCATCTCCAGGGGCTTTAGGGACCAGATCGCCACGCTGCAGGGGCCAAAGGCAGGGGCGGGGGCCAGGGGTCAGGTCTGCAGGGTGCAGTGACGGCCCGGGGGTCAACCTGAAAGCTGCCAGCTGCCAGATAGCGGTGCCATTCGAGGTGAGGTGCAGGTAGGAGCATCAATGATGCATCGAACGTCAAGGTGAGGGAGGATATCAGGTTGATGTCGCCCGCGATGTTCCATGCTGGCTGGCTTTAAATGTTATCTACCTCAGGGGGCAGTCACTTCCAGTAGGTACCTCTTGCGTTACCTGAGAAGGCCCGTGCTGCAGACTACCACCACGACCTACCAAGAACCAAGAACAACCAAGAACAACCAAGAACGACCAAGAACTCCCAAGGATTACCAATAAGCGCCGTGACAGTCCTCACTTGCTTCCTGACAAAACACCAAAAGTCCAAGGCCATAGTTTGACCCTCGTCCACGGCCAAGAATCGCCAAGCTCGTCCGCCATGCCTGAAATTGCGCGCACATTATTTGCCCAGAAACCTTGGGGTCTGCTGGTCTTCCGTCGCCTCCTATTTCCTCTTGTACAGTTAGCCTCGCACCCCTGCCTTTGGCCAAGGCAGTCAGTCCATCGACTATTGTATCAGTCAAGCCTTCGACGGGAAGTGCCCATCCTACTGAAAACAACGAGCGTCTCGAGCCATTCTCGGTCTTGGGTTCCTGGATTTCCAGTGGAACAGGAGCTTGGCAGTCGTTTGGGCCTGTCTCGGCAGCTTGGAACGGCCAGACGACGTGCAGTGATGGCGATCGTCTGCAATTGGCATGGAATCCTCCTTTTCTCCCGCTCCACATCGTCAATCCGACTCTTCATGTCGTATCATTGTCCCTCCCAGTGCCCACGCTGCCTATGCACACTCACGCAGCCTCCAATCGCGTCATTGAATAGTCAGACTGCCGTCGAGCGATGGGAACAGCTTCGCACCTTTGCCTCTTGATTTGTTCCCGTAGGCTACTGCCCACCTCCAATGTCTATCTCGTCACCACCAATAGCACCATTGGGTCGTGACTCGAACAGAGAATAGCAGGCGCGCCGCTCCTTGGTATGAAATGCCGCTTGAGGCCAGGCTTCTCATGCATTGTCACACACAGCAGAACCGTCTATGCCACAAGCGTTGGAAAGTGTTCCAATAGCCGGGGGTGTCTGAGGCAGTGGGCAACCCACACTCCAGCCTGTGCTGTGCAAATGTCCCTTTCGGCTGTCTCAGCTTATGGAGTTGCGCGTGATCAGCCGCCGGGCTCTACAAGGCGTCGTTTACGGAAAACGACATCCTTCCCGGCCGCAGGCTCGGGCCCCTATCGAAGCCGTCAGCTGGTGGTCTCGTCCCGTCCACGGAAAAAACGAAGCCCACGCAAGACTGGCATAGATACTTACGAGGGTGGGTGCTTTCAGTGGGAACAATCGATGCACGACCAGTGACCTACACGGGTCTTCGCCCGGAAGTACGTGGTTCTCTCACATCTCGTCAACTGTTTATGACTCTATGAGACTCGGCATCCTCTACCACGGAAGACGAACGGAGGGTACGAAAAAGTAATTAACTAATCTAAAGACGTGGCCTATCCAGAACCACCCGTAATAACGAAAGGAGCAAGAGGATAGCGAAAGCCCTCCTGGAGCCGGATCTGTGATGGAACTCCAGTACACACGATTCTAGTTGTCCGTCTCCTCGTCGCTTTCATCCGCCACGAATGCTGCCGTGCCATTCCCAAACTTGGGCTCCATGTACTCAGGCATGGGGTTGACCGGATACTGTCTGTTCTTGGTCGCCTTGGACCTCTCCCCAAATGCAGCATCCCAGGGTACCTTCATGGATGCCGGGATGTCCCAAGCGAGTTTTTCGTTGCGGAGCCACAGACGCACCAGGTGTCTGGTTGATTCGTCGTCGTCCCGATACGACTCGCGAGCATGGAGCAAGGCCCAGTTGTTCAGGAAGACCATGTCACCTGCGCAAGCTGGCAGCCGAACCTGGTGTTTCGAGGCAGACTGCTGTACCAAGGCGAGTGCCTCGTGCTGTTCGGGCAACAAGCTCGGGATTCTAGTATCCGTGGAGGATGCAGGGGGGCCAATACGGGCAGGGTCTGCGGAGACCATCATGTTGCCCTCGTGGAACGTCAACAGTGGCGAGAGGACGTAAGGCGATGAGCCTCGTCGCGAACTAGGTGGTCGGTTGTTGTCAGCCTTGATGCATACACCGAAACTGTAGAGCACGACGAGCTTACACTTGAATAGGCCAGTTGGCTTCTGTCAGGGTATGGACCGCCCACGCGTTCGTCGTCATCAAATCGTTGTAGACCGCGCCGCACGATGCCACATAGGAGTCTCCCCCGGTAGCAGCGCGTTGACGGACGTGCATAGCCAGAATATCGCATCCCATGTCGTTGTGGAACGGCTTCAAGAATTAGCAACCTGTCGCGACATTGGGAGGATGGGCACATACCAGGCCGACATTGGTGTGTATTCCGTGGCGTTTCCCACGCGGCACCGTCCAAAGTTTGGACTCGTAGACATGGGCTTCAATGGTCAGCTCAATCCCTCGGCGGAGGGGGCTGTCAGGCCACTCACAGATCATGGCGCCTTTGGCACTCTGTACACCTCGCTGGCCACCAATGTAGCTCGCGATACCCAAGAAGATGATGGTGTTGTGTTCGGGGGAGCGGTGCCCTGCGAGACCTCGGATGATACACACGCCGTTGCCATGGTGTATCTGTTGGGCGCATTGTTCCAGGAGGCCTGCAAGCCTAGGGAGAGGGAACCGGTCTCGGTTTACCTCATCACCGTCCAATGCGAGGCCTACATAAGCCGTCAGCTTCTGCAGAGCAGCAATGACCGTGCAGGACTTACCAAGGAAAGACTCCAGTGCGGCCTCTACTTCGATCACGCCTGCTTGATCCAGCTGAATGACCAACGAGTCAAGGGAGGGGGCGGCGCGGCCGTATCCGGACCAGACCTTTGGGCCCTCTGCGACGACGGGGAATCCGATCGGTTGGCGTGGAATGCTGGCTTGCTCCCGGGACAAGAGGTCCACGGGATCATCACACTGCACCCAGCTTTGTAAGCCATTGAAGCCGCCAGGGGCGGGCGAAAGGATGTGAGCAGTCATTTTTTCTCTGGGTGAGTCTCTGGGTGAGAAGAAGATGGAAGTGAAGTCGCTGGGAACATGCTGTCACTTATAACGGCGGCCATTTGGTGAGTTGGGCGTTTTGCGATCACCCACATGCAAAGCCTGACAGCGTCAACATGGCCAGTAGTCGTCATAGCTCGAGATTTTGGCCGATCCCGCATGTCGTACAGAAGGACTCGCATAGCGGTCTGCGTTGCATCGTCGGCGTAAAATGTAATGACATCTTAAGATTAAGGAGCGGTGTTGAAGATGGGGCCAATAGCCACCACGAGGGCCGGTCTGGGGAGGGTATATCGCCTCAATTCAAGGTCCGATGTCGTTGGCCATCAACTCCTTTGACGATCTGTGTGCTTTCACCGCCATTGAGACGTGCGGTCGAACGTCGGACGTTGGTGATATAAGTTGCTTTTCAGGGAAGAATTTGCATCTCCGCGATTCCACAACATGACGCCTCTACTTTTCTTATTCGACTTGGGAAAAAGAGCTTGCAGATTATGTACGAGCGGAGGCTGCGGGCGTCGTGCCCTCCAACCCTCTAAGCGGTCTGGTGAGAATATCAGCGTATGGGACGGTTTGAAAAGCTCGTCTGCAGGTGGTCACCGAGGTCTTGACATTGGTCCGGTTTCATCTCGACCTAAAAGGAGGTTGAGTTGGAGATCGAGAGGGAGATCGAGAGGAAGATCGGGGGGAGTATTTAGAAGGAGATCGAGGGGAGGATCGAGAGGAAGATGGAGAGAAAGCGTCAGGCCACGATGTGACATTGAGGGAAGCCGGCGTGAGGTCACCACGGGGTAGGCCATCTGCGTCCCCCCCCCCCCCCCCCCCCCCCGGCAGTTGGAGGTTCTGGACGCGATTGGGGCCATGCCAGTAGACCCTGATATGTATGGCTGTGTCTCAGTTGGCTGCTCTGACCGGGCGAACACGCATGAAGGCAAATGTCCCAGAGACCCGGTCAGTGGTAAGGCGTGGGTCGTGGCGAGACGAGGCCGTTGACCGGCGTGGAGGTGAGGATGGAGGAGGCTCGAAGGCGCTCGAAGACGCAGCTCGACTGCACTAACGATGGGGGTCTGCGGACTTATGTTGATCGGTCCGAGGTGGTATCAGCTACGGTGACGTGTCCAGGCTTGATTGCTTGTCTCCCGAGGAAAAGCCCCTTCGACGGGTTGGAGCCTCGAGGGAAGATGAAGTCTGCACGTGGGTTTCAGCCGCTATGAAAGCCGAAACGCATCGCCCAAGACAGGCATCACAGGCCACGCCGTGAGACAACGAGATTCGCGACAGATCACCGAGATCAACGAATCACAGCACACCACCTGCAGGGCAGGGGGCCTTCTCCGGTCGATCGACTTCGACCCTGGGTAAGGTCGCCTTGGGGTGTGACAGCATATGTTCAGCCGGCAGGTTGGCACTGGCAGGTTGGACAATGCCAAATGGGAAGCACGACAACTTACAAAGGGCTTAGAAGGGGAGAAAGGGGTGGGGAAGCTGGCCCCCGGCTGGACGTGGCCCTGTGAGTGGTCTGATGAGACATCAGACCCTGAGTGGTCACAGCAGCTGGTCCAGAGGTGGTGGCCTCGTTTCTTTTTCTCTGGCCATATCACAAATATCACAACAAAACTACCTAGGTTAGGCGCTCTACGCGTACCAGCGAGGGAGAGATAGATGGGCGTCCGGGCTGCGAGCTTCTCGATCCGAGAAATCATGCATTAGCTTCAATACTCCTGAGCTCGTCAGCAAGCACGCCAGTCATCTGTCATCTGTCATCTGCAGGTGGTCTCGCAGTCTCGCAGTCTCGCCGACTCTCCATCGCACAAATCCACCTAACTCTGCACGACTTTCACCGTCATCTCAACGGCACCACAGAAACCGATCTGCCTCGTCGCCGAGAGTCGCGAGTCGTGAAGGCGATTTCCGTCACTCAGCCTGACCCCGGCAGGCTTCCGCAGCAAGCGGCCCCAAACGGCCTCGTGTGCTACTCACTTCTTGACCGGTCTGGTCTCATCTCACCCACCGCTTCTTGCTGCCTCGACGTTCCCGAGTCGGCGCAGCACCCAGGCCGAAGATCGGCTCGTCTGGACATCAGAGCAGCACATCAACATGGACGAGCCCAATATCGCCGTCGTCTCTCCCTCCTCCATGCACGTAGATTTGTCTCCGGCCTACCCTTGGGCTCGTACCACGTTGACGTCGAGTGACCCACCATCGTCGAAGGCGAGAAAGCGACTTCGGGTCGCCTACTCGTCTTCCTCTTCTCCAACACCCGCTCTCCCCAGCGCTTTCCCGCGGGCCTCAAGAATAGCCAAACCAAAGAGGACTAGTTTCAAGTCTCCATTGGCCGGGGCATCTCCGAAGAGGATCCAACACGTTCCCACTGCCGCTGCCGCTGTTGCTGCAACTATAGACGACTCCTCCGTCTGTGGGCAACAGTCTGGATGGCACCCGTTCGTCCCCCTGGACTTGCCGAATGCTAATGAAGAGATAGTCTCGCCGGATACAAATCTCGGACCGGGGAACCCCTTTACCCTCTTGTTCCCCTTCGTCCAGACCTATGCACCGCCTTTGGGTGGGTGGCATTGCAACACCTTCACCCAGCCGGATATGCAAAGTCTAGGGCTGCGGTCTTCGTGGCACCACCAGTCCGAGCCTTACCTCCACGCCCCAGAACAGTTATATCAACAGGATCCGTGTCAGCACTACCCGGTAGACTATCCCTTGGACAGTCCGACGGACTACCCGGATATTGCCATCCCCTTCTACGAGAACGCTGCTGCTGCATACTTTTATGATTCGGTGCCTCTGTCCCCTCTAGCCACGATGGTCAGGCGCGTTCTCCCAGCTGATGGTACGGTCGCCACCGAGGAAGGACATCCGGCTCACCCGTGCTCGGTCGCGCAGGCGTATGACCCAGATGGCTCCCCTCAAGAAGACAGGTGCATGGTGGACCGTGGGCAGTCCTTTGGGGACTCCAGCCCTGCCGAATTGGATGTGACACCACCATCTTCCGAGTTCACCCCAAATGGCAGCATATACCCAGACATCTGTCCCACGCGCAGTCCACCGCAAACTTTCGATGGACGACCCTGGGTGGACCTTTGCAGCACATACCCAGACGTCTTTTCCACCCGCAGTCCACCGCAAACCATCGATGGATTCTGGGTTGACGTCACCTCCGAGTCCGTCGCGGACCTCTCCCTGGACCACAGTCCCCCATCATCACCAGAAGACCCTGCGGTGCATAAGCCCGAGAAAACCCATCGCTCGCCTCTGGAAGGCTTGAAGCGCGAGCAGACGGGTCAGACTCGCAAGTGGAAAGCATGCATCCGCTGCCGAATGCAGAAAATTCGAGTAAGTCACCGATGCATTTCCTGATCATATGTACTGAAAGCTAAGATGGAGCACCAGTGTGAGCCGGATCCCTCAAACCCAGAGACGGAGGACTGTCTCACCTGCCGCAAGGTGAGGCAGGAGTCCAAGAAGGTTATCCACAAGGTTCCATGTCTTAGATGGAAACTTATGGAGCTCGTCATGTTTCGCACCGGTGGCCTTGGTCTGACAAGACGATGGAGCGGAGTGAAGGTGAAAGACCTTGGGCCCAGAGATTGGGTGAGTGGCGAGACCAAGACCATCAGCATGAGCCTGGGTCTTTGTCCCACTTCGTTCTCCGTAAAAGTCCAGGCATTCCACCCCAAAGAAGGCGACGTCTGTACGCGGTCCTGGGTCAGCGAAAGGGGAGAGAAGATGGAGACTTACATCGAGCCATTTGCTCTTGCCAATACCAAGCGGACTGCCGACGAGTACCGCCGGTATATCTGGGAGAATGCCGGCCACGCACTGCGGCAGTATACCGAGAGAGGCGACGTCGACATTTTGGTGCGGATGACATATGCTGATGCGTGAGTATTATGACATTCCTTTCCCTTGCATGTGTTTGCATTCTCTATCTTCCGTCTCTCATCTCCCTCTTCTGTCTTCGTCTACGCTATGAATATGAACCATTTGGAAGCCAAAGTTATGGATCAACGGTCGAATTGCATTCTTGAGGGTCTCTGACGTAGGCTGACTTGGATATTCCAAAAGCTGCAACCATGCCTCAAGACTCGACAGGAGGAAAGCCTCCGGTTTTCTGAACGTATACTTTCAGCTGTGGTTTGCAACCAGTGAGTCGCCTGCCATCACTGCTGATTCGACCGCAATGATTGACAAGGTGAACTAGGGCACAACATTGGAACCGCGCACATCGATGGCGAAGAAAGGCTGGGGATACAGCCCGATAATCGTGAAGGAAATCCTCACAGAGGCAAGATAATGCTGCCGCGAATGATCACGGCACAGTTCGACTCGCTCGGATACGTGCATATGCTCGCGCCGCTACGGAAGCAAGTGCTGGACGACCTGTGGAAGATGATGGGAAAGGCAAATGGACAGCACTTCTTCACCGTCTACTTGACGGTTTTTATGATGTTGCATGAGATCTCGGTGACATCCCGAGATAGATACCGGCGCGCAAGGGAGAACAAGTTCAAGGTGAGTGAAGACACACCCCTGAGGGCCGACGTGGCTAACCCCGGGTCCAGGAGCAGTATTGCCTCCCACATTTCGTGGAGCAGCTGCAAGAGGGAGCGAACATCCTTCTCATCCACTGGCACTATTACAAGAGCGGTTTCAATCCTCTCGACATGGCACGGAAGCTCCCCAAGAAGGCCATCTGGGGAGACATGTGTTCGGAGGAACTACAGCTCCTCATGGAGACATGTCAAGCTTTCAAGGACCGAGGTGAGCTCAGCCGTGCACATACTGCCTCGTTGACGCAGCTGATAGAAAATAGCACGCCAGCCGTTGGAGACGATGCAATACGATGACGATCTTTACTTTGTCTCGCAGATGTGGGAGGAGAACTGGCTGCCGAAGCGAACCTTTATGGCGTGATGACGCATATGTGAGGGATAAAAGTCTGTTGGCTACGATGGTTTGACAACGCATGGCATACGAAATGGCGTTGTAGTCAGTTGAAAAAAGACACTCAAGTGATACAGCTGGTTATCAGTACCTGCTGTCGCCATATTCTCCAGTGCCTAGTGTCATGCCTCAAGCTCTTCCTGTCCCAATGTTAGTATGCTGAATCCTGGCTTTCACCATTCCTGGTTCTTGAAAGGAAAGACGACATGCTACAGATGCAAACACGGAAAGGTGAGATGTCTTCTCATAGGGTCGAGGTGTTCGATGCCTCCAAGCCTAAAGATCCTGGCCTCAATACAACATGCCGACGCTGCTCGCCTGCAAACTAGTTTGGTAGATTGAGTGGGAGGTCAACACCGGGCATGCGTCAATGCTGTTTCGCCTCTGACAATGGAGCCAGCAATAGCCATTGGTACAAAAGCCACCAGCATCTGCGACGAAGCGCCTACAGAAGTCACAAAAGACTTGAATGTAGCAGTCAAGGATGGCACTCACCTTGGATAATCGGCCCGTGGCCGAGGATCACTCTTGGGCTTGCTGATCCTCTCTTGTTTGCCTCGATCAGTTCTGTAGCTGGGCTGACTGGTTCTTACCCTCGGGATAACGCCGCGTAATGTGTGGTGTATAGCCTTCAAAGTAGCTAGGAGAGACATGTCCCAGCCTATGAGCTACTGCTGCATGTGCGCCCTATGGTCCGGTGTGGTTCCCAGAATGGTGAGTGTTGCTTGACAGAGATGCCCAGTGACCTTTGGGTGATCCCTTGTTGTATACCGACGGAGAAGAGACTGGGTTTCTTAAGATGATGAAGGCCACACATGATGGCTCCCGGATGCTAAGAGATGATTGAAGGTACCTAGGCAATAGAAGGCCTGAACGGCTGGAGCCTGGGTCAAGGGCCATTGTCAATTGAGGACCAGGTAGGGCGGGATGCTCGAGGAAAATGGCGGTTTGATTTGCACAGCTGACAGGACAATCAAGCCACCTGTCAGAGCCGCGCATCGAGATAAGACAGATAAGGAAATGCGCAGTGGTGGAAGTCGACAGATCGCATCATCCGCGTCACCTTTCAACAACTAAGGGAATACACACAACGCAGCAAGGACACATTCAATTTATCGTCAGTTCGCCGATCTATCCTCTGTCCTCAGTTGCGGTTCTACATTCGAGACGAGGCCCTGTACTCCATCTGCCACCTCCACGAAGCTCGACGACGCCCCTCGCATACGCCCAACCACTGGCCGAGCGCACCATTTCCTCGACACATCGCCAGCACACACAAAGACTCCTGCAGCTCCGCGACCGCCACTGACCAACAATGTCGGACATCGACACATTTACGTTGCTTCCCCTACAGATCGATCCGCAGTCCAAGGCGCTCAGCACAGCCTCGAGCTCGCGGTCGCTGCAGGCCGAGCTTGCAGCGCTGAACACGCTGCACCGCGCGCTCCTCACGGTCGAGACGCCGAATCAGGTCCCGCCGCCGCCAGTACCCGTCAACCCGAAGCGGTCGGCCAACATCAACAAGCTGCGCGACAGCGGCAACGACGCCTACCGCAAGGGCAAGCACAACGACGCCATCAAGTTCTACAGCCTGGGCCTGCAGATGGCGCTGGGCCGGCCGCTGTGGGAGCCGCAGCAGCTCGTGCGCGAGGAGGTGGCCTCGCTGTACGCCAACCGCGCCCAGGCGCACATGGCGCTGCAGGGCTGGCCCGAGGGCGCGCTCGACGCCGAAGCGAGCGTCGAGGCCAAGCGCGTCGGCAACTCTAAGGCCTGGTGGCGACGGGGCAAGTGCTTGCTGGAGATGGGACGGTTCGCCGAGGCCCGGGAGTGGGCTAGCAAGGGCCTGGAGATGGAGGGCGAGGATGGCGAGCTGGCCGCGTTGCTGAAGGAGATCGATGTCAAGCTGGGCAAGGAGAAGAAGAGCAGCTCGTAACGGGCTGTCTGCGGTGTTCCCACTCCTCCGGACCGCCTACCTAGGCGGTATACCCCATTACTATCACCTGCGACGCACAGCCGCACCGTTGTGCATCTATCTCACGCATCCCTTTTAACGGCGTTGGAGGAGTCAACAAGAGGCGTTCTATAAACTCATCATCCTGGCTCTGGTTGCATAGTAGCCAGTACTGTTTACATTAGATGATGAATTCGAGATGCGTATTGGTGTTCTGAATGTTCTGAAGAGATCACTCCCAAGTCCCGGCGAAGTTGGGACTGGCTTGCCCATGCGAACAAAGAAAATAGTATACTGCCGACTACCTAGTTCTGCGCGTCCGCCAACGAGTCTCGCAATATCGTCGCATACTGTACACGACATCCCGTCTATGGAATGCCACATGCAACATGCCACCGCGTGCTCTCGTGATGCTGTCTGTAAATGCCCAAGAGATAAAAAAGCGCCTAGGTCAACCGTACCGGAAAGCCGCGGCCTGTGCATACATGATGTATCCTGCGCCCAATATCTGCACTACGAGTCCTCCGACGCGTGCAAAAATCCTCCACGGCGGTTGACCTTATGGGTAAGCCCCCCGCGGTGCATCACGGCCACCGCATGCCCAACCGTATCTGGGTATCTAAAATTCAATGCACGACTACCCATCCTTTGGGATGTCCTCGAATCGATGGAACCAATGGTTTACCCCGTCGTGTGTGTCTGCCTGTAGCTTGGCTCCCGCCGCCTTGTTTGCTCCTATGCCTTCTCCTTCTCGCTCAGGCTCTTCTCCCTCGGTCGCATGACGGCGTCCTGGCTCGACATGCGGCGGTTGAGTGCGCGGTCCAGCTTGGCGCCCAGGGCGAGCTTGTTGAGGTTGCCCGCCTTCTCCTCCGACAGCATGACGCGTTGCTGCGACAGTGCCTTGTTCTCCATGCGGGCGAGTCCAGTCTCGATGTCGCGGATCTCGGCGTGCGCTGAGTCGGTCGACTGCACGGTAGGAGTGAAGGACGGCGCGGTGCTGTAGGTGCTGTACCGGAGTGATGCGCGGGGGGATACTAGCTGTGGGAGGGAACACGGTGTCAGCATAAGGAAGTATGAGCGACGACGGCGGGAAGCCAGAGTGGAATGCAAATGCCGACATACAGAAGGCGCCATGATTGGGCGAGATGAATCCAGCGAGGTAGGCATTGTGATGCCGATGATGGTCGGCCAAGGGAAGTAGGTTGAGGGATGACGGGTCACACTGTCGGTGCTTGGCGATGGTGATGGTGATGCGTGGTAGAGCCGTCAATTACGAGGAAAGAAACCAGTGTGGCAGGACAGGACAGGAGGTGGAAAGATAGATTAGAAGTGGGATCGAGGTAATTGAGTTGTGACAGATATGGAGCAGCCAGGCCTGTTCTGCGTGCCCGATGGTGAGGTAATTTGAACTGAACAGTGGGCAAACTTCAAAGACGTCTATTCAGAACTGTTGGTGGGACAGAATGCTGTTGGTGTCTGAATGGAGGCCTGATGAATGACAAAAAAACGGCAAGAGTGTGACGAAGACAACGACGACAAGTCCCTCGAGCTGAAGACACAATGACTGGAAGACAGTGGTGCTAGTTCAGGGAGTCCAGGGATCTCAGGACTCAGGAGTCAGGGAGTGGTAGTGATGATCAACTATCAGGATCCCTGCTGCGCTTCTAGAGACTACACAGTAGGGAGGAGGGCGGCTGATCACAGTCACACTTGCACAGTGCCAACCCGTGCGTGCCCGTGCCTGTGACCCAACCAATCGTAACCAACCATGAAAGGCCAAAGGGCGAAGGGAAGGGGCACGTTGCTTTATGCAGCAAGTTGTGCAGGACATCTGGGCTAAGGACTTGTCGGTAAAGCTAATAAAACCATAAAACAGGCGTGGCGCTGAAAGCGTGTACATCGGCGTTTCAACAGGAAAACCAACCGTATTCCGTCGACGCCTCCTGCGCCTCCGTACAGTACCAACAGCAGAATGTACCTAGTTACCGTACCTGAAGCGTTGTTGAGGCCACATGGGAATGACAAGTTTCTCCGCCAAGAAACGGAGCCATGCAACAGGTTTGCGATTATGGTTTGTGGCACTCAGGGGCGGCAGTGCTTCTACAGTAACAGTGCATGCTGTAAGTCATCTCTGCGTGTATCTCCCTGACAGATACAGGACAATTCTAACCCTGATATTCCTACCCGTCACGCCTAGCCTAGCCAGTTGCCTGTTAGGCCGGGACTTGCGAGCACAGTACGTACCTAAGGTAGGTGTCGTGAATGATGACGGGGAAGCTCCAGTCCGGCAGTCTCTCCTTTTCTCTGGTGGCGTCCACTTGAACGTTCCAACGGTGACCGGTCACCGTCCGGCTGCCGTTGAGGCCGTTCGTCCGTGACACGGTGAGTAGAGATTCGAGAGTCGAGATCCCCATCGAGAGTCAAGACTTAGCACTCGTATGGACTTGTACCAACAAGATGCCGTTGATCAGGGTCTCAAAATACGATACTTAGTATCGTATTTAGGTCATACGATACTGTTGGCATACAGGTGCCGTGCAGGTGTCGTGCAGGTGCGGCGCCAGCTGCGCGGCAGCTGGAATGGACCAGAATAGCTGGTCAAAGGAAGAAAAGAGCAGAAAGCCCCTATTCAGGGATGGAAAGCCCCCATTCAGGGGCTTTCAGGGGTGATAGGCAAGGAGTCGTTGACAGTCAGATCTAAGGATGGGCCAGTCTTTTAGGATTGCACTGTATTTAGTACTGAGAATTCGTCTCACGGACCGAGTTAGATCACGCAACCAATGCACTCCATTCTTGACCCTATGATATAGTCCTGTATTGTGACAGATACAATACAGAGCCATACGATTTGTATACAATAGTATTAAACAAGGGGTAAAAGTGGAACCTTTTAATATAACTTATATGTTTTTAAAAAGAGAAAAAATAATAATTAAAGTGTGATGATTGCTACATCGCTACTATTGGTGATAGTCCTGGGATCACGTGACAGCACGTGACCTCCTGGACGACTGATTGTCTCAGATCCACTAGGGCTCTGAATTGTGGGGGCGGACACACTTATCTAGTTGCGCACTAAATCTTGCTGTGCCGCTCAATCTTCTTTTTCCTCTTCAGCTAAAGAGAGTTATACATATATAATATACAAGAGCTTCTACGTCCTATTCACATATACAGAACGTCACATGTTATAGTCTGGTACAGGTAGCCCATGTAGTGAATCTTGGAGCCTAGACATGAGTACATGTACCACGCTTGATATTTAACATCCTTTTGGGAAGAACAGCCGTGACATAGTGGTTATGGTGAGCGTTCCGTCATATAGAAACGTATTTAAGCGTTTTTTAATACTATTATTATTTTAATAACTATTAAGCTTTATATATCGTAATATATATTTGTTATATATATAATTTCTATACATAAAGCTTGACGTAGCCAACAAGCGAGTTGGTATTACAAGCGAGTTGGCACTTGTCATGAACTTTCTAACCAACACAATTGAAATCATCATATCTCCACCAACAACAATGGCACCGCGTTATAATGAATCAGACTTACAGCAAGCTGTCTAAGCTAAACAACGTGACCCTCATATTTCTATATTTCAGCTTGCGAAACTCTTTAATATCCCTTGTTCCACTTTAAGCAATAGAATCAAAGGAATGCCATCACAGCGCGACAGCATACCTAATACTTTGAAACTTACGGGTTTCAAAGAGAATGCCATTCTTTCCTTCATTATTGACCTGAATGCACGAGCATTTTCACCCCGGCACGGTTATATTGAAGATATGGCAAATCAATTGTTGGAAGCATGTAGGGCTGTACGTGTTTGAAAGAATTAGACGCGTTAGAAAAAATTGGACGCGCAACTTCATTAAACGCACACCAGGCCTCCGGACGCATTTTTATTGGAAGATGGACTACAAAAGGGTCTTGAACAAAGATCCAGACGCGTATTGCGTGTGGTTATACCAAGTTACAGCAGCAATCGTGAAACATGGTATCCAAGACGCGGACATTTACAACTTTGATGAGACTGGGTTTATGATAGGCATTATTGGGTCTGGCATAGTCATCACAAGCACTGAAAGAAGTGGCAGGCCTAGACAAGCTCAGCAAGGTAACAGAGAATGGTCTACAGCAATCTCTGCTATCAATGCTGATGGTTGGGTGGTCCCGCCGTTCATCATTCTACAAGGCAAAACCCACCTTGCATCATAATATTGCGACACAACATTACCACGCGATTAGAAGGTGGCTGTGTCTGACAATGAATGGACTACAAATGAGATCGGTTTGAAATAGATTCAGCATTTCGACAAGTATACCAGACCGCGTATGACTGCTGGTAAACGCCTCCTCATCCTAGATGGTCACAAAAGCCATTATTTCCAGGTCTTTGAGAATTATTGCCAGAATAATAGTATTATTGCTCTTTATATGTCTGCCCACTCATTATATAGGCTCCAGTTTTTAGATATCAGTTGTTTTAGCCCACTTAAACAAGCTTATGGTCGCTCAATTAAGGATCTCATCCGGTATCATATAACATATTTTTCAAAGGAGGACTTCTTCACAGCGTTTTGTGAAGCACACAATGCTGCAATGACACCAGGAAACATCCGAGCAGGTTTCAGTGCCACTGGCCTTGTTCCTTTTGACCCAGAAAGTGTCATTTCAAAGCTGGATGTTGTCGCTGTCGTACGAACACCGTCACTAGACACCAATTTGCCACCCACTACTTAGACTTCAAAGACGCCTACCACTATTAATGAAGCGGTAAACTAATCGGTTCATATCCAAAATCGAGTTAGAAACCACCATGGAAGCTCACCTACATCAATAATTGATGGATTGAGCTCGTTTTCAAAGGCTACATACGGTCTTATGAACAAGGTCATTTTGGTTGATTCCCAGGTCCGCGAGCTAGGGGAGGCCAATCATTTACTAAGTAAATGTTGAAGAACAAAAAATAAATGCCTGTGAGATTCTAGAAGGGTCACAAGCCTTGGGGGTGTGAGCGGTCGCTGCATATGTTGTTGTCATTCTCAAGTATGCTCGGCAAGGCTAATCTACAGCTAAATACCATACTGCACTATGCTAGGGTGGATTCACTGTTTCTTTGACAGCCCCCTAGTGGGTACTGCACCTAAGGGCACCATATCTGGGATCCAACATCTGACAATGCCTGATAAAAAGAGGAATACTTTCTGTTAAAGATGCAATAGGTCTTCAGGCTATAAAGGATGGTACTGAGCTGGCAAGACAGGAAATGGGTGAAGATAGTCGTGGTCCAAGAAGGACGGCAGCGCGTGAGCGACGGTGTGGCGTTTGCGGCAACACTGGCTATAATACGCAAACTTGTACAATAGAGATAAAAATCTTTGAAGAAGAGAAATCCGATTGATTGAATTAAATGGAATGCGTTATGGTGAAGTTAGAGTGTTCATGACGAGTACCAACTCGCTTGTAATGCCAACTCGCTTGTCAGCTACGTTATACACTATATATAAATATTATATTTATATTATATTAAATAATAAATAATGCTATTATACCTTATTTTTCTATATATTTAAAAATATATATAAAATTAAAACATTGAAATATAATTACTAAAACTGGCTTTAAACCGTGTTTTAAGTAAAATAAAGAAATTTTATTAATGTGATAGATCAGCCATCTATCAGGTGACTTAGTGGGATAGACGCGTTGCTCCACTACACAGATTGATAGATAATTGTGGGCTGAGACTTGGGATCTATTACTCCACCAGAATTGGCTGGTGTTGCAGATCCTTCTTTCCTTCCTCACCAATGTATCGTTGTACAATTGAAGAAATTGATAGGCATTCTGGTCCTTGTTTCCAAGCTGCCCCATAACAATTAAACTGTATAATACTATACACTATACTATATAGTATTAAAATCCTATACAATACGATACGATACGATACGATACGATACGATACGATACGATACTAAGTACGAATACGAATCGTATTTTTTGAGACCCTGCCGTTGATGAACAAAATGGCAGCGAGCTTGCTGCGGCAGTGCAGTCAGCTTACACAGTCTAACAGTATGAGATGCCCACTGGTCCGCAGGGATCTCCAGGCAGAGAGGCATACTCAGCTGCAGATCGACCATTTGGCTCTCTCTGCCTTGCTTCCAGGTCTCTGTCTGGCAGTGTGGTAGTGTGGTGCACATGTACTTCTGCTATCAGACAAAGACGTGTCGCGTCTAGTTGGCGAGTGCTGGTATCGAAACAGTGGCAGTAGCATCGACACAGACATATTGTACTTTATGTACACGTATGGACTATGGATGTAACCGAGGCTGTTTTCGACGTTCGTCTCATCTCCATCTGACGATCTCGTCTTGTCCTCCCCCACCTCTGCGCGGCTTCGCGATCAACACGTGGCACCATGGTAGTCATGTCGATCCCCAGCCAGCTCCTACTGTACGTAGGTACGCACAGTACGGCGAACATAAAAGCGCCGCCTACGGTACCTACACAGTCCTGTGATGGTGACGACTGCAGTGTGGCGGGTGAACACCGAAGATGAAGAACTGAACACATGACCATTCGATGATTCGGCAGCTCTGAGCCAATCAAGCCTCACAGTCACAGCAGCAAGTCCTCAACCAACTCGCCTGCTGGCTGCTCACTGCTCAGTTGCCTCATCAGTACCTACTGTACCCTGTACACTGGCTGACCGGCAAGGTCCTGGTTGGTTGGACGGTCCATGGAGGATCCCGTCACACCTGCAGGCTCAGCACGTGACGCCGAGGGAAGCTGAGCAGCAAGGTAACTTATGGGATGCGTTACCTGTTGAATACACGGATGTTGATTGATGCTATTGATTGTTGTGCAGAGATTGATCATGTGTTTTCTTGGTGGGTCAGATGCCCTGTGCGTCTCTGCCCCACTGGAGATCTTCCGGTGTCTATCTCCGGCTCCCATTCAACAGGATGGATACACGTTTTCTTGAAGGCAGAAAGGATAGTGGTCTTCTTAAAAGCTTGCTGGCGAACCCTTTCAATACACGACAAGAACTCGATCTTCCGATGTGCGTAAGACCATCACGCACCATAATATCCAGGGCTTTAACATGGTAGTGCTTCAAAGGCTGGAAAACCACCACATCGAGCGGCTGTAGCAAATGCGTTATATTTGGAGGGAGACCAAAAGGGATAATGCCGTTGTCGTCACAGTATCTAATGAATTGTATTGTGTGGTGGCTCCCGTGATTGTTGATGATTAAGAGCCTTTTTACACCAACTTGAGAGGTCTTAAAGTGCTTGTTAAAGTGCTTAATCCACTCTAGGCTAATCTCGTCATTCAAATAACCACTATCCGCGGTTGTAATCGCCATCTTAGGGTCTAATTTGGGTACCTTGTACCATGGAGACATATGGAGGGTGCTAGAGAGGATAAAGAAGCCTGGAATAACCTTGCTGGCGGCAGAGATAGCTTCTATACCAGTAACGGACTCCCTATTCTCTGGTATTCCAAAATAATGGGCTCTTTTTCGCTTAGTGACGGCCATCTGGTCCTTTCTAACCCTTAATTGAAAGCCACTCTCGTCCATGTTCAACAAGTCATCAGGGAGGATGCCCTCTTCCCTGATAACCCTCCCCAGCTTTTGAAAGTACTCTTCAGTACGTTTTGAGTCTTTAGCAGCTTGTCGATCTTGTGAAAAGACCTTCTAAGACTGCTTGAAGTATCTGTGGCGCTTGATGAAGTGGGAGGCCCAATTCTTGCCAACTATGGGTAGTTCCGTGACCGCGGCACTCACCGACTCTTTGAGCAGCAAGTTGGCAGCCTCTGTGATGAATTCTGGCCTCACAGAGAGATTAATGGCATCTAAGCGGTTGATATAAGTACAGACGGCCTTTTCTTGTATCGTATTCAGCTTGGTGGGTGGTTTTCGTGGGATGCCATGCAGGCAGTTGCGGAAGCGCTCCCTTGGAACCCCGAATTGGCAGCAGATACCGCGTTTGGGGGCATCCGGATGCTCGTCGGCATATTCTACGGCTTCGTCAATAGGGGATTCCATCACGAAAAAGTCGTCTGTCCAAAAAGACAATGACTTTGATGTGGTTTTGGCTGGAGGGTGGTTACTTTGTAATACTGGTGTGTTATTGTGGTTGGTGTGCTACTGTGGTGAGCACCACTTTACGTGGTGAGCCCTGGCGAGGTGGAAAGTGGTGCGGGGCACGGGTACGCCATGACGGAATGCTTCTGCCACATCTTATCAGGGGCTGAGAGGGGGAAGGGGCTTGGGGGTGACTGCGATGAGGCGGCAGTGAACACCACCTGCGCGCGATCCTGCCACCGCCCTGGCCGTGGCCGTGGCCGTGGTGTGTGGTGTGAGGGTTTCACCGCGTCTCGCAACTCGACCACGGTTTGGATCGGTATCGGCATCTGACGAGTTCGCCTGTTGGCCACACAGCGACCGGTCTGCCAGTGTTACTCCGCCAGCCATACAACTTGCAAGTTCCCAGCCCGAGCCGATGTCTGATCCGATCCCGACGAATGCTCGCAAGAGCCAGCACCTCCACGGTATGCAGTCTCAACCACGGCAGTAACTCGACATTGGTTATACCGAACTTCAGCCTCGTGAATGCACCCGGGCGGTTGTCGCCTAACTTCGTCGTCACGACTGCATTCCCGAGACCAGTGCATCCACTAATAACGATGTCACGGCTTTCATACCTGTGGAGAAATGTAAACTCGCAAGGTGCTCCCACTTGGTACGACACTGCCACGTCAAACAGCGATTCCAAGGCCTTCCTCCAAGGAAGCAACCGACATACCGGTTACTGGCTCAAGAGAGGTTGTGTCGCCTCTAGACATGCCGCCAGATTACCGAACGGCAGGCGTATCACAACCTCTACCGTCGACTACACACTGGACACTGGCGGCTGTACTGTCCGAAGACTTGCGTCGAGTTTCATGGAGCACACTAACGTCAACCGCTGACGGGCGCGCTACATCCAATCGTCAATCTTATTTCAAACGCCATGCAGCCAGTGGGAAGATCACAGTGTCTCGGCATCTACAAGTAAGGCTGAGAGATGTGGAAGGCGTCGTCAGATTACCCTCTGATGAGAACGTCAGCTAGCCCATCCCATGTACGGGGCCTCCTAACGCTGACTTTCCAGAGAATGACTTTAACCGCCGTCCTTGAGCCCTGAGGTATGTAAACCATTTCACTTCTCTCAATCCATGTCTACGAACATTGCCCCTAGGCAGACTTGGTCTAGTGTATCGCAACATATTCAACCCACTACGCGTGTATCTGCTTAGTGGTGACTCCGGCTTTTATGGGACTTCCTCTTGCTACTAGATCCCTTGGCCTTCTTCGACGAGTACTCGCCGCCCTGGTCGTATGCCGGCTTGCGAGATGGTCGGTAGCTCGGTGTCGACGACGACGACGCGGCCGGCTCTTCTTCCTCAACAACTGGAGCAAAGCTACCGCCAAATTCATTGGTGGTACCTCGTTTGTGTGCAGAGCTCCTCCCACTACTGTGACCCTTCCGGCTGGATTTCCCCTTGCGGATTTCCGAGAACGACAGCTCGGGGCTTGAACTCGTCGAGTTTGCTTGACAGGATTAGGGACCCAGCACACAACAAGGCTGAAACGTATCTTACAAGATCGAGTGCACTTGCTGCAGCAACCGTGCGAACAGGGCGCGTCCATGGCCTCGACCTGGCCTGTGTCTGTGTTGTACCCGTAACCGCGTGTTATCGTTGTGCACCAGCCTTGCGTGTTTGGGCCTTGGCCGCACACACAGCAGATCCAGCTGCCCTTCAACGGCTTGAAGTTGCAGCTCTGGAGTGGGCAGTCGACACTGGTGGGCTGCGGCGTCGAGTATATTGGATTGGAGCAAGGGGTCTCGTAGCCGGTGTCTAGATCGAATACGGCCTCTGGACAATAGAGCCACTTGACCGAGGTATGTCGACAAGGGTGGTAATGGGGATGTCCGTGGCACATGATGTAGTAGAAGGCTCACGCTGGGTGGAATCGAGCGCTGTGGATTCGTTCTCTGGCAGGTGATCGACGGGTAGACCTCTCATGCCCAAGTTCATGGACTTGGACCGTCTTATATGCCCTTCGGCCTCCGACATGACGCAGTCCCCCTCTTGAACCCACTCGGAAGGTGTTCCTCTGAGCCGTGTTCGACTTCGATACCCCTGTTTGGAAACTTGAGGACACGTCCAACCGGTGCACAGAAGCGAGACCTCATTACAGTGGTGTGCCAATGGGGGTTCTGTTCGAGCCGGGATGAACACGCCGGCTTGCACTGCGTTGAAGAACAGCCTCCCTCCCTGATCCCGGGGCGCTGGTAAAGATGCTGACATCAGTGACATGGAAGAATCATGTCTCGGGTGCTCGTGCAGGGCGTGCAACCTTCAGCAAGACCCTGGTCCAATCGTAGGATCCAGCTGCAAGATGGCTTCCATCGTGTTGCTTTTCCCTCGATCGAACAGCATGTCGTGTGTGCCACGGCGCATCCCCAGGACCAGGACATGGTAACACACAGATCTAGATCTTGCCGCGATCTACCTACTCCAGCAACCGGGGTGCCGGAAGATGATGTGATGACGCTGGGGCCGCCACGTAAAGCAAGACACCCAGTCTCATCATAAATAGAAATTAATTGGCCCTCCCTCCAGCTTTGCTTTTTGTCCCCCCATGAACTCTTGCCCCCTTCTCCCCCGTCTTCTCATCCTCCCTGTCATCATCACCCTGGTCATTGGTGACCCAGGCTCGATGACAGATGTTACATCTGGGCTGACCCATTCTCCAGCCTTCGGGAAGAACGCATCTCGTATCTTGATCGTGGCTTTCGCCCGTTCAAGCATCATGTTACACCATCAATCGCCAAGGCTTCACGCAAGCCCACTGCATGATAGTCTGGGACTGCGTTGCCTTGTGGTGTGTACCAGTGAGGGAAGGGCTTGGAAGACGGTGACGCTGGAGTCCGAAGAGGTGCAGTTCATGATTCATCTCCCATTGTGTTCTATTGCAGCCTACCTACCCTTCCTCCCATCTCTCGGGCGCCCTCCTGTCTCCGCAGCCTAATGCCGTCCCTCAGCCTCTTTGGCCGCGCCGCGGCCTGTCTTATATACGTAGTATCTCCCCAGCCATACTAACTGCGTCTGGCAGGTGCACCCAAAATGCTGTATTTGTATCCCGATACTATCTTCACCGTCGATCAATTCTCGGTTGCCGCCTCGCATGTCTCACAGCAGATGTGATCGCACCGGTACTCCTGCCTGTCTATGATCATTATACAGCTACAGCGACCTAGTGACATATCAGTTCACGGAGCACTTGGAATGAAGGGTTCCCTCCGGACCTCGATCGTTCCATTCCTTTCCGCAGAAACAACAATTCCAATACCCGCCTCGCTCCTCGAATGGACATCTCGCCAACGGGCAGCTGATTTGACTACCAAACTCCGGCGGTGGCGGCCATGGTACGGAGTTGCGAAGAACCTTTCTGCAGGACCTGCGTCCTCTGTGCGGCTGTCGAGATGGCGCAGGAGCGTCAGAGCAATAGAGCTGCAACTCTCAGTCAGTGATTCTTTCATTGGCCGGTCCCTGCCCGCTACATCATGGGACTGCTTACCGTCCGAGTGACGACGTGCTCGCACCTGAGGGTATAGGCCGTTTCAGTGCACATAGTCTTGGCCTTGTAGTCCTTCCGTAGAAAGGGAGTCCTTGTCGAGCGGTCGATTTGTCGGCGTGGTGGTAGCTCTTGGTCGATGCGGTGTTCGCGGTGTCAAGCGAGCGTGTCGGTAGGTAGAGGCACTGTGGTGGACTTCGGTGGACTGGGATCGCTTCTAGCACAGCATACACAGAGTACTTATCTTCTCGAGCGATGCCATGGATCTCACGTATCCTGTCGTCTCAGCATGTTCATCCGTCGAAGCTGTCATGTTCGTCATGAGCGCACAGCAACAGACAAGGTGCAGCTACACGATTATGATCTATTTCAAGACTACGGTGTCTATATATTGGACCCCGAAGCCACTTCTTTCAACATCTCGGGTAGAAGGTCGCCAGGCAGTGTCCTCCCGTACGAATATGAAGACATTGGCGTTTGCGGCTTCAAAGATGCAACCCGCACAACCCGCACAGCCCGCAGGACGAAATCTGAGGCTGTCAAGCACGCAGCCGTTCGTACATAAGGGAGCTTTCGGATCTCAAATCGCAATGCAAGATCGATCGGCCAGCCACAGTCGCACTGGAGTCATTCCGGAAGCCCGGAAAAGCAAAAAGTCCTTCAGCGCTCGAGGGTCTTGCCTCAGCTCTGGAAGCCGTCGCACAACGGCCACGTGGCAAGTCCGCCAAACCTCGTAAAGGAGCATGAGAGATCTCTAAACATTCAGCTGTGGCTATCGCTCATGTTCGGATTCATTCCCTGTCCAGGCCGGTATCTATCTATCGAACCTGGCTGCGAGACAGCCCCAGCCCAGCGTCGCCGTCTATTGTCAGACCAGCCGGATACGGTACGAGGCAATCTATGAGCAGTGCCGCCACTCGTCTACTCCCGAGACACATCATCCATCCCCCCCTACATGTCGGCTCGGCAGTTATGACAAACCACGTGGTAGCATAGGGTGTCCGGAATGCGCTTCATCGGGTGAACACACCACCGAAACGAATTGCCGCCTCGCTCACACTTGCAGCAGACCCATCTCCCGCCCAGGTCCTCCAGTCTGCAGCCCCCCGAGCTGCACTGCTGGGAGAGGAGGCATCCGCCCGTAGCGCAGGGGTTGTTGTAGTCAATGCCCTCGATTGGGTTGTACTCGGGGGCGTAAGTGAGATCATCACAGGGCAGCTGGACGAGCTGGTCGGTGCCCTCCATATTGCTGCCGTCCACCGGGCCCAAGGGGCTCGAGCCTGGGGCCTCCGTCGTCGAGTTCGGACAGAAGTAGTAATGCAAGGCGTATTCGACCTCCCGTGTGCACGGCGCCATGTGGTGGTAGTGGAGGTAATAGTACGTGCACATTGCTGCGCAGCGGACAGCATATACGGAGGCTTCCTAGAGTTGCTTCGTTGACCCGAGCCCAATGAAGACGGCTGGACGCGGTCGTGTCTGTCGATGGCGCACCAAGGGGGAAGATGGTGTCCCCAGAGGTGATAGCAGGAAGCTCGACTCGCAAGTGCTCTCGACCCAAATCTGCCACGCGCTGTTGTCAGTCACTCTAAAATTCCCCAGAGTGAAGAGAGCGAGACTGACCGATATACAGATAATGACGGGCGGAAAGACTGCAGACACGAGAGGATGATCTGGTAATCCTGTCCTGGTTCTGGGAGCTCAGCACGGCAGTCGTATTGCTGTGGTCCTCGAGGAGCTCAATGTCTATGGCATGATTACCAGTCCAACAAAGGCGCTGAGGCATCATCTTATATACTGGTGTATCGCGCTGGCTTCACATGCGATGTTCATCTATGTCGTGGCGATTCAGGTGAGCCCGACGGAGACTCGGGGCTGATTTGGTACCAGTTCTTGGAAGCACGAAAACCCCTCGGAGACTCATCTAGACAGAGAAGGATCAGAGGCTCCCAATGCTATGACGCTCTCACGATACACCTTCCCCTTAAACTTGTTGCGTTTTCAATAATCCATAGCCGCTGTCCAACCCACCGACCACACTTCTCTTCGCCTCCGGCCTCAGTGTGGTTTACACGTGGCGCCGTTGACCACATGGGTGGGTAAAGGCCTAAGACAACGGTGAGACATCGGAAGATTCTGGTCAACATCGCGCCCAACGCTCTTGAGGAATTTCATCCAGAGCCTGTTGCTTTGCGATGTCCTCGCGTTAATATTGAGAAACCAACGATTGTCAGCTTTTGGACGAGGCATTTTCGATATTCAGACGACATTCCTGAAATCATGGCTATGATAGAAAGGACCGAGTAGTGTAGTGGCGATCGTTGCGTCCTCGGTCGAATTCAGAGGAACGGGTAATTATAGTGTTACTGTGCTACGGTCTCGCCTCACTTACACGAGAAGCGGCGCGAAGGCAAGACTGGGCTTTGTGTTCACGTTTGAAATATGGCAGTCAGTGCTTCTATCCCTTCTACAGTCAGTCTATTGCACATCGACTTCATTTCCTTGGGGGTCCAGAGTACATATTCGACAGAGAAGACGTCGCTGCCATCAGCTAGGTAGATGAAAGATGTAATGACTCGGTATTGTCGTCAAAGTGGTGATTGTGAGCCGTGAAGTTCACGCGCCCCAACTTATAGCTAGCAATATATTCATGGGAATGTTTCACTATTGGTTGATAGTAAGAGGATATAGCTGAGCAGCGAGTATGACGTATATTTCGGTCACGCCGTTCCAATATACACGAAATCTCATGAGTTTGACAAGTGATGTGATACGAACAGATGCGTCGCCTTACGGTGGCCTGTCACATCTGGAGACATCTTCACGAGCAGGCGAATACGGCGCTAACCTTGTGCTGCCTGGCTTACGTGGAAAAGGGGCTGCAAACATGAAGACACAGTAGCAGCTCCACGAAATGACACGTGGGTCTTGTGATGTTGTGAGAAATACGAGTGGGAAAGGATCCACGGTAACCATGCTCTTTGAGCTGAGAAGAGGCAGGGCTCACTTCAGCTGTATACCCACGTTCTTGTCTGCTCCTATAACAGCATCACATTCGTCCGACGGCATTCCTTCTTGCATTGAATTTAAGGCTGACCGCATCGTCATATGCTCAAGTAGACCAAACTGCATGCAGGTACCGGGAGATGTCCATCCTCTCGTGCCTCGGATATATCCAGACGGGATGCAGTGTAACTGGTTCGTTGCGGAATGATTCTAGGTGCGCTACATACGCCAAATGTGAGTAGTTATACGACCGCCAACACGTGTCGAATATCAGGCGGTTTTCACGCCACAGACACCGAGCCTCAGAGTATCATGAATTCTACCACTGATATGACCTGCGATCACACAAGATACTCTGAGATCTCGTGACGGACGACTGGCTGGGCATCACACGATTTTTTTTGCCGCAATCTGAGCAGAGTGTCCAATCATTTATTCAGGGATGGCCTGTTAAAGGTTACCCTTGGTATGATACCTTCCAACGGGTATCCTCACGCAAGACCTATACACCTATACCACTGGCTGTATCTTGAGACTCAATGAAGACATGCTGAGGTTTGTGGCCCTTGGGCCTTGGAGAGACGGCGGTTATAAATTCTGACTGACCAGCTGCTTCCTATCGTGACTGGCAAAATATTTATCGTAGCACAAGTACGGCAGTCGGATCCCAGCCGAGAAAATATCAAGGTGTGTGAAACGGCAATAGAATGATCACGCGGCAAAGCCGTAACCCGGAGAGACTATTCGACGCATCCGGTCCGGCTTCAGGTTGACTGTCACAAGTACCGAACTGGGCAACAACCAGAGGCTTTCAGCTCGGCCGGACCATTGTTTTGTCGTGTACATAGCTGTGCCGTCGATCGCGGTAGGATTTCTACGCTTGCCTCGTACTCCAATAGAGCCATTTCAGTCATTTACGAGTCAACTACCTTTGGGTTGGGGTTCCTGAGGTGAGCCGAGCCCAACTGTGGTCTTCGTGTGAGAAATCATCACAACTCATTATATTTCATGCGATGGCGCAACACTGAGGCATGTACTCGCTTGTCCCTATTGATGTTGGGCTGTGTCAAGAGACGTCGAAGGCATCGGTGGCCTGATGCTGGATGGAAAACGACTCGCTTTCACATGCCTAAAAATATGCAAGAGCGTTCTATTTGTACCTGAAGAAATGTCTCGGTGCCCCTGACAGTCTGTCTCATCAGGCCCCGATAGGAGCCCGGCGGATGGTGTCACCGTAGCTACCTTACGTGATACCACCGAAACTGGGAACTGTCCCGAAGAGAGACTTCTCCAGTAAGATGAAAGCAGTAGCCCAAAAGAACATGTCGAAGAGGCTTGTAGCCATTGTACTGGTGACCTTTCGTACAGCACGGGGGCTCTGATTTTCATTGTATTTTTGGACATTTAGGTTTGGGGATTCCCTTGCGGTCAAAGAGCTTAATAAAACTGAAAAACTGTAGGGTTGTGTAAAAGAACGCGCTCAATGATGACCGAATGGATATGTTTTCAAGTGCCTGCGATCGTTATCCCCGAGTGAACAATGTTTGCGGCAAGCGGCAAAGACCACGAGTAGCTACATCCAAAGTTCTTGATGCTACGAAGCTGCCCAACCGGCGCAGAAGAAGTCCGGCGTCAGGACTACTTCGAACAGATTCAGCCCATGCAATCTTGAATTTAAATAGAAGAACAGGAGCGAGTGCGACTAGTACGCAGGGGAGGTATGTCAAGGAACTTAATAAAGGACGTGTGCAGTTGGATTTATCGGTACTAGTGTAAAGGAGTGTATGCTAACCAGCCTGGCGTCCCTTGGAAGAGCCTCTCCCGCCAGGTTGCTCCAACCTCACGCCCCTTAGTCGCTGTCAAATTCATCCGTGTTCTCGAGGATATCATACCACTTGGCCGTCGCGGGCAGTTGCTTCTTCTTGTTGTCTTTCATGGACTGCACCAGCCTATCAGGGTTCGCTTCCTTGGTCTCGTAGAAAGCGACCTTGAGATCTTCGTTTGATACGAATTTCACTTCCTTGAAATTACCTTCCAACTTCCTCATGACATATACTTCGCCCGTGCCTTCTTCGATCACCTTATGTCCGTCGCCGTGACGATTGTAGCCTATCAGCTGCCATGTGGCAAAGACGTCCGTTGCTGCCATGGCCAGCAGCGCAAGCTTGGTCAGACTCATGCGGGCGAGCATCTTGCTGTGCTTCCTCTATGTTAGCTACATCTAGTGAAGACATTCGTATAATTAGAAAGAAGGTCAAATGCTCACGTTTCTTTGAGTAGAGTCGAAAGAAGTACTAAAGTGGTGAAGTTTGGAAGGTCGTTGGAATAGTATTGAGCAAAGACTGTCGTGTGTCTTCTTGTGTGCTGATGTAGGTGCGTGTGTGTGTGTGTGTGTGTGTGGTTGTGGTTGGGAGAATTGGAATGAGATGGGAGACTCACAACCTTTTATATTCGACGGCCTCGCTATCTACTTTGTCCATGCGTGCTCGTTCCCAGCCAGGCCTGTATCCTATATCCTCATACGTCTATAATTGGAGTTTTTTGGCCGCAAATAGTAAACATGTAGTGGACTGGGTGTTCAGAAAAGGGGGGCTCTACCCACGGTAATCCCGAGGCCCCTTCTGGTCCATTATTAGACATACGGGCCACCAGGATGGCATGTAAGAGGGCGGGCGCCATGTGGATGGGAGGCTCGGTGGAGCTATTCCCTGCCAGAATATATATGAGTATACTACGGATGAAGGTTCCGCTTGTTAGTATCGACAGACGTATGGCCGATGGGGTCTGTTTCCATATAAATCTATAAGGGATTTACACGGCGAGGCCTCCTAGCCTAGCACGCGCCACTACCTACCATCCTGTTGACCTGTAGAATATTGACTAATTTAGAACATGACGAGTATTAGTGGCCCATCGCTTCTCCTCACGTTTACGTGTCTACTATAATAATAGATCAATGGTTATAGATCATCAAGAATAGGTCACAAAGTGGGCGGTGTGGAAACTGTTCGATCCTACGGCCTCGCCTCTTCCGAGCCCTGGCCTCTTATACCGGTGGGCCTGCGGGTTAAAGAAAGGACAACTCATTCGGGTAGCCTTGTATAGGATATATGGAACTTCCATACATACCTTTGTTCTGAGGGTTGCTGCGTACAAGTAGGTTCATATATTTTTACAATAATCAACCCTCGGACGAGCACACCCACCTCTGTACCTACCTTACCTAAAGTATGTATCTAAACCTGTACCCATTATTTATGTAAGAAACCAGCTGCTCGGTAACATCCGCTACGCGCATACCCATGACGTGGGGCGGAGCTGAGCACCCCGCCATGATGTTCCGTCGTGACGGGACGCCCCGCCATGGCAAAAGAATTGTCGAAGGCGAGACCACCATCATATCAGAACAGACAGGCAGCCTGTAGATATCCTTGATATCCCTGATGTCCCTCGTTTTAGCTTCGTGTTCGGTTTCGAAGCTATACTGATCCCCCAGGCAGCGACTCCTACGACCGAATTGGGACCAAAACCCTGTTCTCTCCCTGGACTGCAACGCCAAATCGCCACCATGGAGCATGACACCAAGACGCGTGAGCTACCTTACCTACCTCCCAGCTCCAGTCGAGCCTGTATTTACTATTTACTGACCGCCGCGTGTCGTTCCGTACATGTAGACCCGTACTTGACAAGTGACAAGACATCCTTTGCTTACATTTCGGCTCGGGACCGATGGCCCGTCATTGTTGTCAGTCAGATATGCCTCTCGTTCTCGCGCGCTCCTCTCCGTGAACCCTTGCTAACTTCGCGTCAGACTGGCGCCATTGACGATCTCTATCGCTCGACATCCCAGTGTGACGATGCCGCCAAGCAGGACGAAGGGAAAAAGATCGTGGAAGAGCTCGTGCACTTGAAATACGAACTCCAACATGACCGAAACCTCACGTCCGTATCTCCCGCGTACCTGGGTGTAATTCTGCCTGTTGACCCATACCAGACCTATACGAGACGACGGCGGCGCCGACGTAACCCTGTACAACCATGAACTAGAGAAGCTCGGGACACCGAGCTGGTTTAGCATCCCCTGGCTCTACTGCGAGTGCTATTTATATAGGTAGGTATCGCGGCGAGAAGACCCTACGAGCGAGGCAGGTCTTGTTGCTGACTGGCACACAGGCGGATCAGCACGTCATTCAACCTCTCTTCGTACTGGAAGAGCTACGATGTCTTCTCCCGGCAAAAAATCAACACCTTTCGATCGTCGAGGCCTGCCGTCTTGGAGCTTGCCGGGCGGTACAAGGACCTGGTCACGCAGATGCAGGCTGACAAGAACAAGACCGGTGCCGAACATGAGGAGACACAGAAGGTCCTGTTCTTCGAGATGTGCGAGATATGTCTCTGGGGGAACGCCACCGACTTGTCACTATTGACAAGCCTGACCTACGAAGACATTCAAAAGCTGCAGGGATCCGAGGCTAGGAAAGCCTCAGAGAAGAACATTCTGGTCAACGATCTCGGGGCTGCCTACGAGGTGTTGACCAAGGCTAAAAGCGAGGGTAAGGCGGAGCGCCGTGTTGACATCGTATTGGACAATGCGGGCTTTGAGCTATACGTTGATCTCATTCTTGCCGGGTACCTTCTATCGTCCGGCCTTGCGACACACGTTGTGCTGCATCCCAAGTCGATCCCGTGGTTCGTATCGGACGTCTTACCCGGGGACTTTGCTGCTCTACTGGGTGCTCTCGCCAGCCCGAAGACATTCTACGAAACACCATCGGAAGACGAAAAGTTGCAGGACAAATCGCCACCCCCCTTGGCCGACAAGGAAGCCTCGGAGCTTTCCTTCCTGTTCCAAGAATGGGCCACCATGCATGCCGAGGGGCAGCTCATCCTCAGACCAAACACCTTCTGGACGCACCCCGGTAGCTATTGGAGATTGCCAACGGAGGCAAAGGACTTGTATGAGGACCTCAAGACAAGCGAGTTGGTTGTGTTCAAAGGCGACTTGAACTACCGAAAGCTGACTGGCGATGTGAGTACCCCCTCCCACAAAAGCGCTGAAGAGGCGGACTGACAGAGCAGGCGGCATGGGACCCATCTACGTCGTTTGTCGAAGCCATCGGCCCTCTTGGACCTGGGTCCGGTGTCAACGTTCTTGCACTGCGCACGTGTAAGGCTGATGTCGCAGTTGGGCTCAAGCCTGGCGAAGACGAGGAACTGCGCGCAACAGAGGGCGGAGGTGGAGATAGCGGTGCCAGGAAATGGGCTTGGAGCGGCAAATGGGCCGTGGTCTCGTTCTCGGGTGGCAAGTAGAACGGTCAATTCAGCACTTTGTTTAAAGACTGCCCTCAAGACAATAGACAAGACTCTTCATAGAGTATTGATTGCGGATTCCCTACTTGGAATTTGGCCATGGCATGTCACCTCATGAGCCTAGACCAGCGAGTATCGAGAGAGGCGTCAATTGGGTGTCTACCCGAATCGTCATAGGCGCATCGATCAGAATGCCAAGTTGATCATGACGCCAGCCACAGCGGTGCACTGCGGTGGTACAACAATATATGCTTTAAGGAGCAGTGCTATTGCCGCGTGTCAATTCATCCCAGGGCTTATCCGCGCACACCAAAGAAGCCGCCGCGGTGCTTTGCATGGCAACATGGGTATCTATACCGTGGCACCAGTCCGTACCAAGCCAGACAGACGCCGACCCTGAATTGCAATCCCAACCTTTTCAAGCCCAGACCCCGAATGTGAGTACGCCCTTGGCATCCGATGTCCATCATGGCCCACACGACCTCGCCGGCAACCGGCAACCGGCAACCTAATCCTTGAACTCGGCCGCCTCGGTCTTGATGTCGAAGCCGACACCGTTGCGCTGAGGCTTCTCGATGATGACCTGCTTGCCGTTGGGCAGATTGAGGCGCGCGTCTCCGCGAACACTAACGGGCAGCACGTTGTACACCCAGCGACCGGCCAAGAAGGTGGTGAGAGCCCAGAGGAAGACCAGGCTGGCGATGCTGCTGGTGATGAACAGGGTCGGAATGAGAAAGAGGCTGGCGATGCCGATCCAGAACAGCGAGAAGGCGACAGCGGAAGCGAAGGCGACGGTGGCGGTCGAGAGGGCGAAGCCGACGAACAGGAGGAGCGGGAGGAAGGAGAAGAGGAGCTGGACGAGGAAGAAAGACTGTAGACGCGAGAGGGAGACGGGGTTAGTCAAGAAGACAACGACAATCGAGACAGTGCATGATGACCCACGAAAAGAAGGGGCCTGTCGGAGGCATAGGCTGAGGTTGAATTGTAGGCCTTCTGGCGGGTTGAAGGGCTCACAATGCGATCGACTTGGCGCTGACCGTAACCGAGGAGGTCTTGGGCTCTCGCTTGCGTTTGCGCCTTGGAAGACGGCTCGTTGACTGCCATGGTGCTGGATTGACGGACGTGGGCGGACTGAATTGGACGTGAATTTCACTTTCTGGACTGTCTGAATCGAGGTCGTAGGGTCGTGGATAGCGGCTCGAAGGCGCACAAAAGATATTGTTGTCACAGGCAGGACGAGTCCTAGGTAGTACACACGGCAATGATGACGACGTTAATTGATCATGGCAACCGAACCACCTGCAGTCAGCCAGTCGTCAAACTGGACTAGGGCAGCAGAATAGTGCACGTCGATCCTACGTTCAGCTGATATGCCGGTAAAGTAGGTACTGTACTATATCTTGAAATACATGTTGCGAAGAATGCAAGTAAGCCGCACGCCTGGAGACGAGCATGAGCGCAAGGGCGACCCCGACAAAAGTCGCGCTGGAACTTGGAACAATTCAGCTGCTTACAGAGGTTATGCAATTATGCCATCAACCCGGCTACCGCGGACTGGAGGTTAAACCACATTATGCAACAGCCACAGCCACTACAGGCGACCCCTTTTCGTAGGTAGGTACTTTCGTATAGACGCTGGGTGCCCTGGTAATCACAAGCCTGTTGCTAATGAATGGTACCCGAGACTACTTCTCCTTCTTTCACTTGTGCGGCCCATTCTATCACTTCCAGCAACGAATCAGCTGCGGGAAGTGTTGGAATATGTCGTGGTTCGTATCAGACCTTCCCTTGTGTGGAAAGGTCGGTTGACCTTGAAGAGTTTTGGGACAATCGGAGCGACTCGAGTCAAGTATGTCATTCGCGCAGCGTGAATTCCATGTTGTATTTGCAATATGAGGCTGGACGGCATAGTTACTACCTTGCGTGATCGCTCTTTTGTCACTGCCAATCACCGTCTGTGGCACTGTTCATGATAGCGATGCTGCTTCTCATGACACCCTGCCTGTTACGGACAAGCTTAGAAAAGGCCTTATTACGACCTGGGCGTGTATGTGCCATGACCTGAGCGAGTCCAAGCTGGGAGATGAGCGACTCAATCCTGGCTGACATAAGCTTTCCTACACGTATTGAGTGAGTTTTCTAGCTTAAATATAGGAAAGCCAGATCTACCCTTTCTAAGACGTATTGTGAAACGTAGGAAAGTCATTTCCACACTTTCTAAACGTATTGAGTGAGTTCTCTGGCTTGAAATATAGTAAAGCCTGTTGGTCTATGCTTTCTTACCTACTGTACTTAGCCCGGTGTATGCATTGGGCTGATTTTGTTGCCGGTCCAATGATTGAGAACAGTGAGCGATGTGTATCGTTCGGCAGCAGTCTCACTCTCTGTGGCGCTGTTTGCGGTGGCGTTGTCGCCAGCCAAGCCAGAAGCCCAGTAGGTATGCTTCACTACATTGGTTTCGGAGCCATGGGTAATGAACATAGCACAGAACAGGGACGGACAGTCGGGACAGTCAGAATGCTAATTGTGTATGGTGTATAATTGCCAATAATAACCTAGGCCGCTCTATCATGAACCCCTTGACGCCAAACCCCTCATGAAAGTCTGCGAAGAAATCGCTGTAGTCCATGGCTTCCAATTGAAGCGAATACGATAACCTTTCGAGTAATGCAACAACCAGCAGTCGTATCCCAACCCAGCCAACTCCATACATGCTATTGGTAGGACTGGAGCAGTCTGGACCAACTAGAAGAATCGGGTGGGGTGCCTGGGAAGAGTCCTGGGAAAAGCAATCACGCGGATGGATTTACTTCCGGACGGTGGCCTAGAAAGGATGTTAGGGCTCCCCAAGCAATCTGGCGGTGATGTCACCCATATATGCTTGTTCCAGTTCAACATCCTGGCCATCATATGTTTCGATTCCAACGTATTGGAAAGCCTCCACAACGCGGTCGATATCAAAGCCCATGTTGACAAATCTGTTAATAAGCTCCTTGTTGTACCCTTGATACCTGCACGATCCTTTGTTAGTGATGTCCAGTAGCTCGCAGTACGCACAGGGAGTTGGTACCGGCTGTCATCCACTTGCAGGGGCGCGTTGGCGGATCGCGCCTGGACAGATTGGAACTTTGGGTTTTTCGGGGCACCGGCGTAGGCGACGGCCCATTCGTGTGCCTTCTTGTTGAAGCCTTCGGGGTCGTTGATCATCATCTTGGCGACCTCGGCATCTTGGGGATCTTTGGGCTCGGGGCTTTCGAAGAGGGACTGGAGGGAGAGAAGAGTGGACTTGATGGTCAGAACGGGAGACCAGGCGGTGCTGAGAGTGTCGAGGCAGATGGCGCCCTGCGTTACCGGTGTCAGATTAGCAGAGCTCGACCAAGCAGAACTTGGACGGTTGTCGTAACACTCACGGTCTGACTGCTGATGTTGGGGTGCCAAACTTTGGTGTCGAACTTCATTATGGGCGGGCGGAAGGGGTATTCGCCCGGGATCTTGACGTCGACGATGAAGTGGCCGCCCTCATAGGGGGTACTGGGCGGACCAGGTATGCAGGCCTTCAGATGGGTCAGGTCACCAGTGCTGTTAGCAGGCTCGGCGGTGACCTTGGACGTGGTGTCGGCCTTCATGTCGTTCAGCTCCTTGGCTACCCGACGGACTCTGCTGGATGCCATAACGCCTGTTTGCTCGACTCGGTCTCCTCCAGATCGGTGTTCGGCTCAGGGCAGGGAGCGCAGCCGTAGATGTAGGTGGCTTGGAAGTAGCGAGACGACGAGGGCAGAAGCAGCGAAAGCACTGGGAGGAGTGCTATGTATTTAACTGGCGATTGCGCGGCGACGGATGGATACCTTAGAGAGCGCGAGACTGAAGCTGCTCCCCCTGTTTTTAAAGTCAGAGGGGCCTGGGCGAGATAGGCGAGGTTGGAACTGAAAAACTTGGGAGGTATGTTGGATGAGGCTCAAAGAGCAAAGACTTCGGTTGACCTGTCATCGATCAACACGGCTGGAGGCTGGAGCTCTCTTGGAAGTTGCTCTCCTCTGACGTGACCCCTCAGCCCCTCAGCCCTTCGGCCCCTCAAATCGTCAGACACCCGGACCCGTGGACGTATCGACCCCTCCTCTTTCTAGTAAGTACATAAGTGTTTCTGGTATGCACTAATAGCATCGAACCTCTGTATGAGGTATTGAGGGCTAAGTAGGTAGAAAGCGTAGATCTGCTGGGTTCCATTTTGTTGAGCCTGGGTTTTGCAGTGTTTCCCTTCTCTGTCGCTCAATACGTCTTAGAAAGGGAATATATGGCTTTCCTGCTGTATTGCACGTCTTACAATCTTAGAAAGGGTAGATCTGATCATCTAGATCAACACTGGGCAGCTGGGCAGGCTTCCCCAGAATGTGGCGCACGGCCCACTACCTACCGTCAAACTCAAACCTTCGATTCAATATTTAGTCAATATTTAGTCACATTGGAATCAACCCCACTTTGATATCCAGTTTACAACAGTCAACAACCATCTTGAGGACTCAGGCTGTCAGGATTCTCCGACCTATGCTACGGCTGCCTCTCTGCCTCTTTGCGGGCTATCTACAAGCTGCTACATACCGAGGCCCATCACTATCTCGCTTATTGTCCAACTTTCAGCTCATCATTTGCCGTCACCAACCATGGCGACTACGACGATAACTGCCACCGTCCGGAAGAAGGACGCCAATCTTCCACCCGAGAACGAACGGTTCCTACGATGCTGCGCCGACATTGCGAGTGCTCTGATCGAGGACCACGAAGCTGCCAAAGACCCCAAGAAACCCAGCCGGGATATCAATCTGAACACCCTGCGCTCCAAGCTGTCCAGGAAGCACAAGCTCGCCAACATCCCGCCGCTTACGGCCATCATTGCTGCTGTCCCCGAACATTACAAGAAATACATAATGCCGAAGCTGGTCGCAAAGCCTATCCGTGCGCCGCGCCGTCCCAGTCATTGACATGTGCACCCTGATGGATGCTGACGAGTCGACTAGGGACTTCTTCTGGAATCGCCGTCGTTGCCGTCATGTGCAAACCCCATCGATGCCCTCACATTGCCTACACCGGCAACATCTGCGTTTACTGTCCTGGCGGTCCCGATTCCGACTTTGAATACAGCACGCAGTCCTACACGGGGTACGAGCCGACATCCATGCGCGCCATTCGTGCCCGATACGACCCGTTCGAGCAGGCTCGGGGTCGCGTGGACCAGCTGAAGTCTCTTGGTCACTCTGTCGATAAAGTCGAGTATATCATCATGGGAGGGACCTTCATGTCTCTGCCCGTGCCCTATCGGGAGGATTTCATCTCCCAGCTACACAATGCCTTGAGCGGCTACCAGACCACCAACGTGGACGAGGCCGTCGAAGCCGGGGAAATGAGCAATGTCAAGTGCGTGGGCATCACCATCGAGACGAGACCCGACTACTGTCTGCAACCGCATCTCACTGATATGCTCCGCTATGGATGTACGCGGTTGGAGGTTGGAGTACAGTCTCTGTATGAAGATGTCGCCCGGGATACGAACCGAGGACACACTGTCGCATCCGTTGCTGAGACATTCTGCCTCGCCAAGGATGCTGGATTCAAGGTCGTGTCCCACATGATGCCCGACTTGCCCAACGTGGGAATGGAGCGAGACCTCGATCAGTTCAGAGAGTATTTCGAAAGCCCGGCGTTCCGGACTGACGGACTCAAGATCTATCCCACTTTGGTCATCCGTGGCACCGGCCTCTACGAGTTGTGGCGAACAGGCCGTTATCAGAACTACACGCCCAATGCCTTGATTGACATTGTTGCCCGGATACTCGCCCTGGTACCTCCCTGGACCCGAATTTACCGTGTCCAGAGAGATATTCCCATGCCCCTGGTCACTTCGGGTGTCGAGAATGGTAACCTCCGGGAGCTGGCTCTTGCGCGCATGAAGGATTTTGGCACCAGTTGCCGTGATGTCAGAACGCGCGAAGTCGGTATCAACGAGGTCAAGCACAAGATACGACCAAATCAAATAGAGCTAGTCCGTCGTGATTACACTGCCAACGGCGGTTGGGAGACGTTCCTGGCCTACGAAGATCCCAAGCAGGACATTCTGGTCGCCCTTCTCCGGCTGAGAAAGTGTACCGAGAAGTATACTTATCGTGAGGAACTTACCGGGCAGCAGACGAGTCTGGTCCGAGAACTCCATGTGTACGGAACAGCCGTGCCCGTCCACGCGAGAGATCCCAAGAAATTCCAGCATCAAGGTTTCGGGACACTCTTGATGGAGGAGGCCGAACGTATTGCTCGAGAGGAGCATGGAAGCGACAAGATCAGTGTTATCAGTGGTGTCGGTGTCAGAAGCTACTACAAGAAGCTCGGCTACTGGTTGGATGGCCCATATATGAGCAAGTGGCTTGATGGGCGCAAGCACGAGTCATGACGACTGGTCCAGGCTTCCATGAGAGGAGAACCCCGGCGACAGTGACCATTCAGCCGTCCAAGGGGCTCCCGCATACTGCCCAGACATGTACGACAACGGCACCGATGCCTCACTGCAATACAGCAGATAGGGTGCCTCAGCGATGGCCTTCCTGGCAAAATGAAGGCCTGTGCGAGACCCGCTGATCCAGCTCGGGACAAAGTGAGAATAGCCAAAGCGCCCCTCAAAGCGCATGCCCGGATTGTCATTCCGCTTAGAAGCGAGTGTTCTTGTTACGGCACCTTTCTGTCTCTGCTCACAGATGATATGGGGCACAATTACTATGCGGACGTAGAATGACCACGCCCCGTTGAGCTTGGTAGTTCTGTTGTCCTGAAAAAGGCAATCAGGGCTATAGCACGGCCTCTATCCAACTACCTTCGATCACACGAGGCGACTCCAATACTGTGCAGTACGTGGGCTAGTCTTACATGAGATCCGGCATTGATACGGGGACAACTGGACATCACATGCAGTACTCAGCCATGCCGAGGCAAGTTTTCAGCTCTTCACCGAGGTTTTGCCATGGCGATTCTTCAAATCTGGCTGGTGTAGAGCTTCAGTTTGTCTAGCAAACTTTGAGGTATGTAAGTATGTAAGTTTATCAAACGACAAAGTTACCGAACGAGCGACATGAAGTCTCAAACAAGCTGCTTCTGGATGATTCCGGGATTAGAACTACCGGGTTATGTATGGTAACCAAGCTCCTCTCGTCAGATCAATTCGTTGGTAGGTCTATCATCTCAAAAAGCCTAGTCAACGAATAGTCAGTGCCCTACCTATCTGCTCATATGTTCAGACGATGGACGTCCATTTGCCTCTGGCCCTGCTATAGGTTGAAATCCTGCTCGACCTCAACATGCTTAACGTGTTCAACAGTCGCCTCAACATTTTCCGTCATCAAATCCTTCACGCCTTTCAGGAGCGCCACGGCGATAATGGCCAGCACTATGAAAGGGATCACGCTCGACCATGCCAATCGATAGGCGTACGTGTACTCCCACCTACTGGCTTCAATCGCCGCTGACCAGATGGTTGCGTTCGCACCCTTCACCCCTGACCCGGGGTTTCCGGCGTCCAATGCTTCCAGCAAGGATGGCACACTCTCTTCCGGCAGTCCCGCGTCGACAGCCGCTCCTCCGACGGACGAAGCATAATGACTGCCCAATCGACCGTTAACGATGGCATTTAATACGGCCGACCCGAAAGCGCCGCCGACTGCGCGTGCAGAAAAGGCTAGTCCCGTCGCAGTCGAGAGAAAGGCGTGGGGAGCGGTGAATTGTATGCAAGCTACGAGTAATGTCAGAGGACCCGACTGGCCGATGCCTGCGAGCACGCCGAGCGCGATCTGAGCGGAGTTCCAAGTTGGCTTGATCGTTGCGTAGCAGATGGCTCTACACGGGCCGTTGTCAGTCGAGTCGTCTCAACCGAGATGAGTGTATAGTCAGAACTCACACGACGAGGAATATCGTGATTGTGACAAGCAATGGCGACTGCAAGTCCTTGGACCGAGTCGCGTACCAGGTGATCGGGATGGACGCGAACAGCACGGTAAGCTGGTAGCTGAGCTGGCGAACGGAGATGTGCCATGCGTCAGACTCAAACCCCAGCTGCAGCACGATCTGCGGTACGACGGAGTTGACAGCACTGTAGAAGATCCATCCTTCGACCGCGAAAGCAAAGATGGAGTACACAAAGTTGGCGTTCTTGCGGAAGAAGACGTGGGCAACTAAGCCGTCTGACCTCCCCTTCCACTCTATGGTATGTCTGTCAGTATGTGTGGATAGTCGTGACTCCCAAGTAGATTTGCCCACCGTAAAACCCAAAGCCAACCAGCAACGCCAGCCCCAAGCTCAACGGTACGGCAACATGGGGGCTCGACCACCCGTAAGCTCCGCCAGCCCAGTCGAGCCCAAGGAGCATCAGCGTGGCACTGCTGACGAACATGAGGGAGCCTATGGGATCGCAAGCCCACATGTACTCCTTCAGTGACATCTTTGGGTACTCGATGTTCTTTGGTGGCCAGTAGAAACAGAAGAGCCCAACAGCCGTGATGCCATGGAAGGCGGCTTGGATCCAAAAGATGTAGCGCCAGCCTCCGACATTGACGTTGGTCACGGCTCCGGCTCCTAGAGATCCAATCCTGAATCCTAGTCAGTAATTTCTTCATATGAGCCATCGTGATCTTCACGTACAAACCACCAACGCCGCCGCCGATGAAAGCAAAGCCATTGGCAAGTGCCCGAAACTTGAGGGGCAGGATCTCAGACGGGATCGCCTGCACGATCGAAATAGTCGACAAAGTGGTGCCGATGAGGATGCCGCCGCCGATCAGCATGCTCATAGAGTTTGCGGTAGCAGAAACGACCGCACCTGCGAAGGCTATCAGAGGCGGGATGGTAGCGAGATACTTCCGATCCAAGACATCCGACAGGCGACCCACGATGGGGGAAAGCACGCTTTGCATGAGTAGAGGGCCCTTTGATTTTTGTCAAATCTGTACAAGGTGAGTCATGAGCTTAAGGGGCGTGCCTGTATGATCCAGCCAGCTATTGAGGCGTCACCCAGATCCCGGATGATGAACGCGACGACGGACCCGGCTGCGACGACGACATAGACTTGGGCCATGATACTGATGTTCGGCTGTTGTCAACATGACTGATACTATGGCTGCTTGGATCTGTCTGTACTTACGCGAAGCAGGTGATGAATACGACGAGCTACCGTACTGTTGTCAGTTCTAAGTGATAGTGGAAGCTCATGTGGGAGGATCGTACCCATGACCGCCAGCTGAGATGGACGCGGTAAGCATCCCGGATTGCTTCCTGCTCGATAGGCAGGGCCTCAGACTCGTGGTGTTCCGCAGCTCCTGTCTGCTCTGGTACGCGAGAAGCACCTCGCTTTTCTGTCCCAGTCGACATGGCTCTAGACAAGTGACAAGACCAGCAATCTGATCATGAACGAGCAAGGGGATATCCAAAGATCTATAAATTGAGACGGTAAAGAACCGAGTGAAGATTCACCGTTCTCCTCCTCGTACAAGACATGAAAGATAAGCTGACGGCGAGGCGCTCCGGTCCAGCTGATCCGCTTCGAGAGGCCATGCCGCAGCCAAGTCTCCTCCCACTTACATCAGCAAAGGAACAAAGCAACTAGCATAGTCTGCTCCCGTGATTCCCCAGACTGTCCATCATCAGCAGAGGGCCGATGTCACACGACAGTGCGGGGGTACAGAGCACGGCAGTTCATGTCGTGAGCCCGTAGTCGAGGACCCTATGCGGGGAGAGGGAGATCGACACAGGGTTCTCCTCGCGCTGTCCAGTCGATTGCTCACATGAGCAGTGGGACTGAAGACTGAAGACTGCTTGCCCTGTAGATAATCGCAAGGGAACTTTGCTCGCGGAGTGGAGGGACGCACATCTACACTGCTGGCAAGAAGCGGACCTTGATTCCAAAAATCAGACAGTCCTCGATGAGCACGGAACTACAACATCCCAAGACAACCGCCCTCTGAGGATGCCGCGGATACTGGTAGCATGAGGTAGATTGCCTTCACGAAGGAATATGATAAAAATCAGGGGTGTGTCTGCACCCACAGCATCTCGGAGCTCTCACCGACAGCTACCACAAGTATCAAGAGACGGTCAAGGCGGCAGTTTTGGCTATTTCATACCAAGCTCAAGCACCTGGTTCCCACCCAAGGCTGGGATATCCAGAGCTTGAGCTGATTAAAGATAGTGTCCGACTCGAAGTCGAAGCGTTCGCCGACTCCTTATCCACGAACCAACCCGCTGGGCCGTGTCGTGGCACACTGATATGTCTTGCGGCGCCTACCAGGATCTGGGGCGGTAGTGTTCTGGCGCAGAGAACGTCCTGTATGAGTCCGGTTGTACGGTCACAGTGCTGACGGTGGTTCCGCGGCCCGGATTGCTTGAGCTGCGCCGCAGTGTGATGAGCGAATCCGCCGAGTCTCGTCAGGGGCCGCCCTCTTCGGCTTGGAAGTCCCACGAGGCGATATGACCGCACTGACAGCATATGAAATAGGCAGAATAAACCTAGGGATATGATATGTACAGCTTTGTTGACCATCCAATTTGCTGCCTCGAAGAGCACGAGCGCGTGGAGCGGCTTCGGCCAAATGGTTGCGGCAAGTGGTCATACCAACGTCACCGCTTCATTGGCTGGTTGTATTTCACCAAACCCGACGACCAGCGGATGTCAAGTGTAGCTCGTTCAATATGATTATCTCCTCGCAGCCCTCGGCTCTTCTTACACTACACTACATGTAGCTTGGTGAACTCCCCTCATGGGCAGTGGCGCATGACTAGTGGAAGCCCTGCAGATGATAGGTAACGTCTATTTATACAGAACTTCAGTCGCTCACAACAAGTCCCGCTTGACAAAGGCCTCCCGCATGGCACGTCCCAGACCGGCAGGCGACCGCTCAACCACGACACCGGCAGCCTCCAGGGCCTTGATCTTGGAGTTGGCATCACCCTTTCCGCCGGCCACGATAGCACCGGCGTGACCCATTCTCCGTCCTGGGGGCGCGCTGATACCGGCAATGAAGCTGACCACGGGCTTGCCACCGTTGACGGTGTTGTTTGCCTTGAGGAAATCCGCAGCATCCTCCTCGGCCGATCCACCGATCTCACCAATCATGATGATACCGTCGGTCTCTTCATCCTTGAGGAATACGTTGAGGCAGTCGATGAAGTTGGTTCCGCTAAAGGGGTCACCACCAATACCAACGACCAGAGATTGACCGAGACCAGTTTGAGTCGTTTGATTGACAGCTTCGTAGGTCAGGGTACCGGAACGAGAGACGATACCGATACGGCCACGCTTGTGGATGAAGCCAGGCATGATACCAATCTTGCATAGACCAGGGGCGATGATACCGGGGCAGTTGGGGCCTACGAGACGGGTCTTGGACTGGGTCTTGAGCATGTCGGTAATGCGGACCATATCTGGGGATCCGTCAGAGGGGATATCTCCCTGGGGACTCGTCGCAGGAACATACCATGTTGCGGGATACCCTCGGTGATGCAGACGACGAGCGGGATCTCGGCATTGATAGCTTCTTCGATACCGGCGGCAGCCAACGGGGGCCTGCGAGAATGTACTCCATTAGCACTTGCGCCCCAAGTCTGATGTTCCGATATCTGCGCATGGGCAGTCTTTCTACTTACGGCACGAAGATGGCAGTAGCAGTTGCGCCAGTCTCCTTCACGGCATCACCGACGTTGCCAAAGACAGGTAGACCGAGATGCTCCTGACCGGCCTTCTTGGGGTTTGTGCCTCCCACAACCATGGTACCTATAGCAAACGTTCACGTCAGACACAGTGCCTGTAGGTTGGTCGTTCGCAAAGCTCTTCGGAGAGCAAGGGAGTGTTGTATTTACCGTACTCGATCGCTTGTTGGGCGTGGAAACTGTATCAAGGTCCAGAAGTCAGCTTGAGTACTAGATAGCTTGGAATAGACGCAAGCGTTGCCAACGGAAGGGATAAACACTCACGTTCCCTGCTTTCCAGTGAAGCCCTGGTAGATGACCTTGGTGTCCCCGTTAATGCGCAGGTTCTCGATCGTCTTGGAGTAGGGCGATGTCGAGGAGCTGTAGGTTCGTCGGGAGATCTGGCGCAGAGCAGCGGCGCTCGGCCGTAGTTGTCTGATGGCCTGCATGGTGAATCTGGCCAATTAAGGAACGACGTCCAAGTCGACGAGGTGCGTGGTCGGGAGCAGCGAAGAGGGTTTGGAGGAGGAAGGGCGTAGGTAGAGCGATTTGATGCTTTATCCAATGTTGTCTTCGGAAACACTGCTGGAGATTGACGGCCGGTATCAAAGGTCAATTGTCAATTGCGCCGTTGCAGACCCGACAAGCGCGCATTGACAAGAAAACTGAAGCTCCCGTCCTGCCGTCTCCGTTCCCCTGTCCCGTTTCTTAACGTTTTGCGGCATAATCTGCCGGAATAACCCGGCTCGGATACCCAGAGAATCCACCAGCTGGTCAGAAATAGCGCCAGACCGTCAGCAGCTGCATGTCCATAGCGGGTCTGTACCTTACCTTCCATCAGCACGCGTCTTCCTCTGGCGCCTGGCAGCCTGGATTACTGCAGCTTTGACAGCTCTCCTCCCGTCTCCGAATCTCCAAGCCTTGCCTCGTCAACATCCACCTCTCACCATTAAACAGCCATCATCCATCTCGACCAGTGCCATCGGCAACCATTTCTTTGTTGGGAGACCCGTTTGAGCACACCGAGCTCCGAATCAGTACCCTCTGAAAGACAAGCAACGTTCCAGTACACTTGCGACCCGGCTCGCACCGTCGTTCGTCAAGATGGTGAGCTTCATCAACCCAACCAGCCTAGCTCTTGCATCACTACTGATGCATCATATGTAGGGTCAAAACCAGTCTGGACTGGGCGGCCCCGGCCAGGACGGCAAGGACGAGAAGGACAAGAAGGTATATTGGTTCATCCATTAGATAGACAGCCTTGTCGCCGTCATCCGCTACCTCGAGCATCGAATCGTCTCTGACCCATTTCCCATCAAACAGAAGGAGAAGCCCAAGTACGAACCTCCGCCCCGACCCACCACCCGCATCGGTCGCAAGAAGAGAAAGGCCGCCGGTACCTCGGCTGCCGCCAAGCTGCCTGCCATCTACCCGACCAGTCGATGCAAGCTCCGTCTGCTGCGCATGCAGCGCATCCACGACCATCTGCTCCTCGAGGAGGAATACGTCGAGAACCAGGAGCGCCTGAGAAAGGCAAAGGCTGCCAAGGATAACGCTGGTGCGGCGCCCGACCCTGAAGCTGGCGACCGTAATGCCGACGAGCGTGGCCGAGTCGACGACATGCGTGGCAGCCCCATGGGAGTCGGCACGCTGGAGGAGATGATTGACGACGACCATGCTATCGTTTCCAGTACTACGGGCCCCGAATACTACGTCAGCATCATGAGTTTCGTCGACAAGGACCTGCTGGAGCCGGGCGCATCCGTGCTGCTGCACCATAAGAGCGTCTCTATTGTGGGCGTGCTTACGGACGACACGGATCCCGCCGTCAACGTCATGAAGCTGGACAAGGCGCCGACCGAGTCGTACGCTGATATTGGTGGTCTGGAGCAACAAATCCAGGAAGTCCGGGAGTCTGTGGAGCTGCCCCTGCTGCACCCTGAGCTCTACGAGGAGATGGGTATCAAGCCACCCAAGGGTGTCATTCTCTATGGTGCTCCAGGTACCGGCAAAACGCTACTGGCTAAGGCCGTCGCCAATCAGACTTCGGCTACCTTTTTGCGCATCGTCGGAAGTGAGCTGATTCAGAAGTATCTGGGTGATGGACCTCGCCTCGTTCGCCAGCTCTTCCAAGTAAGTTGCTCACTCGTCATCCAATTCTTTTCGCGTACTCACACATCCAGGCTGCGGCCGAGAACGCCCCCTCGATCGTTTTCATCGACGAGATCGACGCGATCGGTACCAAGCGATACGACTCTACATCGGGTGGTGAGCGGGAAGTGCAGCGAACCATGTTGGAACTGCTCAACCAGCTTGACGGATTCGATGACCGAGGCGATGTCAAGGTGATCATGGCGACCAACAAGATCGAGACGCTTGATCCTGCTCTGATCCGACCTGGGCGAATCGACCGAAAGATCCTGTTCGAGAACCCCGACCAGAACACCAAGCGCAAGATCTTCAACCTACACACGAGCAAGATGAGCCTCAACGAAGACGTCGAGCTCGACGAGTTCATCAGCCAGAAGGACGACCTCTCGGGAGCGGACATCAAGGCCATCTGCTCGGAAGCGGGTCTGATGGCGCTGCGTGAGCGTCGTATGCGGGTGCAGATGGCAGATTTCCGGGCGGCCAGGGAGAGAGTTCTCCGCACGAAGCAGGAGGGCGAGCCAGAGGGTCTGTACTTGTAGTGTATCAACTGTAATTCTAGGGCGTACAGGATGGCCAGTTAATCTCTAACCCGTGCAATGCACGCCGTAGTGGTCAGATAGGAAGCAATGGATGTGTCGCAAAGCTCTATGGAGCTTCTGCCTCCTTTCTTCCGATTATCCCTCGAGTTCTCGTTTCTAGCAAAGCAGGCGAGTATTTCTCGGTCCCTTGCAAACGTTGAAGCGAGACTGAGCGCCAGTGACCCGTATAGCTACCGGTGGGTACTTGCGCAGGTAGACAAGAACCAGCCACTGTCCTCATGCAGCGATACAACTCGTCGGGATGCCATTCGGGTACTATTTCAGTCCATGGTGCTTGGGAATACCGGTAAGCGCTGCGCCCAGGCGATTACTCAGGTTCTCCGGTCAAGTGTTTGCTGAGGTCCCATGTCGTTTCCGCCCCGTCTCAGCTTGGCAATTGTGGCGATGACATCCGTCGTCATCGCACCATCCACCTGTGAAGGCCATAATGCAGGTGCCCAATATGTTTGGGTGCGACCTCGTGGTGTGACTGGATCAAGTTTCTGAGCCACTTCAACGCGTATGAGCAGTGGCAGACCTGGATGGTATATACCTTACAAACAGGTCAGGTAACTCCATGTTCGTCCATCAGCCTACGATTAACACCAACCAACCCCACCTTGCTTTGCCGTATTATTGTAACCACCTCTTCTCCGTCCGCCAACTGAACGAACAACATTCATCGCAAACCCATCCTCCAACACGTCCATAGCTACTTACCTACACGTAGATCCAGCTATTGTCTATTAGGCAGCAGACCATGAGCGCACATCCACACCACGGGCCTGTCCAAGGCGACAACCCCAACTACTATGACGAAGGGCCCGCCGAGCTGTCTGCTGGCGATGTAAATGCACCCCCGCCGCATCCCCTCCAGTCGCATCCCGTTGGTGTTTCTAGCCACCATGACCAGTCCCAGCAGCAGTACTTCCCTCCTCCTCCGCCGGGCCCTCCACCGACAAACCAACACAACAACCAGTACCCTCCGCCCCAAGAACTTGAACAGCACCCCGGTGGTCAGGAGGAGCAGTATTATCCGCCTCCACCTCCCGGTCCGCCGCCGATTCAGATACATCCGCCGTCTGTATCTTCCCACAGGCACTCAACCTCCCCTCCGCCGGCATACACGATTGAAGCTGACCAAGGAGCCGAGTTCGTGCCGGACCAGAAGCCGCCCGTCCAGGAACCCGCTCAACAATATACCTCTCATCAGCAGCACGTCCCACCGCCGGTCCAGGGTGCCGCTCAACACCATACCCAGCAGCATGCCCAACCGCCCGCCCTGCCACCACGACCCAGCTCTTCCCAAGGACCTCAATACCCACCTCCACCGACTTCACCATCCCATGCCGCAGCCGGAGTCGCAGCCGCAACCGCAGCCGCAACCGCAGCCGCCGCTGGCCCATCCAGTGAGCACCACCATCAGCCCGGGACGGGAGCAACGGCGGATTCCTCGACTGGAAAACAGAGTTTCAGCCACAAGTTCTACCAATGGGGCCAGAAGGTCGGGCTGCCGATCAACAAGCTGACGAACAAGCTCGGCTCCGAGGCCTTCTGGCCGTCGAGCATGGACAACGAGTGTGACAAGGCAGCACGCATCCTGAAGAGCTTCTGCAGTACGTATCGTCCACTTCACCTGTCGAGCGTCGCAGGAAGCAAGGCAAGCTAACGCACCGAGCAGAAGACGGCTTCTACAAGACCCAGTCGAACCACCCTCCGCCCTCGCCTGGCCACCCCACGTCTCCGGGACCGTCCACCGAGTCCAAGGTGCTCGTCAAGATCCCCAAGGCCGCCATAACCAACGCCAAGGGACTGGCCATTTTCACGACATTCCGCGCCGGCCTGCACATCTCGGGCGCCGGCGGTTCGGGCATCGTGCTGGCGCGTCTGCCCGACGGCAGCTGGTCGCCGCCCTCGGGCTTTCTGGTGCACACGCTCGGTGCGGGTATCATGGCGGGCCTCGACATCTACGACTGCGTATGTGTACTCAACACGCCGTCAGCCGTCGACGCCTTCACCAAGCCGCGACTCTCGCTCGGCGGCGAGATCGCTGTCGTGGCGGGCCCCATCGGCGCCGGCGCCAGCGTGGAAGCAGCGCTCGCCAAGGGCCAGATGAAGCCCATCTGGAATTACATGAAGTCGCGCGGGCTGTACGCGGGCATGCAGGCCGACGGAACCATCATCGTACAGCGGCCGGGAGCAAACGCAGCCTTCTACGGCGAGGACAAGATCGATGTCCAGCGGATCTTGAAGGGCCAGGTCAAGCCGGCTACGCACCAGGGCCCAAAAGTGGGGGTTGGTGGAACCAAGGACGGGATTGTCATGTGGCCCGAGGGTGGGAGACGCCTCATGGAGGTGCTGAAGGATGCGGAGGGCAAGGGCGCCGATGCGGGTGTTTTGCGCGAGGTCGGCGACCATCCTACGCCTGGTGATCTGGCGCCGGCGCAGCCGACGAACGCAGGCGAGGGGACGCAGGGGTTGGATCCGAAGGGATCGTTTCGTTACGGTTAGATTTCGGGCAAGGAGTGTGGCGTTTTGATACAAGCCTGGTGTTGACTGATGACGGGATGGATTCGTAGAGATACCTTGCCTAATGCCAAGTACATGATTCATGATTAGCTGAAAGTGTAGTGGTAGTGAGTGGCCTTTGGCGCCTGGCTATGTCTGGAAAACGACGATGACTGAAACAAGATGATTTGAGGACAGCCTCGAAGATGCCAGCGGAATTTATCTCATCTGCCAGTTGAGTAATCTACACACTCCTTGCTTGAAAGACGGGCTCGGAAGGGGTGCAACAATGCTGGTACGCCTATGCAGCGGGGCTTAGAAACCAGAGCTCAGAAATCAGAGCCTACTCATGTGGAAATGATCACTGGCCGATACTTTGGGCTCCATAAACATAAGCAGATCTTTTTCCATCTTGCGTCTGTAGAATGCTGTGCCGAAGTCTTAGAGTGATAGTGGATGGGAGAGTAGTTGGAAGTACGATAGGTGTGAGATTGAGAACGTTTTGTATTGGAAGGTAAGAATGATAGCTGATAGAGGTACCATCTTACTTAAATAGGTGGGAAACGTACCTCTCTGGTGGCATCGGTTTTAGGTTCGTATGTGTATACTTACGACTCGGAGAAAGCTTATAGTTCGCTCTCTTGTGCTAGGGGACCTAAGTGCATTTCCAAAGCAGTTTTGTCGAAACTTAAAACTCAACAGAGCCTCAATATCTATCTCCAGTTGCTAAAGTATAGTACTTAGAAGACTAGTTGGAATTTGGGCGGCACCGGTTTCAGGTTTACATGTGTATAATCACGCCACGAAAAAGCTGACAGTTCGCTTCCTCAAGCTAGTAGACTTGAGTGCATAATGATTCTAGAGCAGTTCTTTCGAAGCTCAGCAATGCGCGCAGCCGTAATATCTAACGGATATATCCATTAGAAGACTTGGATGGCCGTTTATCAAGGTGTCACTGATCACATGTTTAGACGCAAGAAAGGCTTTCTCGGAGAAAGGTGCAAAAGATCTTGCAACTTATTTAGTTCTGCTGCTATATAGCTTGAATTAGCTCAGGGCGCAACTAGCTCGACTATTGTATACTATTGTGCCAAACTCTAAGTCTTTATACTTTGGCACACAATCTGATTTCGTGATATCCAGTGAAGTATTGCAGATGTTGGGCAGGGTTTTTTGAAAGCTCTGGGTGAGCTGGTTTGATGAGCTGGTGTGGATTTCCCGGTTGTTAATTGGTGCCACATAATTCCAGCTGCAAGATCCAAACTTCCTCTCCCTATTTCTACCGTGTAGCAAAACGAAGATAACAAACCAAACCGCGTCTCCTGGACCACATGTCGACACGGGTAACATCCTAGAAACGTTCCGCCAAAGGTACTTACCCAGGGAAGACATACATACAGCAAGATGTCGATGCGGCCCTAACCTTGGCGCCCCTATGGAGCGGCGGAAACAAATCTAACCAAGGCACCGTAAATAACACTATCCAAGGAGACAACTATACGATTCATAATATTATGAGCTATTATTAAAAGCTGGGATCAGCAGACAAAGCCACTGAGCTTCGCCTGGCTCGCCACACATCTAGAAGTGCTGAGAGGAAGCTTAGAGGCTTCAAGAGGTGGAATGGAGATGCAGGGCGAGCTGAAGGCTTCTTGCGAAGCCACTGGTTTTGGACGCATCTCCAAGGACTAAACGTCGTGCCTTGGTAGTCGTTGCTTCGATCTGTCGTTACCTCGACCGTCGTTATCTTAGTAATACAAAAAGAATCATTTTCCATCTCATTTGACCAGCAAGCGTAACATTGAAAATCCCGCACAGAGACACATTAAGAAGCGTGACCCGTCGTTATCTTAAGTCATCCAAAGTCATGCGCAAGCCGCCACTATGCAATAATGCTTGGCCACTTCTTGTCACCATCATCCCCAGCTAGGTCCAGTTCTGCCCAGGGTGCCACGGCCTCCATCAGCTTCGCATGCGTTTCCCGACCCCCACTCGCCGTCATGAAGTCCTCATACACATCTGCCCCAAGCCGGCCCAAGAACAGCAAAAACGCAGCCCACACGAAATCGGCATAGCTGACCGTCTTGCCCCTGAAGAACGGACCCTCGCCATTATCCTTCAGCCACCCGGTGACTTCCTGCAGGAGCGGCGTGGCTGCCTTCCACGCCCCCTCGCCGCCATGCTCCCTGGCTAGCTGCGCCAGGGGCATGCCGAGGAACTTCTCGCGGGTCTCATTCCAGTAGGGGATGCTCCGCTCGGTGAGCAGACGCTGCGGGATGAGGGGAGTGTAGACGCCGCGGAGGGCTGCCATGATCCGGGGCATCATGTCCTTCAGTTTGCCATGGTAAGCGGAGTCCATGTGCAGAGACGGCTCGGGGTGCCGGCGCTCGAGTTCCTCAGCGATCTTGACGGAGTCCATGATCCACTTGCCGTTGGGCATGCAGACTGTGGGGATGGAGTAGAAGGGCGTGGTCGTGGGGAAGCTGGCAGTTAGGGAGGTAAGCTTAAGCACGAACGGACGTCATGTCGGAGCCGAGCCGGCGGTCTCCGGTGAGTCAACGATGTTGTAATTGATGCCCATAAACAATGAACAGGACAGAACTGTATACGTACTGCTCCAGAAGTCTTGGCTTGATATCTGGGTACTCGACCTTGGGCATCAATGTCAGCAATTGATATAGTTTCTGTCGTCATACAATACACACCCATTCAGTCTCATAGGGGACCCCTTTGTAATTGAGTGCGAGACGCGCTGTGAAGTGACCACGTCAGTCATCAATCATTGCACGATCACCCAGCGCGGCGTGGCGCGCAGGCGTACTCTTCCATGGGTTTGAGTTCCATGTCCAACATGTCCCTTTGCTGGGCAAGTCGAACAGAGTGATCTCTGAAGCCGACATGCTGAGCTTTGGCAAAACAGCAATCGAGTTGAGCCGAGCGGTTTATGTGCAAAGTGTTGCCGAACGAGGCAGATGGTGCTTGGACGAGGAGAGCAATTGAATTGACAGACAATGTGCCGATCTGAGAGAAACGAAAGGGGGTCGTATAGGCTCTTACATGTAGTAGCAAAGAAGCCCCTCACATTCTTACCTGATATGTCGGGAAGAGACACGACTGCAAGCTACCCGCGCGCTTGGTAATCGGCAAGTCGGTGCTTCGGGACCCGTGGTACGGACGGCACGGCACGGACGGCACAGTGTATTGCCCCTGAGCCTCACCAGTTCCATCACGTAGAGACTTCAGCAAATGCATTTACCCTTGGCTTTTTGCGTACATGTGTGCGCCATCAAGTGTAGCAATAGGCTTGAAGGGAGCCCGAAAAGACCGAGAGGTCCAGGAGCCAGGCAGAGACGGGAAAATGTAGAGAGCACAGCGTCCCCAGTCAAATCACCAGCTTCACTTTACAGACATCATACAAGTCGTAAGGGGATATAGATTCCAATTCCACCATGCCGCAACGAGGGCCAACACCGCCGTGAAGACCAAGAGCGTAATCGACGAACCCAAACCACTGACCCGGTCGGCGCTGCTAGGCGTCTCCGTAGCAGCCGGCGAACCATCCGTCGGCGTCGCGCGTCGCCGTAGCATTATCTCCGCTGTCGCTTATCTAGCCATCAATAATGGTAATGTGGCTGTCGACTTTCAAGTTAACAGGGCTAACTTTTTCGATGTAGTTGACGAAGACTTCATCTATCGTGTCGAGGATGACCATGTTATCTCTGGCCACAAAGATGTTGTCGCCACCGCCGCTTAAGAAATCGATAGTGACGACGGTATACACCTTCTCCATGTCGACTTCCGAGCCACCAACGGTCAGACGTACCAGTCGCTCGCCGACCTCGTTGTTAGGGTTGTACTCGACTTTGATGCCCGTGCTGACCTGGAAGAAGCTGGTGATGGGGTCGTTGTTGAAGTGGTTGACCTCGCTTACGAGACCTTCGAAGATCTTTCAAAGCTCCACGCCCGCGTAGGTGACCTCGACGACCGCGTGGCCGAAAGGGAACGAATTCAGAACTTTGCCACGAGTGATCAGACCCTCATCAGTTGTAGCACGGATGCATCCAGCATTGGGGATAGCAAACGCAGCATTGTTATCGGTATCGGCACGGTACTGAAGCATGGCGTTTGATACCGGATTAGCAAGAGAGCACCACCTCGACGGGAGCCGGGGACTTGTACTAACTCAGACATGAAGTCACCAAGCGTGCGTTCCTGGCAGCTCTCTTGATCTAGTACGATCTTTGTTTCCGAAGACGGCCGCGAATTCCTCGAAAAGAATCCTACGCTCCCCAACCTGAGCTTCCAGACCCTCGTCCTGCTCAGTGGTGTTGGTAATGTGAATAGGTGCACAGCGGTAGGCGAGGATCTTGCCCGCAGAGTCGTAGGTAACGTCAATATACCCGAGGTGCTCCGCCCAACGGTAGGCGGTCACGACGAACACCTCGTCGCCGTCCGTGTTCATCTCGATGGTCGGATACGGGCCTCGAGCGTCTTCCATGTCGCCGAGGAGGGTGTGAGAGTGGCCTCCCATGATGAGTTGCAGACCGGACGTCTCCTGGGCAAGTCGCATGTCCTGCTCGTAGCCAATGTGAGTATGGCAGCAATGCGAGTGATGTTGGTGGTGCTGCGGAACTCATCGGTCGAAGCCTGCACCGCTGCGATGGCGTCGGTGAATGTGGTGCCCTCGCCAGGGTTGCTGATGCTGGGGATCGTCTCCGTAGTCACACCTATGACGGCCAGTTCATAGTCCTCAAATATGTGGTAGGGCTTGATGGTAGAGTTCAACTTTTCGTTGTCCGAGACGATGTTCGGACCCACGATCGGGAAGGTCAGATTCTTGAGGAAATCGCCAAGCTCTTCGTGACCGCCATCGAACTCGTGGTTTCCGATGGTCATGGCATCGAAACCCATCTGGTTCAGGGTCTCGGCCATCTTCTCTCCCTTGTAGAAAGTGTAGAAGAGCGTCCATTAAACTCGTTACCGACATTCAACCAGAGGCTGCCCGGGTGATCGAGCCTCGACTCGTCAATTACAGTCTTGATGCGTGCTTAGCCTCCATAGCAGCCATTCACTGGCTCGGTGCAGTCGGTTCCGGATGAAGAGAATCTGTCCAGGTGAGCGCGGACGTCGTTGACATGATAGAATGATATGTCGTAATTGCCTGCGTCGTCTATGAACCGCTTCGAAGAACGCCTGCTGGACAACGACACCTCGGCCGAAGCCATCCCGGCGAGAGCTGCGGCGACGAGAGAGAACGGGCAAGACCCCGCGAACCATGATTTAGCCGCCGTCGCTTTCCGAATGTAATATGTTGGCCGAGTGCACATGCAGCGAGAAGCTTTCGGTTCTCACCACAAGATGATACAGTTGGCTCGGTCAGTGCGGAGAGCTGACAGCAAACTTCAATCCTCCTCGTGAAGGTCCGAAGTTCTGAAGGGCCCACGGCGAACTGCGCCCAGGCTTGATCAGGGCTTCCCATTGTTCATCGATGAGCAGATTGCCAGCCATCCATTTACCCAATGAGCCAAATGGGGCTCTTGGACTCAGCCTTGGCGACGAGCTGGTTGATCTCTCAGTTCCCTCGATTTTCCAGTCCCGCGAGTGTCATTGGCACGTGGGCGCACATCAACGGTAACACCTACATGCAGAAGCAGAATCCCCAGATGCTGGATTAACGCCTTGACGCATAACGGGGTCGAGCCTCCGGTCCTGCACAACCTCACCAGTATCAACGGCGTTGTCAGACACCAGTCATGAAACACAGAGATTAGCCGGGCACTGGCGAAGCCTCTGAGTTATACAGCCGCAAAGCTGGAAAGAAGCTCGCAAAAAGGGGTCTCAGAAAACAGGTGTGCTCGGTCCTTGGAATTGCTCATGTTGGAGTTTGGGTCTGATAGAAACGTTCCGCCTACCTTTAGTGCATGGCTTTGGTACAGTCCTTCTTAGGCAGGGATAGAAGAACGTATGCCCTCTTAACGTTCTGTTTCAAAAGCTATGGTGGAAGCCGTGATGACGCGGCGCATATCGAGGAAACTCAACCCGTTTAACATAGGAATTCACCGAGGGCTGCAACAAAGCTCTACCATCATGTCATTAACTAAGGAGCGTTCAGCACAATGATTGCTGACTTGGGAACTGGCATCGTCGACGGTGCCTGGCACGACTGGACTTCCAAGACTGCTGAAGCATACAAAACCATAGGTAAAGTGTTGAATCATGCGACTATATGACGTGAGAGCATGTGGTAGCGGTGTCCTACCGTGGTGATGAAAACTCCCAGGCCTCGACAGTGTATCGCGGTGGTAGAACCGAGCCCCGAAAGTCCCATAAGGTCCGAGGTGGAAGGAAACCAAGCTGGATTTGATGGTTGAATCGTGATATCGACTGGTACACGGTTGTGCAAGCTGCAGTCTACCTCACTGCACCGCTGTCATCGTTCGTGGGCAGATGGCCTGGCCGATGGATGCCGAATCATAGACTCGCTGACAAACCACACCGTTCCAACATCAACGCGTGAGCCTGGATACCCAACGCGCTGTCCAGTCGTTAGATCCAGACGCGCTCAAAGTAGGATCGTACAGTCTCGAGTCGCGTATGACGGGTGAGACGCATTTTGTCTGTGCAGGAATGCTGAGCTTGAGGTTTATGACGTCGTTGTCACTGGAAGAAGCCGTGGGATATCGAGGGCGCACAGGCTGCGATCCGATGAATGAAGATGTGTGATCGACGATAGACGAAGACATCTTGAGGCTGAAACTGTTTGGGGGGGGCCATGTTCCCATGAGATCTCTCTCTCCTCTTCTCGGCTCTGGCGTTACGCGGGGGGCTTAGACTTCCAAGACGTTTGATAGGACTCAACGACACGTCCACAAGCTCTCACACTGTCAGACCGAAGCAGTCCAAGCCCGTGACGCCCAGAAGACGCAGGTAAGCGAATCCTGCCGCATCCAGTGTCACCCAAGTCCATTGGACACGACTGGCGCGGTAGCCGCGTGAGTGAGTCTATGGTCTATGGAGCGTGCTCGCAAGACGGGCCTCGATGGCCTCGATTGACTCGCCGACAGCGTGCAGGAGGATGTCCATTGCGTCTCGCCCGAAGTATCGTCGACCGCTCTCGCCGTCGCTCGCGATCCCGGCTCAACGGATCTATTCGCCATGCAGCCAGGCTAATCTGGATTTAGCAGGTCACACAGGAACGGATCTTCTTCTGTGGCTTTCCGGGTTGCAGATCGTGGGGAGAATCGCAGTCTAAGACAAGAGAATCCAATGGACCAATGTTTCTCTTGCTCTTCAGTAGGCAGAGAACACGCCATGTAGCTTGGTAGCACGTTAGAACTCATGGATACCTACCTAGGTACGCAATGCAGAGATGAGGAGCTGACGAGAGGGCGAAGGTATTCCTTCAGAGGCGAATGCCGCGTTGGATATCGAGACAACTCATCAGGCACCAGCAAGATACAATCTGGAGTTTGGGAACCTGACTTCAAGTTGGACAGGTGAGCGGATGTTCAGACGGGAGGAAACAGCCCCCGCCTTGGCACTGCTGCCGCCTGTAGACATGCGCTAAAGAGGCCAGCGTTACAGGCTGCTGGGTGCGGGTGCATCAAGCGCATGTAGCGCTGCCCCTGGCCCCCTGCAGGCGACTTGCCCTCCCTGGCGTGCCCCATTCAGCGCTCGGTAGGCCAACGGCGTCCACTGAATCTGGCTTGGCCGGCATCCAGTGGGACGGACTGGACGGCGCTAGCGAAGTTCTGGAACGTCGACGATGGTTGTGGATGGCCAAAGTGGACAACAAAGGCGAGCGCCATTCGAAACAAACGAACGAGGCGCAGTCTGGCAGTCTGGTCTTCCGTAGCTACCTAACAAGTGTGATCTTTACGAGAGACAATTCGGCTTATTGGACACGGCTGGCTGTCTGACATGACCTGTTACTCGTGTGTTCGATGCCAATCTCATCATGCCATTGATGGCCGTTGCGAGATTGGATTGTCTTTGTCTTCAAAGTTGGTGGCCGGTCCAACGTCCCACCTCCAACCTCCAACTTGTCATGGGGTTCTATCGGGGCTGGTGCATCCCCATCCGAGTGATGCAACCCTCCCTATCTTTCCTGATTGCCCTGCATATGACTGCAGGAGGATTCCAGGGTCCTGCAGATAACGTGGTGTACCTACATGCACCATCCCCGCGAATGATATAATCTACGGTATCTCACATCGGTATCTTTGGCCTCACTGACAGTCAAAGAGAAGAGCGACGGGCGGCTAACAACTCGGAATAGACCACCAACATATGTACCGTACATAGTATGACATGGGCGGCGTTTCCTAATATAGACTACCCACATCCTAGGGACAGGTCTAAAGTGAGCGTTACGAGTACTAACTTTGACTCGCGTCGATGGATACATCCGATCCCATCAAGTTTGGATACGAGGCTTCCCTCGTGACTTTATTTGACAAGTGTTATGAACATTGAATGATGAAAGAGTGTTCTTTCCCAGGCATGCCAGGTTCTTTCCTTTTCAAAGTCGATCCCAAGAAGGCAGTGATCGATGCGTGTGATTCCCTTTGACATCATCGCTCGCCCAAAATAATAACGTATTAATGAACCACCTGCACCATCTCCATCCCACTCCTGCCACTCTTCCATCAACCACTCTTCCACCTGGATCAATCCACATCGCTTTGGTCACTCTCGTTGCCACTCTCCCACAACCAGGGGTCCTCTGCATGATAGACACCCCGGACATCCAGAGACACCCCAGGCAACCAACCGCCTCGGTCACCAAGGTCACCCAGATCATCCCGCTCTTTGCTACTTCGGGACACAATCACTCGCTCTTCCCGCCTCCTCTCCCTGATATTGACACAACAATAAAACAAAGGGAACGCTCGCTTCGACAAAAGGTCTCTCTCTCTTCTCTCGCGCCCGTCCACTTCCTCGCAGAACAAGAAAACATTTGAGAACTCCAATCCCAAGCTCCCCAACGTCTTCACCTAGCGTACCTTGTCACAGCACCCAACTTTGATCTCCACCCACCACGCAACAAGCTCTCGATTAGAATCCGAGACCTTCTCCCCTAGCTGCGACCGACCAACCAACCTCCACCACCGCTACGAATATAGTAGGATACCGCGTGCCTCCTACTGTTACAGGAAACACTAGCCTTGCTAGTGAATCAAGCGATCGACAGCACAGCCCAGTGCCCACCGTGACAGCGAAGCTCTGGAACATTGCAGCATAGCTCCCCACCCTGGCCCCGGATACACCTCTAAAACATCTGGCACACCTCGACCTCCCCTTCCCCTTCCCCTTATCAACTGCATTCTCTCCCAGTTCAATCGACATTGAACTAATACGACAGTCAGCGCAAACATGGTTTTCACAAAGAAGCTTGACCGTGCCTTTCAATGGGCCGGCGAGAAGATGGGCCAGGAGGCCAAGACAAGCAACACGGACGAGTTCAAGATGTTGGAGACTGAAATGGCTCTACGACATGACGGTACGCCTATTCCCTATTCCCTTTCCCCAAGAGTGACACTCCTGGCTAATCAGGTCGAACCTACAGGCATGGACCGTTTACAAAAGTCAGGCAACGCCTACGTCAAGTCGCTTTCCCGTCGAGGCGAGACCTTCGAAGACAAGGAGAAGGGATTGCCTGTCAGCTACCTCGGTCGAACAATGATAAGCCACGGCGAGGACTTTGACCCGGATTCCGAGTTCGGAAACTGCTTGATTGGTATGTTTGCTATCCCCTCGACGTATGCCGCAATGAGGTCGAAACTGACCGAGAACGTCTACGTGTAGCCATGGGCAGAGGCAATGAACGCATCGCTGGCATACAGGAGAGCTACACGGCCCATGCAACATCATACTGGCTTGAAGGCTTGGAACGGTCGCTAGCCATGATGAAGGAGTACCAGGTTCGTATTCCGCTTCCCCTGACCTTGTTGGTCGCTTTCCAAAGGCTAACGCTCGTCATTTTCAGGCTGCCCGCAAGAAGCTCGAGCAGCGACGTCTGACGTACGATTCGAGCACAACCAAGATGCAGAAAGCCAAGCGAGAGGACTTCAGACTCGAAGACGAACTTCGAGCTTCCAAGGCCAAGTACGAGGAGTCACAGGAGGATGTCTACCGCCGAATGCAAGACATCAAGGAGACGGAAGCCGACTCGGTGCAAGACCTTACCAACTTCCTCGACTGCGAGCTGGACTATTACGAGCGCTGTGCCGAGGAGCTTCGACGTGTCAAGCAGGACTGGGTGGCTGGTCAGTCACAGACACAGGGTGGCCTCCGACCCGACTATGGCCAACCGCGACGGGGTACGAATCGCAGTAGAAGCAACACGGCGAACACGGCCCATTCGTACTCGGAACGCAATGACCGCACCGAACGGTGGGCGACTCGACAGGACGTGTACGAAGAGGAGCCGACCCCCGAGCCCGTGAGAATGCCCATTAGGTCTGGTCGCTACCCCGGAAGCGGATCCGTATCGCCTGAAGCGCCTCGCCCCGAAGCACCTCGCCCGAATGTCAACCGTGCCTCTACGTATGGCGGGTCTTTCGAGGGCCCTGCGTCACGTCAACCTACCTACCGCGAAGCTCCACCACCTCCTATGCCCGAACTGCGTAAGACGACCACAGCCCCCAGCAACGTCCCCACCAACGTCGGAAGTCTTCGTAACAACCTTCGACCTGTCGGCCGGATCCAGACCAATCAGAACTTGAGGCCTGACTGCTTCGCCGATGACTATGACACTACCACCAGCAGCGGAAGCCCCGAGTACGATCGCAGTGAAAGCCCAGCGACCAGCTACGGCAGTCTGAGCCGAACGGCGAGTAACATTGGTCTCGGTGCCACGGGCAGCGGGAAGAAGGCTCCCCCACCACCGCCACCAAGCCGAGCCAAGAAGCCTGCGCCCCCGATTCCAGCCAAGCGGGAAATGGCATATTAAACCTAACAAACGATATGGTGCTGCATTTCTGGCTTGTTCCGGAGCTGCAGTGTATCCATCTATAGGCGGCGAACGGAGCTGTCACGGGGTGTCTGCGTCCCCAACACAAATATCGACAGAGGCAGTCGTGAGGTCATACAGTTTCCGTATAAACTGAAAGGCCTCGCAGCGGAATGGTGGTTGAGCAAAGCCGTTGGTCTGTGTATCATTGCTGTTCTTGTTTTGGAGTGTATTATTTTTGATGACTGGAACTGTTCTGTCTGAAAGGAACAAATGGGAATTGCTCGCATGGTGTTTGGCGCTCATTTTTAGAACACGGTGTTGGTAAAGTGCGCCTACCTACCTAGGTAGTTACGAACTGGCGGGCTGGCTCCTCGTCCTACTTACTCATCGATTGACCTAATGGCCTTATATTCTCAATATGCTGCAAGGTTGTGCCCCAAACCTCGTGACGTGCCTCGTCGCCTCTAGTTGATGGTGAGTGTCAAGTTCTCATCCATCTTAGTACATGCTTCGAGTCCTCACGCCTGCTCTGAAACTCGTAAGAACTCGGTTGGCATCCTCTTCGTCAAGTCGTATCATTCGGTTGTAAGTTTGTCGGCTGTCTTGCACTTGCAATTCTCTTGTGCGGATCAAGCGCGCCTCGAGAACCCCTTCAGGTCGGACAGACTCCTATCAGTCTTGATGGCATAAACCTTTTGAACGCTCGCGAGAGTCCTACTGAATTATCATGCCAGACACGCGCCGACTGAGTAGCCGTGACAACAGCAGCGATATCGATGTGACTGTCTTGTCGTCTCGAGCGCCTTTCCAGCAATACGAGATTCGGACTGCTCTGAGCGAGTTGGACGAGTCAAGTGAGTTGCCAACGCAGACCCATCTCTCACCAGCTGGGCGAACAAAATCCGTCGAGATTGCTCCCTCTGAATACACCGCATTGCCATTGTTACAAGCAGAAGTGCACCGAGAAGGTTCAAGGAACGACACGCAAACTGTTGGCTGAGAGAATGCGACCCCCTCTCCGCCGGAAAACGTCGGCATCGTGAGCGTCAGTCATGCGGAGACCGGCCATGGCCGTGCGGCAGTACAACCTTCAAGTTTGGGGGTATCAAGCACCTACCTATCGCCAACAAAATAGCTCCAATATGACCCCTTGCGAGTGTAGACGATTATGCTACAGGAGCCAGAAAGAGAGAGTCTAGAATCTCTGTCGCCGCACTGCGAAATGCTTCACATGAGACGGGAAGGTCAGGCCAGTTCTCCGGCGGCGCTAGCCGACGACGCCCTGAATCTGGCGTGCATGTCCGATCTGGCGATGTGACGGCGCTGCATGACCTCCAAAGTGTGCATGTGCGAACGAAATATCATACATAAGAGCCTCGATTGACCATGAGCTCGATCTCATTCGACTTCAGTGATTAGCTTTCAAGTGCAATCTCATTAATTTTGATAGACCTTCTTTGTAAGCCTCATCATCAACTCGTCAGATCTGTCCGTGTCTGCGAGCTTTTCTCCTCTCAACCCTCTACTCAGTAATCTCAGCACCGAAGCACACAGCATCTCAGCATCGCACGTCAGATACACCCAGAGGCAGCCATGACGACCCCTCTGACGGAAGAGTCGTCGATGGACCTCCCCGTCATCGACCTCAACGTCTTCCTCAACCAGCCCCGCGACTCAGAAGCCACGCGAGCCGAGTGCGCCAAGGCCGCCCGCGCCCTCATAACCTACGGCGCGCTTGTTCTGCACGACAGCCGCGTCGCCGAGTCGGACAACGTGGCCTTCCTGGACCTGTTGGAGGACTACTTCGCGCAGCCGACCACCACTCTTCAAAAGGACGAGCGGCCCGAGCTGGGCTACCAGATCGGCGTCACGCTCGAGAACACCGAGAAGCCCAAGTGCGCCGTCGACGAGCCGTGTCTGGACGTCATCCAGCGCCTGGCCCCCAGCGAGCGGCCCCTGGACATCACGGCGCACTCGCCCGATCCCAAGTGTCGCTTCTTCTGGCGCATGAACGACCCCGCGCCCTACGAGACCAAGTTCCCGGGGCTCAACGCGCCGAATATCATCCCCGAGGCCGATGGCATCCGGGAGCGCTGGACTCCGGTCATGGAGAAGTGGGGGAGCAGTATGAAGAGCGCGTGAGTGCCAGCTCTCTCTACGAACGGAGTGAGCAACGCGTTTGAGCCGGAAGTGGCTAACAATGTCTGGTTCAGTGTGTCTGGACTTGCAGAGATGGCCGCCGTAGGCATGGGTCTGGCAGCCGAGACCTTCAGCAACGCAGGACGATACGGGTAAGTCTGAAGTCTCACCCACGACGCTCACAGGCACACGCACTCTCACTCTCACACAACCCCAACAACTCCAACCACTCACGACACCTCGCACTGCATCTCCCATCCCATCACTGATAGACACCTCTAACCAACCCAACCCCCAGCCCGCACCTCCTCGCCCCGACCGCCTCGGACCTATCCAAGTACGGCCGCAAAGACAGCATCCTAGCCGGCTTCCACACGGACCTAAACTTCCTCACCATCCACGGCCGGTCGCGGTATCCAGGTTTGCACATCTGGGCGCGCAACACGGGCCGCAAGATGGCCGTCAAGATCCCCGCCGGGAATTATGTATGTACATTTACGAGTCTTTCATTTCCCCATATGGCCATGCCCTGAGCGCGAATTTCCTCTTCTAGCCTGTGTCAAGAGCCTTTGCTCCCGAGACACGCCTTACGACTCCATTTTTTTCTCGGCAAAATGCCTAAATGAAGCAATTACTGACTCAAATTTGCGAGGAGCTTCTCGTCCAGGCCGGCAAGCAGTTCGAGCACCTGACGGGCGGGCTCGTCAAAGCCGGCTACCACGAGGTCGTCGTCAACGACGCCACGCTGTCGACCATCGAGCGGCGCCGCACCGAAAACCCCGACCGTCCGCTCGTGCGCATCAGCAGTACCTTCTTCTGGCACCTGTCGAGCGACTTTGATCTCGTGCCCATCCCCGAGCTGGCCGAGCAGGCGCGGGCCATTCGCGCGCAGCAGTTCAATCTCGGCAAGGACGAGGGCGGCGAGGTCGTGTACGAGCCTATGAAGGTGGGAGAGCAGGTGCAGAGGTGAGTTTTGGTCTGTCTTTGCTTGAAGGGAGTGGTACTTGATTTGCTGACTTTACGACTTGCAGTGAGCTGAAGCATATTGCCCTGATGGTATGAGCTGGTCTTATTGATGGGCGTTCTGTCGATTTCGACTGGATGGGCAGTCATCGTAGAAATCTACCATCCCGCGATGAATGTTCATGTAGGCTTACAACCGAATCACATGACTGACGAAGAGGATGCCAACCTTGTTCTTACGAGTTTCGGTGTGATCTCTCGAGACAGTGACATCGATATTGCTGCTGTTAAGACTGGTTGGAATCGGACCTGAAGGGGGATTCGGGGCGCGCTTGATCCGCACAAGAGAATCGTAAGTGGAAGACAGCCGACCAATTGCATTCAATCAACACCCTGAAGACATACCTCTGCAAGTTCTGCGAGAGACCTTCGGGGATACTAGCTTGATTGTCCGGCGAAGGGTTCTTGACATCAGGTTCATGGCCTCAGACTGCTGGGCGTTAATGGAAATTGCCGGAGCCGGTATCTGGGCAGATTGGCCGCGAGCGAACAGCGCAACGGGCATGGTGAGAGAAGGTTCGACTAAGGGATGTCGTTGGTTTTCAGGTCGTCAATGCTGGGCCCGTTTTTGCTTCGTTGCAAATCGTCACTAACGGGGTCAAACTCGAAGAGATCCTTCGAATGTGAAAGATGAGATGGCCATTCGGTGTGAAACAGCGCATCGTAGTCTTTGAAGGCCCGACTACCAGTACGCCCTACGTTCCTCTGAACCGTTGAATGATGTGTTGCGCTCCATGTCCTCGAGGAGCCCCTTTACCTCGGACCCACAGTATCCATCCATGCCCATTTACCTCCTTGGCAGAAAGCAAAAGCAAGCCTCTCTCGATTTTGCTGACGCGCGCTCGGTAGAGTAATTATTGTATGCCTCCTGAGTCCTGGCCAACCTGCGGGCAAGAAACCCATTGTTCAGATGCTCTTGCACGAGATATCGATGTCACGCCACTCGGAGTGCATTGTAGTCACAACAGAGCCCCTCGGGCATATCTATTTACATGGCTTGCTACCCAGTAGAAGATCAGGTTTGGAAATGTTGTCATAGTTCACATCGTTTCTTTGCACGGTACTTGGCAATATTAGGCGAGACTGGACAGTTACAAAAGAAAAAGAAAATCAATGCCCGAAGATGAAATCGAACCACCCACCTCCTTTGAACAGAAATAGGGGCTCCCGCCCTGGGGTTCGCAGGAATCATAACCACTAGACCACACGGGCTTTTTATACAATAAATCATATCACGGCGATTATTGAGGAGCCAGGTGTTGCACGCACTCAAGTCGACCAAAGGTGCTTCGTGGGTGGTGAGTGGTATTGGCGGCTGAACAGAAGAAGTTTTGGGTCCAGCAATGCCATTGTACCGGCAGAAGGTTCATGAGCCCCTGATCGCTGCTTGCATGGGTGTCTGTGGCCGCTCATTTCAGGGAATCCGTACACCTAGGACGCTATTTTACACATAATCGGGCGGGTTCAAGCACCGTTCTAAGAGTTTCTTTGGATGAATAGTACAGTGGTATGGTACAGCTCTTTCGGCCTTTTGATTGGTATGTCGGTATCAGTGAAAGCAATAGCCCCTGGCTTCAACTCGACTCATTTCCATGGCTCCTGTGCAACTGGGACCGCATCTTCTCCGTACTGCAGGAAACCGTCAGCTAGGGTCCTGGACAAGAATAGGGGCTGGCCTTGAGGCCTCCTAACCGTGATAGTAACCGACTGCGTGCGGACAATCCCATGACTCTGGTCGCCGGTCGTCTTCGGTGCCTTCAGAGGCAGTATACTCTCTTGACTGCCATCTTTTCTGTCCCCAAAGGTATCCAGATCATGTGGGTATCTGGCAGGGCGTTGCTTGGAGCCCAGCTCGATGTCGGACTTTGGGTTCCCGCTGCGGGAATTGCCGTAGTTCTTGTATCCGTATCTATCTTTCGAGCTGCCAAACGCGCGGCTGCCTAGGATGCGTTCCCCGAGGGGCTTCAGCACTGGAATGCATGCGGCAATGATGATGGCGCTGCCTTCGATACTATGGAGTTGTCAGAGAGGCTCATGGGGGATAATGAGAGGACACGGGAAAGTCCCTGGCATGGCCAGACACCCGGTTTGGATCTGCTCCAGAAAGCACCCACCAAGTCCATATCGTGAGATCGGCCGTGTCGTCTAAACGCCATTAGTCAACAAATTGGAACAGTGTGGATGCGGCATCGCCTACATGTGAAGTCTTTGCTTGCAAGACCCGGGATACGGCTGCATTTATACAGGGCTATAATGGATGCCACGGATCCCAGACCAAGGGAGATACTCAGAGCTACCTTCTTCTTGATGTTCATTTGCAGCCTGAATAAGACGATCGCGGGGTAGACGGCCAGGTACAAATCGACGAGTGCTGAAAAGGCTGGGAGAGAATTAGCTTTCACGTATAATGCAATCATCTCAGCAGAATCGGTCTGTACCGCAACACGGACTGGGATTGCGAGGAGGAAAACGGGGAGAACAAAAGAACGGCTTGTGGACGCAGAACTCACCCCCAGCAGCAATACTGTAATCCACGAGAACGTAGGGACTCCAACAAGTCTTTTCCGTAATGCTAAGGTCCCACTGGGCACGCGAGGGGGTACACTGCGCGAAAAGAAGGATAATGCAGCCCGACAGAATCAGAACGCAAAGGCTGCTCAATGTCCATAGGAAGATCCGGTGTGTTTTCGATGTGTTCATAAGCTTCGTCAAGAGATATACAGCGGCGAGCTTGGGGAAAGCGAAGGACCGGACACCGGGAAAAAAGCCGACCATTGTCAACAGTACCGGTATCGCACCGGACAGCTGGTCTTGGTCTAGGAGCTGTGCGTGCTTGCCATTGCTGGAACGGACTGACGCTGTGGCAAAGCCTACGGTGAGCCAACCGCGAATCTGAACAAGTGACGATTTAGTCTGGATACTCGGCGAAGCTGTAGAGTTGCACTTTGACAGTGACTTACCACCGCAAAGCCAATGATGTAGTCATCGACCTGAAGCTTTCCCACCATGCGGGCCCGGACATACAGCCTTGCAATGACAAAAACGGTGCTCAGAGCTATTACGGCACTCGTGGTGGCCACAACAGATGGACCTTTATCCTGGGCGGCGACCTCTGGCGACAGCATGACACTGATCTTGAGGGTCGTGAAATAGTAAGATGATTGATTAATGAGTGAGTCCAAACAGTCAGACGCAAGCTTCAAGACAGCGCCGACGCTTATTAGGTTTGCCCGTGGTGAATATAACTTCTGGAATGGTAGACTGGTCGATGGGCGGCCACAGCTGCCTGGCATCCCTTCAAACCCCTATTGTTGACCATGACAGCACGAATCATCGCACGCCATCAGCTCACGATTCACTTTCCCAAAGGGGCCTGAATGCATGCGAAGCTTACTGTGCTTACGAAGTAGTCAAGTGCGGATTTGCAAGGGTACTGAACTTCCTTTCCATCTTCTGTACATGTATGATACGGATGGTGAGTGGTCTACGAGGGTGAAACTGCGGAACAGTTGGGTCTAAGCAGCCACTGGTGCATTGCTTGATGTGATGTACCGACAGAAAGGATGTAATATACCGACAGAATGGGTGATGAGGCTCTGATCGCTGCTTACATGGGTGTTTGTGGCCGCTCATTTCGGGGCATCCGTACACCTGGGACGCTATTTGCACGCAATTGGGCGGGTTCCGACACTGTTCTAGATTTGCTGTGACAAGGCTTAAGGAATTTCAGCTCGAGTTGTGGGAACTCTGTATCCCGCCGACTGAATACCAAGGCTATGGGTAGGCTTGATACAGAAAACCTGCTGTTGCACAACACCGGCGGTAGATAGTCATGTAACATTACACTAAAACTCCAGAGGTCTCCAAACACGCCTCGTTCAGAAAGGGAAATGTGTATCTATTAACTATCGAATAAGCAGTCTGGAATAAGCATCACATGTCGATAAATGCAGTAGACCTGCTTATTTCATTAATACGACTGTAGCACTAACATCTAAGACTTGAGAGAAGCATGACGGACGGAGACTTATCGAAAGGGTGACTGCACCGTGAGCCTACCCAGGTATGTGATACAACCGGCTCAGCTGCATGCAATGAAACGGTCATGCATATCTGGCGCCGCGTCGTCTGGACGTGCTTTAGGCAGGCCAATGAGTGCGGCGCCGAGATGCACAATAATGTCAGGGAGTGTGACCAATGCAGATTGGGAAGATTGTTGGAAGTGCCTTGCAGTTATACCAGGGTCCAGGGATAGCCGAACTGTGTGCCGCTTTGATCGGCATGCTTGGACTCGATTCGATACTGACCACCCGAGCCCCTTACTTGGTGTATGCCTGAAGCGGGATGCTGATAAGGCGTCTCCTGGGTGCCCGGGACCGGTTCGAGTCGTACTTTGGACACGGGTTCGTCCCCTACATGCTGTGTATCATGTCGGCTGCGTGGCGCGTGTATGCGCATTGCACAGTACGCCTGACGATTGGGAGATGACCCACCGGTGCAAGACTGGGGACCTTGCAGCCGGGGAAGATGACAGTCTTATTATACGCCCAGCACATCCGTGGTGTTTTCGTGCAGGTGGAGGTGGAGGTGGAGGTGGAGGTGGGGTGCTAGAAGCCGAGTTGGAGTTGTAGTCGTCGACGTCCGCAGTAAGGGCATTAAATCCCGATTTACGATTTATTTGATTTTCAAACTCTTCGACCAGAAGGGAGGAGCCAAACCCAATACCCCGAAAGACAAAAACCTGAGCCTCGTGCTGACTTATAGTCCTTTATGACGCTGGGTGTGGGTGTGGGTATTCATCCTTCATTTCTGCCCAGCATCGCCTTCACAGCAATAATCCTAACCCTGCCCGCTTGGCTCGAGAGAACGAGAACGAAAACGAGAACGACAGGTCGCAGCATGACAGATAGAACTGCAGGCATCAATGTGTCATGCAGCCCGCAGGCCAACCCCGCTTGGCAGTCTGCTGTGTGCAGTTTTCGGCAGGAAACATACCGGTACTTGCAACCAACGCTTTTCTGCCATCCATGCCATCGTTACCAGGGTTGTCGGAGGCTCTGAACTGGCAATCAGTGAAGTGCTCTGCGCTGGTAAATTGGTTGCTCGGACGCCCGGGGTAGATGCACTTGCTATCTTCCAATGCGCGGTTGTGACTTATCAACTACTGTGTCATCAACGGGATGCCCCCTTCGTCTAGGCTTCGCCAATGATCTACCTTGTACCTGAAGCCTAATGAGCCTACTGCAGAGGTCGAATCGATTCACCTACTGCTATGGATTTCGGCAGTGAACGGAGGAATCCGGACCTCCTCAACTTCCGCAGTCCCTTTGATGGTATGATCATGTCAGGGGATATAATACAAGAGATGTTCGCCCCTCTTTCCGAGGTCCAAGTCCTTGAGACCTTACCGCCTCATCGGAAAACGTGCTCCAATCTCTTTCAACATATCGAATCAGAACCTTGCAAGCTTCTTTGAGCTGTGCGCCTGGGTAACACCATCCTCTCTAACACAACATGTCCGAGGGCAAGAGCAACGGCAATGTCCCTGACATCAGCATTGCCTTGAAGCCTTGTGATTTGAGTAGTGTCGGAACCCATGCCGAGAAAATCAGTAAGCTGGCATCCAACATTTCCGAAGGCGACGATACCACCAGGATCGAGCTGGTTGAGACCGCCCGAAAGTTGGTCAGGGCTCTGGAAACTCCCCGTGAGACCATGATCAAGCATTGCTGGGCTCAGGTATGGCTGCGAATCGCACTTGGAGGAATCCAAAGCCCCTGACATTGTCTAGCCAGCCGCGATGACAGCCCTCACAGTTGGTGTCGACGTCGGACTGTTCAGGGTGATGGCCAAAGATAATGGAAGCAGCAAGAAGGCCTCGGAGCTCGCTAAAGCTGTCGGTGTCGACATTCCGGTCATCGGTAAGACAGAACAAACCCGAGCCGTTAAGGACCTGTACTGATCGCAGCAGCTCGACTTCTCCGACACCTCGGCGCTATGGGTATGTGACTCCCTATCATCATCCATAGCGGAGGCTTTTTCGGGAGAGCCACTGGCTGTGCTCCTTGTAACACACCCCAACAATCCCCAACAACCCCCTGGATTGGCCACTGTCTTCTTGGAGAGTACCAGCTTCGGATGGTCGTCAGAGATAGCTATGTTAATCACCAGGGAATTCTGGAAGCGCAGCAGACGAGGTTCCAGGGGTGAAAGATGCATTCACGAGCAATCGATTGCTGACAGGCTTTTAGGATACGTGATTGAGACTGGAGTTGATGAGTACAGACCTACCGACTTCACAAACTCGCTATGCATCCCGATCATCGCCGCTGGCTATCCAGTCTTGTGGGTTTCCACCTCTCTCGGTGTGATTGTACCCCGAGCTAACTAAATGCAGGTCTGGAGGTCTTCTATCAGCGCTCAACCAATTCTCCGACTTCCTCGGGAAGACAGAATACAAGACACCTCAGAGCATGAGTGATGGACCGCGTGAGTGATCCAGAATAGAACACGGGCCCAACATCTCGTCTCTGCATCAGCAGCACTCGGCTGGCACATGTCGCCCCGAAAGTCACTGAAAATAACAATGTTGCTAACCCACTGGCGTAGTTCAATACGCATACAACACGAAGCTCAATATGTTCGAGCATCTTCAGGCGAAATCTTCTCTAGGTCCTGAATTCAATCGTCACATGGGTGGGTACCATTAAGGACGGGCAAGCGTGAGTAGATCTCGTACCTCTGTGATGTACAGCAGCCTTCGAGTAGGGGAGTGAGCTACTGTTTGAGAAAGCTTGTGTATGTGTACGCCCTGACATTGCGATGCTGACACAAGACATAGTGGATGGATGAGGATTTCTTTCCGGTCAAAGAACTCATCGATGGCGCCGACACTTCTGATGGCTCAGCTTTCCTCGTCGATATCGGTGGTTCCACTGGCCACGACATCGAGGAGTTCCTGCAGAAGCACCCCAATGCGCCTGGCCGTCTCATTCTTGAAGATCTTCCTGTTGTTATTGGACAGATCGAAAGCCTAGATGAGAAGATTGAGCGCGTGCCTCATGACTTTTACACGGAACAACCTGTGAAGGGTATGTGGAAAGCATATCCCGAGTGACTACCTGGAACACCACTGACCGTGAATGCCTTGACTAAGGTTCCCGAGCCTATTTCATGCACTCTGTCCTACACGACTGGCCCGACTAGGTCTGCATGAAGGTTCTGGCGCGAATCACCGAGGCCATGAAGCCGGGCTACAGCAAGCTGCTCATCAACGAAAACGTCATTCCGGGCCGCAACGCTGCCTGGGAGGCTACGGGTCTGGACATCCTCATGATGACGCTTCTCGCGGCCAAGGAGAGGACGGAACAGGATTGGCATGATCTGCTTGGGGCTGCTGGGCTGAAGATCAACAAGATCTGGACCGTTGCTAATGGCACCGAAAGCCTGATTGAGTGCGAGTTGGCGTGAGGAAGTAGACCGTCATGAGTGACATGGCGATGAGGGCTCGTGCAAGGTGAGGTGGATCAGTCGACCCGACTCTACCTAGAAGATTCCGACTGTGCCTAGAGGATGGCGTAGAGGCGATTGTCAGATCACCAGTAGGGTTTGACCGTGGGCAACCCAGGTGGGCTGATCCCGCCCGTTCCCTAAGTTTTTCATGTATTCATCACCTCCCGACTCCAGACGCCAGACTCCGCCGTGATCAGCCGCCGAATACCGGCGCACGTGTTCGTGACACCTGAGATCAAGCACCCGCACCAGAATGTTGCTGTTGAAGCTGATAAAGGGGCTCTGGCGGGCCTTGGCGTGCTGAGTAAGCATCTGGGTCGACTTTTCTCCGCGTGCCCACCGTCCCCAGGTGGAGATCCATATCTCTTCAGTTCCCACTCTTGCCACACCACCCTAAGCCGTACTGCGACTACTACTGTTACGGTTCACCATGCCCTTTTCAAGAACGAGGACCGGTTGTTATACCTGCCGGGAAGAAGGTTACAAATGTGATGAGCAGAAGCCCTTCTGCGGCCGCTGCGTGCGGCTGGACAAGACTTGTAAGGGCTACGGCGTCAAGCTGCGCTGGCAAACCCCCGAGCTGCCACAGTCGAAGGAGCCGAGGAGGAGACGGCAGCAGCGGAGACTCTCGCCGGGGAGCCACGGGACATCCACGGTCACCCCTTCGGCCGCCTCCAGTCCAGCCGTATCGCCAAGTCCGACGTCGCCAATGACACAAATGGCCCTGACCCCCGTGGCACCTGTGTCCATCGGGAGCAATATGGATCCCGAGCATCGGTATTTGCTGGACCATTGGACAACGACACTCGGCGGCGTCATCTCAATGGCGACAGGCACCCATCAGAACCCGTTCCTGCTCCACCTTACCCCCATGATGGCACATTCTACGTCTCTCCGTTTCGCCCTGTGTTCGATAGCGGCATGTCACTTGGCAGCGTTGAAGAACGACCAGTCTCTGCAGACTACAGCGACCCGCCATCGGCTTCGTGCTGTTTCCTCACTACGGCAAAGCATACAGACGGATGACCCGGAACTTTCATTAGCTACTGTGCTTATGCTACAGCTTTCTGATAGGCTGTTCACCACAGACTCCGGAGTCGATCATCTTGCGGGGGCCAATGCAATCATCAAGCGAGGCGGTGCCAACGCGTGGAACAGCTCCAGCGCGTCTTTCCTGCTGAGCCTCTGTTGCTATCACGACATTCTCACTTCGGTTTCTCGGGGTACTAGGCCAATCTTGGAGCTAAAGAGTCAAGTCCCGATTGAGGGTGCCATGTCTTTGCAAGAGCTCACGTCTGTCCTGCAGGTCGTTGCACAAATCAGCAGGCTACAGGGCCAGGATCATCTTGATGCCCAGGGTCGCGCTATAGAACAGACGCTGCAGACGTTTGATGCGTCAATCCACAGCGGAGGTGAAAGCGGCCATACATTACAAGCTTACAAGCATGCGTCATTCATATACCTCTATCGTGTTTGGCAAGCTGGTGCGCCACATCCTTCGGCTATGAATGATCACGCCAGGAGTTGCCTCCAGCACCTGAGCGAGGTTCCAGTCTCCTCGCCATTGGTGTCGGCTCACGTCTGGCCACTCTGGACCGCTGGCTGCGAGACCATCGGCGGTGAACAACGCCAACTCGTTGGAGAGAGGATTGAGGCTATGTGGGAGGCGCGTCACCTCCCATCACTACGACGCATCAAGCAAGACATGGAAGAAGTTTGGCTGATTAAAGACAAGCAAAGAAACTTGATTGGCGAGGATAATGTCGACTGTATCAAAGCGATCCTGACTCATCGCCGGCGAGCCGCTGACCTTGCCTAAGCTTCCCACCTCTTATCTGTGGATAGCATTCTTTCCAGCGGCATTATCGCCAAACCCATGGAGGTACATCACCGCGCCCAATCCTCCCCTGGAACGATTGTAGAGAGCAACTCGTGCCCGCCATTATGACCTTGCCCTGATGACTGTCAAGGTTGCAGAGTAAAGTCATGGTCATGAGCTCCCTGGAGATAGTCGAATCCCTCCGGCATCCAGTCAACGCATGGAACCACATCACCCCATTCGATCTTGTCTTTGATGCTAGCCGGTAGCTTCATCTTGAGGGTTTTGGAGCGATACCACTGGGGGAACATGACCGAGACCAGCATTACCCGCGGCTCGTCGGTTTTGTTGGCTATGCCCGCGTGCCAGAGCCTGAAATCCCGAATGACGAGGGAACCCTTTGGCAGGCTGGGTTGGATTGGCGGACTGATCTTTCGCCGCTGCTCTAGGAGCTCTGCTCGGATCTGCTTGTGCTTCACCGACTGGTCGAGCACATGCTTGTCGGTATCCGAGTGACTACCGAGCCACACCTCCGTCGCACCGTTCTCTGGCGAAGTATCCACGAGATTGACATTGATACAATACCCAAAGGGGACTCTAGGGAAGTCAAAGTCGATGTCGATGTGCGGAGGTTGACGGCCGGTTGCCTTGAAAGCCGTGTTGGCGCTGTAGAATCGTAGCTGTGGTTTTGGGCCGAGCATGCACTGTACCACGTCGCTTGCGAAAGGGTTCGCCAACACATCCTCGAAGATGTAGCCGTCCTCTAGCACTGGCTCTTGTTGGATATTCCCCGTGGTGGGACCAAAGTTGCGATGCGTGGAAGGTCTCGCATAGAGCTCCTGAGCCTCAGGTACCATTCTCTCGTTAAGCTTGTCGAGATGTGCCACATCAACGGCATTCTTGAGGACGACGATGCCATCTCGATGAAGCGCCTCGACTGCGGCCTGCAGATTGTGAGAGCCGACTTTTTTCGTCGACAACTCGTCCGGGGTGAGCTCGATGAGGGTGACTTGAGGGGAGACGACCATGGCGGCGACTGAAGGGAGTGCTTGATCTGGACTCTTGAGGGAATGGAGTCGGAAGCGATGAGATCTCCAAGGCCAACCTGATGGGTTTTTGTGCGGTTCAAGTAGAGAGAATCCCGAAGGCCATCGAACGATTGCTGAGGCATGATCGAGCTCGTCCGATAGCCTTGAACCGAAGACAACGTTCCATGATGCGGAGCTTTCGACCACGGGCGCATGTTCAGACCCCAATACCCCGACAACCCCACAGCGTCATCCAATCGCATAGTCGAACTCTTACGATTACCCCATGGGGTCAAGTGTCCGGACCAGTATTTCCAGTAGTGTCATCGACTCGAATGGACGATGGACGAGATACCGCTGGCGCATCTGTCCCCTTCCGGATACTGAAGATTATCTCCGTGTCGTCGTCTCTGATAGCTCTCGGCCTGCCCAGGAGATCTACCTATCTGATCACCTTCATGGCTCAACAGCTGAGCATTACCGTATCGCCCCCGTTTATAAGCCATGTGCATACAGCATTTCAAGGCAACGGTCATGTCTGAACCAGGTACTGGTCAAGGTTACAAGCCTCGGAGACGGCCATGGGCAGTACTCGCGTTGGACATTGATCATGACCCCGGGCAATGTACGGTAGCCCCTCGTTGCTTGCTATCGTGTGCCAGCCTCTCCAGATTGTCTACTCTGGCTTCACCGGATCTATCGCTTCTAGCTGGGAGCAATGATAACGGTGTGATACGGCACAGCTGGGACCATCGTGCATATAAAGGTCGAAGGACTGTCCTATCTATTCAGATCATGTCAAGGTCTACCAGTCTCTCAGAAACGCGCTGGCATAGTCTCCGATCAGCGCCTTCACGCCTTCACGCCTTCAACCTTCAACATGGCTGCCCTAGATCCCTCAAAGGACAACAAGAAATATGTGTACGACACTGTCAACGCTGACATCGAGTCAGAGAAGTCCCTCCGGTATACCGAAGTCGAGCACTCGGTCACCTTTCAGAAAGCGATCAAGTTGCATTATCCTGCGGTGTTATGGGCACTGTTCATCAATACAGCTACTATCCTCAAAGGTATGGACGGAGGCATCGTGGGCAGTCTTGTCGGGATCGAGCCCTTCAAAGGACAGTACGGCTATCTTTACAACGACACCTTCACCATCGAGGCGAGCTAGCTGGGCGCTTTCAACTACGCCAACAAGCTCGGGGCTCTCGTAGGGGCTTTGGCAGCCGGATTCGCATACGATCGCCTGGGCCCACGCGTCATGATGGCGATATGTTCGACGGGCTCGGTCGCCTTCATATTCCTTCAGTTCTTCAGCTCGACACCGTCCCAGCTCTTTGCAGGCCAACTTCTCAACGGCTGCATCATCGCATTCTATCCCACCTGCGCCTCGGCGTATGTGGGCGAGGTCTGTCCGCTAGCTCTTCGCGGGTTTGCCGCCTCGATGACAAACCTCGCGTCGTTGTTGGCCAATTCATTGCCTCTGGCATCCTCAAAGGTGAAATTCTGCCGATATTTACATTCTCCGTTGCTTGTGATTGACCTTGCGTGAGTCAAGGCACGAGCCATATCAACTCCAAACTCAGCTACAAAATCCCAACCGCCACCCAATGGGCACTCCCTCGTGTGATGCTGCTTTTCATCTTCTTCTGCCCTGATCCACCATTTTAGCTCTGTAAGAAGGGCAGATACGACGAGGCCGAGAAGTCAATCCGACGATTGGCTACACCCGGCATTGACCCCAGCCTGAAACTTGCGCACGTCAAGGAGACGCTTCGCCTGGAAGATGCCTTCAAGAGCGACAACGCACCCAGCATCCTCGACTGCTTCCGCGGCCCCAATCTCCGCCGTCTCATCATCTGCGTCATGGCCTACGACATACAGGAATTCACGGGCAACATCTTGTTCATCGACTACGCAGTCTACTTCTTCGAGCTCGCTGGGCTGGACACGTCCGAGGCGTTCAGCATGAATCTCTGCCTCACCGCCATCGGCTTCGTCGGCACCTGCCTGTCGTGGTGGGTCGTGTCCTTCGTTGGGCGCCGCAGTGCCTACCTATGGGGCTGTGGCACGCTGTCCATCTTCTGCTTCATTATCGCGACGCTTGACTTCGCACCGACCGCTACGCATGCCGCGACTTGGGCGCAGTGCTCCCTGATGCTGATTTGCAATTTCGTCTATGATATCACCATCGGTCCGTACTGCTTCGTGCTGCTGGCAGAGGTGTCGTCGGCTCGTCTTCGTGGGATGACCATCGGCCTGGCTACGGTGACGTGTCATGTGGTCTCCATAGTCCTTGCGGTCGCGATACCGTATGCGATGAACGAGGACCAAGGTGGGTCCATGCTTTCCGACCCAAGCTCATCTTTCATACCCTCGTAGCTGACTTTGCGCTCAGGAAACTGGCGTGGCAAGATCGGGTTCCTGTTTGCCGGTTTGGGAGCGTTGAGCACGGCGTACTGCTTCTTCTGTCTACCCGAGACACGTGGTCGTACGTTTGAGGAGCTCGACGTCCTGTTTGAGAGGAAGGTCTCCAGCCGCAAGTTCCATGACTATGAGATAAACGGCGCCGTGGCGGCGAGCGAGGAGCTGAGGTAATGACGTCGACTCGAGCTGGCTTTGAATGAGTCCATTAAACTCATCACGAGGTAGTAAAAGCACGAAGCTAATTCCAGGCGCTCGATTTTGATGTGGAGGCGGTCGTGACTCGTGTGTCATGTACTGTAGGTAGATCAGGTCGAGAAGCATACCCCAACACAGGTCGCTGTAAAAGAGAGACAAGGAAGTCTTTGCCCGGAATCGTAATCCCAAACACGCAAATGTAGAACCTGAAGAGATCCCTGGCCGGCCTCAAGCGTTGTCATGCAGTTCATCACCCAGGGACGCTCGTGCTCACCAGAAACCTGGGGGCCATACCCCTCTTTACTGGGGCTGGGCTATCTCTGCCGAGCCTCAAACGTTATTCGAATAGGTCGAAGAGGGACATGCAACCCTTGACTTTAACAGTCCTTCGATTCGGATAGAGCAAAGAGGTGCAGCATATCGCCCGCCAATTTCAAGAGTTTTCCTCCTCCTCCAGCTCCACCCCGCTCTCGTCGCCACAGTGGTACTCAGGAGGCAATTCGTGGGCCATGGGCCACAGCCTGGCCCATCTCGGCTGGATCGAAAGGCAGACTGGATGCTTCGATCTCCGGCGTTCAGGAAGCGACCTTAGCCAGGGAGCCAAATGATTTATTTTTAAATTCCAAGTTCTTCGACCAAATGGACGACATCACGGACGCTCAATCAGAGAGAGACAAAGAGTGTTGGTATTGATTTCAGCAGCTTGTCAAGGCTTTCCATGCTAGTGTTTCAATGAACGTCGCGGATGGATGATATCCAATATTTCCATCACCTCTTGCTTCAGTCATCCGTCGAAGTCTGTCCAAGGAGCGTTATCGGAAGGAATATAACCTTCAAGTCTTTCCTCCACCCGTTGCTTCAGTCATCCAAGTCTGGGGTTCCGTTCTATCCGAAGTTCATGTCATCAAGCCCAAAACCCGTGCTGCCAACTTTAAGGCCAGTCAAGCTGGCCACAGCATTGAGATCGGGCAGCGTGGTTGCGTCGACTGAGACTGTCATCTCCTGTACGCCCGTCCACCCCGATGGTAGCACGCAAGCCTGTAAGGGGGCAGTTCTATCTACATGGCTACCATATCCTCACTACGGCGAGCCATTCCAACCAAAGCCATCCGTGCATCTGACCGTGCTAAGTGCGAACTCTAGTTTGTCTAAAGGCCGGCGAGAATGTCGACCAAAGTAAAGTCAATGCCTAAGGCCTCATCTTAGGAGGGAGGGCACACATGCTTTTCAAAACGAGGTCGCACGTTGTCGAGTCGGCCTCGCAATGCAGCGCTGACCCAACCAAGCCCTCATCTACTGTAATAATTCAGCTCAATCATAACAACAAGAGCCCTCTGGTCTATTTAAACATTGTCAATATTTGTCCATTAGCTAACCTGAACCAGCCAATTCTTCTTCTTCTATTCTTCCTCTCGAACCACCCAGGGTGCAATCCGCCCTGGGGCAAACCATCCAACAAACAACCACCAACCAAACAACCAATCAAACAATCCAAACAACCAATTGACCACTAATACGAAGTCAGCACGCTTGTGGATCCCAGCCACTGGATCCATCCACCAGTACCTTATCGGATCTCCTGTCATCCAGGGCGTCCTACGATAAGGTTACCTGGGATGGCTGCCCCAGGTGACAGGTACCAACCCACTGTAATTTAGGTATTTAGATACTTCTCGGATGGGATCCCTTCCCATCCGAACGTAAGCAAGCACCAACCAGAATACAGATCATCCTAACCTAGACTTGTGAAAGATCTCTGTTCTGGTTCCGCTACCACAAAGGCACACGCTTGTCGTGCTGACCCGAGGGGCATCCTCGGAGCTTGTAACGCGGCTGAGATAGGCGTTACAAGCCATGAGACAGATACCAAGTATTCTTCTCAGCACGGGGCGGGGGTCCCTACTATTCTTCTTCTGGCGAAAGCCTATGATACGTAAGTAAATATCTCCTTAATGAGGGCTCTTGAATTTTTTTGGGTTTTTTCTATACCGCACTTTATAAACCGGGAAGTAGGCGCATAGATGTGCACGGTGTTAGTGTACAGTGTGTGGGCGCCTACCTAACTGTGTGTAATCTTTTAGAGACATCGCGATATCCCTGACCTGGATCACCTTTGACGCCTTCTGCCCGCAATTTCTTAACCAAAAACACTGGCCGCTGCCTCGCTACGAACATAACTTCTCAGCAATCTGTGTCGCTTCAATCCAAAACGGAGACCCCATCATGGCGATCGAGGACGAGCGTTACCGGCAGTCGAGCCAGTATCGACTCTGGTCCTTCACGCCGTCCCACCTCCAGACGCTTCGCGACAAGACCAACACCCTCGCCCGAACCAACATCTCCGACCGCCTGCGCTCCTCGGCACCGCCGGTCGATCCCTTGCCCGAGTTCTTGACGCCTGCAGAAGAGTCCCAGCTCCTCACCTTCTACACCGTCGAACTGCTGCGTGCGGCTGCGTTCTGCCAACTCCCGACCGACATCCAAGCCACCGCTGCTGTCTTCCTGCGTCGCTTCTACATCACCAACAGCATCATGACCTACCCGCCGACCGAACTACTCAAGACGTGTCTGTTCTTTGGATGCAAAGCGGAGGGATACTACATGCGACTGTCCAAGTTCGCTGAGAAGTTCCCCAATACGACGGGCGAGGAGGTGCTCGCGGCCGAGTACGTGTTGTGCCAAGGCATACGGTTCGCGTTCGACGTGCGCCATCCATTCCGAGCTCTCGAAGGCGCCGTAATGGTGCTGAGAAGGGCGGGCGACTACGACGACGACCGGATAAACAAGGCGCACAAGCGAACACGAGATATACTGAAGTTCAGCCCTCTGGTTACGGATGCGTACTACCACTACACCCCGAGTCAGATCATGTTGGCCGCGCTGGCCATGGCTGATGAAGGACTGGTACACCGAATGCTACAGGACGCTTTTGCCGCGCAGGGTGAAGGGCCCAAAGAAAAGATATGGGCTGTGATACAGAACTGCAGGGAGTTGCTCGAGAAAGAGCCTCCCGAGAGGATGACGAGTTTCTGGGGCACGGTGAGTGATGGCTCTGCATATGGACTCGACGATACCGCCTGCTGACTGACCTGCCAGCCCGACAGTAACAGAACGATCAAGCCTCTAAACAAGAAACTTAAGAAGTGTCGAGATCCCGACCGGGTGGACCTCATATCTCTACAGAAGGCGAGGCGGGAACAAGGACTCCAGAAGCCGAAGCCCAAGGTAGGATTACAGGACGATGGTGATGTCTTTGGGAAGAGCCTTGATCAAGAGAGGGAGTCTAAGAGGCGCAAAGTCGCCGCGGGAGGAGACGACGTCTTCGGACCCCCGCTGTGAAAATGAAGCACGCGAGGGTCCCAGAATACAAAACCTCACAGCGCATTCACCCAGGATTGTACACCGGTACGCTGGCAACGTACTTCCGCATTATATCCAGCCACCGACTCAGGTTCGTGGTCTTGGTGCAAAACCCAGATGGAGTCGTAGCCTGCTGAGACTCTGCATAGTTTCCTCGATGTGTGGATGACGCTGGGCCTGGGATCGGGAATAGACCTGCATGTCTTGATGTATGAGAATCTATCAGCCATCCTTACCCGCTAGGGAACTGCATTGTTTTTGCTCTGCGTTGCTCCTCAGTATACAGGTTCGAGCTCACCTCAATGATCACCACGCGAACACCAGCCTACAGCGCCAATGCATGCTCTGCAAGGAAGGAACATTGCACCGACGGTAACGATTGCTACGCGGGCAACGGACAATGCCAGGACGTTGAGAAGCATGGTGCTAGCTTGGGTTTGAGCTCCCACGGAAAGTTCTAAGGATGAAGACAGCCATGCGTACATGAAGGTAGTGAATTCGAGGATATGATAAACCAATTTTGGAGTTTGACAAGACCAGCGATAACTAACATTCTCAGGATTGCACCTGCTTCGGTATCTGAAATACTGACAAACTTTCCAACCACAGGGTATCTACGATAACATGCTTGTTCAGAGACATACGATCTAGTACAGACATCACCACAGCCTCTCCCAGCACCGCCTGGGAAAGCTCATCCGCGCAAGCCTCTGCTTCTCGACCTCCTCGATGCCGCTCTCCTCCCAATGCCTGCACTCCTCATCGACCTCCGCCTTGCCGGAAATCAAGTCCGCATCTCGGGGGCTGACGAACTTGGTGCGGCGAACTACTTTCCAGAGCAGAAACATGAAGATGCCGAACGCCAGCGCGAAGTAGCTGGTGATGAAGCTCCAAACGTCGAATGGGTAGAAGGAATCGTAACCGACAAACAGCAGCGCCAGCACGCCGAGCAAAAGCGCAAAGTAGGTGCTGTAAGGGGCCCAGAGGGCGCGGTAGGGCAGCGTGGCGGGATCCATGCCCTGGGCCACGCGGGCGTGATAGAAGCCCAGGTAAGCCACCAGCATCAGGGTGTAGGCCATGATGAGCGCCGTGTTGGTCCGGTCGACGAATCAGCCTCGACGGCCGAGTTGGACGAGACGAGAAAGGTGATGCAGGTGATGGCCGTGACGGCGCATACCGCATATATGGGCACGCCGTTTTTTTGGTGCATTTAGCAAAGATCTTGGGTGCTTGGCCGTCTGTGTGGTGTGTTAGTTTCTCTGCCACCCATGCCAGCACTCGAACGACGACGACATACCACGAGCCAGACCGTAAAGGGTACGCGAAGACGAGTACAGATAGGCGTTGCCACAAGACCAGCCGGACAGCAGCATACAGGCATTGATTAGATCGGGCAGGCCCTTGATGTTCAAATTCTTGATGACGATTACCCACGGCGAGGCTGCAGCACCGGGCTCACCGTTCTCGATGGCACTCAGCAGACCCGGGTCGCGGGAGGAAGTCAGGATACCAACACACAGCGCGCCGACGACGTAGAAGCCCACAAGACGGTAGAAGATCAGCTGGGCGACGCGGGGAATGGTGCGGCTGGGGTTTTGGATCTCTCCGGCAGCAAGGGCGATCATGTCAGGCCCAGCAATTACGAAGCCTGCGTACAGCACAGTACTCCACCAGCCGAGAAAGCGGCCGATTGACCCATCGGTGTAGTATGGATGCATTGCGTTGCCGTTGCCCCAGTTGCGGAAGCCATAGGCGTCATGTTTTGGATTACCACCGCTCATGGTGATTAGCGTGAGCAGGCAGAGGCCGAACAGCAGCAGGATCTTTGTGGAAGCCATGATGAATTCGGATTCACCATACCATCTGGTTTCACGTTAGCACGGGTATGCATCGTGGTCTGGGCAAATGGAAGAGCACACTTCACGGCTACGACATTGAGCAAAAAGCAGAGACCCATGGCGAGGGCGATCCAAGCGGCCGGGTTGATATCAGGTGCCCAGTATTGCATGACAGTAGCGACGGCCGAGTACTCGACACAAACCAGCATAGTGCCAGCAACGAAGTACGTCCACCCCATCGCAAAACCCAGCGCAGGGTCGACGAAGCGCGACGCCAGCTCGAAGATGGTGCCGCGGATGGGCAAGTAGGCGCACATCTCGGCCACGCACAAGTTGAGGGGCCAAACGAAGAGCAGTCCCCAGAACATGAACTCGAGGACGAGGGAAAGGGGCCCGGCTTCGCTTAGCACGCTGCCGACTCCGACCTGTGACTATCTGTCAGACTTTGGTCCTTGATGCTCCGTATCGCACGACTTACCCAGAGGCCTGTACCAATCGTGCCGCCAATGGCCATGAGCTGGACATGGCGGGGACTGAGTCCTCGCTTCGTCTCGTTGATGTGCTCGCCGGATGCCGAGAGGACGACACCGGGTTGCGAGGAGCCTGCCGCGCTCAACACGGGGCTAAGAGTACCATCCTTTTTGTCCGTGGTTGTGACTTGTGTATGCGATCACCGGTAACTGCGAGTATATGGTGTGTCGCAAGTGGAGAGACAGAGTATGGCGCGATATCGATCCGGGAGATTATCGACGGGCGCCACGGGTTATTTGAATGCCATCGCGACCACTCCCCAAGAGGAACCGGGCGATAAGTCGTCGCCCGCATAGATACCGTCCATCATGGTCCACGATAGCCACACGGCATCCTCGTGTGTCGTGCCGTTGTGTCTCCAGAGATAACAGACGATCCCCATCCCTATCCCAGCGCTGTGTTAATTGACGATTGCCCGTCCCTCGAGTCAAGCTGGAGTCTATGAGGCTTGGCGGAGACCTCCCAGACGCACGAAGACACCTGTCCGGCCCGCAGGCGACTGTGGCCAAGCCGATAGTGCCGACGATAACGGCCTGGTTGTCGAGGACATTTCTTCCAGAAGGGAAACCAGCCAAACAAGCTGGCGACAGCATCTGGTATGGTCTACCTGCGCGGCTGGCGGTCGGTTCGATTGAGCTCGACTCTCCCGCGGGTGAGCGTTCGCCTGACTGAGCCCGCGCCTGGATGTGTGAATACCTGCAATCATGTCGGGAGATCAGCCAAGACGACCGAAGAGCGTGCCGGCCGCCGTCCGTCGTCTTGCCTCGTGGCCTTCTGGTCCTCTTCTGGCCCTGCTCGCATTTAATTTCCTGGTCCAAACCAGCGGGCCAAGCCGCCCGGGTCGGACCAAATGGCACGATCATCCACTCGGTGTCAGCGTTTTTTGTTCGCCTGTCTGCCAGCTTCATCTGTTTATTTCGGCCTCGTGATAGAGCTGATACTGATAAGAAATCAACCTGTAATCGGGGCATTGGCGCCTTCGAGACTTCCTGACGATCAGTCGTAGGGTTCAGTGTGCGAGCCATATTCCAGCCTCACTTGACCCTGCACGTGATACTGACAGATGCGGCTGGATAGAAAGCCTGTTCACGCTGGTAGTCGCCAGGGAAGCGAACTCGGGTCCATTTGCCATCTTCGCAAACAGCACGTGTGCAGTCGAATGAGCACTGAAGCAACGACTCGAGGATGACTCCGTCGATTTCCCCTGGGGTTGTCGGGTATGCCAGGAGATCATCCTCACGACCTTGTCGACCGGTAACTACCCAGGTACCGCACACGATTTGCATCTGGCTGCTGGTCTCATTAGCGGTATTTCACCTGGACTTCACGTAGTTCCCCTAACGACCAACACACCGCTCGACATCTTCTAGGTCTTTCGGCTTCATCAATCTTCCGGAATTTCCATAGGCAGTGAGATCGAGTTATCAGGCGAATGGGAGCGTTGTACCGAACGTGTCAGATTATCATACAAGCGCTTGGACTTGATAGCGAACTATCGCCTTTCTATCATGATCGGTCTTGGGCCTGGAGACCTTCAACCTCGAGATGGGCGTTCCGACTACTTATTGACAGGGAAACTTTGAAAGGTATATTGATTGTGGATGGATACAACTTGCGCTACAGAATACCCATATGTGCCTGTCCCAAGCAGCATATCTCGACTCGGCCTGCCAGCACCTCGCTGCACTCCAGCAAAACCACCTATTCCGCCCGCCCACCAGTACCCTCCTGACCGCCGAGTATTTTAGCAGCAGGGCACAAGCGCGTTTGCCCGAGACGTTGTTCCAACTGCCGCCAGCGTGGGCTCGATCAGAGTCCAGCTGTCCATCCGCATCCGTTGCCGCAGTCGTAAACGGTGTTGATGTCTGAAAGAAAGCCGGGCAACGAGATTCATGTTGTTTGTGGGAGTCTGAGGAGAAGGTGGGTAGTATGAAGTCAAGATTGTTGTGCGCGATGGATGATGGTTCGACTGGTTTGATGGTGTCTCTGTGGTCTATGTGCGCTGCACTGAGGCTGGGTTTTTCATGAATGTCGTTTGACGTGACAATCTTGATGCGGTCCCGTGCCCAAACTGGAGAGCAGTGTATCAAATATGGCGTTCAAATTAGTTCATGTTCACACCTGCTGCAGTGTCAGCATGTCAGCAGTCAGCCTTCTGATATCATCGCTGAAGACCGCCAAGGATTCAGGATCACAGCTCTGTTGTGATGACTTATTTGGTACGACCCTCGAAAGGGGACCACTGCGAGTAGGCCATACCGACGCATCTCTGGTAGGCGCGGCGCCTCTCCATACCACTACGACATTCTCGTGCTGTACGTACTGGACATGGCCACCATCCGTGACAGGGTCAAGTCGAAGCTCGCGAAGCACAACCAGCTGTGGATGTGACGAGAGGGCCCTCACTTCCATCCGATATTCGCCCCCTGTCCCGACCCCACGGTGCCACACATGGATCAACCAATCGATTCAGAGGGCAGGGTGGTAGCCAACGAACGCCTGCCCGCCTTGCAAGCCCAGCCACAGATCGTCATTGATCTGGCCTTCTGGGGCACACACCAGCGCTGGAATAGCCAGCCTGCGAATGAGCCGGCGGTTCAACAGATCGGATGCCGACCGTACAATTCCTGACCAACCCGAAGGCTCGCCCGTATCGTAACACATCGTGGCATATGGAGAACCACAGGCCACGCCATTACTGGTATCATTCTCATGATGGTCAGATACACTCAGCCCTCATGAGTCTCCATGCGCACCATGTTGGGGCGGGAAGATTCCAGATCACGCGTGGAAATCTGGAAATACTAGAATGAGCAGATAGGAATAAGCAGCTTTGGTTTGATACGCCACTCCCAATGCTTATTCGATTGTGCTTATTCCAAATCGATAAATTACATCGTTTAAACGTTTGCTGGACGGGTGGTGTACGGAGACTTATAAGGGCTCAGTGTACCACGCGCAACGGCTAAACCATCGTAATATCAAGAATGCCAAACCCCCGGAGACTCGCTGGGAAACCAGCGGATGACGACAACGTAGGAGAGGAAGAGCGTGATGAGCGCAGCATCCGACACGTCTTGGCCAGTAGTCGACTATCGCGACAACACTAGAAATTTTCCAATAGGGGTCTAACATCTTGGATATTGTATCCATCGCCATCGAGCGATCGAATCATGTTGGTCCAAATACAAGCATATCTGCACTATCAATGCATTTCTTCAAACCCGGGATCACTACACTGCAGCTCATTACATGTTCATCAATGCAGCTGCACCACCGAAAAGTGCCACAACACCGACGGCGCCAGTCTTCATAGGCATAGCCAAACCGTCGGACGAAGAACTAGTGGCCGATGAGTCGTCACCCCCAGCAGAAGTAGCCGCAGGGTAGGTGGTGGTTGCAGTTGACACTCCACTCGTGAAAGGGACTCCCGCGGTACCAGTGCTTGCGCCTGTGAAAGCAGGCGTGGCCGTTGTTGCCGTAGCATTGGGGCTGGTCGCAGCGTTCTCGGAGTTGAGCACCCTGGAGCATGTTAGAGATTGACCAACAATAGGGACACTATAGGATGACTGACTGATCCACAACATGGATGACACCGTTCTCGCACAGGATGTCTGCCACGGTGACGCGGGCTGCGTTGACGAATATATGCCCGTCGACCACGCTGATGGTGATGTCCGGGCCGGTCAATGTCTTCAGGGTGCTGTTCCCGCGGCGGAGCATCTGAGAGGAGTAGTCAACTGTTCCATTGACGACGTGGTAGCCAATGATGCTGTTCTGTTGCTGAGGCGTGAGAATCGAGACAATGCTACCGATGGCATTGAAGGCAGCGTTGTTGGGCGCGAAGATCGTGACATCCCTGTAATTACTCCTTTTAGATGGTTTACTGAAGAAAAGCGGAGTCATAATGCGTGTCTCGGGAGCAAAGGCTTTGATACGGGCTAGAAGAGGAGATTCGCGCTCAGGGCATGGGAATATGGTGAAATAAAGGACTCGAAAATGTACATACGACATGCTCGAAATAGGACGCGACAGATTAGTGCTCGTGATAGCTCCCGAAGCCGCCGTTAGATTGGCATTCGCAAGGGTGTCGGTGACATTCCCAGGGATGCTCAAAAAGCCATCGACGATGTGGATCATGCCTCCGGTGAAGTTGAGGGTCTGCAGAATGTCAGTTGCGACGTCGAGGATTAAGCCGGGCTTTTACTGACCGAGATTGAAGAGATGTTCTGCTTCTCAGCACTGAGGAACGTAATATTGTGGCCCGACATCCGGGCTTCAACACGCTGACCTCCTGTTACATTGCTGAACGTTGAGTTCGTCAACATCGTTGGAATAAACATCGAGCTGTTGCTAAAGGACGCATTGCTGTAGCTCCCGTTCAACACATGGTAACTCAACAGTGCCTGCACGTAGCTAGGGTCACCAAGCATGGAGTTGCCAGCGCCGTTGATGCTGGCTAACGCGTCGTTGTTCGGAGCCAGCAGGGTTACTGGATTCAGGGGTAAGCTGGTGCTCTCTCTGCGATGCAATATTTGTGGGAATATCCAAGCAAACTGTGTGTCAAGCGGGGCTGCCCTGGTCAAAGGAACCGAAAGAGGGTCGATTGCATACCATTTTGCATATTATTGAGCTGGTCAACAAATCCCGGGTTCTGCGTCAACAATACTGATACCTCTATTAATTCCACAACAGGAATAAGAGGCACGATACATACCGTTGAGGCTCGAAAGCGAGCCCACCGACCCAAGCATGTCAGACAAACTTGAGTTTCCAGTCAAATTTTGAGCTGAGGCTAGAGAAGCCAAAGCCAGGATAGGGGTGTTTTTGATCTGCATCGCGACAGGCACAGTGAAAGCAAGATATTCAGCAAAATCGTCAGAACAGTGATGGGATGTGATAAAAAAAAAGATGTTCTTGCATCAATCCACGGGACATTCAAATTTCATATACTGAGAACATTCCCCATTATACATGCCGACCTACCCAGGAAAGGCTCCCTCTCCTCATCGCTAATGAGACCATGACATCAAGATCCAGGTCCAGATGCGACTCTTCTGGCTCCCGTCCAACGTAACACACGTAGCAAATCAGGGGTACCCTGAGTATTACGATCAGTTTCTACACTAGTCTATCACTAGCATACATCCGACTATCCCAAGGGCTAGGGAAAGCTAATATTGTACTACAAGGTCGGTTTCCTCTGAACAGACGATGGCATCCAAACTCGGCCAAGTATTCCGATCCAGCTCGTTCAAGCAGCTATCCCACTCAGTGAACTGAAGCACATTTCCAATACTTGAAAAGAAACATCCTCTCATAGCTATCCTCGCCGTTCGTTGACCAGAACAGAGACTGAATATCTCGTGGGACGGCTAGACGGCAGTGTCGTCAGTAGAGTTCATACCAACCTGCAACATCATGCACTAGTTGATGCTACCAAGTCCCGCCGTTGACCTAACCCCCGCATTTCGGGTACCGGAACAGCGATCCAGAATGCGGGAATGCGGGTGGTGGTCCTAGATTTTCAGAACTAAATACACCGAGGAGCTTGGCATCATCATCTGGACTATCCACTAGAGGATGACATGAATAAAGGCCTTGGTTCTTCTACAGTAGTACGCCGGTCCTTTGGGACGTCATTAAGACGGGCCCGATACGAGCTCCTCCAGGTAGGTCATGACTCGATGTTTGACATTCACCACTTGCCTCGACGAGTCAACTCAAGGCAAGCGTGGCTTTCGCCACTGGTCGAGGATGTCGTATACCCCTATTCTTCCCCCAGAACTACCACCACGGCCGTCCAACACCCATTGCCCCAAGCCAAGTGGTATGTGCTCAAACAAGTGAGTCCGTCTCCTTTTCGTTCCTTTTCTTCTTGTCCGCAATCCAGGCCATTACTTCCGTCTCATCCTCCTGTCGAAAATCCAACCAGCCGGAGACAGCAAGCAGTAAAGAGAACATGACGATGCAAGAACACAACCAGCGGGATGCCAGTCGCGTCTTGCAGCTTCGGCCAATGACCTGCGCACCATGTAGGCTTTGTATAGTGTGCCACTCGCAGCTCCAAGTGGTAGAAGCTGATGAGTGTTGGTCTATTCCCAGCTGCAGGTCCATAGATGGCGCGATCACCAAAGCGCCTTGACTTTCGAGTGTGCCAATGATTGACGCCAGAACAAATGCCGAGCCAGCGAGAGTAGCGTTGACCAGTACTATCAAGAAGAAGCCCTTTCGCAGCCAGTGTTTCGTCTGTCAATACTCATCAGCGACCGTCAGGAGGAGTTGCGAGTCTGGACATATCTTACCCACGCTGCACCCTTCCCAAAGAGAGAGAAGTGCCACGCCTCTATGACAGCCGATACCGACAAGCTGAAGCCTGAGCTGCCGATCAAAAGTTGCTCTGTCGGGGTGTACGAGCTACTGAAGTCGGCGAGCTCCTTGGACCATGCGATGAATTCAGGGGTCGCATTGAGCTGGAGCAGTGCCCATAGTCCCAGCAGAATGAGGCTAATGGTAGCGACTGCTGCGGAGGCAATCACACGACACCTTGTTCTTGGTACGCTATCATTATCGGAAAGCAGTCGGATGGCCATGGCGAGAATGAAGGAATGCCCAATTGTGTAGATTTGATTGAGAGGACGACGTGAACGAAGGGTGGCCTCCTTGCTTGACGACTTGTCATGCTATACACGGCCGCCTCGAAGGATGCACCTACTAGCCTCTCTAGAGAATGACGATCCGCAGCTTTTGGCACTCCTTCGGCCCTGCTCTGATGATTATTTTTGGATGTTGCTTAAACTGGAAGCCTTGAGAAGGATCGTCGACCCAGTTGTCTCGGCCATCTAGTCGCGGCTGTCACCAGCCCTGCAGGCGGGTCGCGGAAACCTGTCCGGTTTCGGTATTACTATGGCTGTATACAACGCTCCGATTGGAGACCGCCTCCGCCACACAGCTCCCTTGGTACACCTTCGGGCCAAGACAGGATTCCACGGCGGAGTTCCACACCAACTAAGTCTTACGATTGCGGATTACTCCAAAGCGCATCCTGTCGCGAATAACTGGATACTTGCAACACGCATGTGTCGCTGGTGTGTGCCACTTTGATACAGGTGACATCAAACATACATAAACTGCGAAAGCCGGCACAATTCAGCCTTGCCATAGTCCATTTCTTGCAGTACGTAGCTAGGCGGCAAGCAATCATTGTCATGCACACTCCATAGATGTTGCGAATCTACTCGAAGACGTGCAACGGCGGCCGGTCCTTGACCTTCAGGCAAGTCATGATCCCTTCACCCGAGCCCCCATTGACACCTGTGCGTTCATCTTGAGCTGGTGGTTTCAAGTCCCTCCTGAAGCCTCTTTGATATGTCGTTCATAGCTGCGGCTTGCTTGGACATCCCAGCCAGCAGCAGAGCTAGATCTCGGCCTGCCATGGCGAAGCTGTTGCACAAGTCAGCATTACCACTCTCGTACTGCAGTGATAAATCATGGGCGAGCTGACCGAATAGACGGATGGCGCTTTGCGAGCTCTTCCAGCAAATCCGGTCTCGGTTCAAGTCCGCCCAAACCCACAAAGACTTTACGTCCGTCTTTGCTGGCTTTCTCGGCGGCGCCAGCGATGCGAGCAACGGTAGATTGGAAAAGCTCAGAGTCGTATTGCCCTGGAATCCCCAGTTCCATACATAGATCTGCACAGCCGACCAACAGGGCGTCAATACCCGGAACAGCAGCGATTGCCCTACCGAGTGGTCAGTAACCACGAGCTGCTGAGACGAGATGGACTTTGCGGAACTTACTCAACATTATCCACGCCTTCTTGCGTCTCTATCATGGGCATGATCATCACCTCATCGTTCACGACTTCACCGATAGCCGCGTACGAGAGGGATATCGTGTATTGCGTGAGCGCTGTCACCATTGTGACGGATCGGTGGCCCTGCACGATGTGTCAGTCGAGATGTCAAGACCGGAACGTCAGTTTCGAGCCTTACGAGGGGAGGGAACTTCGATGCATTCACACACATCTTTGCTTGTTCAACGTTGTTCACATGGGGCACGATCACCGCCATTGCCCCCGAATCCAGGCATCGCGAGATCCATTCTGGTGCACACGTAGGAACGACTGCAACATCCAGAGTCAGCGATCATTGCCCATCCCGAGTTTCATACCAACGAATGTAATCAACTCGCAGGTTTATCGAAGGATGGTCGGCGACCAGAGCGTCAGGGAAACAGAGGGACGAGGAAGAGTGGTGCCACCTTACCGACCATCGGCGTAATGCTGTGGGCCTCAGTTAGCTGCGATCAAGCGTGTGGTGGAGAAGAGGACCCGTCGGCTGCTATCCGTCGATAGTCCTGATACGGACCAGGGGCTAGCGGGCGAGGAAATGGGCGGGTTGGCGAGTGCCGAACTCGACTTACCCGACATTGAGAGCTGATACTGCCACGTCCTTCATCGTCTCGATGCTCATGGCCATGTGCTCCAGGTTCATCAGGATGGCGCTGTACCCAGCCCTCTTCGCGACAAGGGGCATCTCAGTGCTGAAAGCGATTCTGATGCCAAACGAGTGAGCCAGCTTGTTCTCGTTCATGAGCTGCTTGACCAGATTGGGCCGGCATGATTCCCGCGCGAGAGCGAGTTGCTCGGCAGGCACCTTGGACGGGTTGTTGGTGTTGGTGTTGGAGGCCATTTCGATGATTTGCTCAAGATAATGCTGATAGAGTTACAGATTATGATGCCCGAGGCCTCCTTGGGATTGTTGGGCATACCCTCAACTTATCTGCTTCCTCTCCATCCCGACCAGCCTGTATCTTATGGTTGTCTGCTAAAGAGCCCGGCCGGACGTACGATGCTCCACATGGCGGCTTGATTGTCGCTGCTTGGACAGGCCGCCGACCGAAGAGGATGATCGGCGGTTCGTACAGAACCTTATCAACGGCCTCCGTCGGGCCGAAGGCCGACTGATCAGACACAATCAACGTTCAAGTTCGACTCGTGAACCCCAGTCGAAGCCAAGTGCGGATGTTCTTGATAGCTGCCAACCCCAGATAGGAGGGACTGGAGAGCCCAGAAGCTTTGCTATCACTTGGCTGGAGTGCTGATACGATAATGCTGGATTGCTGATACGATAATGATACGACAGATAGGCCACCTCCTTACGACGGCTGGGCGAAATCATATAATTCCCAGTCTCGCTTGACGCATGGCTGTATCTGGGATGCCTGCCTATCCCCTGATCATAGCTATTCACTTGGGATAGTCATCTGTATCCCTATCCAACATGGCTGCCGACAGCAAGGACGTGACCGAGATGTCTCGAGTCACATCAACTCGAGTAGCCGACACGGAGATGGTGCCGCCGCAGAAAATCGGCATTGGCACACGCATTCTATATCACATCTGGGATGCTGATCAACATCTGAAGAGCCCCGAAGTGCGTTTCCTTGCTCTTCTTTCTCCCTCCCTCGTGTATTTCTGTGTTCCACTCAAAAGGGGTGACGGTAAAGGGGCGAGCTAGGACATACCCTGTCCCATCTCTTGTCAACGGTGCTGATATACTGCGATTCAGGAGCGTGCACTCGTGCGAAAACTGGACTTTGGCAGTACGTAGCAGCCCATCCATTCCCTGTGTTGATCTGGTGTCATCTTGTACTGACTGTAGATGGCCACAGTTCTGATATGCTCAACACTTGGTTGGGTCAGTCCCGTCTCCAACACCATGTTCGTCCGACCCAGAACTGATACACAACACAGTGGATGAAGTACATAGACCAAAGCAACATAGCGAATGCCTGTGAGTCTGAGCCCCTTCCCATGGTGCTTCTCATACCCCAAATTCTGACTAGATTGAAGATGTGTCTGGCATGAAGGAAGACCTCAATATGCATGGAAACGAGTACACGTATATGCTCAGTAAGTCCTTTGACTCTCTTGCGCCTCGTATTGATGTTATCATCCCCCGACTTGGGCGCTGACACATGGCAGTGTGCTATACCATTGCTTTCGCGATCATGCAGATTCCATCCAACATGCTTGCTCTGAAGATCAGTCCTCGAATCTGCCTCGTAGTATGCGAGATAGGGTGGACAGCTTTTACGTAGGTCAAGATACAAGAAGATCCTTGGGCGCCATCTGATAACACGAGGTTAGCTTTGCGCAAGCTGCTGCCAGGTCCCCCAACGAGATGTGTATGTACATTTTCGAGTCTTTCATTTCCCCATATGGCCATGCCCTGAGCGTGAATTCCTTCTTCTAGCCTGTGTTAAGAGCTTCTGCTCCCGAGACACGCATTACGACTCCATTTTTTCTCGGCAAACCACCTAAATGAAGCAATTACTGACTCCAATTTGCTACCAGACGCTTTTCGGTTCATGGTCGGGATTTTCGAAAGCGGATTCTCCCCTATCATTATCTTCCTAATGGGTAGCTGGTATGATGACCTTCCTTTTCCTATTCCTGTTTATGCATTCGACGTCGGCAAAACGTTGCCGGATATTTGTCCATCGATTCTGGAAAGTTGACGTTCATCCTGTCGCAGGTACAACAAGTCCGAGCTCGCGAAGAGGATAGCCATATGGCATATCACGGGGTTCTTTGGTTCTGCGACCTCGGGTTTCCTCCAGGCGGGGATTTACTCAACTCTTGACGGCCACCTCGGCTTGCCTGGTTGGCGTTGGCTGTACATTATATGCGGCTGCATGTCACTTCCGGTGGCGCTTTCAGGTGAGCTACACGAGTCATATTCATGGCATCACGGCTGGCATTGAAAGCGTTGCAATGTCTCGTGAAGAGCGGCCCCGCGGCCTTCCCGCACAACCCTTTTGCCAGCCTATATTGTCATCAACAATGACTAACATCCATTCAGTCTGGTTCCTCCTGCCCGATTACCCACACAATACCAAAGCGTGGTACATTACCGAGGACGACAAGAGACTTGCCATGCAGCGCTCAGCAAACCAAGGCAAAGCTGACATCACTGGTGTCATGGACTGGAAGCTAGCCCGCCGCATGTTCGGCAATTGGCGGTGGTGGGTTTTGTGCCTGATGTATATCTTCGTACGTCCCTACTGTACTATTCTCCTCATTCATTGGTCCAATTTGGAAGTGCGGAACGGAACATCGAGACTAACAAGGAGCAGTACGGAAATTCATGCCAGGCGAACCAATACTTCAGCGTCTACCTCAGTGAGTTGAATGTTCCCGAAGCAACTTCTGGTGTAGGCGAGAAACAAGACTGATCAACTGTAGAATCTGTTGGCTACTCGGTCCAGCTGAGGAATGTCATTCCTGCTTGCGCCAATTTGACCAGCATGGTAACAGACTTTGGTTGGGGCATGATGTCCGATATGTTCCAAAATCGCGCTTACTGGATTGCTGGGCCTTTGGCAAGTTCCTCATGCGAGTTGACTGGAACTTGGAGTTGCTAATGCGTGGATCTCTAGCTCTGCACCACGGTTGTTGGATCCACCATCCTGACCGTCTGGCCTGAATCGGATACCCCAAAGATCGTGGCATTTTTTTTCTGTGCTTCGGGAGTACGTGTCTTTTCTCTGCCTCTCCGCCTTTTCTTTCCTGCTTCGACTGTGAACCCCATTCCCCTTTGCGTCCGGTCCACCAGGTCACGAATGGCTGGGTGAAGGGCATCAAGCTCTGACCCCTACACGACGTTTTGTCTCCATTTCTACAGAAATCTTACTAACGTGGGATCTGCAGTACGTCACCGCTGTTACATGGACCTGGGCGAACGAGATCAACAACGGCCACGCGGAAGAGCGAGCCCTGACCATCTCGAGCATGAACGGGCTCTTCTACGCTACCAACTCCTTCCTCCCAATCCTGATCTTCCCCCAAACAATGTCACCGCGCTTCGAGAACGGATATCCGAGTATTCTCGCTTTCGCGCTGATTGCCATTGTCCTCGTCCGTAAGTGGTACCCCCATGCTGAAAGATCTGGTGTTCCTCGCAGTGTTCGTTGCTGACGCTCATGGTGCTCCCAGTCTTCACCGATTTCATGCACAAGCGTCAGTTGCGTCAGGAAGCGGAGGCTGCGGCTAGTATACCCCCGGCAGAGGTAACGCAGGAGATGGCATCCCAGAATGAACTGGACAACAAGCTCGTGGGTGCTGTACAGGCCGTCAAGGGCTCGGTCGCCATCATTTGAGCTGTGAATCGAGACGCTGGATAGTAGAGCGAAAACTGTACGGTCTGAGTGTTCGTGACGTGGTGGACCTGGGGCCTCTCGATGACGTTGAGCTGTTGAGCCGCAATTATCGCATCTGGGGGCGCCTTGCGAGAAGCAAGAAGCTGTGGCAATATGCAACGATTTATTCCACGAATAGAAGCGTTCGTCGAAGAACTCGGTAGTGGCTTAGACGTGGACGTTCTCAAGCGTGAGTCATAGACTAAGGTCGGATGGTGCACAATGGAAAACCCAGTTCTCAAGCTTCTTATGCCAATAGCATGGACTTGGAATAACTGCATATCGGTTGCTTATACCACTATGGCGAATTGGGAGCGACTGATTGCTGTGCAGGATACTAGGATCGACACATGCTCCTTCATTCTCTTCCTCTTCTCCGCATCCAACCATCCAACCATCCGACCGTCGAACTGAACCAGCGCCGACATCCCCGCCATGGAGACGAGGAGCAGATTCCGAGTCTTGGTTCTCAGCAAGACGGCAGGGTACAGACACGAATCAATTCCCGCCGGGATCGAGGGCATCAAGAAAGTCGGCGCATCCGGGAAGTTCACCGTCGACGCCTCGGAAGACTCGACGCTGATCAGCGTCGACCACCTACGGCGATATGCGGTGGTAGTGTTCCTGCAAACCAGCGGCGACTTTTTGAATCAAGAGCAACTCGGCGCACTAAAGACCTACATGAAGAACGGCGGCGGGTTCGTCGGCATACACTGCGCCGCCTCGGCCATGTTCACGGAACCATGGTACGGCGAGCTTATCGGCGCCATCTTCACCGACCACCCCGAGCCGCAGAAGGTCGTGGTCCGCGTCGAGAAGGGGAACCATTGCATCGTGGCTGGGCACCCGGAGGAGTTCGCCTGGCTTGACGAGTGGTACAACTTCAGGGCGAACCCGTCGCGCGACAAGGTGACGGTCTTGCTGTCGATTGATGAGAAGGGCTACGAGGGCGGGAAGATGGGTGATGACCACCCACTGGCCTGGTGTCAGGAGATTGATGGTGGGCGAAGCTTCTACACCGCCCTGGGCCACTTTTCTGAGGCGTATGAAGATGACAAGTTCATGAACCACGTACTCAATGGCATTCTGTGGGCAGCGGGTATGGTCTAGATACAGTTTTCGGGCTCGGTCTCGACTCTTGAAGCGGTCGCGAGAAACTACTTCATAGAACATGGTATCGAAGAGGGTCACCATCTTAGACCACGGCTCTACGTCAACGGGTGAACGGGGCAGCCAGGGAATTGAACGCCTGCTCAGTGCTGATGCCTTTGCAGGTTTATCATTGTCCACCACCCAGGTTCCTCTTCCCAGTCACTCTAAGCTGCGCATCTCCGAAGGGTCCATCTACGATGTAACCGTAGACTTGACCGGGGTGTTTTTCTCCAAAGAGGGGAATACCTCACCCCTCGCTCACAACAACTTACAAGCTGCAGCAGGCTCACTCGTGGTCCCCAAGAACCTGAAGTGACAACCAGTGCTTTCCATGGACTATGAGCTCGTTAGCTTCACACATCGTCTCGAAAACTGTTACGGCACCTCCCCTGACCAAAATGCATATGGCTCGTGGCATCTGGGATAGGGGGGAGTGTGTATGCCAGGTTCCCCGCAGCCCCCGCAACCCGCCCTCGATAGTTCAGTTTTGCCCAGCCCCGTCCCCGCACGGCTTCCGGTTCTTTAGCCGGCGGTCGTGATCTGGAACCATGAAGAGGATATCGTCGGTGACGCAATGTGCCGACCCACGGGGAGGGAACCTGGAGTATTTAAAGATGGGCTGCAGTGCTGCTGATGGCGGCAGGTTGGTGATTCTCTCACCCAAGCAGACAAGACTACCCATCACACGGGAAGTGTAATTAGCCATCATGTTGGGTGCGATACTGCTGTGTCTGCTCCCGACTGTTGCTCTAGGTCAGGGTGATGTGAAGTGTAAGATCTAGGAATTTTCAATACTGGGTCATGGGCCACCCTTTCAAACACTCCTTACTGACCACCGAGCTCAGGGATAACTATCGACGGGGACAGTGCCGCTCCCTCGTTCTCTCTGGCTTCATGCAACATCTCCTACCAGTTCCACGTCGATCCCCTCACTTTGGATCTCATCCATGATCATTGGGGCGCGTATGCAGCTGAGACTGTCCCGCAGTTCGACGGCGTCACCGGCGGCTGGGGAGGCCCCTACACCTATTCCCGTGAGTAGCATTCCTCGGGGACTGCGACTCGGCAGAGTCCTCTGTGTCCCTGGTAGTTTCTACTCTTGCAACACGCCCCGGCTATTGAATAATCTGGGAAATTTCTCGAGGGCGACTGCTGACTCTGGATGCGACAGTCCGCGAGTTTCCTGACTCTGGGCGAGGTATGTGCATTTTGGAGCTCCTTATTGCCCCTTCTGGCCGTGTCCTACGGGCGAATTTCCCCTTGTGGCCTGTGTTAAGAGCCATTGCTCCCGAGACACGCATTCCGGCTCTTTGTTTCTCGTCGAAAAGGAGTAATTACTGACTCTAATTTAGGTGACTTCAGAATACCAACTATTCACATCGAACACTCTACAGGCGATACAGTGTCAGCCTTTGCGTATACTTCGTACGAGGTCAGCGCCGGTAAACCTGCGCTTCCGGGCTTACCGGCAACCTTTGGCGCTGATGGTGATGTGTCGACGCTCACGATACACATGTACGACAACTATTCAAGCATCGCGGCAGATCTGTACTATTCCATCTTCCCCAGGTACAACTCGGTTGCGAGAAGCTTCCGGATAACCAACAATGGGAGTGAGGAGGTCAAAATCCTTCGGGCGAGTAGCTGGAGCATTGATATGCCGAATGAAGAGCTGGACATGATTGACTTGCATGGTGACTGGGCTTCTGAGGCTCGCGTAAACCGGCGAAAGGTGGTATACGGCGAGCAAGGGTGAGTTGCGCCTTTTCCCATCATTCTTCCTCTTCCTATCAGTAATGGCTTCTCCTGCGACCTTACATGGCAGGACGATTGCTTCAGCAAAGGCATTGCTCATGGGTACAGCTGACCATCATCGTATAGCTTCCGATCAACAGCTGGATACTCTAGTCATTTCCACAATCCCTTCCTGGCCCTAGTTTCTCCCACAACCACCGAGTTCCTGGGCTCGGCGACAGGATACTCACTGATATACACTGGCTCGTTCGCTGCTACAGTGGAAAGGTGGTCCACGGGCTGGGTCAGGGTGCTTCTGGGACTCAACCCACTGCATTTATCGTGGCCGGTTGCCCCAGGCGAGACGTTCACGTCACCCGAAGTGGTGTCAGTCTTTTCGAATGATAAGGGGTTGAATGGAATGTCTCAGTCGCTCCACGCATTGTACAAGAACCACCTCTCACGATCCAACCACACCTTTGAGACGAGACCGCCACTTCTCAACTCATGGGAGGGGCTCGGATTCGATTTTAATCAGACTTCGATGGTTCATCTCGCGCAGCAGGCGGCTGAGCTTGGCTGCTCCCTGTTTGTGAACGATGATGGGTGGTTCGGGACGACGTAAGATGCGCCCTCAAAACCATCTTCGAAGTTGATACTGAGTAACCTTTTCAGCTACCCTCGCGACAACGACACGCTGGGGCTTGGAGACTGGACACCGCAGCCTGCCAAGTTTCCCGACGGACTTGGGCCGTACGTCGAGGAAGTAACAGACATTACGGTCGCGAACACGACGTCCAAGATGACGTTCGGTCTTTGGGTTGAGCCAGAGATGGTTGATCCCAAGTCCAATCTCTACAACGAACATCCCGTAAGAATCTTGTCAAGACCTTGTCAACACGTTGATGCCTTATTAACACAAAGCGACGCAGGACTGGGCAATGCACGCCCGCAGTCACAACAGGACTCTGGTGCGGAATCAACTCGTACTGAATCTCGGGCTGCCCGATGTGCAAGACTACGTCATCAGCACCATCGAAAAGGTACTCGACTCTGCCGATATCAGCTACATCAAGTGGGACAACAACAGAGGCATGCACGAGCTGCCTTCCCCAGCGGCCAACCACGCTTACATGCTCGGAATGTATCGTGTAATCGATAACTTGACGCAGGCGCACCCAGAAATCCTCTGGGAAGGGTGCGCGTCAGGGGGTGGACGGTTCGATCCGGGATTGCTGCACTACTGGCCGCAGAGCTGGACTTCGGATGACACAGACGGACTGGAGCGTCTGTTCATCCAATTCGGAACCTCGTACGCATATCCCCCATCATCCATGGGCTGCCACGTCTCCGTCGTCCCCAATGGGCAGACCGGTCGAACGACTCCGTTGGCTTTCCGGTCTGCAGTAGCCTCCATGTGCGGAAGCTTTGGCTTGGAACTGGATCCGTCGGATCTCGAACAGGCGGACCTGGATGCCATCCCGGGGATGATCGCCCTTCAGCAGCAAATCAACCCAATCGTCATCAACGGGAATTTCTATCGACTAGCAACACCTGACGAGTCCAACTGGCCAGCCGCCATGTTCGCCTACCCAGATGCTAGCTCGGCGGTCCTGTTTGCGTTCCAAGTGCGGTCGTCTCTCAAACCTCTCCCTCCGCCTTTGAAGTTGAAGGGACTTGACCCAGATGCGAAGTACACGGTCGGCAACGGCACGGTGGGCACGACCTGGTCGGGGTCGACGCTGATGAACAAAGGGCTGAGCTTGAGCTGGCCTACCGTGGACTATCAGAGCATCATATTACAGCTGCAGAAGCAATGAGCTCTTGGATAGATAGTATATATTATTTCCAAGCATAGCAAGATCTCGTGTGACGCAGCAAATGGCGAAGGGAACTGGCCGTGGTCTTTTGGCGAAGTCGATGACAACGAGAGCCAGCACATGCGCATACTTGTTGCCTAACCCCCAGTGGCCAATGGCACGGTGGCTGCCTCACAGTGTCTTCCAGTCATGCGCGTTCTCCCACGCTGCTGCAACCTTCAAGCAGTCGACGTCTGCGTATTTTTTGCCCACAATCTGTAGCCCAACAGGCAACTTCACGTCGGGGTCTTCCCTTGCAGGTACGAACCCGACTGGCAAAGAGAGAGCAGGGTGTCCGGAGTCTATCAAGCATGGACCGTCAGCAGCCGATCCAGGTCAATGTGTGGCTACTGTCACTTACTATTGAAAGCGCAAGTGTTCGCCAGCATTCCCGTAGTCCTGCCCAAGAACTTCACCGGGCTATCATCGTACCCCTTCTCCGGCAGTTGAGCTGGTGAGTGCGGTAGTGTTGGCATGACGAGTACATCGACCTCTTTCAAGGCATTATCGTATGCGTCCTGCCACGTTGTCAGGAATCCCATTGGCTCTCCACGTCCTGCCCACTTACGCTGAGCGTTTTGAGAAAATTCATGCATCTGCCGTGAAGTTTCGGCCCGTACACCTCCTGGACGTAAAGATAGCCCATGTACATGTTCGCTGCACCGGGACCGAGAGCGTCGAATTGGGCCTGGGTGAGTTTGGTCCCGACCAATTCTGCCCGATCGGTCAGGTGAAGCTGTTTCCTCCCGTGTACGTCGCCAAGTAGAGCCTCCCGCGCACCGGAAAGCGGGATGGCGCACATCCACGGAATCGGCGCTTCCTTGTGGAGAGGAACTGATACTGAGGTGACCGTTGCCCCGAGAGCACGGAATTTGTCGATCGCAGAGCGGACGGATGCTACGACGTTCGGGCCCTGTCCCGGGACATCAAAGCCCTCCATCAGCACCCCGATCTTTACTCCCTCCAGCATTTTCGAGGACTCTTTGGCCGTTATGGCATCTACAGGCGCCACGAACTTGAGCCTATCTCCCTCGAGACCAAACGGCGGTTGTCGGTCATCCCAGCCGTCGGGCCCTGCGATGACTTCAAGGAGCAGAGCACAGTCCCTCACAGTCTTCGCCATGGGCCCGGCATGGTCAATCGTAGCATCGAGACTCAGGATACCAGTGTACGGCACCAATCCCCAAGTCGGCTTGAGTCCGACGATACCACACGAAGACGCCGGAATGCGGATGCTGCCGCCCTGATCACAGCCGATGGCGAAGTCGACGGATCCAGTTGCCACGAGGCGCCCCGAACCGCTGCTGGAGCCTCCAGCGCTGTAGCCCTTGGCATATGGGTTGTGGACCTGTCCGGTGACTGCCGTGGCGGACATGCCCTCCATGCACGAGTTTTCGCAAGCTTGCGGTAGTCGGAAGTAAGTCTCCATGAGCTAAAAGGCTAGCCATGGTTACTGCTTACCGGCCTTGCCGACAATCGTGGCTCCGGCGTCCATTATCCAAGTCGCGATCGTAGCATCGATCTCAGGCACCCAATCGACCATGGTGCTCCCGTTGGTGCAGCGCACACCTGCAAAAGCCATGTTGTCCTTCAGCGCCACGGTCTTGCCTTTCAGGAGGTCGCTAGTAGGGCTTGTGCATTTCGCCGTCACCTGGGCGACTTATCAGTACCGTAAGCTCTTGCAAGCCTCCTCTAGGAAATGAGAGAGGGAACGTAACAGAAACACCGCACCTTGGTCGCCCAAGCTCCCATCTCATTGTCCTCGGGGATATGGATGTCAGTCCGCGGGTACTTCTCCAGATCCGGCCGGGGCAGCACCGACTTGGCGTCCGGCAGAGAGGCGATGGCATCTTCCAGGCTCGACACCAGCTTGCTGAAGTCGTCGAGCAGCGGTGCGGAGAGCTCCAGGCCGGCTTTTGATAGCAGTGGTTTCAGATCGTCTCCGGTCACTGAGGAGCCGGACCCGAGTTTGAAGAGCGACATGATGAGTACTTGGGCTCTCGTGAAACAGTCCTCCGTTACCTGTTGAGAGTGGAAGGCGAGCCGGCTGCGAGGAGTATACGATAGCTGACTAATTCTTGACGTCACATATGTACGTGAGGAGCTCACGAGGTCCTTTTGGCCTTCCGGGCTCAACTCCCGGCCGCCCCACCTCGACCGATGTGCTTTCCGACAACGGCTGCTGCAGGTAAGCATCTCTAATATCGAGTTCCGGTTTTCATCGCCCGAACGTCCTGTCGCCGTCGCCGCACCCAGCTTCAAGGCATCGATGTGATAATCACAAGTACAAGTTGGTGGACATGAATGGAATTTTCCGTGTACGGCCAACATTGGCAAGGGACGATAGATGCGCCGGAGATAAACATCATTGCTGCTCAAGCATATCGAAATTGGGACTTCAAAGCTCGTCATCTGCTATCTCATCGACCGCATTCAGCGCAAAGTCTGGACTTTCGACGGTATCATATGGTCTTCCGACGGTATCTTGTCCTGGCCATCATCTCTAGATTCTCTCTGTGGCCAGGATTGGTGTTGCTCGCGCCGTATCCAGCTGTTTGGGTATCAATGTGGCTAGGTAGGCATTGTTCGTCCCTCGGAGTAGCTGGATAGTAGATGAATACAAGAAGTGACGATTCGAAATCTCCGAAAACTCGATCGCAATTCTTACATCCATGATACCCTGTCATTCTGCATTCCCAATTATTTGGCTGTAGTTCGGTTCAGGTCGACAACATATTTCGATTCACCGGGATGGTCTGGTGTCTCATGCTCGATTCACTAAGTCTCGCTGTTGAAGCTTTGCTAAGCCAGGAAACCGTACGGCAAGGAAGCTGGTGCGGAGGGCCATTGAGATTCCGATGATGACGATGAGCATGATTCGGCCTCGGAGGATGAATGGAAGGGGTTCGAGGTAAAGCATACAGGTTCTCTTGAGAGACGATGTCTTTGATTGCGTTGGATGATGGATCTAGGAGGCCAATGCCCCGGCAGGCGGTGGGGCAACGAACCAGGCAGCTGATTGGCCACCTTTAATTGGGCACTCCGAGACGCGACTTGCCTGGCCGACCGCGTCGCGGCTAACGATCCCCCTACAACGTATTGACTTCGCGTCCTTGTGAAAAGACGACTGATGAATCGCAAAATATTCTACCACACCAGAAACCAACATGCTCAGACAAGACTACAACCGCATTGACCCTAAGAGGCGCAATGTTCTCGATTACCGCAAGAAGCAGTTCGCCGATCCCGCCTACAAGGAAACCGAGTACCCGCATCGTCTGAACTTCTACGCGACCCCTCCAACAGCAGACATCACGCTCGAGCAGTTTGAGCAATGGGCCATTGACAGGCTGCGAAGTACGTCTACCGTCTACCAACGACGCGCTTCCTTTTCCTTGCTCTCGCTGACAGATACACGCGCAAGTCCTCGCCGAGCTGGAAGCATGCTCGTTCCGCAACAAGTCACCCGCCGAGACGGCGTCACACATGAAGCCGCTCCTCGAAAAGTACCTCCCGCTCGACTCCAACACGTCGTCGTCATCGAAACTCTTTGCCGAGCGTCAGAAAGACCACTACAGCCACTTCATATTACGGCTTGCCTTCGCGTCAACTGAAGATCTGCGACGGAGGTTCAGCCGCGTTGAGACCATGCTGTTCCGCCTGCGACTGAACGAGGACACCCTACGCGAACGAAATGCATTCGTGCAAAGCATCAATCTCGACTGCGAGCCGGTGACAGAAGAAGAACGGAATGAATATCGCGACGAGCTGGCGGCGACGGCCGGATTCAGAAAGAACAACGAGGACGAGCTGTGGTTCAAGGTGGACTGGGAGCGCGTGCCCGACCTAGTAGAGGGAAGAAGAGTGTTCCTCAAAGCCGGCAAGGCATACGTGCCCTCGAGGGAGCAGGCGAGTATGGTGGTAGCAGAGTTCACTCAGAGACTAGAACGCGCGTTAGAGGTGTGTGCTGTCCGACTTATGGAAAGCTACCTAGGCTTTGGCTGACTCTGTTGTAGCTCACGGCTCGCGCATTACCACGGCTGGACGAAGACGACCGGCTAACACCAATCCTCGACCACTTGTCCAAGAACTTCACCACACCCGATGCCTCGTACAATAGCAGCACCTCTTCCGTGCCCGGTGCTGACATTTCAGCACGCAACGTCGATGCGCTCTCTTCGCACTTCCCCCTCTGCATGCAGCACTTACACCGATCACTCCGCCGGGACTCGCACTTGAAGCACTTCGGTCGTTTACAGTACACGTTGTTCCTGAAGGGAATAGGGTTGAACTTGGAGGAGAGTCTGGTCTTCTGGCGAACCTCCTTCAACAAGGTTTCCGACGACACCTTCAACAAAGAGTACAAGTACAATGTGCGCCACTCTTACGGTGATGTGGGTGGCGACTCCAATCGTCGTGGGGGCGGCTACTCGCCATTCTCATGTCAAAAAATCTTGACAGAGCATCCTCCTGGCCCCGGCGAGGCTCATGGCTGCCCGTACCGACATTTCAACTTGGAGAACCTCAACACGTTGTTGCAGGGTGTAGGCATCTCGGATAGAGCAGTCCTACAGGGGGTCAAGCAAGACAAAGACAGCCAAAAGTTCCACATGGCTTGCAATCGGTAAGGAGCTCCTTCAAAGCCCACTCACAATATTGACTTGGGCTAACCTGCCATGCAGCGTCTTTGAATATGTCCACAAGAAGGAGATTCAGAAGGCCAAAGAGGAGGGCATCATGACTTCGGCGCAACTCGAGACTATTGTGCATCCCAACGAGTACTTCAAGCGAAGTTACTTGCTAAAGAACCTGGGCAAAGTGAAGACCGAGGATGTGAAGATGGAGGGCTAGCCTTGAACGAACTTGGATCTTAACTTTGGTGAATGTTCACGTGGATATGACGAAAAGCGTAGTGGTCTCACCAATGATCGCGGGATAGGTATGGTATACCAGAGGCTTTCTAGGTAGGGTGGACAGCAGCATGGGTACTGCACAGGTGTTACGGCGTTTAGCAATCAACGTTTTGGACGGAATGAAATGCGAATTACCAAGTTGTATTTCCAACAGGGTCCGGCAGTCCGCATGGGCAACAAGTGTTTCGACCGCATCCGGCTGGCTAGAGTCCGGGGTTGACGTTGGGCATGGATGACTTGGTCAAATTTGGACAACACATCAACCATGGTATGAGAGGCTCCATGTCTGTACCTACGGTAGATACCCTAGACCCTTGCCTACCCCATCTCTTGCAAGTTGCAACCCCGTCCGGCAGGGCGCCATGCAGCATTCGTAGTCGCATAGTCGCAGGCCCACAGAAACACCAAGAATTATCTCGAAAGCTGCACAATCAGTCAACCCTCAACGAGCATCGCGAGATGCACTAGCATGAGCAGCCCTTTTCTTCTCTGATCGCGGCGCAAGCCCCCATTCTCAAAGCTCCCCTGTTCTCTGTAAAAGGATTGAGTCTTGGGGGGATACTCCGCTTCTAATCACACCTTGTTTGCATTTTTACCCAGTGCTGCATGACCTTGGCTCGGATGGATCATAGAGCCCCGGAAGTTTTCTCGCGCTACCAGGTTAGCCGCTGGCGTGCCGTCTTCTTGCGGTTTCTAGTAGGTACGTGTTTCTTAGGGGCGGCTTCCTTGCTTTCTGCCTACTGACGTAGCGACCGTCGCCGGCGTCGTTCACGGTGCACCGTGGAGGTCAGGCTACACGAAGGGTCTCATTTAGACGCTATCTTTCTTGAAATTCATACAGGGACTTTAGGGATTATAAGGGTCCGGTGTCACGATGTCTCGGGCGTGTAAGCGTGTAATCCCCGAGAAGGTGAGTGAGGTCTCGTACAGACTACCTCATCTTTTGCGATTAGTGATCCCGCTGGTCGACATGGCGTGCATATTACCTCTACTCGTAGAGAGAGGCAGTATCTAGACGGTAAGGTGCCCAGGGGAGAATCAGGAGTCGTCGGCTTCGCTACCTACTTTACCCTCTAGACTTGAGTGCGTCCGGACCCAAGCGACGCGTTCCTGGCGCCGTCTGTCGGATCCCCACTCCGTGATGGAATCGTCAACATCGATCCCAAGTTGCCAACTGGCTCGCGCCCACAAATCACGCTGTCGCTTCACGCCTGCATGCGTAGCGACCGATGAGGCTAGCATTTTGAACCTTCATGCATCGACCCCCCGTGGACTAGAATCAGTTCTGGACGTCAGCATGGTCCGCAGAAGCTGTCACGGAAGTCGCACGCATAACAAAGCTAATAAAGTAGCAGCATAATAGTCGCCAGCTTTGCTCCGCGCCGAAGTGCCGGCTTCGAGGGTCCATCCCAGAGAAGACAAGGCGCGCGATGATGTCGTCGTGCAGATTGGACCCTGATCGTCAGTCTGGACTCTGGCAGGCCTTTTTTTGCTTTGTTGTCCTGGTGAACCCCACATCCCGCCGCGCCCAGGTCTCTTTCGACGCCTCTGCTGTGTGTATCGTGGGACTTGTTGGTGCTACCTTGGCGCTGTGCAGGTAACGTTAAACCCTGGCTTCCGAAGTGGGAGAAGTTTTGCAGGGTGACATAGGGAAGACGAGATGATGATGTAAGGATGGTAAGCGAGCACGAGTCTGAGTCCGTCAAGGCGGCTTGTGAATGGACTCCCAGCAATGAGGATAGAGGTTGATGCGAAGGTCGGACTCCGCATTTGAAGCCGGTCGGCAAGAACGTCACGTCGCGGTTGTTACGAAGTTCGATTTGGGTTTACCAGCAGTAAATACGAAATATCAGCGACATCAAGCAAAGATTCCTGGCTGGGATCTATTCATACATCTTCACAAGGAGGTAGTGTAACAAACCCACAATAGGCTACGTGAATTATAGAGGAACTATATCAATTTCAATACGTTGGTTGACAGTCAAACCGCGATCCCTACAGCCTAGCCCAACATCTTCTCACAGCCAGCATAAATTTCCGGAATTTATCAACCATCTTTCCTTTCCCCTCCTTTCTATCCAGGCAACCCAGTACCCCTACAAGAACCCACCATGCACTATCTCCACTATCCCCGCCCTTGCCGACGAGTCGTGGTTGCGGCAGAGTCGCGAAAACGCGGGTGGGGATTTCGTAGGGGGATAGGCCCTGGGTCGGGGTACAGTAGGCCCGGCGATGCCAGCGCCGATGGTTAGGACGGGGCTGGAGGGCTGCTGAAGGGAAGAAGGGGTAGACATGGTTGCGATGGAGCTGTTGGAGGTGAGGTCTGATGATGTCTGGCGGTTTGTGGGTGATGGGTGGTGAGTTTGGGAGTGGTGTTGGCTAGTGGTAGGCTGCTGTTAAGGTAGTATAGTAGAAGTCAGAAGTGTCTGTAGATGTTTATTCGTCTTGTATTGCCGTCTTTGTCGTTTTTCTCCTGTCGTCGTTCCCCGTGGTCCGCAACCTGCTCTTCCATGCATTCATCACCCAACCCTGAACATCCGGCCAACCCCTACTCAGCGCGCGCTCGCACTTCGTTCTGCGAGAAATCGTTGCACTATGGATCCCGGCATTGACCCCGTTGTGCGGGCTTAGCGTTTGATGGTATGGAGTTTCTTGGTGCCAGGGCTGAGACTTCGAGCCCGAACTGGGAATTCAACCAGATTCCCGGTGGGGCTTGGAGTGGCAGCAGAGATGTCGCACTCGTACACACGGGACCGAAGTCATTCTGGCGTTCCGACACACAACCGACTGACACCGAGTTGTTTCGCAATGGCAACGTACAAACAGTCATCTCACATTGGACGGCAAGCATATGGAAGTAAGGGGTGTTATGATCAAAGTGTTGTATTTTGTAGAAGTTGTAGCCTCATTGTACCCTTGGCAAACACTCCAATCCCAGTTGTCCTTCCATGGTATCCCAAACCGCACCCCAAAATGAGTACGCCATAGCCAATGCAAGCCCCGAGCTCCAAGCAAGAAAAAGGGTATATCCCAGAGTCACAATGTAGAAGCACTTTTCCCAGTAGATGCGTAGAAAGCCAAGCCCAGCCCAGCGAATGCCCAAGCCACCCCATCCGGTCCCGTAGTCGTGCACAGGGTTGGGAAAATATAAAAGTGCAGAAATGTGTAAGTGAGGCGGTACGCCGAGGTTGCTGGAGAGACGGCAGTGTATTGTGAGTGTGTGAGTGTGTGAATGTGGCTGCAGAGGGATGGTGAAGGAAGCAGGCCGGCAGTGCGGAAGTAAGCCCGCATGGCGAGGAAAGCGTCAGTGGCGGCGCAAGCGGCAACGCCATCGAGTTCCTGCCCGAGTAGGCCACGCAAGCCGCGCTGTCATTGGCTGGGCTGCACCAAGTGCAACTTTAGAAACGCTGATGTTGATTGGCCGCGTGGAAAGTGAGCACGCAGGATGACGTCGGCGCTCTTCAATTCCGTCCCAGCGAGGGGAATTGGAAGTGGTAGAAGCGAGCGTTTTTGAGCATCGTCGCATCAGCTTTGCGCTCTGCGTGGCAAACTCTGTCTTGGCCATGGTGCGTCTGTGCGTGCGTGGTGTTGCGCGATTCAGCAATTGCAACCGTTCACTCCTTTGAGTTGAAGCCACTTGCGGCCAGTCAATTGAATGGTGCGACATCTCCGGGATAGCTGACGACCTCTGAGTCGTGACTGAACTTCCGGAGCAGGCTCCGAAAGGCTGTCCTCATGTCCATGCCATGCTGTGCGGTGGCAAACTGCCATTGCAACGCGACACGAGGTCTCTGGCGCCGATTTGCGACTCCAAATGGAGTGACACTTTGGCCTGTTCCAAGAAAAGGAACGAGTGTGTTGATCCTTACCGCAGAGGATCAATGCAACACGGTGCGACCATCAGGGACCACCATCAGGGTCCAGCTGACAAGTCAGCCAGTCATCCGTTGGACTGGATGCTTTGCAGAACAGTCGCGGTAGCTACCGATCCCCGAAGAAAGGGTATCGGGCAACATCTTGTCGTCGAGTTGCGAAGTGATTGTCGTCGTGTATTGCCAGTCCATGGCAATTATAGACGTGCCCGCCAATTTGAGTCGGCGTGTATGATGGTGATCGGATCCTTCGTCGCTCTAGCCCCTTCGTTGTTGTCTTTGTTGGTAGAGTGGAGTCGGGTCAGGTCGCTGCATGACCAGGTGGATAAATGATTGTTCGTCTCAAGACAATGCCTTTGAGGCAAGTGTCTTCCTCGTCCCGCGAAACTTGGTATTCATATGTACCCAACGTCCTTTGCGCACTTCCGGCAGTAGTAAAGGTTGAACCCGACTTGGACCATGCCCGTCGACGCAAGATCGTCCGTCGAGGTCGTCTCGACGTGACGGGGACACCGCAGACAGCGGAGCACCGCGACCGAGGCCACGGCAGGGCGGGAGTCCATGCTGGATCGGATCGAGAGGTCGGAGTCGGAAGACGAGTACGAGCTGGCCGACGACGTCGACGACGAGCTCGAGTAGTGTGGTGTGTGAGGCCGGGATGACATGATGGGTGGGTGGTGCGCTGGTCTATGGCTAACGCAGCGGGAAGGTGGCTGTTCGGCTGGTTTAATAGTAGAGCGTAGCAAGTGTCGCATGTAGAGCAGGTCTTGAAGATGAAGAAGCTCGGCGGAATGTGAGGCTTGTTTCGTCTTGTTTCGAAACAATGATATTGATTACAGGTGCAGGCCAAAATAGCTAGTACACCAGGGGGAGTATTCCGGGTGAAGGACCCTTTTGAACTGAATGCACAGCAGGCAGGCCGGTCGGCGGCGGTCCAGCTCGCTTCTCGCTAGTACCCACTGGCCGCACGAATATAGAATGGAGTGGTAGGTGGAGATTCCAGGGCCAGGGGTGCGTGGACGGGGTGGGCAGTGGGAGGGTGAGATGGTGTGGGACGGCTTCCTAGCAGGAACTGTGACACTAGCCAGAGGCACAGGCAACAGGCAGGTAGAAAGACTCGCTGGCACGGGTGTCAGGACAAGGGGGCCGTGGTAATAATAATAAGGTCCAGTCGGTAAAAGGTTAGAGGGTGTATGTTCAAGGTTGGTGCCTCGTCGGGCTTGCGGGCTTGGATAGGTGGTACGGTTCGGCTGCACGGAACGGTCGGGCACAAACGGGCTTCGGGCGCAGACTTGTTGTTTTTGTACGTATTGTACCGTGGCTTCAACTAGGTACAGTAACAATATTGGTGACAGTGAAGAGGCAAGGGTTGAGGGACAGGGGTGTCGAACACCAGTCTGTGTGCAGAGCAGCCCAATTGCTTTGGGGTTTGGTTTTGGGTTGGGTCGTCAAAACTTTCTTTCCCAGGGTGATGTTTGCTGTGGCCTGCCAGCAAAGTATGGACTGTTCAATTCAGCAGTATTGCCTTTGGTTGGGCGAGTCGGGGCGGTTTAGGTTGGCTGCTTGTTCAGAGGTGTTCTGGAAGATGAGAGAAATATCCATCCCAAGCAAAGATTTGGAGGCGGCAGCAGAGGGGGTCATATGCTTCCGCATCGAGCTGATCGTCACATGGGGAGGTGCCGACGGCTTGGACGGCTTGGTGTTTGTTAGCTATCCGTGTCTCCTGTATCGAGATCTCACCACTGCGACGGGTGATCGCTGACCAAGAGCTCCGGCCTAGTAGGCATGAACGGGCCTAGTATAGGAATTATATGGGAATTATATGGGAATTATATGGGAATTATATGGGAATGGTGAATGACAGTTGGCGATGAGATCTGAGATCACAAAATGGTAATGAATGGGTTGCGTGCGATGGGCCGCGTTGAGCGTGTAACAAATGCCCGCTACCAGCACTATGGTATGAACGCCCATAAAAATTACATCGTGAGGGTACCACAGGATCCATTTGGCTTGGTTTCATATACAAATCTCCAGATCCCCGATCGTCTGGCTCATCCATTTCCCTTCCCCATCTGCTTGTTTGTAAGTCCGTCGCTGAACTGTCAGCCTTCCACATTGTCACATGCATGATGGATGTGGTGGGCTCCTCTGTTGTTTGGAGTCTCTTTCGTGTGCCTCTGTGGCGTTGATCGTGTCGTGGCTTTCTGCCCTCCTCGGTATACATGGCACTGCATGGGAGCCGCAGGATTACCGGTCGTTACAGAACCCTTCCCTTCCCTACCGAGGCTGCAAGGCGAGGCCGAGAGATATCTATTTCGGGTTTCAAGGTCGTTCACACATTCAAGAGGAAGCCTGGTTGCTACTCGGCGCTTTCAAGCCCCCGGCTGGCATGAGGTCTGTCTCTTCGACTCTCTCACCGACTTCAAGTAAGTTGTAGGTCATATGAGAGAGACCAGCATGGCTGTGGGAGGTCTGGCGTGGGAGGGACAATAATAACCCTGGCCACCTGGGTGCCTCCCTTTGAGTACCGTAGATCTGTACTATCGCATGGCGTGGGGGTCAGACTGGCCGTGGTGATCGCGGATTCAATGAACATGAAATTGGTTGTTCACAGCCCGGCTCTGCATGCTGTAGCCTGTCTGTCAGGTGGTTGGAAAACGGCTCGAGGCGGTTTATTAATTAGTTTGTTCGCACTACCCCTCAAGCCTAGTATCGTGCCCCCCAGATCTCGATTCTCAGCCCAACTCCCGATCCAGGCCCTTCTGCGAATCTGCAGCTCGCCGGGCGGCGATCTTGCTACAGGGGTTTGCAGATCAATCTGAAGGTATCGAACGCGATTCATTCATTCATCATTCATCATTCATCATTCATCATTCATTTGACAGTTCATTTGATGGTCGCCTTCAACTCCAGCAGTTCCGAACCTTCCACGCCATGAAAAGGGATAGCACTCCGGTCTGGTAATTATCTGATGTGCTGGCACCATCTACCATGAGCGTCTCCTGTGCGATGACTTTAGCTACTAGCATCATCATGAATACTGAAGCGGGGAAATCGTCCATGGAGGTAACCGTTTTGTGAACTGACGCGCGGTGCTGATGTCGACAAGTGGTCGACCACAAAACGGAGCATTTTAACCGTAAACTGTCACAGTCACAAGAACGCAAAGCAACTACGTAGCTTAGCATAAGGTTTACAAGGTCTGCGCAACTCCCTTTTCCTGTTTATCAGAAAGGGTATTGCGGACAGTCGCATGAGAAGCAGGTCGTCATGCCCTTCAAACTTCAATCCATTGACATTCACGTCCGTGGCCCGACAAGCTTCTGGGAAACAGGTTCGCCCAAGATCGATCGACGACAGAACTGCCTCTACTATCTAGACTACCCGACGCCCGAACCAGCGACGTGGCGCGAGGCCCGAAAATTGGAGCAAGCCGAGCAGATCATCCCCTTTCCAGTTTCTTTCAACGTCCCCGGATCAGCGTTCCAGGAGCGATCGAACTTTCTCTTGTTTCGTCTGGTGATGAGTACCGGTGATGACTCGCACCAGTACTACAGTAGTAGGGCTGATGACTGGAAACGGTGCCGGGTGCAGCGGTCGACAGTCCCTTTTGTCGCTCCCCTCCAATCCCTCCTGATAAGATCGCGATACAGCCTGTTCATGCTTCTCCTTATAGCAATGATCAGCAGCACTCACTGGTTGACAACTTGACAGTTGTCAGTTCGACGCGATCATCATGGCATTCTTTTGCGCGGTTGGGGCGCAGCCGTCGTCTGACGACGCTCGTCAGGCTGGTCTGACAGGCAACGCGCACCACCGTCTCGGCAGTCTCTCCCTCTCGAAACGCTAATATGAAAAAGGTATGCTGTCAGCTGCCTGTGTCTGCGTGCCGAGATCGCGAGTTGCAGTAGCGGGATCGCAGACTGCGCTTCATCCTTCCAGCCCTCCCGGAGACACAAGTCACAATTCGTTACTTGCCAAGAACAGCCCTCCAATCTGGCAAAAACTGGCGGATCTAACGGATGCCAGACTACTAGCTCGCAAGTTTATTTGAAGCGGCCGTTTGTCCGCGACGCGAAGCGACGCGACACATGATCCCCGGCTTCTGTTCCGCGGTGGTGCGGAATCCTACCTTAAATGGCTGCTTCACGTTGAGTTCCTCGGCCGTTGCTCACCCAAGGTTTGCCCAGCTAAACTCTCTCCTCTCCGCCTGCCGAGAAGGTTTGCAGACGATTGTTCCTGTTGATTTGTCCTGTAATCCGACTGCCTTGCGACTCGCGCAGATACATGTTGAGATGGAGGTTGAGATGATGGAATGGTAGTTCCAGGCTAGGCGCTCTTGGCTAGATCGGACAGGGTGTCTCGATCTGAGCCTCCTGCGAGATTCCTCCGAGAGGGACATGGTGCGCCCGCGCTGCCCGCGAAGCATGCGTTTCATCTTCAGTGGACCGGCGACCGAGTGCTCAAACGAGTCGGACTGTCTTCGTAGCGGCACCCCGGACTTGATTACTACACCCCGTTTCGATATAGCCCGTTACAACGGCCTCTGCGGCGTGGTCGGCCTGCGACCGGATCATTTTACGAGCGCGCCCGCCAATCTGAACTGACAGCCTGACAGGAGCTTTGCGAGAATGGACGGTTGCTATTTACAGGAACGAAAAGGACCCCTAATTCTGTCTGGATGCCAACCTTGCGGCGCCGCGCCCAATCCGTCATGAAGGGTCGTTCGCGGAGCTGCCGTCACCCAATTGGCAAGGCACACCAATAGCGACGTCGACGCCGCAGGATCACAACAGAGGCATAGCGCTCGTGGTCCGCCATTGGTCTATCTGTCTACAGTGCCGCATCTGGGATTGATGAGAACTTTCTTTGGGTACCAATGTGGATCCTGGACCCTGAATCCTCGATCCTGGACCCTGATATTGGTCTATTCTTGGATCTGTTGGTGTTCTAGACGATCCTGGGTGGCGAAAGAAGGTCCAGAGCGATTCTGCCTTCGTTCGGTGGGCAGAGGATTATTCTCCTGGGCGGGCGGCCAATCCTCCCGGATCGCTGGACGTCCATCGGCGCTATTCCTACCTGGCACCACAATCTGGCATGTGAGGTCGGCTGGCGAGACCCTCATGATAGATCCAGACGGCCCGCTTGTCAGCGCCTACGAGGCGGGAGCATGAGAGCAGCCTTGCAGGAGGATGGTTCTGCGAACTATTCACGATCCTCCAGCCATGGTCTCTATGTCTCGCACGGCGGATACCTCCGCGCCGATCTATTCTTGACATGCCCCAAAACAGCCATGGGATGTCTTTTATACCCTGCAAACCCGCAATGCCGGCAGTGTCCTCTCTGGGGAAGTCAGCTTCCCTGCTGTGGAAGTGCCGGTTTCTACGGCGTTGCCGCGTTTCATCGTCCCATGGGGTACCTTCCCCTCGTGGACGTGAGCTGTGCCACAAAGATCCAAGTTCTGAACAATCCCATACTCGACTATGGGATATATGTGGCCTGTTCGACGAGCAGATGCGATGGGACTTCACCCCGTGGGTGAACCCGCGGTCAACGAGGCGCAGTCAGGAACTTGTGGAGGGATCATGAACCCCAACCCGTCGCATCGATTCAAGAGACAGCCCTGGTCACTGCGGCACCCTGTCCGTGACACCGAGCAGAGGAAGTCGGTTACCGCGCCGCTGTTTGCTGCTGCCTTCCGTCCCGAGGATGTTTCAGGAAGCCAACGTAATAAACGGGGCTACTCGGCTCGTGGTGTATGCGCAAACAACCTGTTTGGCAGCCGATGGTCGTGTTCGTGATACGGATGGGTTCTTGAGGATCGTGAGGAGTTGCTGTTTTGGTCGCCTAATGTGCCTATTTGTGTGCGGGTGACGCCAATTATAGAAAGGGGCACGATGGTCTTAGCTTGGAATCCCTTCGCTGATATGAATCGTGTCCCACCTCTCCTCATCCTCATCCGTGCTAAGTTGGACTTCGAGTGGTGCCGGTTGCTTGCGGGTACGAGCGAGGACTCGGCGTTTGTCAATGAAAGTAAACGCCGTCTTCGTAGCGGGCCACTCCTGCATCGAGGTGGTGCTTCTAGACACGTAAACATATTCCCAGCTTAGTTGTCCCCTTTCGAGTGGTGAAGCCAGAGGCTGCTATGATGGCCAAGTGCTCCGAGCGGCCTACGCGTCACTGGCATAATACATCGCTACGGGTGATGATGCCATGCTAATGTGCACGTAGTCTACCAAGTCGGCGAGGTATTTGGTACAGGTCTCAGATTCAACTGGTAGATTGCTCGCAAGCAAGCCTCCCTCTTACACGCCAGCTCCTCGAGAAGGCGGGTATCACCCTTAGATAGCCGTAACTACTGCGATTTGTGCCCCTTCGAGTGACGGCGTCTCTCGTAGGAACTCTAAATCAAAAAGACTCAAGTTCAAATACTGAGTATGCCCTCAACGTGTCAGTAGGCCCAGCCACTGGAGTGATGCCTCTGCTGGAGATGAAGCAACATAGCACCTGCGCCACAAAGAGTGATCATTTCGGGACGTCTCAGAAATTCATAGAAGTTGTGTATCATATATCTCATATTTCTGTAGCCCCTACACAGCCAAGACGAATATGACGGAGATCTACTCCGACCACAACTGCTTATTTTGATAGCAACCATAAAAGCATGATGACTATCCTTTTTCTAGAGAGAGACAAAAATGACCAAGGAAGGAAAGGAAACTCGACTCACCAGTCCTTCCACACATTTCTCTGCTGCCACGCCTCGTCCGTTTTCCACTTCTCCATGAGGACCTGCCCCCTACTATACTCCGCCACGCGGCGCCGGTGCTTCTCCTCCTCCTCGTCAACCCACAACTTCATCTCCTCGTCCTCCTCAACCCACAATTTCGCGTTCTTCTTCGCGATCTTCGTCCCCTCCTCCTTCTCCTCTTCCGTCAGCGGTCTGAGCGGCCTCTGCTTCTTAACCACGAGCCTTAAGTCCTTCGGCACGTCCGGGTTCCGCAGCTTGAGGGCTAGCACCAGGTCGTCGCGGCGCGCCTTCATGATGCGCTTCTGCTTGACCATGCGGTCGGCGTGGTCGCATAGGTGCGTCATCCGCACGTCTAGGCACTGGCAGTTGCCGTTGTGGCCGACGGTCAGGTCCGGACGGCTGCCGGGCGTCTCCTTGCGCGCGATGGCGACGCAGCCGCTGTCCCAGTCGTGGACGGTGTATGCGAGCGCGGTCTTGGGTATTCGCTCCTCTAACAGGAGTTTGTTGACTGTGAGGAAGGCCTTGGCCTTGTCGTCGGGCGCAGGGCGGGGCTTGACTACCTTGAGGTTGGTGGCTGTGCCGTGGTATACCTGCTTCTTTTGGGGCTTGGTTACCTTAGGGGGGCCGGCTGTGCCGTGGTTCACCTTTTCCTTATCGAGCAACCCCATGGTTAGGCGCTTTAATTTATTATTAAGTTCTTCAACTTGAAGGGAAGAACCTGGTTCGCTTGAGTTTGCGTCGCGGGTAGTTTTGCCGTGGTTGACCTTTTCCTTGTTGAGAGCTCTCATGGGGGGTGGTTTGAATGTGTTTGGGTGACTGGTAGCTTTGAAGTGGTTGAACTTTTTCTTGTCGAGGATTCCCATGGTGAGTAATTCAGATTGTATGAGTTTGTGCAGGTATAGTTCTGGTATATTGTGAAGAATTGGTTTGTCGCCTTTGCTAGGTCGGGACCTGCGGCTGCCTCTGGACTTATATCTCAGTCACTTTTGAACAAAAGCCTTGTTCACGTGTCTTTGAGTTCAGAGGAAATATCTGCAAAGACATTTGCCCCCCTGGAGTCAAGTCATTGTCTTGATTACAAGTCGTGGTGCACAAAGGGCATTGTCTGCGAGAGAGGCGTATGTCTTTCTTATGGGAGGAAATAGAGTTAGCAAATCAATGATATCCTTTAAATGTCGGTCATATTGCCAGTGTAACAGTGTTGCGAAAGCATCGTAGGCCTCCCCAGCTCGGACGTCTCCAATTCGTCTCGATAAGTCACCTGATCCGTGATTTTTTTGTTCAGATGCGCAAAGGGTTCCATGGATTTCCAATCGCGTGCACCTTATGTTTAAAGTGCTGCCATCTTCAAAGGCAATGGAAACATAGGCCTGGTCATCGTTCACTCCATCGTCCGTGGTGACATCGTAGGATTTCCTCCACATGCCAATGACTGTGTCGAAGAGCTTGATAAGAAAATAAATCGTCTCGTTTTTGACAAACTGATCAGTGAACTGTTTCGGGGTGGCTCGCCTTAGACCAAACCAACAGCAGCGGCGTGATTTATACTGAACTTCACCTCGAGAGGCCTGTTGGGGGATCAGTCCTCCCACTGAGAACCAGCACCTCAGGATCGACCTGAATATCGGCACTCTCCCCCTCGTCCCATGTCTGGTTTTGTTATCATGCACAGCCATTGAGTGCTGGATGCATGGCAATGCCACACGGAAACGGCTTAGAGGTGTTCTTCTCAATCTCATGGATCCTCCCCAAGCTGGTCGAAGTACGCCGCCACGTCTCGCGCGTGCTCACGACCGTTCAACCACCCGCATTTGGCAGGGGAACATTATAGACTTGATATCATGGGGAAGTGGAGCTGATGAGGTTGTACGTGGTGATCAGCGATTGTAGTGTGCATAGTCCCCGTTGTATATCGCCGGAAATAGTATGGACAGAGTATAGTTGAAGACCACCCATTGTATACCTCACGTTGTAAGTTGATCAGTTAATTGTCAGGCACACATCACCCTCACATCCACGCAGTAGATGTATTATAACCTCTGAAATTTCCGTACAGGGAGATCTCCAACCGCGGTTTGGAGGCCAACTTCTATCGGCTCTTGATCCCACTGCCGGAAAACATGTTCAAGATGACACTGAATTAGCTACACTCTACGCCACACTTGATACGGGCTCTCGACTCCAAGGTCGCGGAAATATCGCCAGGTCTAAATCAATCTGGAGGTACAGTCACCCCCCAGAAGTTTCCGTCCGGCCATGCCGCATTTAGTTCTTGGATGTGATCGGTATATTCATGTTCATGGGCTAAGCACCGTGGAATAAGCGGCTTGTATCTAGTTTTTCATATCTCGTGCTTATTCCAGAATGCTTATTACAATCATGATACCTATACCCTTCAGCTGCTGAACGGAGGTGTACGGAGACTTATCATATATTACACCGAGTTCCCAGATCGTATACATTCCCTGTCACTGTAGCAGGATAACGGGCTTATGATATCAGTTAAGAGAACAGAGAGTCGTTGGTGAGGTAGACTAAACCACAAACAAGATCAATGGAGGCTGCGTTGCCACTTAGATGGGGAAGTCCGGTCGACAAAGTACAAATCTATTGAATTTATTCTACGTTATGCATGCTTCCATGGCTCTGCCCCCAATATCGAGGTGAACACAGAAGCTGTCGACGCGAAATAGTCTAATCATCAATCCCCTCCATAATCAGGTAACCTCCCTGCGCCTTACGCTACACATGATAGTCCAATGTTGCCATAGACCAGTCACACCGCAACAAATACCCAGCCTAGTTGAGGACTGCGCCAACAATGCGCTTGGCTACTCCTTTGGCACCCGTAGGCTTGACCTTCTCAATGTCGTCCCGGTAAAACCTGCGCCCCTCGTCCAGGTTAATGGAGTCGAGCTTGATCCACCAGCCGCCGCGGAAATAAATACGAGCGCCGAGCCACATGACAACACAAGCGATGATGGAGATGTAGTTGGCGAAGAAGTTCTTGGCGCTCATGGCGGCGCCCAGGGGCGAGACGGCCAGGTAAAACTGCACGATGATCAGGACGATGCACATGGACAGACCCCACCAGGCGCCGTAGGGGTAGAGCCACGACTTCCACGGTAGCTCCTCAGGTGTGCGTCCCTGGCGGGCCCAGGCAGTGCGGAAGCGGATGTGCGAGAGGCAGATCATGCCCCAGCCAAAGAGCGTGAAAAGCGAGGTGAGGTTGGAGAACCAGCCGAAGACGTCGGCGCCGGACTCGCTGACATTGAGGTAGGCGAGGCCACCGCCCAGGACGAAGGTCGGGACCAGACCCCACCAGGGTCGGCCGGTCTTGTCGGCCTTAGCCATCTGCTTGGGCGCCATGCCGAGCTGCGCGAGGCCCATGGCGGTGCGCGATCCGCCGTAGCCGCTGATGGTACCGGTGCTGACGACGGAGATCAGGATGATGGCGTTCATGATGTGGGCGAGGGCCGGCAGCTTGGCGTCGCGGTAGGCGATGACGAAGGGCGAGGCGTTGGTGCCCGACTGGCCGAACAGGTCCTTGTTGGTCGGGTCGACGTTGATGGTGATCATGAGCGAGCCGAGGAGGTAGAAGAGCGAGAGGCGCAGCCAGATGGAGCCAATGGCACGCGGCACCGACTTTCTCGGGTTGACCGTCTCGGCAGCGACGAGGCCGGAGTTCTCCGATCCCGACATGGCAAAGATACAGGTAGGCTGCGAGAGAATTAGTGTCAGTAGTTACCCCTGACTGAGTGTTGTAAAGCGGAGCAAGGAGACGAGATGAGTGTCTCGGGACTCCTGACACAGCCGAGAGTGGAACATTCGCTTTCAAGATGGCCATAAGGGGTAATAGAAGACTCTAGAATGTACTGACCATAACGCTGAGGAAACCCTTGAATCCGTTACCGGCAAAGGGGTTCTCGTTCCAGTACCTGAAGCCCACTGCGTCGTAGGCGGCGCCTCCGGCCGACATTGCAATCATGGAGATGATGATGACAAAGATCCAGCCGAACTTGATGGTACTGGCAACGACCTCAATCTCGCCAAAGATGGAGACGGCCCCGATGTTGACGAGAACGATGAAGGCCCACCAAATTGTGATCCAGCCCGCGATGGGCACGGCAGTCGTCCAGAAGCTGATGATGGTGTGGGCTGCTTGCAGTTCGTTCGCGATGGTGATGCAGTAGCTCAACCAGTAGGACCAGCCGAGAGAAAATGCGGCCCCCGGGTCGACGAATTTGTCTGGAGTTGGTTGGCGGTGATGTGAGTCTCCAATCATCCACATGTAAAGCTTGGCTTGGTAGCACTAACCTGTCCATTGAACGAAAGCGGACGGCAGGGGATACAAAACGGCCATCTCTCCGATCGAGTGACTGACACACCAGATCATGGACCCGGCCAGAAGGTATCCAATGAACATACCAGCCGGACCACCGCTTGCTAGAGAGGTACCGCTCCCAAGCCATAACCCCATACCGATACTGGACCCCAGGGCAATCATGGTTAAATGCCGGGTGCTGAGCAGCCTCCTGAGCTCGGTATCGGCGCCATGGTCTCCGCTGACAATCTCGCCTGTCATGGAGCCACGCTTCTCGTAGACATCTTCAGCACTGCCGCTGGGATAGGCGGCAACCGTGGAAGTGGTCTCTTTGGTGTCCATGATGGCGCAATGAAGATGGTGTTGCGAATATGGTGAGAGTTGAAGATGCAAGCCACATGATCAGAAAGCGGCGGGCTGTGCGTCTATTTCATCTCCTCGTCCATGCCGTGTCCCATTATCCTATGTCACACAAAGTAGGACACACAGGCAGCCAGGCTCGCCAGGGTTCACATGCGTACGTCTATCGCTTCGATACGCAAGCTATGTCTACCCAATTGGGAACCGAGCCAGCACCAAGAAACCAACTGCCAACCTGCTTGTGATAGAAGCTGAGAGGTTCATGGTAGACGGATTGGGTTCCAAGCAGGCTAGAATATGCCAATATACCAAGGGACGTTCCCAGACGAACGGACGATCCCAGAGGGGAAGGTGAGGTCAGCCCTGACAGGGCCGAGTCTTGGGGGTTCACTTGGGAGTATCTTGGGACTGGCTCGTGCGTCTGGGGTACTGATAAGAGGCGCCGTTACCCCAGATACAGTGGCACGATGTGGTGTGACAAGGTACGACTGTACATGGTCTATAGCCGGCGCGAACCAGCCAAGCGGGCGGGAAGGATTCGCTGATACGCAAACCGCTGGCCGCTGACTGGCTGGCCAGGACCCCTGCTTGTCTCGTTGCTTAACGTCGTGCAGGAGGCTGGCGAATCAGGGGTATCGTCATAGTATGCTCCACCAGTCGGTGGCGGATGCAGTACTGCTGCGTGGTATACGTGTGCACTCACAGGGACCCTGACAGTCTACATACAGCCAGGCGACGTATCATTGGCCGAGGCCCAGCGATGAATCCAATACTCAGTCTCCGCTGATAACAAACCCCCAGCAGTATAACGTTCCTCGCATGTTCTTTTCGTCTTCCATGCAGCAGCTCCCGTCTAGATCGTCGTCAGAGGGTCTCGGATCGTTGCCGGTCCTTTTGTTGCGCCAGATCCTAGCGTCTCGCGGCTTATCGTGCCACATATACGCCTGGCCGGGATGTTGGGATGTTGGGATGTTGGATCGACTCTACATGCATCAATATACGAATAGGACCGGTGAGCTTGTCGCTGGAAGCCATGAGATGACGCTCTCGCGGTGCACCACATATGAAGGAAATTCGGTCTTGGCAAGGGTGTGATAAGCTCCCGAGGTGTGATTGATCCGCCGCCAGCAAAACGGCTGCCACACCCCCACGCACCAGGGTCACACGAACGCTGTCGAGGACTCGAGTGCGTACTGCGACTGGGAAGGGAACTGCACGTTGTGTCAATGCATATGTGCCCCGGATCCATGGCCAAGGAGCAAACGTCGCCTCCATACAACCGGACGAATGAACTAACTTCCTGAGGATTGTTCTTCGGCCCTTCCGTGAGGTTGTACGACCCGCTGGGGGCTCTATCATCCATCCATGCATATCATATCATATCATCCACTCCTATAGAGAGGAGGCCAGCTAGCAAACTGGCAGTGGCAACTGGAGTCCATGTCTGACCGCTGCCTTATCTTTACTTGGCTGGCTGGGGGTTGCCCCCAAGTCCCGGCTCTGGCCAACACGAAGCTCGAATGAGATTCATATGCCATTGGCGCTCGTCGAGAAGTGATGAGGGGTTACAATCATCTTCCAACGGGTTTTAGTATGAGGGTATGAAAATACTGGGGTATATTCAACTGTGTGCATAGAAGGCTGCTGGGAACTATTGCGAGATTCGCGGAGGGTTTGTAGAAGAGCTGAAAAGAAGACCCTGATTTATGTGCTTTCGCACCATATAGTCCAAGAAAGACATCGCGTGCTCAGTGGACTTCGAGAACGTAGAGGTTAATCACGGTACACTGAACCCTCATAAGTCTCCGTACACTACCCACCCAGCAAACAACGGTACATTCTTCGAATTAGAATAAGCATATCAAAATAAGCATTGAAAGTGGTACAATAAGTTGAAGCTGCTTATTCTTATATCCTTATTGCGAGTTTTAAAACGTTTGCCGGTTGATCTGGAATCTTGACAGCGTGCGCGCACGCAGACTTATCAGGGCTGCGTGTATCATAGTTCTGAAGCTGGAACACGGCGCATGTCTCGTCATTCCAAGGAAAATCTACGGGCGTCTACTGAGCATTCTGCATGACGAAGGGTTAAGTAACGCATTTTGAGAGCGAGTAGTTGTTTGTTCTCAGTATGATATACAAATAATACGATACGCATCACTCTAGATATCCCCTCTGCCCCTTAATGTGTGAGTACGGCACAAAGATCGCCGCAAGGGCAACAGCCAATGAGACAACGAGATTAGCTCTCCCCTGTCGAACCTGGTACTTCTTGGTCCACCTAACTTCTCGTGTGCGCAAGGTGGCAGTACTCAGGTGCAAGCGGGGCCACTGTTCGTGCCGTACCTACTCACACATTATGGGGCTACTCTAAACCCACGAAGCGTCATCCCATGATCTATTGATCTTGCCTGTGGGACTCTGTCTCCGTTTTACAACCTTAAATCCAACTTCTTATCGCATCTCACGTCAAAGCTCAACTTAAACTCAACCTTGCCGCCATCTTACTTTCTTCTAGAACATCACCCGCGGACTTCCTAGCCGAGAAAGCACACCGAAGCATGCAGAGCAAGGGTGCTCGGTCCCAATACCGGCGCAGTTGTTTAGGCCCGGATGAGTTACCAGATTCGGAGCAGGGCTGCTCGAGTCAGCTTTGCTTGGCGGATTCAGGACGCGCCTACTGCAGTAATCTAACACAGCCTCGACGAGGCCAGCAGTATCAATTCAGTGGACTTGTGGTACGTCGAGTTCAAACCCACTGGGAATTCCTAGTTGTTTGCGAATAGGGGGTTTCCCAGCACCTCTCGGACCGGTCTGGTTTATCGGGCTCATGTAGTCCTTTCCAGCTGAATGGGCTCGGTGAGGGTTGTCGCTCAATAGCCTTATCTTCTTCGGTATTGATTTCAGTGAATCCTCCGTGTATGGGCTTCTCGGCAATCTCTCAGGCCGTACGGCCTAGGGTGCGCTGCTTGAGGTTAAGTCGCGAATCTGTGAACACGCCATACCATAGGAGACATTGCGGTTGTGGTGAGAGACTCATGCAGTCCATGCGATGTAATGTCTGTGCATACGCTATGAAGTCCGCGCCGCACTCTTCAGGGAAGTTCTAGATACACTCTCTTGGTATTGGCAGATCAGTTCAGAGGGGGGCCCAACATGATCAGCATTTCGGTGTAGACTATATCAAATAGTTCTGCCACTGCGCCTCTCTAAAGCGTAGTTATGGCCTCAATGACACACATCGACTAGTAGCCACTTAACTCATCCAGCCGTCCACGATCCTTCCAAACGACCTGTTCAACATCCGTCAAGGATATCGCTTCTGCATTCAGCCACCTCCCGTCCCCTGTTCCACCGGCGGAATTGCGCTCGGCCAACCGCCAGGTCTGCAATTCCCTCCAACATCTCGCTGGTCTCGGGGAAATAGCAGCGATGTGTGTGCCAGTCTAGCTTCGCTCTGTCCCAGAAGACAAAGCCCCAGTATGACGTGCAACGGTCGCAGCGGAACATGTGATCATCGCTGTCCCGAAACATGGGGTCCTCCGAATGCATCATTGCCAGAGTGTATAGCCAGATGTCCCGTGGGCCAGAGTCGTCGTCGGCATAGGCTGAGAAGATGTGCTCGACATTGAGGGAGACATGAGGTCCTACGTCGTAGCGCCACAGCGCGTCGCCGCCCTTGTGCCATGCTTCCTCTTTGCATCCTCTGGCACGCTGGCGTCCGTAGCGATCAACAGCCTCCTGTGTTGCTTGGACGTCACCGTCTTTTTCGAGACGCTTCAGCTCGATGAGTCCGCGGTTGATCATGAAACGTGTGAGCGTGTACCCATCGTTTCTGGGGAATTGAGGTTCATCACGCTTCTCATCGTCGGCACATATCACTAGATCACGATTAGCCACGGATCCCACCAGCAAGCGCAAACGTCTATCTCACCGTCGTCCACATGGTCAGCCAGCAGCAACTGAAGGCAGCGAAGCTGCTGGTTCTCCCAGGGCGAGAAGTTCAACCAAAACTGGTTCCAGAGCTCCCCGCCTCTGGCAAAGGGGAATAGGTCGGAGATGAGCTGAAAAATGTACAAGGCCTTGCAGAAGCGGGTAAGTTCCTTGTCAGAGGGGGACTTCATCTCCTCAGGTACGCAGCGGAAAAGTTTCTTGGTCAAGCGCGGCTCGAACTTCATTGCTCGGTAAGCCAAGCTCCGCGCATAGTAGTTAATGGCCGAGTGCAACTGCAGAATCTTGCGAGCCGTCTTCAGCGTGAACTGAACTTCCGTGATCATGACAATGTCTCTATCGGAGGGAGAGACCGCAAGACCGTTGCGAAAGGATGAGAAGAAGAGCTGCGGGTCGTACAGAGGTGACTTGCTGCTTTCTTCTCGGGCGTCTTGCTCACTGGTAGCCGCGGCGTGGTATCTTGCCAAGGCAATTGGCATCAACTCAGATCCGATGAAGGACTTGACCATGGTGGTAGCGATCGTGACCTCACGGCTGGTGACAAGAGAGTCGAACTCGGGTCCTGTGAGAGCAGGGTTCATGGTAGACTGGGCATCGCCAAGGTAGACGACGACGATGGACTTCAGCTCGTTCGGTAGACGCTCAAGGCGGCTGCGCTGATTCTCATTCATGCTGTCGAGCAAGAAATGTTGGTGTGGGTTGCTATGAAATGGGACTAGTACACTAACCCCACACAAGTCTCCGTACGGCCCCATCCACACACCGTCACCACCACATTCACTGCTTAATTGCGAAGGCATCACGAGGCCGAAAATTATAACAAAATATGTATTTGATAGCGGTTTAATAGTGGTTATACCAGCCGCGCGGCCGGACCACTGCGGCAATCCGATCAGGGAGAGATTTGATGAGCTTTTTCAGGAGGTCAGGATCCAATTCTGACCACGCGGCTTGGATTATCTCTCTAGCCCATGCCTAGTGAACGATATTGTCCTTTAGGTCTTAAAAATAAGGCTCTATTTCCCTTATTTTTTTTAGAGCTGCCTAAACGTGCTCGATAGGGTTTAAATTGGGGCTGTGAGGAGGCCAGTCGATAGTCCAGATCCCGTGCTCTTCTAACCACTCTGGCAAGCCTCCTTTAACATGCATAAGAGCATTATCTTGTTAAAAAAGGTCCCCTGCCTCATAGAACGGAAGAAGACCTTCCTTTAGTACCTATTAATAGCGCCTAGCAAAAACTCCTTTGTGTGATAAATCCAGATCTCTTTTATAAAAGACCAGCTTGCCTAAGCCACTTTTGTAATCATGTAATCACATCAAACCACAAATTATTATTGAAATACGAGCTCTCCCGTGGCTCTGTAGATTCATGAGATCCTTATGGTACCATTTGTTGGAGAGGCGAATGACCTATTTGCCAGGTCTATCGGGATCATTCTGGATAATGTATTTATCGGAGAAGAGGGCTATTATCAACTCCTTTTGAGCGTGTTGAATGCGGTATTTTTGCACTCAAACAAGCTGTCTCGCGGCGTCATCCTCCGTGAGAAGGATTTGTTTCGTTGTGTGCCATTTATTGAGGCTGTGGCAGCGGAGAGTCCTCACTATGGTCTCTGTGTGGCAGGTAACACGTGCTTTGGCTTTGAGCGCCTCTCACGAAAGATGAGGGTACCTCTGTGCCAAATTGACCAGATGGCGTTCTTGCCCATGTAAAAGAAGCCTAGGGAGCTAAGAAGCCTAGGAGCTCCTTTTCTTTGCGCAGTGCGCATGGTTTTGGTAGTAATGATATGCGAGCAAATTTCAGAGATAGTTTCGACGTGTTCTGTGCTGTAAGCGCGTGTGACATCCCTACGGCTGCGGCCTTCTGCGCGTGCCGTGATAATGCCTGTACGCGCCTCCAAAGTAAATTCATTATTTATTTAACAAGTGCTGTTCAAAATGGTACATATTTTGTTAATATCTATAGCAAACTGATTTTATTATGAATTATCGCAAGATGAGGGTGTCGCGTTGTTGTTTTGGTCAGAAGATTGAATTAGGGCTAGCGTACGGAGACTTATGTGGGACAAGTGTAGAGTAGATATATCTGATAGTAGCAGTCTCTACCGCCTGAACAGCGGTTGTTGTAGAGAACATCTTTGTGTTAATACAGGTTGCGGTAAGCTCAAGCTGACTGCAGGTAACAATATATGGAAGAGTCGAATTATTGGTAATTGCGATCGCAAAGAAGTCAATGCGGGATGAGTATCGAACACCGGGTATGGAGCTCGGGTTGCGAGATAGAGTATGTATCTAAATCTCTATATGTCAAAGGTGGGAAAGGAGATAGAGACAAAAGTGGTTTAAATGGAGTATGTATCTAGGCAGACAGACGAGCTCAGGCTAGAGAATAATATGAAGTGGTCGAGATAGAGTACGTATCCAGGTCAACAGGAAGGTAAAGGAGATGAAGTGGTTGAGAGGGTGTATGTATCCAGGTCGCCAGACAAGCTCGAGGTGAATGAGGTGGATTAAATGAGATGGAGTACATATCCAGATCAACAGAATGGTTAAGGACGAAAAGAGGGCGACGATGACCGTATATATGGACTTCAGAGAGGATCGACAAGAGTGTGCTTATCGTATCGACAATGAGAGCAACAAGGCGGGCTTCTAAGGAAAGACTGTAGAAAGAACCATTAAGCTAAGACATGATAGAAAGTTGTGCTAAAGATTGAGAAAGCGGAGGGAGGTCGAGGGGAGGTGCCCCTTCTTTAACTCCTTTTCTTATGTAAGAAAGGGGGGAGGTCTGGCTGATTGTACAACTACCAATAAAACCGATTAGAAAGGGAAGGTGCCTCAAACGTTGAATTATCATTGGTTGAAGATAATTGATTGATTCTAATTATTTTAAGAGGTTGGTGTTGATCTTGGTAGAATTACGAGCTTTACAGTGTATGTCTGCACAAAAGTGGGACCCAACGTGGTCTGAGCCCCTGAGCAACTCCTCTAAAGCATTGTATGCCGTGAGATTGGCAACCTCCCCTCGTTGATCTGCCTTTCTTGTGAAACTCGGGCGATGAAGCTGTGACAGACGAAGCTGAAAAGATGGCTCTGACCCTGAAGCAGGCCATCCAAAACTTGAATCAAGCCCGACTCCTTGCTTCATTCTGCATCACTGCCGTGATCCGTTGGATCACGAAAATTGCTACGTCTATTCAATACACACGCTAAGCTGATTGTTCTTCTGATCCTTGTGCTCCATCTAACATGGCGCCGATCCTAGATTTGGATTTGCGTCTGGCAAAATTAACGGGCTATATCAGAAGGTGAATATTGGTGTGTGGTCCTGTCTAATGGTGGCAGGCGCCAGGTACACTTGTCCCACATAAGTCTCCGTACGCTAGCCCTAATTCAATCTTCTGACCAAAATAACAACGCGACACCCTCATCTTGCGATAATTCATAATAAAATCAGTTTGCTATAGATATTAACAAAATATGTACCATTTTGAACAGCACTTGTTAAATAAATAATGAATTTACTTTGGAGGCGCGTACAGGCATTATCACGGCACGCGCAGAAGGCCGCAGTCGTAGGGATGTCACACGCGCTTACAGCACAGAACACGTCGAAACTATCTCTGAAATTTGCTCGCATATCATTACTACCAAAACCATGCGCACTGCGCAAAGAAAAGGAGCTCCTAGGCTTCTTAGCTCCCTAGGCTTCTTAGCTCCCTAGGCTTCTTTTACATGGGCAAGAACGCCATCTGGTCAATTTGGCACAGAGGTACCCTCATCTTTCGTGAGAGGCGCTCAAAGCCAAAGCACGTGTTACCTGCCACACAGAGACCATAGTGAGGACTCTCCGCTGCCACAGCCTCAATAAATGGCACACAACAAAACAAATCCTTCTCACGGAGGATGACGCCGCGAGACAGCTTGTTTGAGTGCAAAAATACCGCATTCAACACGCTCAAAAGGAGTTGATAATAGCCCTCTTCTCCGATAAATACATTATCCAGAATGATCCCGATAGACCTGGCAAATAGGTCATTCGCCTCTCCAACAAATGGTACCATAAGGATCTCATGAATCTACAGAGCCACGGGAGAGCTCGTATTTCAATAATAATTTGTGGTTTGATGTGATTACATGATTACAAAAGTGGCTTAGGCAAGCTGGTCTTTTATAAAAGAGATCTGGATTTATCACACAAAGGAGTTTTTGCTAGGCGCTATTAATAGGTACTAAAGGAAGGTCTTCTTCCGTTCTATGAGGCAGGGGACCTTTTTTAACAAGATAATGCTCTTATGCATGTTAAAGGAGGCTTGCCAGAGTGGTTAGAAGAGCACGGGATCTGGACTATCGACTGGCCTCCTCACAGCCCCAATTTAAACCCTATCGAGCACGTTTAGGCAGCTCTAAAAAAAATAAGGGAAATAGAGCCTTATTTTTAAGACCTAAAGGACAATATCGTTCACTAGGCATGGACTAGAGAGATAATCCAAGCCGCGTGGTCAGAATTGGATCCTGACCTCCTGAAAAAGCTCATCAAATCTCTCCCTGATCGGATTGCCGCAGTGGTCCGGCCGCGCGGCTGGTATAACCACTATTAAACCGCTATCAAATACATATTTTGTTATAATTTTCGGCCTCGTGATGCCTTCGCAATTAAGCAGTGAATGTGGTGGTGACGGTGTGTGGATGGGGCCGTACGGAGACTTGTGTGGGGTTAGTGTACTCCAGCGGTGGGGCACGAGCCCCGCAGCTGCATGCCAGCTGAGGGTGGCTGACAGGATCACCCCTTTCTTGCCTGAATACAGATCACGGATCACAGATCACGGATCAATCGGTAGTACCTGCGATTTGAACCGTATCGTAGTAGCCTCGTCCAAAAATAGGAATGCGCAGATTTAATTCTGCCCAATTAAGAAAATGGACGGAATCAGCAGTGAAGAAGGTGCAAGGTCAGACGACCGACTTCCCCCTTTCGCACACCACAGGGGGCCTGATCTTGAAGTAATCAAGGTCAGAATCAGTAACTCGTCTAAAAATAGAAGTGTACAGATTTATTTCTGACCAATCAGAAAAATCGACGGGATCAGTAGATGGAAAATGCGCCAGATTAGGTGTTGGTTGCCCCAGCCTCCCCCCTTTCGCACACCAAAAGGGGCATCACCACGCCAAAAAGGTCAATGCACAGGCAGTTGCTACGCGCAATCAGTAACCAGATTTACTGATTGTGAACAATCAGTATATCCCCAGAGAACTACTTGAGGAGGGGGTCCCTCCCCCAGACCTCCCTTCCCTCCCTTCCCTCCGCAACCTCGCAACAAGTCTGAAGCTGAAGTATTTGTCTCGAGTCACTCCCGAAAACGCACTTGTTTTTCCTACTATATAACGCCAAAGACACCACATCATCTTCTTCATCCCTTCATTTCACCTTCACGTCGCCGTCTTCTGAACGTACCAGATTCGGCTCTTCGCATCGTTTCATCTCACCTCAACCCCACGGTCATCTTCTGCACATACCAGACTCGACTCGACACCCATATCCTGATCCTGTCGTCTTCTGCACATACCAGATTCGACTCGACCCATATCCTGAACCCGTCGTCGTCTTCTGCACATACCAGATTCGACTCGACCCATATCCTGAACCCGTCGTCGTCTTCTGCACATACCAGATTCGACTCGACACGTATCTTGACCCAGTCGTCATATTCCATCATGTCTACGACTATCACTTCTCCCATGGCGGTCCACTCTGCTTTCATGAGGTAAGTCTGAGATCCATCAAGAATCCCGCTTCCCCCCAGTAGCCCGCTAAATCATATCTGACTTGACTCATGTGGCAGAATGAACGCAGACCGCCGATCTGGTCTGGAACTTCTCCCCAATGAGTTGAAGTTGCTCGTCATCAATCATCTCGGCCACACAGATGTTGTCGTCCGTCTTGCTCTCACTGGTCCCACCTTCTTCGAACTCGTTGTGAGCAACCAGGAGGGCATCGTCCGCGGATTGATCAACACGGCCATCGGCCCTGAGCTACTTCCCATCGCTGTCGCTCATCATCATGTCGCGGCTGCCACCGCCAAACTCACTCGAAACGAGAAGGGCGAGCCGGTCACGGCAACCGAGGGAGTTGTGTCTCATCTTGACGCGCTCGTTCGCCACTGCATCACCCCCGGAGGAATGGTGACCAATGCGGCATCATTTGAGCCCACGTTCAAGTCCGCCGGCCAGCTCCTCAGAACTCAGGCAGCCGTCTCCCTCTACGCAAACTGCCTCTCCGAGCGCGCTTTGACCAAGGAGCCCAGAACTACCCGGCATTGGTCTTCAAGGGCACCCAAGAAGCTCTCCTCTCCATCCGTCCAGGAGATCCACCGATTCAGCAAGGCGCTGTATATACTGCAACTTGTTTGCCACATGTTCCCCATAGATACCTATCGTTCTTGGGACTCTCCAGTCCAGGGGGTGTTCGGGCACTTTTGGGTGCAATTCGCTCCTAGGGAGCTTCAGCAAGTCCGATGTCTGCAGACTTTCTTGGTCGGCCATGTTGAAGATGGTAAGCAAAGGATTCCTGTCACTTAGCTCGTATGGCATGCTAATTCTAAAATAGTCGTCAATGATGACGAGAACGAGCACATGTATTACATAGATACAGAGACCCTGACGAAGTTTGTCATCAATCGTGGCCTGGTCGACCTATACAGCTTCGAGGCTCGGCCCAGTGTCGAGCAATCGACTTAGCGTGCGATCACTCTTTTCAAACAGCAACAGACTGGCGACTGCAGAAGGACGACCTGGCACACCGAATCTGACGGTCTCTACCTACGCAACATCGATGGAATTGTCAGCCTTGATGTCACAGAAATCCTTGACACCTTCCACGAGGATGGCGATACCGATCCTCAGGACTCATGGCTCCATACGCTTTCTCAGGGCTTTGAGGAAGAGGAGATCCCGATGCTCGCTCGGGGCGCGTACAGCTGCTTCCACTGTGAGCCGGTGATGACGAATTGGGCGTTCGTATTTTGGGGACGGGACAAGCTCGAGTGGCAGGCCGGAGGGCGGCTTCCAACCACCGCCGAGCTGCAAGAGGTCCTTGCTGACCAACTTGTCGAGCAACGACAGTTCTCGCGCGGTGGTTGGGGGCGTAAGACCGGCATTGACCATGACGACTACATCAACTGATGTAAGGAATATTGGTGCCTGTTAGGTGTGTCTACAGGTGGCTGCAGCTGAAAGGGACAGCATTCGGGGTGTTGCCTGGCAGATCCGTTGTCAGGTGTTAGGTAGCCGGGGATTAAGGGGCTCCTATACATGTACTTAGATGGGAATCCCGCGCGGAACCATAGATGAGACACTGACCAATCATCATCCCATTTTCTAAACCACCACATGTCTTGCCCCCTGATTTCCACAACTAATTTGTGAGAACCAAGGTGCCTGTCAGGTGTGGACTATAGCTGGCAGCAGGTGAAGAGTGTGAAGGGGACTGAGAGGAAGCTTTGGTTGCAGGGAAGTGAAAGGAGCTTCATCCAGCAGATCAGAGGATAGGCCCGACCTTGTGTCCAAAGTGTATATTTAGTACTAGATGACAGCCCTAGACATATGGGCTGATCTATACAACCATGAAACCATCATCCACCCCATACCACTGTCTCTGGTTTCCAATACATTCATGGCTGTCCAGACTACCTTATAGGCAGCTCATCGTAACTCGTGATCTTTCTGAAGATAGAGTCCCGGCCAGCACAACTGTGTTCACCATGAAATATAATATTCTGACATGCTGCTGATTGCGTGGTCAAATTCAGTCACAATACTACAAGTCTGGAAGCCTATGGGATCATTTCTTTCATTCGAAGACCAGCTACAGCGTCGAGTACATGCTCTGTTCATGGTCCACCGCATGCGCTATTTCCCTTCTACTGCTGTCCCACGTATACAAGTGCCCCTTCCAAAGGTCATCAGAGGTACCAATGGCTCCCATACTATCATGTTGGCAATCGGGCACTGTATATATGTATTTTCTAATGGCCTAGTAACAACTGATTTGGTTGATCGCTCTTAGTCGTACACAGGACCGACCAGGATCAGGAACCACGTGTAACCGATATTGAAAACGCATGGAGACAGTTTCCTCAGTACCTAGCCCCTGATCCCCAGCTTCTCATTCACTTCAGTTCAGTGCTGTCCCCAAATAACGCGCCCATCATTGCCTCGGGGTATCGAGCCCCTCTCGAGCCGCCCACGCTCTCAATGGCCTTCCTTATCTTGGCTTCTTCCTCGTCGGAGAGCTTGACTGTGGCAGCCTTGGCGTTCTCCTCGAGATACTTGACATGTTTCGTGCCTGGAATAGGGATGATATCTATTGCGATGATTAGTCAGCGCAACGGGAGTTGAAAAAGATCGTGGCGACTCACCATCGCCCTGCGCTAGGACCCAAGCTATAGTGAGCTGGCCCGGAGTAACGCCCTTGTGCTTCGCGATGGACGCGATGAGATTTGTGAGGTGCAAATTGTCCTTGAAGTTCTCCTCGGAGAAGCGAGGATGGTTTCTTCGACCATCCTTCTCATCAAAGTCATCCCGGCTCTTGATCGAGCCGGTCAGGAAGCCGCGGCCAAGCGGAGAATACGCCACCAGCTTCACGCCAAGCTCTCGGGCAGTCTTCAGCAACTGGGTCTGGTCGGACTCGATCTCCAGCGCGAAGGGCGAGTACTCCATCTGCGCGGCGGCGATGGGGTGGACCTTGTGCGCCCGCCGCAGACTGCGGGCGGAGCACTCCGATAGACCCAGATAGCGGATCTTGCCCTCCTTCTTGAGCTCCGCCATGGCCTGGACGGTGTGCTCGATCGGAACTTTAGGGTCTACGCGATGCTGGTAGTACAGGTCGATGCGGTCTGTCTGTAGGCGTTCCAAGCTCGCCTGGCAGGCTTGCTTCACGTATTCCGGGTCTCCGCATACTACCATCTTGCCGTCGACGAACCTGTTGGCGAACTTGGTGGCGAGGAAGATGTCGTCTCTGCGGCCCGTCTCCTGGAACCATTTTCCAATCAATTGCTCGTTGCTGCACTAGGTCAGCATCAGGTTATTAATATGAGTCCAGCAAGCGAAGCGACGTACGTGAAGGGCCCGTAGAGGTCGGAGGTGTCCCAGAAGGTGATGCCCATATCGGCCGCTGTGGTGAGAACCTTGAATGACTCTTCATTATCGAATCCGCCGAAGGAGGTATAACCGAAGCTCATTCCCATGCAACCGAGGCCGAGGGCACTGACGGAATCGTCGCCAATCTTGCGCTGAGGGTACTTTGAAGCCATGATCTCCACAACTACATAGGTAGCTAAGGGGCGCAGAAGATGTGCGGACCATTCAGTGTCTTCACGATTCAAAGATGCAGCTGGTCGCGTCTGCTCTCTCTTCTCTCCTCTCTGATTGCGAAGTAACTGCCTTTATATAGACAGTCTAGGTGATTCTTAGGGAGGATGGACGTTGAAGAAGGGAAGATGGAAGATGGCGGTAAGGGGTAATGGCGTTAATCCTGTCTAAACCCGAGCGCGTCACGTCAAAAACCCCGCTCCGTCCTCCGTAATGGAGTCGGCACCATGCCGCAGACCACGTCATCACCGTCTACGACAGAGGTCTAGGTTGCGTTCATGCTACTATCGCCTATCTCCAGCTTGATAAACCTTGTCTCACATACCAGTTGGCTCAAGGGAGGGACCCACCGCGAGCGCTTTTCACTTTGCTTCGGAAAGTGGGGGACAAAACCAGAGCGGAAGCGAGAGGAAAAAAATAAAAAAAGAACGGTGCCTAGGAAGCCAACGGATTAACCACGACTCGGTGCTCGTCGAAGCTGCGGAGGCCGAGCGAAACCCGCTTGTGCTTCCAAGACGGGGACGTTGAAGCGGAGCGTGAACTAAGAGAATGGAAAAACCCTCGAGCGGACGCCCTCGTCTGTGCTATTGCCACCGCCACCACCATACAAGCTGGGGCTTGCTGCGTGCAATCAACTGCCGAGTTTGAGAGGAAGACTGAAATATGCAACGGCGGGCAAGTTTGCGGCCATGGCACCATCATGGGCTGGAATACCGGCTAAATCTTGTCAAGCAAGAAATGTGCGAGGACGTCCACGCTGTGTCTGGACGGAGAGTTGAGGACGACACGGGAAGAATCTGCCGAATTTGGCCATCATACTCCCAGATGACCAACACCATCGCATCATGAAACACCCACAGTGTAAAAAGGCCGTGTGCGACTGGATTCACTAGAACCTACGTACATAGCTGTATCGCATAGTTGAACTATGAAAGTGATAAAGGGGTATCATACAATAGCTCTACACCGAGCTCAGGAAGCCTCACCCTTGAAACCCGCCTGTTGCCTATTGTACTACAAGTACGGATATTAAAGGTATTGCTGCCGTGGTTCGCTTTCATCATTGCAAAGGGGTATCACAACATCGCCAATATGGCTTCGGTGGCTGTTTTCGCTTCTTTGCGAGCGGCCGCAATGTCTGCCAACGAGGGCGGCAAGCCGGTGAGATTACCTCTCATGGGCGTGCCGTTCATCCGGGCCTCCAGTAAGTCTTTCAATGACTGGGCTGCGGCAATTTGACTGTTGATAGAGCCGATAGTCTCCTTGTTCGCATTTGCTTCTTCGACTGGTAAGACAGGCGCGGGAAAGGCAACCGATGGCGCGGGAGGCTGTTGTTGTGTTGGTGGTGGCGCCTGGGTATTGTCCTGAGGTGAGTTTATGTCACCCATCTGTTCGGCATCGTCATCATCATCATAATCGTTGTCCTGCATCATGGGGCCGTAATCGGAATCATCTTGATAGTCACCTCCACCTACAGGTGAGATGGCAGGCATGGGTTCGAACCTAGGAGTTGCTGTAGGCAGATTTTGGTGCGGTTCATACTCCGAGTCCACGCTCTCACTGTCGTCGGAGGGGTCCCCGGGGTGCTTGACCGTGTTGTAGTTCTCCGAAGGCCTGGCACCTCCACTAGGTCTGCTCCTTGTTGGTCGCTGAATCTGGGCGTGTGAGCCATCGTCCGATGATTCATCGCTCGAATCGCCGTCGAAATCAGAGTCCTGGTGGGCGGTAGCGAGCCCGGCGTCGGTCGTCGACTTGTTGGGATGTTGCTTGTTGCCAGAACCACGGGGGTTGCCGGGACGCGCCACGGCGGCATTTTTCCTATCGCCACTTTTCGGGGCATGTTCACCCATCAACACATGTGAACGGTCCTTTCTAAGTTGCTGCACAGCTGGCTCTGACATTTTCTGTGCCACCCATCCAGCCGAGTCTTGGAGCCCCAATTCCGCCGCGTAGCGTTCGAACTCAGCTCTCTGCTCCAGTCTCGCCCTCTTCCGGGCCATATGGCGGGCGTTTCTTTTGACACGGTGAGGGTCCATACGCAGCTTCCAACTCGATTGAAGGCGGCGGATAGTCGAGGCCCCCTTCACCAGTGGCATACCACGGGATATCATTATACTGGCAATTTCCTCGGCTGAGAGACCCTGTTCCGTCATCTGTGTTATTTGGCTCTGCCTTTCTTTCTGGGCAACCACCTTCGGCTGTACCTTCCGAGGCCCATGCTTTCTCTCGTAGGGGGCTTTCCGATTTGGATTCTCCTTTCGAACAGCCTGTGGTTCATCACGAGATCAGTGTCTTGCCAAGCAAGATGATAGCCTGATTATACGCCACGTACCCTCTTCCGTAAGCCCATTAGGATTCTCTGTCGACTAATCGTCTTGGAGCTGGTGTGTACACCCTTCGCGATCAGGGCGGCAGCGATTTGATCGCAGCTCTCCCCATTCTTCGTTCTTTCCTCGATCTCCGCCCGGAAGTCGACGACATTCGAGCCCCGCGTATGAGGATAGTTCCAGGTTTTGGCATTGCCACTGCCATCTGCCGCCGTAGCGGCTAGTCGCGCTTCGAGGGCGGCTTGACTGAGCGCATCCTTCTGGCCGGTTGTGCGGGGGGGAGGGGGCGTCGATTGCGAGGCTGCGGCCGGCTGCGGTTGAGGTTGGGTTCGCGTGCGGACGACAGCGCCATTCGACACAGCTAGTCCGGGCGACGCCGTGTTGAATTGGCCGCCTTGTGTATATTGGTGACCGTGATGCGCGAAACTGGCCGCATCGCTGAAGGGGTACGTCGGCGGCGGGATATAGCTCGTCGACGGCGGGTTGTTGTAGAAGTGGGCGGACATGGTAGACCTGACAGGAGATTATCCGACGCGATGTAGGGGTGGAGGTGTGGATTGCCGGCGAACCGCGAACAGATGTTACCTCAACTTGTCGCAGCCCATGAAGTGGGATGTGGTACGTGGGAAGTGGATTGAGGGTGAGGTTGAGGTTGCGACCCACCGACCGCCGGCGGGATGTACTTGACAGACGGTGCCAGCTGCTGTCCAAGTCTGCCAGCTGACCCAGTCCCCCTTTTCTCTGCTGAGTCAGCCAGTCTGCCAGTCTGCTCCCTGCCCCCTGCCCCCTGCCCCTTGCCTCTTCGAAAGTCTGCCTCACTCGATTTCGAATTAGCCAGCTTGGTGATAACTGCGTGCACCACAGTCACGAAGAAGCTTTGACGGCACAGCATCACATTTCGCGTTCACTCAAGATACAGATATCGAAGCGAAAATCCTCCCCATGGCGGCAGCAACACCTGCCGCGCGTGACCGCGATGGCCTCAAGATCATCAACGCGTCTCTCTTCCGCATGGGTACAAAGTCCATGGCGCAGGCCTATCAACTCCTGGGTTACAAGATACATCACGGCCTGCTCGAGAGCGTAATGGACAGCCCATGGACGCTGATAGAACAAGGGGCCGAAGCTACCTGGCCGTCCGTACCTGGCGCAACACCGAGGCCGCCGCACACACGCGCCGACTAGGATGCCCTTTGGGGCCAGTACGATGCGGTGACGGATCTCGCCTCACCTTTTGCATTGGAGTTGATCAAGGCGTATCCGGACGCCAAAGTCGTGGTTTTGCAGCTGGACTTCGACTCTTGGTGGCCCAGCTTTAGATCGGCAATCCGGGACACGGTCATGAAGGAGCCCGTATCCAGCATCCAAGCTTTCATCACGTCCCGGTTTCTTGGAATACGTCCAGTGCAGGCTACGAAGAAGCTACTCTTCGGGTTCTTCAACGCTAAGACTAGGCTTGGGATCGATGAGGTCTGCGCACGAAAGGCATACGATGCCTACTTTCGAGATATACGCGAACTGGTACCGCCGGAACGGAGGCTCGAGTACAAGATGGGCTCTGGGTGGGAGCCCCTATGTGCTTTCCTAGGTGTGGACGTGCCGGACAGGAACTTTCCAAGGGAGAATGACCGGGTCGCTCAAGCATCGGAAGCACAGTCGAGGCATATGACGTTCTTGATCAATACCACCAAAGTCGCCGGGCCTTGGGTACTCGGGTTGTTCGCTATCGGAGCCGCTTGGCTGTACATCTAACATCAGAGTGTGTCCTGGGTGCTCTCCGGATGTCGGTGAGGTCATCAAGAAACTCCTCCATTCACGTCTCCTTGGCGATGAAAAGACAGCATATGGGGAGACTCTTGAGCACGAGTCAGAGACGTTTCCGCGCCCTCGGGTGATGGGAGTGATCGGTATGGTGGGGTTAATTTTGCATGTACAAGACACTCACCCAGCGCAATTTCCACTTGCTTCTGTCACTGCGGGTTCCAGACCCTCCTGTATGGCTGGGATACTGGAGTCTTTAGTCGAGTCGGAATGGACAGCAACTTGGATCTCGTTCTGGATTCCTGGTCAACTACCTACCCTAAAGACACCACATACAGATGGTGGTCGCGTGGTTGCGTAGTTGCGTAGTTTCATTGACCGCTCACTTCAGAACACCGGCAGTATCCCAGCTAGGCATCCACAGCTATTTCGCGACCAAGTCTCCTTTGCCCCGGTCCTGATCATCGGTCCAAGCCAGGAACTCAGGTTTCATCTACAAATCCCAGAACTATCTTCCAGCCTTCTTCATCAACGTGAGCGGTTCGATCCCGCCAGAGGTTGAAACAAGATTTGAAAACCGAACAATAGCAGCCCGATCTTGTTTGCGTCACTTTTCGTCAAGATTTTCTCGACCCGAAAGTCTCCGTATACATATATTCTCTTCGTCTCTTATAAACCACATCAAGCAGAGTAATTTAGTCCAACACTTATCAATTAGGTGGCGGTGTTCCGGAGCGATAGGGGAAGACTCTCCCTATGCCAACTGATTGCATTCGCCATATTCATCTTCCAGGGCAAACCGCGAATGATGTGACGAACACAAGAAGCCGTTCGCGTTTATGCAATGATTTTGATAGTGGGTTAGGGATGGCAGGGGAAGACTCTCCCCACCAATCCCATCCCCATATATCCCAATCCCATCTCGACGCATAAGCCTGGTTGTATCCCAGGTGAAGAAAGCGATGTCTTCCTTCCAAACATCAGGTTCAAGGACGGCGGGGGAAGACTCTCCCCACCAATCCCATCCCCATATATCCCAGTCCCTTCTCGACACGCTGAGTCCGAGGTAAAGAAAGCGCAGTTACTATGCGGATTTCAGCACGAATTGGCACCTGTCGAGGCCCCACCGCGTCTTCATTACGTCTCACGGGGCGCGTAAGAACCACTGCGGCATGCCGCGGCACCTACTGTAAGCTCTAAGAGCACTGAACCTGGCGTTGCGCCCTGAAAACTGAACATTTGGGACCCCAGCCGATACTTCCCCTCACCCGGAGGAGGGGGGACACGGTGTGATCCGCTGCTTAAGTGTGGTGGCTGTTTACGGACTTGACCTGCTAGATGGGCAGTGTATGTACATAGAAGACCTAGCCTAGCACGCCTGAGCGGCCTCTTGGAGCCCCTGGTTGACGCCGCTACGCGGCAGTCCCCCCGGCGTTAAATGCTACAACGACAACAACAACAACAACGACAACAACAACCGCGTCTTCATCATATACGCCTGGTGTTTGGCGTATTGGCGTGTTAATTTGGAGCCTGACTTTCTGCCATGCGGCGCGTGCAAGTTCAGAGACCCCCGGCCCTCTAAGAGCGAGCCTTCCGCTCGTGTGAAGCGCCACGCTGAGCCCAGCAGCTTCTCCCCTGTGCAGCCCATCTCTGCGATCAAGTTTAGAAAGTCTGTCCACTTCGCCTCTCCTACATGGCCCGATTCGGTCTCGTTTAAGAGGAAATTTACCATTATGAGCCCTCGACAAGAGAGCTTAAACTCTTTCGCGACAATTACCTCTCCGTCGCCCTCATCGGGAGCGGCAAGATCTTCTTGCCGGTCCGGATCTAGGACCTCGCGAGTCTTTTCCTTGGGGTATTTCTCCTCTTGTTTACTTTTGACCCTTCGGTTGAGCTTAATGCTCAGTCCGGTAAATGAGAAGACGAGATCTAGGGCAGGTCCTGCGCGGTCGACCGATACTTTCAAGCTCGGCGGTATATTTTCGTTGTCAAGTATTTCCTTCTTTCGTTCTATTACCTGATTTCTAATGATTTCTTCGAGGTGTTCATTTAAACATCTAGCAGCTCGTAAGTCTTTTAGTACTAGGTCCCAGAATTCGCCGAGGTTGGCTTCTGCTTGGTGCATTCTCTTGATATTTTAACAGTGCTCTTGGCATCTAGCGGATAGTCAAACTTGTTTATAAATGGCCTGCCTGCGAGCATGGTAAATTGCGGCAGCTTCGTCTTTCCTTTGCATAATCTTCGCACAGGCCGAAGGGAACTTTCTAGCTCGGCCTTATAGCGTACCTCCAATGGCTTGCGGATGTATAAATCGCTCAGATCAATGACAAATTTGCCAGCCCATGGGTGGAAGTTCTCGAGCCGATCGAGAATATCTACCATTATCGCGATGGGAGCTAGTTGTCTGATTACATGCTCTCCAAGCATGTTAGCATGGCCATCGCTTGCATCAGCGACGATATTGAGGGTGTCGAGTAAGGGCTTTAATCCTACTTGTGCGACCGAGGATTGGCTTAGTAGAAGCGAAAGCATAGTATTGATTCCGTCTCTTCCGCCGTCTTTCTTTCCCTGCGGGCGAATAGAGAAGGTCGAGGGACTCCCGGACTGCGGGTGTCGGATGAATAAATCACGAAGCCCAGGGGCAGAGAAAACTCGCCCCCCACCGTCCAGGCCTTCGACGAGTGATCTTATGGTTGTCTTCAGGAAAAAAACTCCGTGTGCCGTTGCATCTTCCAATGGTTTGGGGAGGTCGTCTTCGAGATTCAGTCCTCCTTTGTGAACCTCATGCTGTTTACGGAGATCCTCCAACATGCAGGTAGTACATTTCCAGATCTGAATCGACTCCAACATCGTAGAAATTGTGCCCCTGATAGACTGTTCCCACAGTCCGTTATAAGCCGCGCCCTGCGGGCTTGCTAGAAGGTATGCTTCCTTTTTACCACGGTCGTCGGAGATCCACCCCTAGTGGCTCTCAAGCTCATCTACGACGTGGTCTTTGAAGAAAGACGGCTCCTGGCGAGCCTGCTTCAACTCTTCCGCGCCCAAGTAACACATTCCGTCCGATATGTCCACGATTTGGTCGAGATTGAGATCTTTGGGAATGCCGTATGCACTCTCCAGAGAAATGAAAGCAGAAGATTTCATTTTTGTCGTTTCTGATGATAGAATGGCTGGTTCGTTTACTTCTCGTGGGATAGTAACTGTATCCACCTTCTCCACAATCTTCGCTGCCCATTTCGCCAGAAACTGGTACAGTTGGTGCTGACTTTCTAACACAATCACGGCCTCGCCGGGTGTGACCGCTCGATGGCGGAGTAGCAGAGCATAGTTCTTATCTGCAGCATCACTGGTTAAGGCCACGAGCTGGGCGTAGCTTTCCTCTCCGGACTGGAATGTCACGACATGTCTTGGTAGGAATGGTCCCAGTATGACCCGCAGCTGTCGCCCCATATGGGCGCTTTCGAGATCCCGTCTCCAAAACTCGACTGGATGGTGGGAACTAAGTGATCCGAATAAGAGCAGCATAGAAACGGGTACGTTGCTCAAGTCTTCAGCGTTGAGGAACGGTGCCCTAAACGCCTGCTTGTTGGATAGCAAGTGATCGAAACCTTTAGGCTTGATGTTGACGCCTTTTAAAGTGATGCCATTCAACTGAGTGAGAAGTTCGTGTAGGTCTGGACGATGACGCAGAGGTAACGGTCCTCCCCAAGCTTCAGCCAACATCGCTGCTCGCTGTTTGACTCCCATATTTGCCCAGTATATCTTGAAGCCGCCGTGGTGATGACCATGCATTTTTTTCATCTCCTCGTACGCAGCTAAGATTCCATGCCCAAGGAAGGAGATTCTCGCATCGAGATCGCTCGGCGATGTCGCGATCACTGGTAAAGGAAAGCCGCCGCTTATGCCGTAGCCAAGCGACTGTAGGTATGATCGGGCATCATCCCGAGTGGGATTGAAATTGTAATATGCGCTCCACGCCGGATCAGGTCGGTTGAGCCAGTTGTAGACATCCATCGCGGCCTCAGGTGTTTGCGACTGACATGGGACGAAGGTCTATTCCAGAGTCTGGGATGCAGTATCAGTACATCGATCCAGTGAGAGGGTGCCATTTTCTTACCGATCGAATGTCCCCCCGCTGTTGTTTCTTGGTACCTATGTGAAGGTCAAAGTTGTGTGAAAGTCTCTGGCGTTGGTCGGCAGACTGCTGGTCAGAGAAATCGTGACTGCAAAATTCTGTGCGTGTCACTCGGATGTGATCACAACTAGTACTGCAGACGTGTCTCAGGCAAAGCGAAGATGGAAGGGAAGGTTGGAGGCTGCAAAGATTTCGCAGGGAAAGCTGTACGGTTGCCAGGGGCGAGAAAAGTGGCCAACCGCGGTGAGTGAAATGGAAGATGGAGGTGAAAAAATCAAGCGGAGACCACTACACACTGCGCTGACTATTCAACCTGGGTAACAAGCCTCCCCTCAATCAACAGCAACGCACACGCTCAATCCGCTCCCAATATTGGGACCAATGTCCAACAGCTTGGGCGGCAGTATTATGCATGCTAAGCCTTTATGCAAATTTAGTCTTTGTTTAAAATGCTCTGAACCCGTGCCAAAAACTTCGTGCTTACCTGCAATTGTGTCTGAGTGTCTGAGGTTCTCTGAGTTTATAGCAATTAGTGAGATACGAAAATGGAGTACCTTGTTCGCCTGGCGGACCAACAGTTCGACTTTCTGCCAGATCTCGTTCTGTGAGTGACGATTATGACCAATGAGTGGGCATTGACTGTTATGTATCTGAGACAGCACATCCGCTGTAATATATTAGCCCGTGCTACGTTAAAGTTACACTATACATGCCACGTAGGTTTTGGCATGGTGAGCGACCTACAGAGGTCCATAGCATCACCGTGAGCGGCACGAGTTTTGGGTATTCATCGGTCCCAGCCTGAAATAGACCCCATGTCTATGGAAGAAAGGTACTTGTATGACTCTCAGTTGTCTTCCTGTGTGAGCGCCGTCGAGGTCCTTCCTTCAGAAATCGGATGGATTATAGGAGCCCTGCGCATTGAAGAACAACTCCATACATGTTGGCAAACCAGCCAAGTCCTCCACATTGATTTGGGGTGTCCTAGAAGAGTTCTTGTCGAGTTGTAGTACTTGTACACCTTTCCCTTGAGACTTATCCCTGTGGCAGAAATCGCTTCCAGGTGCGCGAGTAAAAAATGAAAGTGGGGTGGTGGCGCTGAGGCACTCTGTCGCCCAGAAGTTCGCTCAATCTCGTTTTCCTCTCTGTGTACCCAAGGCGTTCCTTCCACACAACCTTCATCACGTCATTATAGTTCCTGTGTAGTGATTGCATATCCCTGAAAGCTGCAAGGATGTTGCTCCCGAGGAGCGCGAGTCTCGCCTTAATGTCGTGCGCCGACGTGGCGATGGCCGGCAACGGGAAGCCTTCTGCGCCCCCGTATCCGATTTCTTTCAAAAAATCCACCGGGTCACCACGCGTCGGACTGTAGGATTAAAACGCCTGCCAAGCCGGGTCGGCTCGGTTGAGATACCCGTAGATATTCATTGCCGGAGTTTCGTGTGTTGGTGGTGGGGAGGGAGAACTGTGGAGAGAAGGCAGTATTGGCGATGGATAGGTGGAGACTTACTCAACAGTTTTTTGGGCGGTCAAGGATGGGCAATCTTTTGCATATGTGTAAATTTCACCCAGGCAACCAGGCATCCATATGCTTTAGGCAAAGCAGCCAAATTTTCGACGGTCAACAACAATAGACGTTACTGCTTATTGGCGTAAGTGACATGAGTTATCCCCTCACAGAAACTTCATGCGGCACACGCATTGCAAGGGCTGATATGCATGGCCCTTTGTGACTATCTGCAAATTCGTTGAACTTCGCCATAGTTTGAACAAATGTGATGAAGAGGGAAGCACTCCCTATTAGGATGCCGTAAAATATAGGACGGGGTGCCAAGTATAAATACTACGTTGAAACTGCAGACTTCAAATGATTTGCTTCCATGTTCATCGGACCACTTGGCTCGGAGAGGACGTGCCCTTATGTACAGTTTCTCGCGCAACATGCAACCTGCATTATTCTTTTGCGTTGCTTACCATTCCGGATCACACGTCAAGCAAACATGTATGTCAAGCAATAGATATCCACAACTGATTTCAAGGCATTTTTGTGACAAGTGAAACGTCTACCGCGGGGTATCAAGTACCGTGTGTCATGAAGCGATGCTAGGCCACTAGAAAAAGGTAGAGTCCAGCGTGTAAAGTATCGAAACCAGGCTGGCGTACTGCTGATATCGTATATTTGGGATATTGCCCGTTCAACACAGTCTGAGGAGTTACAATTTCCCTTGGGCAATGAGGACCCTCGAACCCAATATGGGTACGTCAGGAATTTTGAGCACACGTCTGAACCCAGTGTTTGCATGAGACTATATCCGGGACTGCCTAGCTATGATGTGATTGCTGCCAGGTGGAAAGTCCTGCAATGACTGACCGACAGACTAATTCTCCTGTTCCAGTGACAATCAGACTCAAAGCCGGCGGCATAACGACGAACAAGATTGGTCATATTGTTCAAAATGGGAATGAATCAGATCGTACATCATCAGCGAGACTTAAGAACTTCATATGATGGTGTATGCGTTCGAGCCCCAGGGGTGTTCAATGACAACTGCCACTGGGATGGTATGGGGCTCAGATGTCAGGACTGAAAGCAATAAGCGGACGAGGTGACGCTGACGTGCTCAGACAGAGTCCGCAATACGAAGCTATTGAGGAGCTGCACGTCACTGCGCTCAAGCTCCATCCAACAGCAGAGCCCGCCAGTTGTCACGGTCGCACCGAGGAGATCAAGTGTGACCTCTATTGCGACGGAAGTCGCTGTACTTGAGAAACACCCTCTGGGCAGCGGCAGTGTTTTGCATGATTAGCGCTAGTCCGACGATATTGTACAAAGCTGACGGCGTCCTCGGGTTTGTAATCAGTATTGCTGACTGATTCTAGGAGGCGGATGGAGTCCACGTCAACACACTCCGCTCAGGAGCACTGCGGAAAACCATGCTGGCATTCGCGGCGTGGCCGCAATTCAACTCGCGTGGACGACCTCCATGAAACCCCTGCAGGGCATAATGTTGGTGTTTCGGGACGGTCACCTCGTTGACGACTCACATGGTCGGCGTGCCACCACCCCTTATCGGCAGACCGGTCGTTCCACGGCGAGCGTTTCCACCTAAGCGACCCGTCCATATGTTTGAATGAGAATAAAAAACAGTGTAGCTCATGTACCAGTCTTTCATTCCCATACCCAGCTGACAACCCGTGTCCAGCCTTGAGCTTTGTTGCTTGGGGTGTCCAAAAGCTGATCAGCTTGTTCAAACGCCTCGTCGAGAGGTATGCTAGACAGTGTTGTAACCTTGGTCTTCTTGACAAACTTCCACGTGAAGTAGGCAGCGAGCACGAGAGGGATGTCTCTGTGCCTTCGTCAGCGCTCGGGGCTTGGTGTGGTCTGGTTGTACTGTGAACTTACAGGTACGATGATACGAATGTTCTGGAATCCCAGTTTCCTTCGGTGAAGACTTCGAAACCTCCAGTAAGCAGTATGACTATGCACATGAAGAGTCCGGCGTACGAGCTGTACACTGCGATGAGGGATTAGTGAGGAGGTTTGGATAGCAGATGTCTCTCCAACTTACATGTCCACCAGTTATGCCATGGAAGCCGGGCTTCTGATATCCCTTGCTCCTTCATTGCCAGCCTCAGTCGTACATGGTTCAACAAGATGACGGACCACGATACCAATACGCCCGCAGCTGTAAGTCTCACCAGCCACCAGAACACAGTGAGTGCTTCATTGGACAGGCTCATGAAGCTGAGAAACATAAAGGCTGCAAAGAGAAGCACACACATATACGGTGTGCCCCACGATGTTGTTCGAAGGAAGATCTTGGGAGCTTGCCCCTTCAGCGCTAGGCCGTACAGCACGCGAGTGCCGGCAAGCAAGCTTTGGTTGGATGCAGACCATGCTGACGTTATCACAACGGCATTGACAATAGTTGGGATAACCGGGATTCCGGCAGCAGAGGCCGCGATAACGAAGGGACTCTGCGCAGCTGATCCCGACGAATCATTGAGTCGTGGGTCGTTGCTCGCTACTAGCATGCCCACGACCAATATCGCCAACATGTAGAAAATGACGATGCGGATGAACACGCGTTTGCACGCGGCTGGTATGGCTTGTTGAGGATTATGAGTCTCGGCGGCAGCCATTGCAAGGGACTCAACACCTGCAAAAGAGAAGACGGCGCTGGTCATGACGCTCCAGTAGCCTAGAAACCGCCCCCAGTCACCGGTAGCAATGTTCTCCACGAAGGGTCCCGGATTGCGCCAGTACGCAAACCCAATGCGTGGAGTGCCCGGAACACCACCCAGGTCGATCATGAGCCCCAGAATGATCAAAAAGAAGACGAGAAAGATCTTTAGTAACGCAAAGATGAACTCGACTTCTCCAAAGACACGGACAAAGGCGACGCCGACGGTCACCGTCAACACGATGGAGATGAGAATGAAAACGGTCGGGTTCAGGTCGGTCCAGAATTGGAAGAGGACGCATATGGCTGTGATTTCGGACGGGATTGCAAGAATGTTGCCATAGACCAGATTCCACCCGACGGCAAAGCCCAGAGCCGGGTCGACCAGAAACTCAGCATGGCGTACGAAGCTGCCTGTCACGGGGAGCAGGGCCGAGACCTCGCCGAGAGCGAACTGGACGGCGCACACAACCAGCCCGATTGTCGCATACCCGAGTAGGGCGCCCAATGGACCTCCCTTCTGCACAGCACCGCCAAGGCCCAGGAAGAGACCGGTTCCAATCGCACCAGCGATGCCTAGCATTGACAGATGACGCTGGCCGAGTCCGCGCTTTAGGCTGTGATCCTCGGTATCGGTGACAATGTCGCCATTCACGAGTGAATGACTCAGGACATGATCTTGAGCGTTTTCGAGCGTCCCGTACTGCGATGCTTCTCTATCCGGCGGTAACAGCGCCTCGTGTGCGGAAGCATTATCGCGTGATTCCGCCTCGGATTGGCTGCCATTCATCGTGATGGCGGTGAGGACAGGAAGCGAGGAATGTGAGGAGTACGGGCCAATCTGCGTATCTCCATCAGGAATCAGTCACTGACTCACTAATCCATCACTCAGTCAGACCAGTGGAAGCGGAGAGCCGTTCTTTGGTATCGCCATGGTCAGCTTGAATGTTGTGCTCGCGATTGATAAGAGGTGTGGGTACAGACATTATACTGTTTTACGACATACACGGTTATAAAGACGGTTGATCGCTGATAAGCAGCTTATACGTCTATGGAGGTCTGAGTATAGTTTCTTGTCAGAAACGCGTCGTAAAGATCGAAACCGGCATCCGGGAGCATCATAAGAACGCATTTGACCGCCATCCGGGCAACGAAGGCGAAGATTCAACAAGGAATGTATACGATCTATTGAAATTGCGGATCTCAATCGCGACCAGCGAGTCGAGCGGGTAGTGCGACAGCGAGCGCGTCACGTCGAGGTCCTCGAGCTCATCATCAAACGCCGCAAGCTTGCACACGAGGCCGTCGCACACAACTGCTTGGCCTCCGGTTGTGGGACTTTGTCGCCTTGAGCGCCGCATTGTATGAGGTCGCCTTCGTGGCTGCATCGTCGGCTTAGTTCGCATGCCTATGACGATGTGGCTGTTGCACGTCGTGGCCATGCGCCCGCCGATGGCGGCGCCCAGGAGCGCAAGCACTTCGGCCTTGCAGATCGTGTCGCTTCCGAGGCTTCGCGCCACTTCGGCCGTCTTGCCGAGGTCCTCGGCCAGGTACCCGGTGTTGGAGATGGCCGTCAGGTCCAGTGAGGAGGCGGGCAGGCCGAGCGAGATGCGGTGCTGAACGAGGGCGTAAGGAAGCGGTCCGCGGCCGCGTAGGAGGCGGCTTGACCTCGGTTGCCGACCATACCGGCGAGGGACGAAATGGCCGCGATGACTTCGTGTCCCAACCCAGCAGATTGAGAGATGGTATCGATGTTGGGATCAATTCAGGCTCTGCCCCAACATTGAGCAAATTGACGAGTTTTTTGTTGGTGGCTCATGGCTGAACTCTATTTGTCTTCTCCCTCAACCTCAATGACAATGGCTCCAGCGAAACCTTTCTAGGAAGCGCAGACAATCCTCTCTTCCCTTCCCAGCGTCACCCACGACAACCCAGATCTCCTCCTTCCAGCCGCATCAATTGCTTCGAAAGAACACCCGACATACCCCACAACAAGCTGTCCAGCTCCCTAATTTTCATCTTCTCTCCACACATTCAGGCACGATGGCTCATCCTAAGAGCTTTGAATTTGACCTGTACGCCATACTGCGGGTCGAGAGCAGCGCCAGCGCGGCGGACATCAAGACAGCATACAGAGCGCTTTCCTTGAAATATCATCCGGACAAGAAGGGCGACACGCCTGAGAACAACAAGTATTTCGCGAAGATCCAATAGGCATGGGAGGTCTTGCGAGATCCGGTACTACGAGGAAAGTTCCACACCGTGCACATACAGCGGCAGACGGAGGCCAGAAGCAGCAACAGTAACAAGAGGAAGGCCGAGTCGGGCGATACTTGGGGGCAAGATCAGAACGAAAGTTCGAATCCGATGCCAGGCGCCTAAGCCCAGGACGAGAAGCAAGAAGAGCCGGCACCGAAACGCCCCTCCTGGTGCGAGGGTATCATTGCACTGGTCGAGGACGAGATCCGCTTCATCAATCGCGTCCTCGGCATCATCCGACTTGATCTAAAGACCTTGAAGAAATATATCAGTGATTACGGACACGTTTACCAGCCCAACAACGCCTTCTGGAAGTCCCTCTTGGCCGAAGTCCACACTGCATTCAAGGCTGTCAGGGACTCTAGAAATGAAGTACGAAACCGGCTTATAGACATGAAGAGGGGCATTGGTATCGAGGGCATGCTTCACCTTTCCGGCGACGTCAGCGCTCTACGTGCGGACGTCTTTCGCATGTACTGCGCCTCGTGTGACGCTAGACAGATTTTCCGAGCCCTAACCAACTTCGATGGGGCAGGGCTTGAGAAGATGCTGGGGTTCATCAAGATGCAGCTGGAGATATGGGCAAAGTCCAAGAACACGAAACAATCAGTCTGAAGATGGTTGGAGATAACTACTGAAGTACCTGATGGCCTCAATTCGGCCCAGATCCATATCCGCACTCGAATCGCGGCTTCGAAACCTGCCACCACAAACGGCGCCGCGGACAGAACACATCCTCCTACAAGAACACACCACAGCCGCCGGCACAACCTGGATTCGACTATCTTTCCTCAGAATCATCCTCTACATTCACCGAGCGACGACAAAGAGACAGAACAAAAAAGTATTGCCTATCCGCTTGACATTGCATTTCAGAGAGGCACGAACAAAGAAGGCTCGACACGTCACACCACTCAACGCCGCACATATCATCATCAGCGACATATGCCGGACGAACACCGAGGATTAGTGGGGATCATCGAGGAACATGGAGGAAGCGAGTTGAAATTGAGAAATGAGGATTTATTTGCCTAACGCGCGAACTTTGAGTTGGAGATACCGGGTTGGCATCTTTCCTCGGTAGAAGGACTTATCAGCGTGTGTGCCCCGTGCGCATGAGAAGAGCATGGAAGAGATTGAATGAGCAACTTCTGACTTCGAAAAATTCCAGCATTTTCTGATGTTAGAGATACCTGGTTGGCGTGAGGCAGTTGGAGGACTTCCAATCAGTAGTGTGGCAGAGTACTTGCTGCTCGTCCTGCTAAGGGAATATGATTTTCTCCTTGTCACTGAATACCGTATGGATTGAGACTTGGGTGTGTGACGTGTGATGTATGATGCGCGATGTTCGTGTAACTGTCAACTCCCGATGGGCGAGCCGTTGTCATAACCCCTTTTCTATACACAACTAGATATAAGTATACCATGCACCGCGCATATTGCTGTAAATCTTCGAGATGACTATTAGTTTCACTACAATCACTTTGACTCACATCGAGATGCAATATGTGTTGAAGTCGTATGTAATCACCGACACGGTGAAGATAATACTGCCGCAGCCGTTGATAAGATATATCACTAAGGATCTAATTCGCATACGATAAGCTGAGCACCATCACGCTCTCTGCTAGATCACATGAGGACGACGTGCGGATGAGAACCACGCTCCCCCAATAGCGGCGGATGAATTTAATCAACCATTTTTTCCTTTACTATCCCATACCTACGCGCTTCCTGCACTGTCCCATCATGGTACGAACGAATCGGAGCCCATCCAGTTGAGCCGTAGTGCTCCAAGTCACTCGCCGACTTTCATGCCGAAATACAACTACTAAAGCATGGTCGATCCCAATGAACCGCGCAGAGATACAGGAGACGCCGCCGCTCTCCGCTGAGGTCCAGAACACAGGACGGCAATGCCATCCCCTGTCTGCTTCTATTCGACAGGCCTCACCCGCCAAAGCGAGCAAGTGAACCCGATCAGCGATCTCCGGGTCCTGACAGCAAGAGTTCCATCGGGGGCCTAAAGACCTGCCAACATGGCCCTGCAGTAGATTCCGAGCCTGGTTCGTCTGCCACCCTCGCTCTCACCTCGGCCCCGAACCTCGCCCTCACTTGTCCCCCGCCGCCAGCGACAGCACATCAGAACCCTGGCCCGCATCAAGGTTACTACTGTGTAGACCGCCGAATACCCCTGACCGCGGTTTTCGATAGTTTCGATGAGTCAAGCAGTGATCGCCAGCACCAGGCTGCCAGCTCGGCTACGTGACCAAGTCGTAGGCTTCCCCTGCTAGTCGGGCGAATGGTAAGATAAAAGCCTTTGATTCATGTCGGCAACAGTTTCGGTACAGGAAGTAGACGCGCATTAGTTCAATATCATTGTTCCTGCAGGAGTAGACGAAGAGAGGGTTCGTTCTAGAAGCGGTATAGGGTATAGGCCCAGATCGTATAATCCTGCGAGACAGGGGGAGCAAGATGGCCCGGAGGCCTATAAAGTGGAACATTTTCCTTCCCATATTCTGACGACTGCGAGACAACCGCACCGGCACCCCCCTCATCGAAGCCATACACTCATCAACTCCAAGACGCTTCCTCAAATCGTCCTCTCGGTCCTTGCGCTCGCCGCCGCTCTAGTGCTGGCCCTGCCCGGCACGGCCGTCCTGTCGGCGGAAGCAGCCCAAGCGACGATCATCGGGACTTGTTCCTCTGATGGTCAAGGTTGCCAACTGGGCAACGGTCTGGTCTACTCCTGCTACTATGGCGGAGTACGTATTCTTGCCCCTGAGCTCTTACTCCTGAGCTGTGGGTTAGGATGTGCTGATACTGACATCTCGACAGTGCGGAGGCGATTGCAAGGGCGTCGGTCCTTGCGATTTCGAGACTGTGGGCATGAAGACTCATTGCGTGTATGGGTGCTAGGGAGGAGGGTAATACGAGCTGTCCGCGATGCAGGGAAGCAACATCTGCCGCTGACCGGAGTTTGGATACGGCGCTGTCGCCTGGACGCACATCATAAAGACGATCAGGACTACACGTGGCGGAACTTGGCGGACATCCGATTTCAGATACTCACTCTCGTCTATTGAGGCAGTCAAATAGATCTTGTTCCTCTCAGCTGTCTGCCTTCGTGACCATCAAACTGGTATCCCCTCGTCGACCCTAACCAGCGGTTCCTTGTCGCTCATGTTGGTAAAGCAATGCCCGCTGAGTAAGATAGGGGTTCATCACCATGATCCGCATCTCACCAGGGTGATATACTTCACTTAGCAACAGTATGCAGTTCGTAATCTCATGCATTCATCGACCTATACCTATCATTGGCCGGTCCCATGATCCATTATCCCTTTACATGTCTCATGTCTGACTTCGTTGGTCCTTCAGCACAGATACCATCCCCTCATGCCTGCTCCTCCGAAGCAAGTGCATCATAAGGAGTCTTGCCATCAACACCCTTCTCACGACCGCCCGTCGATCCTCCCACCGCGCTGTTCCCCAGCTCGATCTTCTTCTCGGCCAGCGCCGCCGGGTCGTTTTTGGTGCCGAACTCGCTGAAGCTGGTGTTTTTGGTCTTGTCCTCGGTGCCGATGCTGTCGTCCTCCTTGATGTTCTTGCCGTGCGGGCCCGCCGGGTCGCGGTGGTACTGGTTCAGTACGTAGGTGGGGGCGGTGTCTACGTGTTTCGAACCCGCGCCCGCACCTGTCCCCCCCGAGCCTGTTCCCGAGCCCGAGCCTGCTCCCGACTTCGAGCCTGGTCCGGAGCCCGAGCCGCCCGATGAGGCGGAGGATGTGGCGTTGCCCGTGGTGGTCTGGGCGCCCGCACTCGTGGTGTTGCGGACGTCGTTGGCGTTGCGGAAGGTCTGCGACTCGGCGGCTAGAGAGTCGGAGGCTACAGCGCCGGTGCCCTCTTTCGTGACGGGGGCGTCCATGCCGAGAGTCACTTTGGTGCCTTCACTGGGTGCTTTGGCCGGCATTGTGATGGTTGATTCTGGCTGGTGTTGGTATCTGTTGGATTGTGCTTTGTAGGTCGTATTTAGTTGAGCTTGCTTGTCAGATGTGTCGATGTATTGTCAAGGTGGTGCCGAAATGTGATCACGACGGGAAGAGAACTGATAAAAGAAGGTCCAGTTTGGTGTAAGTCGGTGTCGATGGGGAACTCCTCAACTCCTTGCGGTATTGACGTCATAACCACGAAACGTCACAGCTGCGCACCTGGGCACCGAAGGTAGGCGCCAATGACTTCACTCCTTCCTCCATAACTGAATTAAAGTGCGACAGACGCAGCTTTATTCGCTTCATTGACATCATCTGGGCACTGGTTCGGTAGAACTTGTGGGTTTCTCTGGGACGTGGTTTGGATTTTGGAAAGAGACGCCGAAGACGCCTGCGCCGCCTATTCGGAGGCTCCACTCCGCTCAGTGTGTAGGATTCACCATCGAGATTTAGTACAGATAGTCTGTACATGCTCACCACTCTACCTCATTAATAAGCAGTCGATCGCCGGGGTCAGCACTGGAATGGTGTTTGCAGCTCTCCCGCGTCGGCAGCCTGCTTCAGTGCCGTTATCGTCGCATACAGCCCACCAACACAAATCACAGCACCAGCCAGGACAGTCAATACATTGACAGTGAACATGAAAGGTCTCCTGAACCAGGCGCGGGATCCCCCCTCGAAGTAATATGTATCATGAAGCCAGAACGCCCCCGCAAGCCCATACGTATACCACGCGGCGAACAGTGATGCCGTGATCCCCAGAAGATAGTTGAACACGGGGATCCCGACGGCGAACACGAAAGCTGCCACATTGGCGAGCAGGATCAACAAAGACCACACTCCCCAGCCGAGGAACGTGTGCGAGTGGATATGGCGGCTGTGTCTGAAGATGCGAACGAAGACGAGTTTGGCGGCTGCGTGGCTGTAGAGACTCCCGGCGATGAAGAAGTTGGGGATTGCAAGTCCGAAGGAAATATTGGACCAGAGCGGGCTGAGACTCAGCAGACTGGGACTTGCCACCCCGGATCCTACATACCAGTACGTCACCAACGCGAACACGATATAGAAAGCAGTCGCGACGATCTGTAGCACCCATGCCGCCTTCATCGCGTCCTGCGGCCGCTTCATCTCGCTGATGAAGGTGAAGAACATAACGTGTCCCGCGTACGCGAAGACCGGGTTGGTTATACTGATGAAGGCCGACGTGAAAGTGGTCGTTACCGTGATCGAGATATCGCCCGCATCAACAGGGAGAGCTCCAGCTCCGGCCATTGCCACGATGCCAGCGACGATGATCGAGATGCCTCCGGCGATGGATAGCCATCCGAGGTGGTCCAGAGTTCGAGGGAAGCTCGCGAGAGTCACAGCGATGGCGAATATGCCAGAGAAGGCGATCGCGCAGAGCTTCTCGTTGGAGAGCACGCTCAAGGCGAGTTGGCCGGCCAGGATCTGGCTTCCCGTCGCGCAGATGGCGAAGATGATGCTGCCGCCGCCCAGGATCTCCCTACCAATTGGCCCAAACAAGATCATGCCGGCGTCGCCCACATTATGCACTTCTTACAGTCAGCACAACAGATTGATCTCCATGTCGATCCACGTACCTTCCGGGTGTCGAAGCTTGAACTGTATCAAAGCCCACGCCGTGTACGTCGCGAACGCCCCAAGAAAGAAGATCACTATCACACCTGGGACAATCCCCACAGCTGCCAAGCTGCTGGGTAAGCTGAGCATGCCATTCGAGACGATCTCGGTGATCATGAGGACCGCGACGAGCGGCCAGCTCAGCGTCTTGTACTTGATATCGTGGCCATCTTCGTGGCCGAACACGTCGTCCGGCACGCCCGGATCCGTATGGCCCTCATCATAGACATCCCCGCGGGGATACACGCCCCCTTGTAGAGTGGTGTCGTTGAGTGAAGCAGGTCCGAACTTCTCCTGCGGGAGGTCGCCCGGGTGGTAAGTGTTTGTGCCTCTCATCGTACCACGGTCGCCTTTAAGGTCACGGTCGCCTTCAAGGTCAGCTGTATCGATATACGGAGTAGTATGGACGAACTTCTATTGAAGTTTGAGCGAGTGCGAGATGCTGAACCATATGGTCGATTACATCAACGATATGGCCTGGCGCCCTATCAGAGCGTGCCATGCCGACCGTGGCACGGGGGCCCCAGTGAGTCGCGAGGGTAGGAAGGATAGCATCGGCTGCCGTGATTCGATTAGCGGGGTTTACTCCAAAGAGGAGGTGTCTCACCAAGCTCATGCTGAAAAGGGACAGCATATATTGAACTCGAGCCCCTGTGCCAGACTGCCAGTAGCCTATAACGAGAGAATAATCAACAATGAAGCAACACGAACTCCTCTCCTCGATGTTCTACCCCCCTGATATCCCTTCTCCTTTGCTATCCCTCGTCTTTGATATCACTCTTTTTCAGCAGAGTCCCCGGGCTTGTAACAACGGATCTGCTGTTGGAGTGTCCTGACCGTTCAGCAACACCCAGCACGTGCGGCGCCAACATTGCCGGCTGCGTGGCCAACAACGACTGGAGCCTCGACTACGGCGTCTTCGACTGCAAGAACCAGTGACTGAGAGGTTAGTGAAGCCGGGGCCGTGACGAGTGTTGTATATTCGTCGATAGCACTTTTGGCTAATAATCAGGAAGCTGTAACTCTAGACGCGATGTAACGCCAGACCGGTCACTGGAGTTGATGTTAGACGCCGCGGTAGGTACACTGAACCCTCATAAGTCTGCGTACGCCTTCGGTCACCAAGCGAAAGATGCCTTTATTATACATGGAATAAGCAGGCGGGAATAAGCATCAAATGTGACTTGTTGGATCAGAGCTGCTTATTCCTGTATGCTTATTCCGTATTTTGAATTTTCACCCTTGGTCTGGAATCTTACAACATGGCGCGTACTGAGACTTATGAGGGCTGAGTGTACGTCTTTCCACAAATGATCATCATCAACCCCATGGCCCACGGCTTCTCTCCCACAGACTTCCTCGCAGCCCACGGCCGGACGCTGCATCTCGGGAAATCAGGGGCTCACGCGGCTGTCGAATGTCCGCAGTGTCAGGAGACATTCATCATGCCCGCTGAAACTCCGTCCGGGGTGTTGGATTCCGTAGCATGTCGGGTCCCAGAGCTTCATCACTTCAACTTTCATGGTGGCATGGGTAAGGTATCATCATGGAAAACGGTCGTATAGTGGCGAAGGTTGTCTGGGGCTCGCTGACATTCCACCGTCCGAAGCTGGAGGAGAAAAAAAGTCCAGTTTGGCGATCTGCCTCTGCCGCAGCCGAATGAATTCGTGCGTGGAGTCACGCGGGACAACGACACAGACGCAGACTTGCTCAATAACGCCGCACTGCTAGAGTCCATTGGCTTGCATCACAGCCTGGTTTCTTCCCTCCGTATTTGTTCGGAGAACCACGGACTTAATGGGTTTCTGGCAGAACTGCGGCCGACACCCCGTCCGGTACCATATCCTTATGTTCAAAGAGCAGGCATGCTGATTGAATTGTCTACTGGCGTTACTAACAGAAGTTAGAACGCTCGTGACGCGGTCTATAATAGGAGCTGATGCAGGATTGAGGATCTCTAGCGCTTACGATATGGGCCTGAGTTCTAGGCTGCCAAATTGGCAGACCCTTGAGGCACTGCCACCCAAGTTGTATGGGGTTGGTAGATACCTACCTAGTATATAAGACCTGCTTCTCCATCTGCGATCCTCATATACCAAAGGGCACTCTCTCGGTCGAATCACCCAGGTATCACAATAATGGCAGCCTCAAACCCAGTTATCATCATCATCCACGGAGGCTGGCACCTCCCCCAGCACTACGCCAAGCTGAGCAACGGCCTCGAGGGCGCCGGCTTCGAGGTCCATATGCCACAGTTGCCTTCCATGAACGGTGCCATGCCACCAACGGCAGACTTGGCCAGCGACACGGAGTTCATCAAGGCCTACGTGGAAAAACTTCTCGACGCCGGCAAGACCGTCATCGCCATCACGCACTCGTACGGCGGCCAGGTCGGCACGCGCGTTCAACCCAGGGCCTCAAGGGCGCCGTCGCCCACCTGATCTACATGACCGCCTTTGCGCTCCCCGAGGGCATGTCGATGATCGACCAAGTGGTGCACATGGGGCACAAGGAGCTGATACCGCTGGCGTTCGACTACCGCGAGAACGGCACTGTCGCGGACCGGGATCCGAGGGGACGTCTCGTAGGGGCGTGGCACGACGACGCAGAAGCAGATGCTTATGTGGCTGCGCTGGGGATCTGGGGAGCTAAGCCCATGCAGCAGCCCGTGGAACGGTGTGCGTGGAGGGAGATTCCGGTTACGTACATCGAAACCAGTCAGGATGGGGAGGTGCCGCTAGTGTACCAGGAGGATATGGTGGCGAGGATGAGGGCTGAGGGGGTCGAGGTCAAGACGGCGACGCTGGAGACGGGGCATTGTCCTAACTTCACGATGCCCGGGGAGGTGGTCAAGGTTGTGGAGGGTGTTGCGAGTGCGATATCTGGCGCGGCATGAGGAGGTATGGGGTCATACCCTACCGCCTGAACGTTGTACATTGGTTCTAGACCATACTATCCCTTAAGTGTTGAATATGCCGCGTAGAATCGGTTGGGCTGCTTGAGCTCAGCTGTTTGTGAAACAGCACCAGCTTAATGTAAGTTAACTTTGAGAAACCAGGCGAGACTTAAATCGTACGTAGCAAGTTGGTGGGCGACAGACGGCTTCTGTTGAAAGCCGTCTGTCGAAATTAGCTTACTTTAGAAGATCGGAGCATTCTCAGTCCAGCCTGGCTTGAGGCCTTCACATCCCTTCAGATACGGCCGTCCTGGTGGTTCATCAGGAATGCCGGTACGGACTACGGACGAGATTCGATCGAGGCTGGGGAGAACCTCCCTGGAAGCTGGACCTCTCAATTTATAGCGACGGTACGACGGCGCCAGGCGACTTCGGACCCCATACGGCCGAACCTGCAGCGAATGACAGGGCCTGTAATGGTCACCAGGACTAATAGGGGCAGTGGAATTGGCGGGGACTCGGACCTGCAGCGCAACCCCGGACCCAACTGGGCATCGCCGAGTTTTTGCTTGCTGGATGAGTCGCCGACTTCGCCCAAGATTTTCAATACATCTTGTTCGACGCACCCAGCCTCGGGACGGTGAAGCTCCAGAAGACGACCTTTGCCCAGCGGTTGACCTTCATTTGCTGCGGCGCCATCGATCGAGCTGTCTTGTCAATTGATCTCCAAGTGCACCTGTTGCCAGTCAATTGTGAGCTCTGAGCTCCTGCAAAGCTCGTCATTATGGCCTTCCACACCCTTCTCCGCGCCGGAGTTCCAGCAGCTCTGGCGCGCAGGGCCTTTGCGCCCTCGAGACAATATGCGTATGTTGAAACTGCTGTAGTCTCGAAGTGACATTGCCATTGTAGTCTGTATACTAATCTACTATCATGTAGTCGCTGCCTGAGCACCACTCCCGTCCGCCGATCCGACGATGACCTCAACAAGGTCTCCCGCTCCATCACACAGCCCAAGTCACAGGGCGCCTCCCAAGCCATGCTCTACGCCACAGGTCTCACCGAAGCCGATATGTCAAAGGCCCAGGTTGGAATCTCGTCCGTCTGGTGGGAAGGCAATCCGTGTAACATGCACCTTATGGACCTCTCTGCGATCGTCAAAGAATCAGTCGCGAAGGCTGGTTTGGTCCCCTACCGATTCAACACTATCGGAGTGTCAGATGGTATCTCGATGGGTACAACGGGTATGCGGTATTCCCTTCAGAGCAGAGAGATCATTGCCGACAGTATCGAGACTGTCATGCAGGGCCAATGGTACGATGCGAACATCTCCCTACCCGGTTGCGACAAGAACATGCCTGGTGTCCTGATAGCCATGGGCCGGGTGAACAGACCAAGTATCATGGTCTACGGTGGTACGATCAAGCCCGGGTGCAGCATGGACGGTAACGTTATCGACATGGTCAGTGCCTTCCAGGCCTACGGACAGTACATCTCCGGTGAGATCAACGAGACGCAGCGCCACGATATCATCCGACACGCCTGCAATGGAAGCGGCGCATGTGGAGGCATGTACACCGCGAACACAATGGCGTCGGCCATCGAGACGCTGGGTATGACGATGCCGGGCAGCAGTAGCAGCCCCGCCGAGGACCCAGCTAAGAGAGCCGAGTGTGAGAACATCGGCCAGGCGATAAGGCACATCATGAAGGAGGACATCAAGCCGAAGGACATCATGACGCGGGAAGCCTTCGAAGAGGCTATGGTTGTGGTCAACATTCTGGGAGGCAGTACCAACGCTGTGCTGCACCTGATCGCCATCGCCGACGCCGTGGGCATCAAGCTTACCGTCGAGGACTTCCAGTCTGTGTCGGACCGGACGCCGTTCCTAGCAGACCTGAAGCCATCGGGCAAGTACGTAATGACAGACATGCACAAGATCGGCGGCACGCCATCTCTTCTCAAGTTCTTGATCGGGGAGGGTATCATCTCGGGTAAGGGCATGACGGCGACGGGCAAGACGATGAAGCAGAACGTCGAGTCGTGGCCATCGTTCCCCAAGGAGCAGGAAATTATCCGCCCCTTCTCGAACCCCATCAAGCCCACGGGCCACATCCAGATCTTACGGGGTGCCCTCGCGCCCGGTGGCTCGGTCGGCAAGATCACGGGTAAGGAGGGTCTAGTCTTCACGGGCAAGGCCAAGTGCTACGACCAGGAGGGCGACTTCATCGAGGCTCTGGAGGCAGGCGAGATCAAGAAGGGCGAGAAGACCGTTGTCATCATCCGGTACGAGGGTCCCAAGGGCGGCCCCGGTATGCCCGAGATGTTGAAGCCGTCGTCGGCCATCATGGGCGCCGGGCTCGGCAATGATGTTGCGTTGTTGACTGACGGGCGGTTCTCCGGTGGTTCCCACGGCTTCCTGATCGGACACATTGTGCCTGAGGCCGCGGAAGGCGGGCCCATTGGCCTCGTAAAGGATGGCGACACTATCACGATTGATGCCGAGAAGCGGGTCATCGACACCGATGTCAGTGACGCGGATATGGAGGCGCGGCGGAAGGCGTGGACGGTGCCACCGTCGCGGTACGCCAAGGGCACGCTGACGAAGTATGCACAATTGGTTAGCGATGCTAGCTCCGGGTGTGTCACGACGGGGCCTATCGAGACAAGCTCTTGAAATCGCAAGTCCCCATGTTTAAAAAGGGGGAGGGGAGAGGCAATTGTGGAATCTACTGTAAATACACCATCATGATACCGGAATACGGACTATGGAAGATAAAACGGCGCCCAATCTAGCTGATTTAAGGTTTGAGTTTATTGACTTGACGTGCAAGTATAATCCTCCATGGAATAGTTGTTCATAAAATGCTCATATAGGTATCTACAAGGCATCTAAAAACAGTGTTGGCTCTTCTGATGATGCGTCATGCAATGCTAACCGTCCAAGTCAACGGCGGGCAGTACCGTACAGTAGTACGTGAATGCACACTTCCCCTTTTTGAACCCCCTTTCCTGAACCCCCTTTCTTGCTTTTTGCTAGACACGAACTTGCCATGGGAACAGCTGTCCCGGTCCAAAAAGACAGATGCCGGCAGTCAGTAGCTCGTGTCCCCCGGCCATCAAGTCAAACCCGCCCACCCGCCATTGCTCCAGCCACAATGCGCGCAAGAATGTCACATGCACTCGGTACTTCATTCCCATGATGACTTTTCGAAGCCACGGCAAACACCCAAAAACGTAGAAATCACCTGGATCGGCAGCTTCACATCATTTCCTTTTGTTCCACGCCTCGATAAACGCCGCCTTGTCGCGCAGAGTCAGTCCTACGCGCTTGTTCCTGCCAAGCCGTGCGAGCGCCTTGCCGATCCGGTCGATGACCCGCTGCTCCTCGGTTGTTGAGTCCTCCCCGCCACACTCCTCCGTATCCCTATCTGGTTCCGGAGGGCGGTCGGCGGCCCCGTTCGTCGCCGCGGCCGACGTGTTGGGCATGCCCTGGGCGATGCGCACGCGGATGTAGTGCGTGGGCTTGCTGAGCAGCTTCCACAGGAACGTGGCGTAGGCGCCGGGCACGGGCGTCGCGATGTCGGGCGGCGTGTAGCGCATGCTGACGGGGAAGATCTGGGCGTCGGACGGCGCGGACAGGACCGAGGGCGAGAACGGCATGATGCCCTTGCCGTTCGTGGTCGTCATCTCGGGAAAGACGGCGACGACGCGGCGCGGGTTCTGCTCGACGAGGGCGCGCACGGTGGTCAGGCCCGACGACGCGGGAGGGGGCGCCAGGACGGGCGGCGACAGCGCGAGCACGACGGCGCGGAAGAGCGAGACGCGCTGCACCTTCTGCGTGCCGGGGTACGACACGGTGAAGATGGGGTCGAAGATGGCGGCCAGGTAGATAGCGTCGACGGGGCTCGTGAACTGCGCGGCGATGACGCTGCGGTCGCCGGGGAACCGCGTGTCGGGCTGCTGTGACAGCGCGCCGCGCTTCACGCCGTCGAGCTGCAGGTCTACCCACCAGATGCCCGGTATGCCCAGCATGGTCCACAGCAGCAGCTTGCGCGCCACCTGCGGCAGCGGCAGCCAGTCCAGCACCAGGAAGTAGAAGGCGAAGTAGAAGACGAAGAGCGGCAGGCGGAAGAGGAAGATGCCCGCGTGCATGAGCGTCGCGATCGGCGAGCTGGGGGTTGTTGTCGGGATGAAGGGCGATATGCCGGAGCCTGGGTTTGCGACTGTTAGTTCGTGTCGTTCGCATACTTTTGGAGGTAGGTTGGGACGTACCCCTATCACGGAATTGACTGTACTTCTCCATGGTGGAGGCGAGGCAATGACAGTAGGCGGTTGGGGTGACGGTTTGTCGAGATTGAGGCTATCGAGACATCAGGTAAACGAGGCGTTCGGACTCGGAAGAGGCACGTGGGAGGGCTGGTGTTAAAAGGCACGACTGCTTTGCCCGGAGCCAGTCCCGTGCACTAGAGAAGTCTATTGGGAATCTTAGTAGATGATATCGAATTCTGGAATGGGTTTTTGCTTCGGGGTTTTCTGTCGGCGTAACGGTGGCATCGTCACTGGCGTCGGACGTTAGAAGCACTGGATTGGCATGTGAGAGGGCCCACATCACCGAACCTCCACCATGGTTACAAAAACCTGCAGCTCTCAGACGTTGCCCCAACAACCACGAGCAATAATCAACGGCTGCATAAACGATGCACAACTTCATCCCCACAAACACTTCCGACCATTCAGAGCCGCGATCGCCTTCGACCAGCTTGTACAATTGGAATAGCTTATCCACGCAAATGAACCCACCACCTAATAACTGCTAAGACATCGTCGGGCCAGACACCACCATCATCCTTCAAGACGTCCACTTCGCGATCCAAAGCTGGCGCTGTTTCCGGGGTTCGTCTCCTTGTTCGTTGTATAGCATTTCGTCTTCTCGCGCATCGTCGCGTCACCACTGCAGACAACATGGAAGACAGTATTGTACGTCCACCATCATCGTCGCGACAACTGCCCGGCGCAATCACGAACCATTGTCATTGACTATCTAACCCTATTGCCATGGCAGCAGACTCGACCTACAGGTAGCAGGCTCCCAACGACACGCCTGCCCCAGTTCTCTGCGTCTACCTCCGGCCTCCAAGAGATGTCCCAATCCCAGAGCAATGCCCGCACCGCCCACCCGTCGTCGATGATGCCTCCTGCAGCTGGCCTCAAGCGCGCTTTACCAACACCAGGTGAGAATGACTCCTTCGCCAACAAGATCGACCACCTCAGCTTACACGGAGGTTCAATAGTGTCGCAACCCGAAGCCAAGCGGAAACCATTATCCGAGCGAGCTGGCACCGAATTCCCATACAAAACCAACGCACCGCCCGTAGTTGGCGGTCGAAACGTCCGAGGAAACTCTTTGAAAGAGCTGGTAAGTCGACTTTCTTCCGCATGTCCGTCGTCCGTCGAGAGCGGTCGAGAACACAACCGATTCATCGTTCGAACTATCGTACGATATCCCCACACTACTTGGACGAGTGTGAGACATCTGGACGCGATTGCCTCGAGTTTCAACTTTGCGACACGAATCATCAAGAAACAGCCTTGATCAGTTGCATATAATGTCCAATGTCTTCGCGGTGCTGTTTGCGGTGCGATGGCCGTCGATTCATACTATCAACTTGCAGCCATGGTTCTTTTCATCAGATATCGTTATGCGGTCAACCCAAGTTCATGGTGTGCTGACTTCCTTCAGACCAAACCTCAGCCATCAAACATCAGCTCATTCGGCGGACCGCCTCGCACAATCTCCAATAGCAGCTACGCTTCCAACAGTAGCTACGCCACAAGCCTTGGACCCGGCAGTCGTCCACCCTCACGCTCGCATACGAGAGCACGGTCAGCTACTAGGATTACACGACCTGCCACCTCAATGGGCACACGGGACGGTGCGAGGGATAACAAGCAAGATGAGGGACAAGGCAACAATGGTACAGTGCCCCAATCAGCGGTTCTGTTTGCAAACACCAAGCCCAGTTCTATCAGCACGCGCGGCAGGAAAGTACGGAAACACAAGTCCACTATGGACCTGCCCAACGCAGAGTACCAGCCGATGCCACCAGCCAGAGAAGTCTCTTTCTGTCAAGCGTTTGACTCATTGTCTATCCATGGGTCTAGTGTGAACGGCCTAGGAAATCAAGCGAGTTCCCAGCCGAGCATAGCGACACCATCAAAAAGCTCCATCCCCGTCACCACGTCTCCGCGCAAACGGGTGCATGATACAAGTCATCAGCTTGAAGCTCCTGTTGAAGAGTTTAGGGATGACCCAGTGGCTCCCAAGACACCCAATGTCGTGATGGCCAGTCTTCGACGATCGATCATGGCTGTTGCCACACCAATGGCCGCAATGCCTTCTTCGCCTACAAAGGCACCGTTTCTGTCTAAGGATTCTAATTTAACGGGCTATTTAGTAGCAGATATCGACGACAAAGTTCGAAAAATGGATAGTGACCTCCAGCGGGTGAAGGAGTTAATGGACCTATCCGTAAAAAATGATGCCACCGCCAAAGAGGAGCTCGACATGGCCAAGAAGAGAGGTATGCGCTTTACCATGCAGGTTTTTCCTCTTCTGTACGAGAATGCTAATATTCAGCAGTGGCGACCTTGGAGGACGAACGTGACACTTTGCGCGCCGAAAGGCTACGACTCAAGGATCAACTCGAAGACGCCGAACGGTCAGCTCGGAAACTGGGGTATGACATTGAAGAGGAGAAGAGACAACGAGAAAGGCTTTTCAAAGAACTCAAGGCAGATCACCAGAGAGAACTCGATGCCAAAGCAGTCGCATTCAACCGCGAAATGGACAAGCTCGAAAAGCTGCAACAAGAATTTGAAGAGAAGTGTGGAGCGGCGGCCGAAGCCCGCCTGGACAACTTGTCGCACGAGAACAAGGAACTACGCATCGCGCTGGAGAGGCAGAAGCGAGATCATGAACATGAAGTCCGACTCCTGAACGAGGACATCCATCGACGCGATTCCGAACTGCGGAGACTCGACGAGGACCTGCGGGAAGCGACGAGCGAACAGCTGGGTCTCGAAACACAGATACGTGGGAACATCGAGACTATTGACCGACTCAGGAGGAGAGCTGAGGATGCCGAGGAGAGTCTCTCCAAGGACAAGGGACACCTGGGAGGCCAGATCAGTCTTTTGAGTTCCACCCTCGATTTGAAGTCGGAACGGATCCAGCACCTCGAGGAGGAGACGAAAGCCTTGCAGGCCAAATGCGATATAGAAGTTCAAATCATCAGAGCAGCTGCCCAAAAGCAAATTGCCGACGAGACGAACCTGTTGAGACAGAAGCTCATGAAAGAGGAAGAGAGGCGACATAAGCTGTTTGAGCAGGTACAGGAGCTCAAAGGCAACATCCGAGTCATGTGCCGTATCAAGCCTCCTTCCGACCCAAAAACCGATGCTCTGATACAGTTCAACCCGAAGCCCAGCGATCTGGACGAAGACAAGATTGACGGCATGCTCATCCCCACCGTCAGGGAAGACCCGACAGAGCCAGGGAAAATGCTTGCAGGCAGGCCAAAAGAGTTTAACTTTGAGCGTGTCTTTGACGACAAGTGTACCAACAGGGACGTATTCGACGAGATTAGTCAGCTCGTGCAATCCGTCATGGATGGTAGGAAGGTGTGCATCTTCTGCTACGGTCAAACGGGCTCGGGAAAGACGTTTACCATGAGTAAACGACAAGGCGACGACGATGACGGTGTTATCCCCCGGACACAGCAGATGATCTTTAGTGAGGTGGAGAGACTGAAGGCACTGGGCTGGGAGTATACCGTGGAGGGAAGCTACCTCGAAGTCTACCAAGACAAGCTGTACGACTTGCTTGCCTCGCGGCACTCCAAGCCTGAACCTTTGATGGTGGACCCCATTGGCGACGAGTTGAACATCAAGGGCCACGACTTCACTCTTCTAAATGACGAACGAGATCTCGACGACATGGTCAAGACCGCTGACAACAATCGCCACGTTGCTGCCACTGTGAAGAACGACCGCTCTTCTCGGTCGCACTCTATCCTTGTGCTCAAGATACATGGGATCAAGAGGAACGAGGCTGGAGAGATCATCAAGACACGGAAGGGCACGATGAACCTGATTGATCTGGCCGGTTCCGAGAAGCCAGACAAGAACGGTCCACCTCAGAACTACAAAGAAGGTGTTGAGATCAACAGCTCGTTGAGCTATCTGAGGACTGTGCTATCGGGTCTTGGTCAGGGCAAGACAGAAGGTGTTGACTTCAGGTCGTACACCCTGACTCAGCTTCTTCGGCCCTCTCTCGGGAAGGGCTGCAGGACTCTCATGTTTGTCATGGTCAGCCCGCTGAAGGAGAACGAGAACGAGACTATCCGGAGTCTCGAGTTTGCGCGAGATGTATGTGACACGAATTTCGTTCATCGACACTTCGGGTGCTTTCTATTCCTCGTCGTGACATGGCTAACAACCTCACAGGCGCAGAAGGTCAAGATGGGCGGCAATGGGCCTGCAAAGGCGAAGAGGTAGTGATCGACTTACATACTTACCTGTTGGAGTTGGTATGGCATTGGTCCAAGGCTCATGACGGCGTTCTGTGTGTGCTCTTGGGCTTCTGGGTCTGATTTTCGGAAACATGTTCCTAGTCCCATCACCCCCTGAATATCGCCCAAGACGAAGGCGTTGAGGTAACGCTCCACTGCGGATGCTCTTGTTGATACAATTCTCTGGTACTTGTATGTTGAATACCATGATCAGATTCGGGTTTCTCTTTATTTGTGTCGTGTTTGGTGAAGTGCTCTATTAGGGGTGGCTATCTGCAATGAGACGATGGCGTGGTAGAAGTCGCGGCGGTGTTAGGAAATAGGGGTAAGCCGGCAATTGCCTCTTGACAGTCGCCCCACCTTTATTGAACCATATCTGCAACGTCCCCTGTGCCACGAGCCGTCAACTCGGATCATCAACATCTGCAAACGAAATGAAACGCAACGGTTCTATTTGATCTGTTTGGATTTTGATCACCTGATCTTTGTATCGTGGGGGTGCCATCGCGCATGAATGTCACCTCGGCCATGCTTGCTTCTTGTCGTCCGTCCCATCGTCCCATCGTCCCTGAGCAGGCTGAGCGGGCTCAGCTCCAGTCAGCGGATCTCAGTGGCCTTGGAAGGTTGTCGCGGTACAGGGTTCTGCCTTAACTCTGACTGTCAATACTGCACTTCCTACATCAAAGCTCTTAGATGCAGGGTTTGCTGCGGGCCAGGAGCTGTGGCCTCTGACGCTTGCATCGTCAAAGGGAGGCGATGCAGGAGGGAGATTGACCTAGTATTGGTTGGTATTGAGAAAATCGCACTGGTTTCAACCCAAGTGATGTCAGCTGCTGGTTGCCTTGCGTTGGACGCTTCCCAGGTTACCCGTTGGCATGATGGGGCCACAATCGGCAGCTGGATAGGTACGTCTACCACTACCTGGAACATGAAGGCAGCCACTTCTTTCAGGTAACAAACGGGCTGACTGGTTTATTTGACTCCTTTCGGCAGGGTCGCAGGTGAATGCAGATGCTAGGGCTGCCTCAATCATGTATCAAGGCCCACGCAGGTCAGCACCGCTCAGGTTCTCCCCAGGCAAACGCAACGCCATGGTCCGATTATCTACAAAAGGCTGTCCAGTTTCCACCACCGTGACAGAAAATCTTCTCGCAGATGAAAGATTGGCAGATCGTCAGCACCCCGACAGCTGAGAGCACCGACCAGACTCGTACAGAGCCGACGCTCACTGAACAGCGGCAAGATGCTGACTCCAGAAACCATCAACATCTTGTCATACTTCTACGCACTGGGCAACACGCCAGCAGTGTGCCTGACACAGTCGCTTCCACCGGGAAGCCCAGCTGATATCCTCCTGCTGGGATGTGGCGACGTGCGCAACATCTTGTTTACGAGCCATGTCGATGGTACGGATAAGCTCCAACCTCGCAATTCTGGGCTCGCGACTCACGCGCAGTACATCGCCAGTTGGACTTGACGTGTTGCGACTTTCAGAAGGCGGTGCTAGGTCAGTATTTCTGCCAGAATGAGAGCCCTGTGGCAGAAGCTGACCCTCCATCTTGAAGCCCGCAACATATTGCTGCTGTCTCTTATCATCGATGACTCTGGACCTCAATGCACGAAGATCCTGTGGGGTCTCTACTACCACTTCCACCTCGATGATAACTGCCATGAGCTTTTGCGCTCGCAGTCTCAGAAGCTCCATTCACTATCGGATACCATGGAAGCATGGCACAACAGCAAGTACGGACCAGTTCTCAAATTTTGCGACTCGGCCACTCTTGCAGACGTCAGAACGATGTGGCACTTCTACATAACTAGCCGCGAAGGGTCTGAGAAGTCCCATTTCGAGGCTCACTTCAACGACAATCTTGAGGAGACGCGAGAGTTCAAGCAGGATTGAGTCATCCTGACGGGGTCTCGATCAGCAGCACCCGCTGCTGTATATTCACTGCTTGACATCGCTGCCTTACACAAGCATTACTGGCAACACGGCAGTATTGAGGTCGATCTCAAGTCTCGTGCTCGCGCGAGACGTCCAAATCCCATGTTCGTGACAGACGATGGGCCGCTGCTGCACTACGGTACCGATCCCTTGCTTGGCTTTCATCTGGCAGCGGCATACGCTCCGCTTCAAGCTCAGTCCCGTCTCTTCACCAAATCGGTTTCTCCCAAACCGCAGCAGAGAGCTGTCGAGACTGCCCAGCTCGAGTTCAGCAATTGGGTCGACTCATTTAGCAAACGCCTTAAGTCGGTCACGATTCGATTCTTTTCGGGGAATGCCCTTGCATTTTCCCACTCGCTGCTGCATAGACGAGTTAACGGCGGATCCACCGGAAACTGGTACCGAGATCGATACCGCGCGGAGACACTGAAGCTGAACGGGCCAGAGTTTACGTCTGGTTCTGCTCCTCTTACATTCGACATCATCGATAGATCCAACTTGTGCGACCACGTCGGTGGCTTGAATCTTCTGACCGCAGTCTCGCCTCTGTTGCGGAACTGTGCCTCGTCCGCGGTATACACTGAAATCCTCCACAAGCGGAGCGAGAGTCCACAGAAGGCATTCGACCATATTCTTTGCGGACACACGCCGACTGTGTCACTTCTACTCGGCTTGTTTCCTGTTGACTACTGGACGAATGTCTTGCCCTGATCCCATGGCGATGAGGAACTTCTCGACGCGGCGACTGGAGCCATAAACAGGTAAAGGTTCATCAGGACCTGCTGGAAACGTCCATTTTGTCTGGACGCCATGGGTAAGCACATACCCAAGCTGATGCCAGTCGCGTTCGACGAAGTTGGTCTGTCAAAGATTCTCTATGAGATCTACGTGCAGATGTTTATCGACGAGGACTGGTCGCTCAAGTTTGCCAACATCAATTTGATGAGTATTCGAAACTTGACGTTGGTGTTCTACATCCGCTCTAGTCTATCAGCATTCTTGCGGCTTGTTCAGTCGCGCGTCATTTGTGACTGGGATAAGACCATGACTATTTTCCTGTCTCACGTCAAACACCGACCGAATGCGCCCATGGGCATGAACTACGTCCAAGAACTATGCGTCTATATGCACATGCTGGGTGTCTACTCGACGGAATGGATGAAAACCCCAAGAAACACAGTGCAAGGTACTTCTACGCTGGGGGACTCGAGAGACTGGAAGAATATGCCGACCGTGGTGTGCATAACGCTGAGAGTCCCAAGGACGAAGTTGGCGGTGATCACAGCTATGAAGCCCACCAAACTAGGTACTCCAAGTGTACACTGTGTCTTACAGGCTCCGTTCCCGTCGACGACTGGTCAGTGGCAGAACATCTTTCCAGCGTGTCAGTACACATTTGGGAGCATCTCGACCCGTGGCCGTCGACACAGCAACTCTTTCGAAGTCGACATCGTCGAGGATTCACTAGCATGGAGAGGACTCTCCGACCTCATCGTCTCGTACTACGTACCCACGGAATTTCTACTCATGGAGCCACGTTTGGCGGACGTCGGGTTTGGCATCCACAGTACTCCAGCCAGTACTGGTGTATTCATGCCAAAACTCGGGCCGACCTTGTCAATCTACCAGACAAATATTGGCAACACGAACGATGTATACATCACTCGATACGCTCCTAATCAGACCGGAGTCTTGTCCGTTCCTGGATTTGCTGCTGACGACATGGCATCGCCTGCCGCCGTCGGCCCAGGGGGTGGATCATCGCTATGTGCAACGGCTGATCATGGCTCAGGGCGAATAACCTCCTTTACAGTTCGGCTGAACATCACAGGTGAGGAACATTTGACCGCACTGCAAAGCGGCTGCCAGGTGCACGTCGAAAGCATATCGCCTTGTCACGCATCAGCTGCAATTGGAGGTGAACACCCTCTCAGTGTATGTTTTCCGGCTCCAGTGATTACCTCCAACTGGAGATTGAAGATCGCACGGAGATCATTGTACATTGAGCTCGTCGCGCAGCTGGCCACCGCCTCTGACTGGCCTCGCCGTGACTAGTTTATGTACCCTATGCTCTATACCGATCATGGAGCTCTGGCGTGGAACATGCCGTACATCAACCTACAGAAGTCGCCTGTCATCGACATCAAGCAACCTGACAAGCTGAAATGGCTCAATCCTCACGTATCCATGATGCACTCTGCCCGAGAGCGCGCACTGCGCGAAGACGAAGGTCCCCCTCGTTCGCCCGGCGAGCGTCTCCGTCTCGACTTCAAGGAGTCGCTGCATTCGCTGTTCAACCACTTCGCCGGCTTGCAGGGCCCGAAGTATCACATGTTCGGCATCTGGAACCCGAACAACGGGGGCGTGCACATTCTCATTTTCTGTTCCAACCTGCTCATCGATCTTTCGAACCGAGTCGTGGCGCTCGACTGCGCAGTACTGCCCCTTCATACCGATCTCATGCCCAAGGTCACGCACTTCCTGACGGCTATTGCTGCATCTGGGCTTTGCCAGATCAAGGTTGACGATGCAGAGCTGCGGCTCTGGAAGCGAGTACTGCCCGCGTAGGTCGAGCGCTGTCGTACTTGGTTGCAACGTGATGACTGCGAGTACGCCGCGGCCGGGAAGATACCCTTGACGGAGGAAGACGAGCGACCCTTCCTGTGCTCATGCGGGAACGGACAACTACCTCCAAAATTCATTGGCATCGACGTCGCTGGATGGAATTCGGCGTCAAGATACGCCGTTCGAGCGGCTATTTCGCCTGTATTCTGGGCAGCGTTCGTGGACGAGAACTTCCGGCCGTCGGATGGAAGTATTGGAGCATCTTGTAACGTATGCAAAGAAGGGAGCGCCAACGATGGCGGCGAGCTGAAGGTTTATGGGGGATGTCACAATGTCAAGTATTGCAGTCCTGCGTGTCAGCGCGCGGACTGGAAGCTGCACAAGGTCCTCTGCAAGAAGTAGGTAGGGACTTGGTTGGTACGATATCCGATTCGTCCTCTCACATAACGACATCACATGCGAGCCCTCCCCCCCAGTAATTGCAGCTGTTTGCCGTCTGATTCGACCATCCAGCTTTGATGTTTCATGGAAACTTTACTGAGGATAGCTTCCAGGATAGTGAGTGATTGCAGAAACGGGCGTGGTCGCCTCTCCGGGTTACGGGCCGAGTTTTGGGTAGATGCGTTGCACCGTGGGAATCCAAGGAAGCCTCGAAGAATCTAATGTGTACTACTGATTCACTGAGGTTGACATTCAAAGTGTGAACACAATGATCCCGGAGGCGAGACCAGTGAATTTCTTGGGTCTGTCCTGGTCATCACCGTGGGTGACTGCCCGGGAAGAGGCGAATCCATGTGTGTATTGCCATGTAGAAGGCCTTGTGATCTTGGATATAACTGCGATTAAATGCGCCTGGTACTTCATAAGTCTCCGTACGCGCATGTTGGCAAGACTCCAGATACCAGTAAGATAATTAGAAATACTGGAATAAGCGCCCTAGAATAAGCGTCAACCATGGTCCATAAAGATCAAACTGCTCATTCCGGTGTGCTAATTCCGATGTTATGAATATACCGTTGCTTGCTGGAAGGGTCGTGTACGGAGACTTCTTGAGTCTCAGTGTATCGTTCCTGCTTCCAACCTACCAATCTACTGCCCCCCGATGGCGCTCATGCCCGCGCTTCCGCAGCTTGTGCTTGCCATCCTGTATCTGACCATCAACTCGCTCCTGACGACCTCCTTCCCATCGCACGAGACCGCACTCTTCGCCATGGGCTCACGCGCCCTCCGCGTTTCCTCCAACCCATCTGGGAGACAGCCCACCAGCCTGTATCTCACGCTGCCACCGCCCGTGTGGTGGATGCTCTTGGCTGCAAGTAATTACGAACTCGACCACTCAATAAGAAATAGCTTGCTGTGTTCACATATCGATACATACAACTTCTGTTCTCACTCACAGTCGACGACCTCTGAATTACCGACCCTAGATTATCGACCTAGGCTACCGATCCGCAAACGATTACCGATTATGTCTTCCTACCTTTCTAGGGAAAAACGTGCGAGAGCATCATCTACCAGCTCCAGCTCCACCTTCCGGCAAGACCAATCACCACGACAGCAACCATATCGCGGAAGCGTGCTTGATGGCGCTGGCGATCCGCTTGAGTCCATCTCTAGTCTTTTTGACACCAGCATGCTTGATCCCGATGGCACCAACGCCAAAATCGCAGAAGCCGCAAAGGCAGGATTGGACGACTTCGACCACACACCCCTGGACGATACCAGTGCGCTTTGGGGGGAAGGTGCAGGCCAAATCCACGACAATGAGTCCGCCGAAGCTTCGACCGTTGGATCTTTAGCTGGAGAATATGGATCAGAGGAAGACGAGGAAGAAGAAGATGCAGGCCAATTCTTCGCCGCAGAGGCCGCCGAAGCTGGCTACGGCGGCCAGCCAAATGACCTCCAGGGTGCACAACAGGGGACGCGAGCCTCGGAACACGGACAGGGCGAAGGCCCAGCCCACGTTTACGAGAAAGAACAGGCAACCGGTGGTCAATATGACGGCCAAGCGACCATCGACCCCAGAATTTTGAGCCTGCATAGCGGCCAGAATACTTTCGATACGGGACTCAACCAGGCTGGTAGCATTTACAATATCGGAGACCCTCCCAGCAATGCGGCCGAGTCCTCGACAGCTCATCATGAACTTACCAGACAAGCTGCAGGCGAGCCGGGACAGTCGGAGGAGCGAGTCCCTAGAGCGCCTGGAGAGGACCCGTCAAGTGTGGTTCTAGCTGCCTCTTCGGCTAACGCTGCGCCCCCGAGCTCTATCGAATCCTTCGTGCCCGGCACATACTACCCAGTACTATCCAGAGTTCAGTACGAGTTATGGTGCCCGAACTGTCAGCAGGTCAAGTACAACGACCAATTCTAATTGGGAAGAGTGGGAAAGGTACATGACTTTTGGCAGACATATAAATCGTGCCACAAAGACATAAACAGTTCATAACCCGGATTCCGAATTTATGGGTTGAGAGCAAAGACCTGCGGACGCTTCCTCCCAGACAGCAAATTTGCGCCTAAATCAAACCCGACTGAGTTTACTATGAGGTGTGATGATTGCAGGGGCCGAAGTCAGCATGAAGATATTAGAATCGAGGAAACCAAAGCAATTCGGGAATGGTGGGACCAAATGCCACAAACGTAGCAAGAAAACTGATGGTTAACAATAGGAGATATACATCATGCCGGGAGCAGGCACAGGAACAGTCTGGAAGTGGAGAGAGAACTTTGATAGATGAGATCAAGAGCCAGGAGACGAACATGGTTATTGAGATGGTTAATGCCGGGGTTAGAATTGCCTACATAGAGTCTAGACATTTTCTATGGCTAGATTTCGTTAACCGAACCTGACGTACTGCAAAGGGTGATCCATGACCACATAAACGAATGTAGAACGGGGAATATCTAAGTAACATAAGGACTAGAAGCAGCCGAGAGGAACTCCTATACTTGCGGCAACGTGCTATTACCACTACACAAAGGTATGCCGAATACATTGATATTTTGTTCCTGTTTGTAGCCCCAAGATCAGCAGTCGTCCTGCTATCACGGGTGAGCGCCTCCTAGCCCTCAACCCACGTGCGGCGTCCTTCGCGTCATAAGACCACCAGCTTAGTTTATTGAAGGGTGCCTATGTGTCTGCTGACGGAAACAGTGCTCGCCACGTAGCTGTACTTTTCATCCACAATTGCATTATGGTAAAGCGCATGTTCTGCCTAGATAACCTCTTCTGAACCAGACTATCAGTACATTCCCGCGGCTGCTCTATTCCTTTGGCCGTACACCTGCCAAAGGCATGTGCTCTCTGCTGGTGACTTGTCCAGTAGATCACCCTTTTCTACCATAGGAAGATTCTGCAAACATGCCTCGAGGGCACCGCTCCGCCCAAGGTCGCATCCATCCCTTCGCCACAAACGGGACGAAGGTGGCCAACGTAATTCCTTCAGCGTGGTGTATATATGGCTTGAAAAGCCTCCGAATCTTACATTCTCATGGTTACTAGCCAATTGTGCTCCGTGGCGATGCGCCGATGCCAGTTGCCGAGGCCCGTCTTCGTCATGAATTCTAATAAACACACTAGAAATCAACCCCGTCGTATCGAAGACCAAGCCGCCAAGCGACCTCGATTACGTCTCTGAGAATAGCAGACACCCATTCTGGTGGGAAGCTTCATGTGATAGTGCCAGAATTCATGTCTTGCGGCAAAACTCACCCGGCAACGATTTCCCAGCGACGGCCAAGACAGTCTCATGGCGGCAGTCAACGAACCCGGTTTCTAAGACAAGTCATTTACCTGGGAGCCAACCTTCAGATAATTCGATGTGAAGGCTCGGGTCTGGCATGGTTAATAGAGACCATCCTAGCCATTGGCGCCGACCAAATCTCATCGAGACTCCTGATAATGCTCCATCGAAGCCAGCGCCGTGTTGCTAGCAGCCACGTCCGACTGCACTTAGGTTACCCGGTTATTGAATTGGATAACCCAGCCTTTATCTCGGCTCCCAGCTTCAGTTGCAAGAAAGCCTGTAGGTCCCGTGCCTACCGAATATAGACGGCTGCGGTTACAGAACAAAGCCGCGACCGGCAGTTGTATAACAGCATCGAAATTGCATGTCGAACCGCCCAGGTCTTTTTCGCGGCCAGCATTCATGTTGACAAGGCCTTACCAAAACAGAGGTAAGCCCCGGTACTTAAATCTGGCTTTTCTTCGCCATGAGAGACAACGATGCATCGCTGGTTCGCAGTTACGAGTCATGATCACTCACATCAGATGGAAGATCAAGACGTTTCCTATCTCACTCTATGAGACGTGGGTAAGTTGATCGCATACAGTATACAGGCAAGGTTGGTCAAGGGGTTGGAGTAGTAAACTACACTATCACCAGAACTAAACGATTACTCCTAGAGCAGGCGAGCGGAATAACAGCCGTGAGGGTGCTTGCTCCACCGTACATCCCTGAACGATCATTCAACCGGTCCCAGATTGCCCTTCGCGGGACCCTGCACACACAAACCCGTAGCAGAGAATCTGCTGCCGTGGACGGGGCAATCCCATGATTTCTCCGTCTTGTTCCAGCATACAACTCCCTTCATGTGAGGGCACAGCGCACTGAGCTTAGTCACGTTCCCATTCTCGTCCTTGTAGACGGCAGTAGGCTTCTTGAGGGTCGGGTTCAGCACGCCGCCCGAGCCGGGGACGAGGTCCTCGATATCCTGAATGTCTGATTGGGCGAGGCGTTTGTACTGTGCGTTAATCTGCAGGTCGTGTGCCAGCGTCTCAGGCAAAGATTTGATCATAGAACCCAGCCGCTTCGGCGAATACAGAGTAGCCCATTCGTTCTCTTTGCCTTCAATTTCGTCTGCGATCAGCCGTCCAGCGATAACGCCGTGCGTAAGTCCGTTGCCCGAATCGCCCGTGACGATGTAGATGCGCTTGCACCCTTGGTTCTTGCCGATGTATGCCATGTAGTCGACAGGCTCGAAGATCTGGCCACTCCACTTGTAATCGACTGATGAGGCCTGTGTGAAGCGTGCACGCGTCCAATCCTCCAGCTCTTGAAACCGGCCTGAGGTATCTTCCTGGCCAACTTCATGGTCGCAACCTCCTACTACCAGGTAGTCGTGTGAGTCATCGCAATGAGTCAAGCGAACGTACTTGTACTCTTCTGCGGAGTCGTAGAGCAGGCAGTCCTCGACTGAACCCTTCGGAACACGGATGGCGATGGCGTAGGTGCGATTGTACTCCATCTGAGCGATGACGCTGAGCTTCTGCAGAGGGACATTTGTCGCCTCGACGGCGTGCTCGCACTGAATTGTCTTGCCCGATTCGGTCTCGATCCTGCAGTATTTGTGGCCCAGACCCAGGACCTCGATACCCTTCTCCTCGACAGACATAGCTCGCGTGTATGTGAAGCAGCGGAAGTTGGGCTGTGATTTGAGCCAGTTCAAGACGCCGACGAGGTAATCTGTCGGGTGAAAGGTAGCCTGATCGTGGAAGACAGCACCTCCTCGCTGGTTCGGCTTGCCATCCCAGCCCTTGACGGTCAGGTCGTCCCGATACTCTGCGTTGATTCCAAGCTGCTTGGCCAGCTGGGCCTCCTCCTTGATCTGGCTGATATCCTGCTCGTAGTCATCATGGCATACCTCGTACTGGGAAATCTCATATCCGGGCAGGGTGCGATACTCGCATTCGATGCCTAGCTTCTCGGTGACTTGGCCCACGTGCTTTAGAGCCCAAGTATGGCTGTCAGCTGCGATCTGCGCACCGCTGGTACCATGCTTCTTCTTGATCTCGGTGTACTGATCGTCAAGCGCATTTGACAGGTGGCCGGTGGTTCGGCCAGTCTCGCCAGCGAGTACGTCACGGGCTTCGATGAGCACGACTTCCTTTCCGCGCAGGACCAGTTCGTAGGCGATTTGGATACCTGCGATACCTGCACCGATGACGCACACGTCGGTCTCGATGTCCTCATTCAGCGGTTGGAATTCGGGCCTGGCATCGTACTTGTTGTGGAGCAGCCACACAGGGTCGGTGGCACCCGAGGTGTGCTTGAACTGCTCGTGGGTCTGCTTGGTCTGCTTGGTCGACATGGTGGCGGCCAGAGTGACTGAAGCGAGGTAGCGATGGGGACGGACGATTGATGAGGGTCTGTGTTCCAGGGTGAATGGGCGAAACAGCCTGGGGGAAGGACGCAGACGATTCATGTTATTGGTGGTGTATCTCAAGGAGTTGGAGGGAGTGCAGCACGGCAGCCATGAAGGCGATATACCTTAAACTGCGCGTGTGTGGTCGTCATCAATTCTGTATTCTGCCGTCTGCGTGCCTGACGCGATTGAGAGCCTCCGGACAATTGTCTCCGGGCAGGCGGTCGACAGTGGACAGTGGACAACATGGATGAGCCTTAGGTTACCTTAGGGTAAGTAGGTAGGTACCTGTACCTTAGGTATGTCAGTGTAATCCATGGATGCAGGTGACCGTAACCTGACGTAATGTATGGTGATGACTAAGCCGGCCAGGGCCAGGGTCAGGGTCAGGGTCACGGTCATGCGCATTGGCGGGTGGGTGCCAACATTGAAGCCAGGAATCAGGGTTGGGGACAAACGTAGCCTCGGGCTGTGGCAGACTGGGCCACCCAGCTGAGGTCTTTGACGGTGAGGTCGAAGGGGCCCGCCACGCACTCAGACAGGCCTTGAGGCTCAGCAGCGGCGCCACCATCCATGTATGCCTGGATAATACAGCAGTGATCTCCGGACTGTGGAGGGAACCAGCTCAGAGCTCCCAAGAAGCTTTCTTAGAATTCCACGAAATCTCGGACACATACGCCGACATACAGGTCCGGTGGGTGCCAGGGCACATGGACATCCAAGGCAACGAAGAGGCCGACAAAAAGGCAAAGAAAGGCACCACCTAGCCAATCCCTACCAGGGCCAAACCCATGCTTACGGGCGTCTTAAGCCTTCTCAACAAAAAGACTCAGAAAGAACACCAGCAATGGTAGGACAAGAATATCACCAATAAATACAAAAATCTCAGCCTTCAGAAAACTACACTCAAATGCCTAGAAGAGCTCAAGCTGGACAGGCCAACGCTCTACAGGCTTATCGCATCTAGAACTGGCCACGGCGACTTTAGCTGGTACCATAGGAGGTTCAAGCACGAGGAACACTATAACTGCTCTTGCAGGAGAATCAAAACACAAGCCCACTTTGCTTTCTACAACAGAGCCCTTACAAAATGGTCTAAGTGGCCACGAAGAAACCGCGGACATAACGGAGAACCCGAACCAGAAGGGAGAGCCTATTAGAAATGGCTGATAACGCACCCGAAGGAATTCGGAGACTTCTGCAAGTGGACAAAATTCTACACAAAAGTCTGTCCCAGGGTTACAGAATATCAATTCATCGACCACCAGGTGTAACTGCGCCTGTTACCACATCTCTTTACTACTTTTCTTATGTTTCCTTATGTTTTTATTTTCTTCTAGTTCATAGCCTTTTAAACGCAAGGCACTAACTGTCAAAGCGAGAGGAGCTCATTAACGCTATTTGGACTACTGACTACGAACCAGATATCACAGAGCACGAGCCCAAATGGCGGGGCCAACGGAAACTGACGGAATAACATGTGTGCCTTCGAGGTTGGATTTGCAGGTTATCGTGGGAAATGGGGAGTCATGCACTGCTTCCCGTGTAGTAAGGCTTGTATATTAGCCCCTGAGATCGTCACCTGCACGCCAAACATCCACAAGGAGCTGGAGCCTAGAGCCCCTACGGCGTTAAATAAACTAAACTAAACTAAACTAGATTGAGCTTTCTATGATTGATTACTAATGCGTCACGGATGCCTTGGTTGTTGCACTCACCATAGCCATGGTTGATAATTGTGTGAGAATCATGCCATTCAGAAACCACTTCAGAGTTGTGCTAGAGAAGTTGCCTTCAGATATCTTCCTGTAGGCTGTGCAAAGTATCACACAGAACAGCCCAATTACCCGAACCGGTATCTTTACGTCGCTTCTCTTCTTACTGTAATCATCCAACCGCTCTTACAACATTCCGCCGACTACTCGTTTGTCATAATACAGAGCACTTGCACTACTCACGTTGCTATGTCAATCTGTGCAATAGTTATCAAATAGGCTAAACAGCAAAGAACAGGAGGTTTCAAGCCGTCCAGGGGCGACTCAGTAACACTACTGGTCAAAACCACAAGCTTATAGCGAGGTACTCGTGGCAGTGACAGCTACGTGACAGCCAACGGTGCAAACAAGATGGCCATCACTTTTCGTCCATCGATTACCTCGGAACCGAAGAACTGCTGAAGGACCTCAAAGAAAAGGTTGGGGCGGTAGACCTGGACAAGGATTCAATCCACGAAGCTTTAAGGTAGGTAGGGGATATAACATCTCCCACCCCCCTGCGGACCACCCCCCCGCGGACCAGCGCGTTCTGACCCACAAACGCGTAATTCACCAACCACCAGGATTATGGTGATCCACCATCTACACCATCACTTTTGCATCTTTTTTTTCACAAAGTACACTATTTGAATCCTTATTCACTGCTGAATCTCATGATGTCATTTTACGACCGTCAAATAAAAGCTGAAGCCGCCATTTTGGCCATCCAACGCGGAGCTCCAGTCCGCTTGTCAGCCCTCGAATGGCAAATCAGTCGCTCGTACGTCAACCAACGAATCTCTGGCACCCCAACGCGGAATGAGACCAGCGTTCTCCAACAGGCTCTCTCACTGTATCTCGAACATAAGCTGGCAAGCTAGGCCCTGGGGCAAGCACGGCTAGGGTATTCTCCGGCGGTCTCTAAGTTCCGTCTCATGGCCCAGCGGATGCTCCATGCCACCGGGGATGCTCGAGAATTAGGGAAAAATTGGACATTCAAGTTCCTGTCTCAAAACCCGGAAGTCAAGATAATGAAGTCTCGTGTTATCGACTACAACCGAGTGAATGGTGCTACAGCGGCAAATATCAACATTTTTTTCGATCAGTGTGACGCCCCTGACGTGGTTAACCTCATGCCAGCACGCTGGTACAACGTCAACGAAATGGGAATCGCCCAGGGGGTTGGGGACTCTCATTGGGTGGTCTCCGAGGCCTCCGGCAACGTGGCTATGAAGAAAGGGGTCGAGAAGGGTGAATGGATAACTGCCCTAGAGTGTGTGAGCGGATCTGGTGAGACCTTGCCGCCGCTGGTGATTCTCAAGGGGGTTAACGTACAAGCTCAGTAATTTAACAACCAAAATGAGGGCAAATTCACCGACTAGAGGTTTATTATGTCGCTCAATGGATGGACCTCGAATCCCATTGCGTTAGAATGGCTTCAACGTATCTTTATTCCTCACATTCGGGAGGTCCACGGCAACACATGGGTGGTTTTGGTGTGTGATGGCCACGACTCCCACACGAATGACGAGTTCCTAGCCACCTGCTTGAGAAACAAAGTATGGTTGATCTTTTATGAACCTCACTGCTCCCATGTAGTCCAGGTGTTAGATGTGGGAGTCTTCAATTTGGTGAAGAAGAGGTTGAAGACCTTACTCCAGGAGACGCCCAGCGGCCGTCTGGGACTCAGGCCATCTAAGGAAGAGGTTTTGGAGTGCTACGAGCAGGCCCGGAAGGACACAATGACACTCCTTAACATTAGAATTGCCTAGAAAAAGACTGGGATTGTTCTTCGCAACAGAACAGAGGCATTGAAATCGAAATATATGATTCTAGAGGACAAGGGGGTGGCCAGGGCACGCCAGAGGGACCCTAAGGCTTCCGAGCGAGCCACAACACCAGATTTTCTCGAGATGGTAGCTAAAACCATTGTCACAACACCCTCTGGAAGCCGGGCTTTACGGGAGAGTGCTCAAAAGCTCGAAAGAAAGGACCCTTCCTTTGGGGGGCCCTCTGAGCGCTTGTTGGTGCGGAAGGCTGGCAAGGCCATGGATATTCAGGCTGCTACCATTGCAAATCTACGGGCCAAATGTGAGCTGCTTGAGGCTCAAGTGGCTAAAAAGGCTAATACCACTCGAAAAGCAGTCAAACCAACACCAGGGGAACGATTCGTCACAATGGCTAACATAAGGGAGGCCAAAATGGAGCTGAGGAACAGGAGGGTCTATAGGGACTCCGCTGCAGGCGAAGAGGTCCCACAAGAGGTCCCTGGTGAAGATTTAGGGTCGGAATCGGATTCTGGGAGCTGTATTATGGTTAGAACACCACGACCTTAGTGTATTTAGCAACTGTGGTGGTTGTAGATGGCTTCATCTGAATGAGAGTGGTGTGGTGTGGAGTGGTCCGTGGGGGGGTGGTCCGCAGGGGGGGGGTGAGATGTTACATTGGAAGGCCAGAGGCCCCTGATGACCTCAAGCTGTACCTCCAGGTCATTCAAGGTTGGTTGAGAGCCTCTTGCTTCAATGTTGGCAGCTTGGCGTCATAGGGCTGCCCACTCGGAAGGAAGGAAAGCTTGTCCGTGTTGCCTGTTTTAGATCTGGCGGAGCGGGCTGAAGGATCAGGGCACGCCACCAGGTGTCGCACCCGTAAATAGCACCACGGGACAGTAGGAATGATACCCAGTCGGATCGGCGTCGCATAAAGAACTGGAACTACCCATCCTGAATTACACAGTTCCGTCTCGGTTACTGACGTCCGAAAACCAAATCAAAATCACCAGTCTCGCGCTTCAACGGCCAACGTTCAACACCATCGACCACTACCAAGATCGAGCCACCATGCATCTCCAAGCCGCCGTCCTCGCGGCACTGTCCGCATACGCCCGTGCTGAGGTGCTCGCCCCACTACCGGGACAGACGTCCGGGTTCTCGGTGATCAGTGTCGCGCCCATAGCAACTACGTCTGTATCGCCCGAGTGCGAGTCGGCCGTCATGTCCTACGCGACCGGCATGCCCAGCCCTCCACCGGGAGTCCCAGAATACCAGATATACGCCACGGCGCTGTCCGAGCTATGCGCGGCCGACGGCGTCGCGGCGAACGCAACGGGCGCCTTCGCCTCGTACAACACGCAGCTCTACTCCTGGTTCTCATCCGCCAGCGCGGGCCTCGTCGACACGGCGTCCAAGTGCGCGGACGCCTTTTTCCAGTCCAGCGGCGTTGCTGCCATGATCACGGAGGAGCTGCCCGTCATAATTACGGCGTACTCGAGCTATGTCAATGGAGGTTGCAGCAGCACGACATCTGTCAGCGGCAATAGCACTGGCACGTCCACGGCGGCTTCGACTGGGGCGGCTTCAACTACAGCAACTTCGACTATGACTAAGACCCCGTCGGGTGCCTCTGGCTCTACTTCGTCATCGACGATAGCGACCCCGAATGCTGGACCGAGGGAAACTGGTATGGCTGCGGCGGCTGGTTTGGCATTGGGTTTGATCGGCGCCGTTGTGGTATTATAGAGACATATCGGACTACTGAATTGCATTGATTATGGAATAAACTTATCGACTGGGTATTAGGCCGTCGCAGGCTCTGGGTTTATCAGTCTGGTTCACGTTACCCTACATGGGAGTCACTCTTGAAGTCTACGCCTCAGTCTAATTTCTCTCTGATCACCTCAATGGGTGAAAACTGCCACTAGGCTTGCCCTCTGCCCCCTCCTACGTATTCGTCCCATCCTACAGAATCGTGTTTGCTTTCCCCATGTCATGATTCTCGAATCTGCCAGTGCAACGTATGCCTTTAGCGAAGGATGTTGCCTCGTAGCAGGAGCATCGTACATGTAGGAGCCATGACATCACCCTACAATCCCAAGGAATCCTTCCTGCTTGGCAAAAGGAGCGATACCATCCAAGGCCTGGGATTGTCGCCATTGTCGCACACAGTCGATGTTTGCGATGTTGAGAAACATGATATATGCCCTCCGTGTTTGGCACCTTGTCACTTACCTGCCGTGACACGAGTTGATGCTGCATCGCGCAGGTAACTCGCATGACATCGTTCGAGACTTGAGTAGATGCATGTCCATCCTGCACTGTTTGCCAACGCAATCTTACGCTTCTGATCTCAACGTTGCGGCGGCACTCGGGCATGCCCTGGGCGAGGCATATCTATCACGGGAAGCCAGGTGGCTTATGCGAAATACTTGCCACTGCCGCCCTCGGCAAGGTCCTCCGCCACCTATCACGGTTTACCTGGATTGGTCATGGTTCCGAGCGACATGCAGCGACACTTCACGTCCGATATTTGGTGGTTATATCATCATCTCAGCTCTGCTTCATCGAAAGCAAGGCCAGCGAACAATGTCGAGACTGTCCACACTCTGCGAGAACACTGCCGCTGTAAATTGAAGGGGGCTTAAAGCGCGTCAAGTAGTAATGCTAGACTCATAGAATGCTGGAGCCTAGCTGCAGTGTGATAGATCGGTTCCGAGGTTCTACTATAGGAGCAATCGTGACAAGGGGAGGCTCTTTTGCTGACATAATATTAATAAGTGTCTGCCTACCTGTGACTAGCCGTGATATTTATAGACCCCTACCCGTCGGGAACGGTGGGATTTATGGCGTGCGTAGACTATTGCAGTTCCGCACGATCTCTCAGATGACAATATGCTGCCACAGCTCTCGCCAAGAGGCTGAAGATATTTGGCGGTAAGCATCGGAGAATGGGACTTCTGTGGACAGACGTTTCCAAGTTCTGGTCATCATCAGTGTCGGCTCTGACAACTCTTAGGTAAGGGGTTTGACTATATGGGACAGCATCGTACATTAAACAAACTTCACTCGGAGATGGGATGTAGCTAAGAAGGTTGGCCATCCTTTTGTTTCTGGGCCTTCCCCCATCAAGCATATGACAAGTGTGGCAATCCACTTCCTCCAACCCACATATTCTAGGCAACCAATTGCGAGACAAGGGATGGCCCTGTCAGCTAGTCAGCTAATCTGGGGGCATCACGGGATCCTTGTCGACGCACTCGGGAACAACCTCCTAGTGGATGATGGATCTGAAAGTTGAGACGACTGTGGGGTAAGATCGTGCTGTGTTACAACCGTCGATGGATATGTTTCCTCTTCTCCGTTCCATTGACCGTGAGCTTGTGGTGTTCTGAAACATTTGTCAATGGCTGTATCACCTTGGCACATCTCGATCGTAGGTTCTACGGACGATGGCCAAGACTGCTTCCTTCACGAGCGAGTGGCATGGGCCAACAGCTGATCATGCCTCGTCAAAAAAGTCTATATAAGACTTGGATCGTTGCCTTTCAATCATTCACTTCATTGTACCTTCACTACAATACATTCACTTGTTGACGTTCTCCGCCAGTTCCTTTCGCTTCCCTCCCGCAAGCCGGGAGACCTTTAGTGCCTTTCGCTTATACAATCAAGACTCAGTAGATTAGTCGCTTCGACTCTCGCTTTCACTTCGCCTACCTCATAGGTTACGGTCACCATGCCTTCATTCACCAGAACCCTCCTCGCCCTCGCCATCTCGCCTATCGCGGTCCTCGGCCACGGACATGTCCGCGATGTTATCGTTAACGGCGTGACCTACCCCGGCTACGAGCGCTATGAGAACCAGGACTTGAGCAAGGTCGTGGGCTGGCCTTTCACGACGGAGGACGAGGGCCCCGTTCCGGTCAGCAGCCTCAACGACCCCGACATCATCTGCCACCAGGGCGCAACCAATGCAAAGGCCTCCGTCCCCCTGAACGCAGGTGATGAGATTACCATCCGTCGCTTCAACGAGATTGGCGGCTTTGAACACCCTGGTCCCGAACGTAAGTAGTAGCGCGCCCCAGGAGTCTGTCCTCCGGGCTTGAAAAAGGACTTGTGCTGACATACCATGCCCCGCAGTGCATTACCTCGCCCCGTGCGGTGACGAAGGTTGCGATAAGGTCGACAAGACGAAGCTCGAGTTCTTCAAGTTCTACGAGCTGGGCCTGGTCAAGGCGGGCGAGGCCGACGATCCGGAGTGGGATACGCAGCGATGGGCCACCACCGAGGTCCACAAGCACGTGTATGCGGAGGGCGACGGTTTCATCGACACGTTCAACGTCACCATCCCCAAGAATATCAAGCCGGGGCCTTACGTCTTGCGCCACGAGCTCTTTGGTCTGCACATGGCCGATCAGGGCAAGGCCGAGTTCTATCCTCAGGTCAGTGGCGCTTGTCTCTCTCCCGACTCCAGTTGAGTCTTGACCTCTCTCCGCTGTTGACCATCAACGTGTCATACTGGAAATGAGCTTTGTTGCTAACTTTCTGTAACAGTGCATCAACCTCGTGATCAACGGATCAGGCACCGAGTCCCCCAAAGGGACGCCCGCAACCGAGTTCTACAAGAACAGCGACCCCGGCATCGACATCGATATCTGGCTCAACCTCAAGTCGTACGAGATCCCCGGGCCCGCGCTCTGGACGCCGCAGGCGAACGGCATGCAGTCCAAGCGCCATGCTCGGAACTTCGTGTACTAGTGCTGAGGTCACCGGTCACTGCAAACCCCGGCTGCCCGGACGCAGGAGGGGTATGGACGGTGCGCAGAGGGTCTTGATTTGGTCGGGGACAATACTAGCTCTCGTATAATTCTCTAGTGTATTAATATCAACCATTACCCATTGGAACGGCATTGAGTCGGGTTTGGCCCTGGAGCGAGCGCCCTCTATACTCTTGGCTATGGTCATAGTCCCAAAGCTATCGCCATGAGGAGACTCGTTCCCGGTGTGCTATAACTTCCCCTTATTCCCGGCACTGCTACGCGTGCAAGACATTGGGCCCCCCTCCAATGAAATCGCCTTCCCCTGGACCAGTAGTTCAAGTCCTCAAGATGGCTCGAATGCGGTGACAAGTCAATCACCGCCATCCACCTTTCTCTTTTGACGATGAAACGGCTCTGATTTGTATGGAATATAATGATGGACATGAGTAAGCAGAGGTGCCGTATGCATCTGAGTCACCATTCGCCGGGGCTCGACGATAGAGAAACGCTGTAAGTTACGTCTGCGCAAAAATGAACACATACCCAAGTCCACGTAGAGGCTCACACCGAGTTGATTGTTACGCGTGAATGGCACGCAAGCCACCGTGGCGTTAGGGAGGTGGCAGTGCACTGAACAAGGTCTAAAAGTCTGGGGGGCACTTTGGGACCACCTGGCTCCAGCAGGACTTCCACAGATACACCGACCTTCATCAAAACACACGAAATACTCGAATATCAAGCATATCAACCAGCATACATCCCGTTTAACACTGCGCAACCCGTTGCAGGAAGCCTTGTCAGAGTTGGCCCGTATCTTCGGGATACTGCAGTCTGCAGCCTTCACTTTCTCCAGGACGAGGCTAAGGGCAGTCTGCCTGGGGAATGAGCAAAGGTCTATGACGCGAGGCCAATCCCGATCAATGCTCTTGGCGGTGGTTGATTGCCTACTGCGTAGGTCATTTCTGCTATATGAGCATATATGGTCCATGTTTGGCGCACACGGTAAAGTACTTGCCAAGCTTATGACAGCACCTTGCGAACATATGCCCTGCTCACACTAGCAAAAAAGGGTGCCATGCTAGAAACAGACACGACAAACCTTCCTACAATCTCTTGGGTCAAGAGAGATCTCAAAAGAAAGAGCAAGAAAGAGTTCAACCAATGATAGAAAAACCAATCAGAACCTAAGTATCAAGAAGTATACTCACATACAGTAACTAAAAGAGACCTTATATCTTTTAAGAGAAGTACTTTATACAGACTTCTAGCGGCCAGATCTGGACATGGCGACTTTGCCAGATACTATGAACGCTTTGGGCATACAGACTCGAATGATCATTGCAGCTGTGGTGAGAAGAAAACACCACAACACATTTTCTTTTGTAAGAGGCTGAGGAAAAACCGGCTACTGCCTAGGTACTCGCCTAGGACAGCTTATTTACAATACTTAAGGGAGAGGAGCACAGAATGGGCAAAATTCGTGGAGAAGAGCAAGTTCTTTTCAACAATCTGCCCCCAATAGATAGCTTTTCTTGAAGGACCAGATGGATGACCCCAAGGTCATACCGCCGCAACAACGGGGATGGGCCCGTGAGCGGGACTGACTGTACTTATTATCTTGAGACCTCCACAACCCTGCGATACAGAGGCTCTGGGAGGCGTGGTTTGCACTACTGAGGAGCTACCCCCCACGTTAAATACAAAACAAACAAACAAACAAACAAACATATGCCCTGCTCAATGCCGGATCCGACCACTTGAACTGCCAGTTATTGCATGAGTCGCACCACCTCGCAGTGAGATTACCCTTCCAGCCTGATCACGAAACAACCAATCACACTATTGGGGAACGGTGACGAATTACCCGCTTGATTGGGGAGGGCCTTGACAAATCAGCATGAATACAGCATGTTTCGAGAAAGAAGAACCTCCCCTCATTCACATAGCACTGATCTTCCGGTGTATTTTAGGGGTTCATTGCTAATCAGGTAGGGTCGGACGCATGCTCAAGACTGTAGCCCCCCTTCGGCAGCTGGTGTTCACGGTAGCTCGATTTGGGTATAAACCGCTGCTTTGCCGACTTGACGGTACCGGAATATGCCTACGACGGGCTCGACACTTTCCAATCATTCTCTGAATTGAGATAAACAACCGCAAAACTCTTCAAGATGTTGACCACCTCGTTATTCATGTTCGCGCTCGCCGCGACTGGTTTCGCCCAGGCGCCCGTGGGCTACCGCACAGTCTACATTACCTCCAACGTGGACCCCGCGTTCGTCATCGTGCCCACGACGGCCACGGCCGGCGCCGCCATCGTAGTGTAAGTCCCAAGTCCACTGCAAGAAGTGAAGGCGCTACGTGGTATCTGACCACTATACAGACAGGCTAGGACCAGCAAGCCAGACCAGCAGTGGTACTTCAAGGCAGGAAATACCACTATCCAATACGCCGGCTCAACACTCTGCCTAGACGCAGGAGCTGAGAGTAAGCTTCACCTACGCCAATACGAGATATCCGATTCTAACATCAATCCACAGGCAACTGGGTAGACATGGCCAGTATCTCCCTCGAGGAGTGCGCTGCTACCGCGGCGGGCCAGCAGTGGGTAGCCATGGGCGACGGGAGGATCGCGCTTGCAGGCTCGTCGCCTCGTAAGCCGCATCTACATGCAGTATCGTCAGGATATCATCAAGACTAATATATACCCTTCAGAAGAGTGTGTCGATCTCCAGTACATGCGGGCCACTGCCAATAACCCGGTCGGTCTCTACAGCTGTGCTGGGTTGGGCAACATCGGCGCCGCGGACAAAGGCATTAACTGGCCTCTTGTGAATGCCACCCTTTAGGTCGTACACTTGCTCGAGAGAAGTCGTCAGACTGATCTTGCTGTTTGGACAGTGGCGCTAGGGACTGCGTAGGGTGTGGACTGAAAGTCTTTGACGGGAAAGTTCTTATCAATATATTTCGGACATAATGTAACTAGGCATGGAATGATCTCTAACTCTCGGGTTAAAAAATTAATGGGGACCATCTCGATAGATACGCGAAGTTTCTTGAATTACCATGGGTAAGGTAGCTATACCAATACGATATCTTCCGGTAGATAGCATAATTATGCATCAGCAAGAGAGTCTAGAGGCAAGACGATGTTTGGATTTGCTATAAAATCTGGTTCTGTACTATATTTCCCTCTCGGCACCCGGCCTAGGTACTTGGTATCTTACTTTTCGAGCACTTCGAGGTTTTTCAAAAGGAGTTTGTTTTGCGATGGACGTCTGGCTTTTGAGCTCGGCTACTCGCCACTGCTTTGCGGCTAAAGAGAAGCTAGCTAGCTCTCGTGTGTCGGCGATGAGGGGAGATGGTTCTTATGGCCCCCTTGTCCTTCTTGGATGAGTCTTACTTATAGCCGGAAGCCATAATCTAATATCGGGGCTGATTCAGGCGAAGCTGTCGGAGCTGCCGAAGTTCTGGGGGTAATATGCGACTTGAGTTTCCAGTGTTATGGCATATGCTGCCTTTGGCCGACATTGGGGCAGACTTATTCGATATCAGCAGTTTCGTATTCATCTCCATTGCATGTTGCGTAACCAGCCCGCCGCCCACTACCCCCTAAATTGTGGGTTTTGAGGCTACAAGAGGTAGCACGTATTTAATGCACCGAAGCGAGTAGCGCAATTAGGTCGATAATCACCAGAGCGCTTTTGGATGGTCCTAGAATAGGAACAAGCACAGAGTCGGACGTGATTAGGCCCTGAGAAAATCAACTGGTATCGCAACCGACCATTCTAACTTTGATTGATTGATTGATTGTATTTATCGTGAGTGCAGTCCCTCCACAGGGCAAACCACGCCTCCCAGAGCCATTGCATCGCAAGGCTGTAGAGGTGTCAGTCTAGATACATTCAGATCCGCGCACGAGCCTATCCTCGCTATAGCGGTACCAATCTGGAGTGTCCAGATGGTTTTAGTCAATACCCAAGCACAATTCTGTCAGAAAAACCCTCCTGTCCAGTGACAAAACGACCCAGTGAACCTCAGTCCTCTGGTGTACACATCGTTCCAGTAGCCGTTCGATATATGTCGCATTGGTGGGTGAAGTAGGTATTTGTTATCTGCTGGCGAGGGAAACCACAAGGGGAAAAACCTCGCAGGAGTGGGTGTTATGGAGACAAGCTGCTTGGCTATCGGGCTCTGCGATAATGGGGCCTCTCCACTGTCGTGTGCTGGTTGTCGACTCGCACAAGCCGGGTCAGAAGGGGGCCCCATAACAGGATTCGAACCCACTTGTTCTCGTCGCCCACCGCACAAATGAGAACACAACCAGGCGCATTTGACCATTGCGCCATACGGCCGACCATTCTAACTTGTATCGGGCAAGCTAAGGGACAAAGGGGGCAGGTGATACTCACCGTGAAGTATGCTTTAGGTACTGTTGCGGGTATTGGTTGTGGATATACCGATATGATACTGACCTACTGCCAAAGCCACGCAATGAATGCATTCAACAATCGAGTGATGAGCAACGTTCAAGGGCCGCCTTTGACTGCGCCGTATACAGCAAAGTAGGGGGCATGACAAAGGGCCTCATTCAACCTAGTGGCTTTGTCCCTGATCGAATACGGCCACCCCTTTGTCGCGTTCCTCTTCAAAGCAAGGCTCTAGGTCATATCCCGTTTCGATCTTGTTGCAAATGTTTCTTGGCCGGGTTTGCGCCAGCTGCGATCATCGATCTATCACCAAGCAAAATCGCTTGTTCCAACACACAAACACTGGACGATAGGGCACCATGGCGCGCCCCGTACGCAAACGCCGACAAGAGGCGGGAAAGCATGGTCAGTTACCCTCACACGAACATGTCGTAACAAGATAGAGCAGCTGACAAGCAGGACAGATTGAATACAAGCCGACATTTCATATGCCCGGAGGATAGAAGATGAAGCCAAGCAAGCTTGGCAGTTCTCAAGACAGTATATTGGTGATAAAACTGCAAGATTGACATACAGCAGGGTTAGGGGGGTTGGAGGCCAAGGAGTCGCCAGCGAGTTTGATGTACGCGATTCGACTGGGGTACGCACTGACAGGGTTGCTGTCAAGGCAGCATTTTTTGCCGACAATAAAGTCAGCCGAAAGCAATTCCAGGATGAGATCGAGTGGATTCAGGTGAGTGTGCTCTTTCGACGCACCTTAGCAGACGTATCCATCCATTGACTGCCATAGAAATTCAAAGGTGCGCCGCATATCATTCAGCTGGCTACTTTGGACAGCGAGGTCATGAACCCGACGAGCTACAACAATGCGAAGGCCGAGAACCCTATAATGATCATGGAGTTACTTGACATGGGCGATGTTAGGGATCTGGCTTGTCGTATAAACGAGGCTGTTGCGACCAATCCAGAGCTTCCCGATGGCCAGAAAAAGTTGGAATACATTCCCAACAGGATATTGTGGCACATATTTCTATGTCGTAAGTACAGCGACGCGGTGCTGGGTCCTCCACTAATGAATGCACCAGTCGCCCGAGGCTGCATAGCTTTGGCTTATCCACCCGGTCCGCCAGGCCTACGTGACGGAAAATCGTACCGAGAAGAAATAGAGTATGTCATGCGCCACGTGTTTTCATGACCCCCACACTTGGATTGAGTACGCCACTAATTCCCCCGGTTCCAGTCCTGAGAAGAATCCCAAGCGAAACGTGCACCATGACTTGGATCTAACCAATGGTAATGTGAATCATACTCAGTGCGTATCTTCAGCTTGCTAATTAGTTCAGTGACGATAAGAAACTCAGACGGGAAGCCGGAGCACAAACACACTCCGATTTTCATAGTTCGTCAACCTATACAACGTGCCCGAGGTTAGAAGCTAACATTGATGTAGGGCCGTATGGCGCAATGGTCAAATGCGCCTGGTTGTGTTCTCGTTTGTGCGGTGGGCGACGAGAACAAGTGGGTTCGAATCCTGCTATGGCCCCCTTTCTGACCCGGCTTGTGCGAGTCGATAACCAGCACACGACAGTGGAGAGGCCCCATTTTATCGCAGAGCCCGATAGCCAAGCAGCTTGTCTCCACAATACCCACTCCTGCGAGGTTTTCCCCCTTGTGGTTTCCCTCGCCAGCAGATAACAAACACCTACTCCACCCACCAATGCGACATATATCGAACGGCTACTGGAACGATATGTACACCAGAGAACTGAGGTTCACTGGGTCGCTTTGTCACTAGATAGGAGGTTTTTCTGACGGAATCGTGCTTGGGTATTGACTAAAACCATCTGAACACTCCAGATTGGTACCGCTACAGCGAGGATAGGCTCGTGCGCGGATCTGAATGTATCTAATTTGACACCTCTACAACCTTGCGATGCAATGGCTCTGGGAGGCGTGGTTTGCACTACTGAGGAGCTACCCCCCACGTTAAATACAAAACAAACAAACAATAACATTGATGTAGCTCAGCGATTTCGGACTCGCAAAGAATGTATGGGACATTTCGACCACACTCCAGCCTCTTTTAGTCCTTCAGAGTTTATATACATGCCTGCTAGAATCTCAAACACCTTTAGATCCCCCCCAGGCTCAAGTCCCTGGACTTTGTTACCGACGTTTTAGCGACTGCTGACTTTCTTTGTTTGCAGTGGGATACAATTGTGCCCGATTATATGTAAGACCATGAATTATTGGACATATCAGAGACAGTGCCTAACTGGTTTCGACAGGATGGGTGGAGTTGCAAGGGACAAGAGGGCTGACTATTATAAAATCGGGAAACCTGGTTTCCAACCTCCAGTAGGCCTCTTAACTCTCCTTCTTCCAGTCCCTGCCGGCAACGAGACTGACCATATCTGCAGGAACAAGCACGCTGGCGTAATCACGCCATAACAGGGCTCGGCGTGAAATCCAATATATGGGGGATAGGTATGGTAAGTCATCGAGACGAGTCCATTACATCCGTTATAACGCGATGTCTTGGCAGGGTGAAATGCGATTACCATAGCTAATCACTCGTGTTAATAGACCATGTGGTGCCTTATAACACTCTGCTGGCCGCAGCAGACAATGAATCCGAACTTCAAGGAGTGCTGGCTCCCGAACACGCACAACCATGGGAAATGGATAGCGACGCTGGGCCACGATCTTCTTGCGACAAAGTACAGACCACAGGTTGCGGAAGACCGCTATAAAGAATATGACTTCAACCTACGGTTGTTGATAGCCCGCTGCAGTAAAGAAGTCGAGTATCCCAGACTTATGCTCCTCTTACTAACGAAAACCTTGCAGTGGCCGAAAAACCGACATATCGACCTGACTTGCAAGAGCTACTCGGGATCATCGAGCAGGGCAGTAAGTAACGCGATATCTCCTCCTTCCTGTGTCGAGCCGATGAACCCGTCCCATACCCCATTAGTCCATACTACGATTGTTGACTTCAAGGTCGCAGTCAGCGATGGAGCCAGTGGATATCGGAACTACCCAGTGACCGCGACCGACGTCACTCCCAAGCACGATATAACAGCTACCGGCAACCGGGATCCGATAAAAGGACCACCGCTGGAGGAGGACGATGGTCTGCTGGAACAATTCGTAAGAGACCATGCGAGCGTTCCGCCGGCCCCGATGGGGCAAGTTTATGAGAAAGAGTTTGGGCAGCTATCGGGATTTGTATACCCCCCACTCAGAAGCCCCATACCTGACCCTGCGGTACTTCCTCCATCGTCTCCAACGGTTCTTCCACCGCCGCCTCCAACGGGTCCTCCACCGCCGCCTCCACCGCGTGCACCGACGGGGAGACCCTCCAAGAGACCGGTCACACCGATCTACGGCGACTTCTACCGACGCAATGTGACGGCGGCGATTAACCCTGCCCCGCCAAGGCCCGCTCCATGCCGGGGCAGGGGACGTGGGATTGTGAGGAGAGTGCGCGTAGTTCCTGCTGCCCCTCAGCCTGGTTTCTACGGCTCATATCACATACCCGGGACCGGGAAGCCGCGTGATCGGAGACTATGAGGCCGAGACGAAGAGGTGATCGGGAAGATGTATGCGAAGAGTTGGAGAGACTGGGTTTCCGGGGTTTCGATATCGCTTGTCTTGCTAGAGTGTTAATTGTTGGAATTTGCTGCAACCTGAGGTTTTCATTATTTTCTTTAGGTTACTCAAGATCATTATACTCTCTCTTGTTCTCCCGGTGTGCGGTTGACGGAGTTCGCTGCGGATGGGTTTACTACCTATACTGGAAGTGTAGGGTATAGGTTACGAATATGAATTCCTGGATCTTCGCACGAACTATATGTCTTTGGTAGATGCTTGTGTTAAAGGCTCCAATGAAGTAGGTGAGACAAGCAGTATCAACATGATGATATGAGGTTTCTTCAATCTGGCGCCAGAGCATACCTAGAATTCAGGTTGACATTAGCTGGGGAACGAGGTGAGACGAATGTACTATTCGAAACGCACGTTCAGGACATGCCATATTCGATGTTTGCAATCGCATGAGATACTGGGATTTCATTGAGCGTCAACATCATGAAAGCCACAGGAACATAGGTGTTGTTACCTACATTACCTAGATGACGGCATATATGATTCTGGCCGGGAATAAGTATGCCATGGATACATAGTAGTATAAAACTCCGCTGAAAGCCATTGGACGATAGCAGCAACTTTGTTACTCCTTGTTTTTTGCTGTGCATGTCTTATTGTGGTATCTTGAGTTGTTATTAACGAAGGTTACACTTCATGGTAGTCTTATAGATACTATATCCCAGATACCCGATACTACATACTAGATACTATGTAGTTCTAGCCGCCCAATCAGAGACAACCTCAGGACAGATCAGGCGCGCTGCAGCACGACGTCACAGCTTCTTGACTGCTTTGGCAGGTGCTCCCTAGGTAGCTCCCCAGTTCCCCTACCGGTACCCACAGCGCCAAGCATGAGCTGTTTAGGAGGCCTGGAAGGCTACCCAAGGGAGACCATCACCGGAGCTTCCAGTCTTCAACTTCATCCCGTCCTCCCGCAAACCGAACACGACACGACGGTTTCGACAAGTCAAATAACCAACACACGCCGCAACCCGATGGCGCCACCAACGTCGTTGCGCGCCGCCTTCGCGTACGCCGGCAACCTCGTCTCGCAGATCCCACTGCTCTCCAACCTCAGCCCCAGCCTGCCGAGCTCGCTGCAACCGATACCTCACGACTCACAACAGCAAGCTGCTGAACATGTGGGCGGAGACTTCGGGTTCGATGCCTCGTCGATAACGCCCTACGACCCCCTGAGCGACGCCCCCTCGTGCCCGATCGACGGCCCGACGAGCTGCCAGAACAAGACCGCGGGCGACTCGTGCTGTTTCGTGTATCCCGGCGGTAGGCTGTTGCTCACGCAGTTCTGGGACGAGGAGATACATGTCGGAGGTTCTGAGCAGGATTGGACGGCCCATGGGCTGTGGTATGTTCCCTTGTTCAGTGAACGGCTTTGGCCTGCCCATGCGAAATCAACACTGCAACGGTCGAATGGTTGGGGAAGGCCAGGTGACTACGGAAGCTGATGACCATACTATAGGCCGGATCTATGCGACGGGTCTTACGATCAGTATTGCGGCATGGCGCCCAGGTTTAACAACATTACCGAAGTATTGAAACACTACGACCAGGGCGAGTTGTTAGATTATATGAATCGTTACTGGGTTGCAAACTAGTGAGTGACCATATACTTTTTCCACGAAGGGGTTCAGAGAAATAAAGCTCTTCTCTCCCCCGGGACAACGGGCAAACGCGGGTGCTAAATGTAGCCCACGCATAGCGGTACGAACGACCACCTCTGGGCGCATGAGTATAACAAGCATGCCACCTGCATCAACACGCTCGCCCCTTCCTGCTACGGCGACGCGTACACGCCCGGCATGGAGGTGGTCGACTACTTCGTGCGGGCGTTCGGGCTCTTCCGCATGCTTGACACCTATTACGCGCTGTCGGACGCTGGCCTCGAGCCCAGCCACGGCGACACGGTCGAGCTGGCCAAGGTGCAGAGCACGCTCGAGCGCTTCAGCGGCGGCCGCGTCATCCTCAAGTGCACGGGGCGCCACCACGACGTCCTCCACGAGGCCTGGTACGTCTACTTCGTCAAGGGAAGCCTGCAGAGCGGCGAGTTCGTGCCGGCCCAGGACAGCTTCAAGGGCGACCAGGGCAACTGCGCCGACAGGGTGCGCTATCTGCCGAAGCGCAAGTAGGTCTCTGATGCGTTGCTTGCGCTGGGTGTGGCATATCTTAAACATCGGCTTCATTATCGCATGGCGTAATAAGGCGTTTTGAGGGGACGTTGGTACGGTCTGGGTATTGTCGCCGCCCGCTTGTTGGGCATTGAGGACTGCTGTAATGGTCTGCGGACTTGCATATCAGAATAGGGGCTAAGATCAGCGAAATCATCAAACTTGATTGCATTTTGCGTGGACCGGTCTCCTGCCATTTCCCACTCGGCACTGCGGATCCTCTGGGTAGGAGCATATGTTTGTCTGCTTCCTCGCTTGCCCCGGACCTACCTCGACCCCAACACCTCGGTCCGTCAGAGTAGGCCCGAAGTCCACTACGTGATTGTCGCGAGACAAGAGGCCTGGTGTATGGTTCTCCGCGTTGGACCTGCCGCCGCTATTACCACTACTGCTGCCGCTCTTCAGGTTGCTGTAGGTAGTTGATGCAGATGCAGACTACCTAAGGGTAACTATCTGCACATGCCCAGAACGCGATGGACAGGAGACTATCTCCTTGCGAAGATACGGGGGCGACTAACCATCCCAGCACACGCCCATGCGACTATCATCTGTTCATTAGGCAGGCCGCCTGGTTGATCTCAGGGGAAGCAATCATGGGGGTCAACGGCTCGGTGATGCTTCGGGCTAAGCCTCCCCAAGGAAGGATTCAGCGCAAGGGGTATTGCATGTTTGGCTTATTTTGCCCTGTTATTTGGATTATTAGGCCTTGCACGGCCAAGTCCGTGGGGTATCGATCCTCCTGAACAGGAGACTCCCTGTCATGCACGGTACCAATCCTCTTGTCTCCTGCATCCGCTTCTAGAAGGCCTTCACATGCTTTCTTGGCGATGGATCGTGGAGATGGCGCGGGGGTGCTGGGCTAGGCAAGGGTGAAATTGGGAGGATCATGTAAAGGCGGCAGGGTTGGTATACAGATATCCTTTGTTTGATCGTTGCCCTGGAAGTGGATGATCTAATTTTCAAGGGCAGCGACTGAAGAGGAGAGAGAAGAGAAACTTGTTATGCTTCACGTATTGAACCCCGTCGTCTCGCAAAGTTAATGTCTTTCCGATGATGAGAATCTGTGATTGGGTTCTCGACACATATGACATGCCACTACTGGTGGTTGGCTAGTGGGTGCATCATCCAGATCCTATGCAGGTGTCTGGTGACCATATCAGTCGACAGTCGATAGATGAAGTTTACATAATACATTGTCCGGGGAAAGTCGACAGGTCACATAATACTGCTGCCAACATGTAAGCCGCGCGTAGAGTAGGTAACCGTGCCGAGGCTCGCTTCAAAACACCTGCATACGCAGTGCAGGTTTGGCATCTGCGCACGCAGTGACATCGAGTTAGGCGAATTTGGAATGCCGAACTGGGGTTGAGATGGAAAAGCAAAGGAGAATTATAAGCCACCCGTAAGAGTACTGGAATCCGGGGTAGGTTGCAGGTAGTCGGACCGATGCCGCGGTTGACGACGTCCATGCTGGGTCTGCCCCGACGGGAGGCCATCGTGAACCGGCCTAGCGCCCGTGGAGGCATGGAGAGTCGGGGTGGGAGGAGGTTCGTGCGGGGAGTTGGCGGCAGTGGTAAGGGGTCGAAAGCTGGGGTTCGGGCCTTTCTTTGTGGTGTGCCTTTTGTTTGTTCCGCCTTGGCATGGGGATCGTGATCTTGAGGGTTTGGGGGAGTGATGGTATCGTCAGGGCCGTTGACTTGAGAAAGGTGATTGACGGAATGGTTTCCGTAGGTATCTAGGGAGAATATGATGGACTCGACGGATCTATACTGTCTGTGAACGGCTGGACATCATCGCAACACCTCACCGGTCAAACAATCGATCAAGTCAAATGCAGAAGCCAGATGCGTGGCAGATCGGTATGCTGGATAGCTGCAGTCGAGGATGTGTTTGCCCGTACTTGTTGTGTCATCATCAATGCTGTTGTGATAGTCGACAGGACACGTTGGAATTTGAGCTTCTCTTTGCTCCTCTGCTCGGATTTCGGCATCGAGGCACCATATGCGCGGATCCGTCACACGTTGCGCGAAGGAAGAAAGGAAGGGATCATGTTCTCCCCCTCTTCCTTGCCTCAGTATGTGCGAACTTGTCTGCTTACCTACGACTTATTATTGTTCTCTTCAGCTTCGATGTGACAAGGCCGATGAAGGTCTGGGAGATGAATTCAATTGAATCGACTGGAACTGTTCGTGCGATTGTCTAGGGTTTGGGAATAGTTTAGGTGACCGGAACGAACTGAACCGGCTGTGGGATGCCCTCTCGTGCAACAGTACTGATCGCACAGAGGAAAGCTCTGCATCTGTATCTCTTTGCGGCTCTTCGTGTGGCTAGATACACGTAGGCAAGCGGTCTCAATGCAGTTCGTCGTACGGGGTGTCAGTGTGACGGTCCTTTCCAGCCGCAGCGCAATCACGACGCCTCCGTGGTGGAACGGACACGGGGAGCGAGGGCGAACACGGCATTGCAGGTTCCGTCGGTTCCTTCAGAGTCTTCAGATCATTACATCCGGTCCTGAGGGTCTGGTCGTTGGTGTTGTGAACAAATTCAGTTGATCAACCGACGAACACCTGCGCACACTTGCGGCAGATAGTCGATGCGCTTGCTTGCTTGACAACGGGCGACCGGCTACGCGGCAATACAGTAGTAGATCGCCTGTCTTGTGATCTGCGCTTGTTTTGGCAGTGCGCTGAGCTGAGTCTGCTGAAGATGCCAGGCTAACAAGATGCAACGCCACGCAGCACACACACAGACACACCAGACAGGCCTCGACAGGCATTGGCTGGGCTGGCTGGTGGTGGTGTGGTGACCATCGCTCTATGCTACGCTAGAACGTATGGAATATGAGATGGCGCATGCTCAGACGGGAAGGCCGACGTGATGATTCGATGGCATGCATTAGCACCTGGCTAAACCACGCCGCCGTCTATTCTTCCTCGAGCAGAGAAGAATTTGAATCTTGATGAAAGCCTAATGAGACAGCTAACTAGGCGTTGAAATCTTGTTGGACCTGCCCGTTTCGTTTCGTCCCATCGTGGGAAACTTACAGTCGCAATGGCACGAAAGTCAATCCAAGCTGTCGGTGTCGGAGGTGTGATGATAGGGCATTGACAGCCTTAAGACGCAGCGTAAGAGCCTCGCCGCAGAGGAGATTGCGTCGCATTGATGATGACTTGGACTTGAACTAGAAAGAGACTGGAGGCTGAGAATGGAAGGTCTTGTCAGGATACAAGTACCTGTTCCCCCAGTCTCGCGCTGACCGGCAAGACTGGCAGAGAAACGAGCGAAGAGACGAATCCAATGAATCCGATATCGGTCATGGGCCACGCAGCCACGGTAACAGAGTCAAATCTGAAGCTGGAGAATCGTGAGCCGGTTACAACTGCAACGCCGCTTGGCCTCTTGGGGTCAAGCCCGGATCAATGGAACACCCCAAGATTGAAGAAACATCCCCCCTGGCCTGCCTTCTTCCTAGTCGTCGTCGAGCCGGCCAATCAATCCCCTTTGGTTTCCTTTTCCGGGAGGATCATGAACCCTGCTGTCTCTTGCATGGTATCCAGAAGCCTATTTTTGGTTCGTGCGGGCAGGATTCCCATCGTCCATCGATGGCCATCCTGCCATCATCTGCACCCACCAGCAGGACGCTCGCCCTACAGGTCGTGAATGCATGGAACAATGGTTGAACATTCTTACTGCAAGTCCTTCTTCAGTCGCTTACCGAGTTGATAAAAATATACCTGTAACTGCTTAACACAATTGAGAGGCAGTACCCATCTTCCATACCAGCGTCTCGGTTGACGGGCTGGCCAGCAACGTGCCACCAACAAGTTCTCGTCTTGCGACACTGGCACACTGGGCAATCCTCCCGCAGATTGCAGGCCAAATTCAAGATGCTGACCCGGCATAGTCCTAAATCCTGCGTCTATCGATCCTATCGATACCACGCTCTTGAGTCTTGTCCCTGGACCTACCCACTATGGCAATTCTGACTGCCTCTCGATGACGAGGGTTTGGGGTCCATGTCGTCGAGGCGGCATCTTTCCGTGCCTCATCATGAACGGGTGATGCGAGCTGCCTCATCCTGCTATGTACGGGTTGGCCGTGACACCGCGAGGGGAGGCAGCGGACAGGAAGCACCCAGCCTCGGGAGGCCCTCAACCTCGGTTGATGGCTGACTGAACGACATGACATGATCTCTTCCTCTGCGTCACAATGACAGTGGGAGCAGTCTGCTGGAGTTCATCTTTAATCCATATCTGTCTCCCACACAAATCTCGATATCTTGGGGGACTTCAGGGGACTTATACCTTGCTTTTTTGTCGCAAATAGGCGAAACAGGACGCAAGCCATCGCTCAGCCCGGACCATATCTTATCAGTAAACTCAACAAAAGGCTCCCATCAACCTGCGTCATATGTGGCTGAATCTGATCGGATTCTCTGTTGGACTGTGCCTTGCGTGTACATGCATATGAGCCGTATGATGTCGGGTACCAACACGTGCAGGCTCGTAAACCCCAAGCATCCATTCTCTAGGTTAGTCAAGGCAGTGACCAAGCCTCTTGACACGAACCATCCCATCCCCTAGACCATCCGTGATTTAAGGACGTTGACAGGAGGTGTGACCAATCATACACTGGCTACTCAGCCTACCACCATGCAAGCTGAACGCATCTCCTGGGGCCTCACCACCAGCAAACCTGAGATTAGGGGCACTGGGAGGCGTTGCTGGTCTGAAGTTCTGAACTTCCTCGCCAACGTTAATAAGCCGCCTCGTGGTAGGACAACGGGTGATAGTTACCAGTTCGGCATCTGCCCCGCGTCCTACCCTGGAGTCTGACGCTTTGGGCTTACAGGATTCCTTCACCGGCATCCTCAGCTGGCAGAGATGAGAGTGTACGAGCCGGCATCAGGGGACCTGCTCTGCTTCCCTCCTCTTACCAAGGCAGTAGATGGTTCACCAGATTGGCCAGTTCTGATGCCTATGTAGAGCGCCGAGGGACGCACCATCTGCTGCCTTATTATGCACTTGCGGTTGAAGTAGAGATATCATGGTACCTTCTGGTTATTATTATTATTAGTCGCGGTCCAAGACTGTCTCCTGTCAGCTAAGGTAAGACCATCTTGTTACAGCCACGACACACAGCGTCCTTGATCATTCAGCTGTTGACCACCTTACCTTATTCATAGTCGTCGATGCTAGTAGAAATCGAGTTTTGTTAGCGGTAACTCCTGCTAGTCATGTAAGGAGATAGATTACCATTATTCATCCCAATGCCATTTGCTGGGGGTCGCTGTCGCCTGTGTCTGCACTAACCGCTACGGGATAGTGGTTTGACTGCTCACCCAGTGTGTGGAAATGGCTACTGTGGGCGGTGACGTTAGCGAGGCCCCGGGTCTTGATCCAGTGCCATCCCCCCAGTGCTAGCCCAGTGCCCCGAATGCCTCCAGCTGAACCACAATCCACCAGACGTCCGATCCTCCGACCTCTCGAAAGGTACTTTCTTCCCCACGTTGCTGTCGCGTGCAGAACAGGTACCGTCATAGTGAACGTGGCGCCCCCCGGCTCCAGAACCGGCATCAACAGCCAAATCTCAGCCGACCACTGCCACCGCTGCCACCTCGCCATCCTCCCGTCGGAATCGGATTCCATCTCTCACACCTCACGTTCACGGGCCCTCCTTTCCTCCATCCCCATCTTTTCTATCCTCCCCTGCTCGCCTGCCTCCTCGCGCCTCCATCTCTTCCACTCCCTCTGTTGTTCCCACTTCCCACATCGATCGCCGAGTTCTTCAAGTCTGCCAAGCCCTTGCTTTGGAATAGTATACACCACCTACAACACTCGTTTACGACAGACGCCGCATCGTCTCCTTTTCGTGAGAGTTCCAACTTCCAAGCCACCATACGACGCTGGTTGTCCATTCCCCCGGACGTCGAATCCCCGCGTTTCCAATGAACGACATTCCTCCGCCTTTCTCTCAGCGACGGGCCGATTAGAGAACGCTTGGCCAATTGCCTCAACTCCAGGCACACTCCCCAAAACCTCCGTCGTCACTCCAGAGCGAGACTCTGCACACTCAAGCGAACGTCGACTCGAGAGAGTTGGGAGAGTTGGGTGGCTCATCCAAGAAGGGCGTTGCTTCTCTCTCGCACCAGACACCGCGTCATTTTGTATCAGGACCTCTGGTACGGGTGGCGGGAGAAGTGGGAGAGAGCAAATACACGACCATCGTCAACAACAACATGTCTACCGCCGTTAAGAGGGCCTGCGACGCCTGTCACCGTCGCAAGGTCAAGTGCGATGGCATTAACCCGTGTCGTAACTGCGCCTCGGCTCAATTAGGCTGCACGTACAATGCGATCCCACAGAAGAAAGGTCCGAAGGGGTCGAGGGCCAAGGTCATCAGCGAGTTGCGCGAGACTCAACGACAGACAAGCCTTTCAGCAAAGGTCCAGAGCCGATTGAACGGCATCAACAGTCCTCCATGCAGCCCGATCTCGTTGTCGCCGACTCCCGGACTCCTGGCTAGCGAGATGGCCAAGGACTGCACCGAGTTCTTCTTCGCCAATATGTACCCGATCATGCCCATCCTCAACCGCCAGCGACTCGAGCAACAGGCCATGTTCCTGGACCAGAACCTCGACACGTATTGTCTCTTGACTTCGCTATGCGCCTACATGATGTTCCAGCCTGGCATGAGCCTGCCCGGCGCCGATCCGCTGCTGGAACATATGCCAGGGGCTCACATCGTTTCCGGGACATTGCTGATGGAGGAGACGGTCCGAGTACGAAAGGGATTCGACTACCTCGAGACACCGAGTCTGAACACTCTCTGCACCAGTTACTTCCTTTTCTGCTCATACTACGCTCTCGATATGCACGACAAGGCTTGGTTCCACCTGCGTGAAGCCACGACATTAGCCCTCATGATTGGGATGACGAAGGAGGAAACATATTTGCAGTATGACAGTATAGAATCATCCCGACGTCGACGCCTCTATTGGCTGTTGTTTGTAACGGAAAGGTTTGTGGCCTTACGCCAACTGGTAACTTATAATGCTGACTTCTTGAAGGGCGTATGCCTTGTCGCGTGGCCGTCCTTTGACTCTGCCGGCTTCCATCAGCCTCCCGACCATGACTGATGATCCGACGGACCCCCTGGCCCATCAACTGAATGGCTACCTTCTTCTGGTCAACCTATTCCGACCTTTCGACGACACATTCATCGCTTTATGGAACAAGACGCGTGGCGAGTGCTCGCCGTCCTACCTGGGCGCTCTGCAGAAGCAGTTTTCGGATCTCATCCCGGCCTACATGAATGGACAGGAGGCAGATGTACGAACGGTCCAGCAATGGCTGAAGGCGATCACCTGGCAAATAAGTATGCAGCATGGCTGCATGCCGCAGAACAACCAGGACCAGCTTCACTACCAGGTGGATATGTCGCGGGACATCAACTCAGTGACGTCTCAGTTCCAAACCCAGAGCTTGGAGACACTCGGTGTGCCGCTTGTCGCCAAGTTGCTAGAAACCTCATCTGCACTTGCCAACGTACTCGCTGTGCAGCCGTCATCAGGCGATCCTTTTACGATGGGTCCTCGGGAACATCTCACCTCGCTGGTCCAGCTTTTGTCGATTCTTCGCAGCGGCGACCATCACTTCCTACCCTTATTGCTGAACAAGGTCCACGACATCCTGCCACGCCTCGCCAATCCCATGCTATTGCGGGCTCCGGAGAATGCGTGCATGCCAAATATCGACATATTTGATGGGTTTGGCAACGCCGGAATGGGTCAGCCGCCAATGATCACCAACTTCAAAACCGAGCCATACACGCCTAGTGGTATTTCGCACCTCCAGGACATCCCAGCAGCGGAACCAACGAGCTCGAATGGGGGACCACAGACTGACATGAAGTCTCCATTTCCGATGGTTAGCTCGCCAGCCATCATGTCTCCCGGCGGAGAATACCCTCACTGCCCTGACTATAACTCCATACCGGATATGGTCATGAGCCCAATAGCTCAGGCCTCACAGTCCTCCCTCAGCCAGCAGGGACAGATTCCTCAGCAGCAGCAACCCCAACATCAACACCAACATCAGCACCATCTACATGGGTTAGCACCCCAGGGCATGCATCAGAACCACAGCATGGGCAGTCAGATGCAGCCCGACTTACACAACAATCTCGGTCATGGATTGCATCAAGCGCCTAACATTGCGAGCCTGAGCCAGCAGCAAGACTTGCCGCGAGATCAACCTTACAATCACATGAACCAGAGCATTATGAATAATATGCTTCATCGACAACCACCACAGCGCGCGAATAGCTTCATCATGCATCAATCTCTACAACAGCAGCAGCAGCAGCAGCAGCAGCATCACCAACCCCAAATACCGAGAACTGTCGGAGACTTCCACGCATTACAGCGGGCGAACTCGGAGAACGTCACGATGAACTCTCTGGGTCTTAATCAGATGCAACCGGACATGGACTTCAGTGGCCTTGGATAACGCCGGCCCGTCCGACTTCATCGCGTCGATCTGTCTATTAGCGGCCTACGAGCACCCCGCGATCTAAAAGCGATCGTATGCGTTGATCTTTGATGATTTTATCCCATCAATCCAACGAAAGCACATCAAGCATGTTAGCCTGCTACTCGCCTGCACAGCATACATATAAGCGAGCGAAAAATGAACGAAGCATCTGCTGTGCATCATCGCTGGACTGACGTTTTTGAGGAATTGGTTGGATATAGTAAGAATGGCACACGGATAGGAGAGGATCTGTGTCTTCTACTTGTTTCATTTCATTTGTCGCATACTTCTTTCTAGGAGTTGGCTGGGCTGGGTGGACCTGGCGTCACGGTAAAATTGGTGTTTCATTTCATGTGGTTGTAGCCTCTTCACACGCCTTTTATCTCCATTGTCGCTCGACTATCTCCTGTTGGTGGTTTAGGTTACTTGTTGAGGCAAGATGAACGCAAGTTTGAGCGGTGGTCAATGGGTCCATATGCTTCACGAGAGACGGTATTCGCGAAGAACGAGTGTTGTGGATGTCATCAGCGGAATGCTGATATAAGATGATGGCACCTCGAGCTGGCTTGCAGCACAGCAGAGGTTGGTATAGAAAGCTGTAAAGGATGCCTTGACTAGCGTAGTTAAGAATAAAGTAAAATATTATCATATCTGCTGCTTCGCTCAATGTGAGTGAGCGCTGAGCTGTTGGTGAAAGCGATGGCTGCAGAGACGTCGCCGACCATCGATTGGCCATCCTGGCTGGTTGCTACCTTTACTGGTTTCGTGGAGAGCACGGTGCATTCGTCGGCGGCGATACAAACGTTGATCCTCTTCTACTGGGTATAAAGGTTGTACTCCACCGGCACGCGGCAGTCATGCAGTTCCTGACTTGGGACCCAGGCCGCAGTGAAGGAAGGCCGGGATGCCATGGATGAAGTTCAGCTTCCCTTATGCTCCACGTACTAGTCAATCCTATTATACACCCTCCAGACCCTCCACAAGGATGCGGCGTTGCAGCAATTATTACTCTCTGCGTTTAGAATTAATAATCAGCACTTATAATCGACTGTTCGCGAGAAGCCAAAGCGATCAACAACACAACCTATTCCTGGCGTTCTTTATCTTTCCGTTGGTTGAGAAACACATTCACCCGCTTCTGTTCTGGATGGGATTCCCCCTTTCCCTGCCATGCCCGGAGCACTTTGACGCCCACGCTCATGAGCCGAGGCACTTGTTTGTGGATTTGTATATGCATCGGCCCGACACGGCATAGCAGCCCTAAATCCAGAAAAGTTCCACTAAATGTGATCCTGACGCCGAGCTGCGGGAAGGATCCGTGGATCGCCGGCCTGCGGTAGTTGCGGAAGCATGGGAACTGCCCGACTTCAATGCCGGCATAGCTGCATCCTCCAGACCTGGGCTATTTTGGAAGCCATGTTGCGGGAATGGAATGGACATGATGGATCGCCTCCCCACAAAATGGCGACTGTAGGATTCGTACGTTGGGACCAAGGCACTTTTCTATCTCTATTATCCACATACCTTTACGCAGCACGACTCAGCTGTTGGTCGCGATCCTTCAGATCGCACCATTATCACTATTCCACCCAAGCTGGCGACTTATCTCTCCAGCCCGGATCACAACCCAAACACAGTGTTGGAGCTTGTAAAGCGTACGACGACCCAGAAGCAACCACAACTACAGCCTCCGACTCAGGAATCTCCTCGGCCCCAGCAGCACTCAGCTGGTCAAGATTCCTGTTCGCGACAGCCCATCCATCGCTCGTCGAACCCGTGCCAGTGAAGTATTGCACGGTCGTCTCGCCGCCTGTTCGGGACCCACCCCAGCGCCGAACTTGCCCGCGTCCACATAGGCGTACATGCCACCGTGGCCACAGCGATTCCCGCTTCGAATTGATGTACAGGATGGCAGGATGAAGACATGCCAGCTGCGGCATATTTCCGGACGCAAGGGTGACCGGCAGGCAGTGCCCGTGCCGGTGACCGTGCCGTAACCGGCGGGCCCACTCGCTGTACGGATTGCCTTCGGCCGGCATCGTCCGGCGCGCAAGTGACTACCTATCCAAGCTTCGAACTGAAGGCAGATTGACTGCGTCTGGACACCCAAACGCCTAACAACCTCCACGTGGGAAGTGACGACCATGTGACCCAGCCCGGAACCGTGCGGGACAGCTATCCATCAGACTGGCACCGAACGATTCGATCGTGGATCTCGATGATGAAGCTTGTGAACAGCAAGGACTGAGGAGGTAGCTCAATAATCAGGGAAGATACCCGGCGGCCGGACTGCGAGAATGGGTTGTTAGCGATCGCTCAACGTATCTCCAAGGTGTTCTAGGGGATTGGCGAGTGGAGGTGGAAGTGAATTGCGGCATAGGAGCCTACGTACCAAAGAACTCATACCAAATGCGGCCTCCGTCGAGACAGAAGGTATATAATATAGGAATTGAAGGGGGCTCTGCTATATTGCCACTCTTTGTCATCATCCTCATGATTGGACCACTCCTCTTCTTCTAACATGGCCCCGTCTGGAGGTAATCCGCTCCATCTGGTCTCAAGAGCTTCCACGACAATGATGACCACGTCATCGTCGACATAGTTCGGGACGATATCTTGGCCCGCTGGGAACGCTCGCTCAAATCTATCCAATACGTCTTTGTCGACGTACATGAAGTAGTTATACTTGGGCCGGTGTCGGTTCTGGTCGACATCTTCGATAGCAGCCCTAGACCGTTGCCCAAACACCTCGCGAAGCTGACCCGTTGTGAAACCATCCCAGCCTACGTCTTCCATAGTAACAAGCCTAAACGTGGAGTGTAGCAACGCGCTTGCTGCGACCTCTTCTGCTCCGGAAGAGCGTGGTCGGAGTGTGTGAGCGACTGCGTTTCGGACGTATTCTATATACCTATACCATAGATTCTGGTCCCCGTATGTGGCTCGGTAGACGTCCAAGCCCCATGAAGGAGCCTCGCCGCGGTTAGCGGAGGCCTCGAGGCTGATGGAAATTCTAGGGAACGCCGATCCAGCCATTGACATTGCAAAGAGTCGCTCAGTGGAGGTCCCCAGATGGATATGAGATGCCAGGGGCTGTGAAAGTTATGTTGGAGGTTCGACCTGCTTTGGCATGAAATGTGAAGAGACCGTTGATATCCGAGTGCAGAGCAGGTCTTGATAACTAGGTAGGTACCTGTGAGATTTAGGAATGGTCTGTATTGGAAGGGGAGAAGGGGTACCATCCCACTCAAATAGGTAGAAAGGTACCTCTGACAATTACATGTGATCCTACAGGATAACAACACAGTACTGATCATAACAAGGCTAAATACGCCACTGTTATAATATCTGACAGTACCGAATAGTGAATCGCAAGGTTCAGAACTGCGTTGGATTTTCCTCTGTGGCTGAACCTAGACTCATTAACACCTCTGCGTCAAACCTTAGCAAGTTACCACACCTACCACCGGCATTGATTCATCCTTGAATCTTCTAACGCGCGCGCGCGGACGAAAGGATGACCGATAACGCGTCGCGCGCATGTCATCTCAAGACAAATGTGCGCAGTTCTTCCCGACGAGCCTCTTCGTTTGAGACCCAAAGCTTTCTTTGGTGGCTGTCTTCATATCTGCCGCCCGGGCAGCAGACCACTTGTATCATCATATTACGGAGGACGAACCGATACACATTGCAGGGCGATTGGCATCTGTGGTCAGTCATCTCTCATCATAATGATAGCCATTATGGCAGGTTTGCTTGGTGTCACGAAGTCACAGGTGGACTAGTTATCTGGTGTTCCCGTCGCTGCGATCGCGAAGCGGGTATGTACCAATGATTCCAGTCGAGCAGATCTATCATTCACCCCTTTCCCATACCCACACCCACACTCACACCATTATCTCCTCTCACCTCAACTCAACGACCCTCCTCTCAGGCCTCGCATGATGAAAAGCCCCCCAATGCACCTTCCCGACCCCAACCCTCTCCACCGCGCCTCCATATCCCCCATAATCCTCATGACCCCCCTCACCCCCCTTTTCCCCAACAAACCGCAACAACAAAACATTATAAACCTCATACGGCAAGCCATCAGTCGGAAACCGGTCTTCCTCCCACAGCGCGTCGCCGCGGGAGTCGTTCTCGACGCCCTTGACGTCTGCCTCGACGTCACCCGGGGGCGGGATTTTATCTCTTGTTTTGGTGCTGGAGCTGTTGTCGTCACCGCCACCCCATTCATCGCCGTGGATATTATATTGGATGCACACGGGGTCGACGGACCAGTGTTTCGCCCAGCCGGCGGTGGGGGGCGCGGTGCGGGGGCGGGTGTCGCGGGATATGGCGGCGAGGTAGTAACGCGATGCCGATGCTGGTAGTGATGATGGTGTTGATGATGAAGGTAAAGGTGATGTAGCGTCATCCCAATCCAGCTCCTCAAGCGGCCCATGCAGCGTCAAGCACCCAGCGCGGTACCCCTGATGATACAGAATGCGCCGCCACGACGGCCGCGCATCGGCGGACCGACTCTCGTCGTTGAGTCCGACTTGCAGGAAAGCGTCCTGGTACGGGACCTGGACCGGGGGCGTGGTCTGCATGTCGCAGAAGCGTACGGGGACGGTGTGGGCGCGGAAGAGGAGGGTGCCGTTTGCGTCGGGGCGCTCGGGGATGGGCTCGTCGGGGAGGGAGATGGGGCGGCTGAAGTGGATGCCCGGGTAGGCGGCGTGCGTGTAGTAGTGCTGATTGCGAGCCGTGTCGCGCTGGACTTGCCAGCCGTCGGGCGGGGCGCTGTACCCCCGGATCGCGGCCTCGGATCGCCCCGGGGGCTCTGGGTTTGGAGTTGTAGAGTCTGTTATGGCGGCCGGTGTGGACGGGCTGGTCGCCGGGTTCTGGATGGAACGGTGTATGCTGGCAAGAGATCCGAAACGGTGGATCTTGTAGTAGTCCAGCGTCACCGTCACTTTGTCGACCCCAGTCATCTGTTCTCTCGCTTGTTCCATATACTCAGCCGGCGCGCCTCGACTCTGCAGCATCGCGATGAACTCGTCGGGCTTGTAGCTTCGCATCCAAGACACGGCGCAGGTTGAACCCGCGTATAGCCCGTTGTACCACCCCCTGCCGCTGTAGTGACTGTGGCCCTTCCACGCGGCCCAGCTCCAGCTGGGGAATCGGCTATCGCCACTGATCTTGCGTCTCTGCAGTGGTTCGCAAGGATACCACAGGAGAGCGTGGTCGAAGTCGAACTCGGGAAGCCCGAACCAGAACTTCGTGTTGGAGCCCTGCCGGATGAGATCTTCCATACCCCTGAACGCGTTAAGGGCGTCTGAGTCATTGGTCAGGTTCCGCTTCGTGTACTCGTACACGGCCTGTCTGTAGACGTTCCACATGTTCTGGCCGGCCACCTGGATAGCGCCTCTTGGGCCCGTGATGGTGATCGGGCGGAACTTGAATATTGGTGCGGGATCGTTGCATGCGTTTTCCGGGTCGTCCGGATCCTCACTCTGAAAGACCATGACGGCGTCTTCTGTCTGGAATGCCTTGTTGCGGTAGTGGGACAGTGTCGGGTTGGACCAGACCTCCATCTCCAGATTCATCGACCGAGTAGAGAATCTGGTTCTTTCCGGGATGGGAAGGGACCTGTAATCGGCCTCGATAGCTGGGTTGGTGTCTCGAAGAATATGGAATGAGGGCAGGTGAAGCAGATCTCGGTGTCTGTGAAGTAGACGGTCCGGCTTGGTAGGTATTGCTCCTGGTAGGTCCACCCCCGGGAGCTCCACACGGCTTGTCCTATGTCGCTCAGCTTTTCCCGCGGATCGTGGAATGTTGCTGCCAGCTTCAAGTCTTGGACCGTTTCGACGATCTGTTCAGATTTCCGCGCCACTGAAAGACATACAAGCCCGTCTGCCGGCGACTTGTTCGTTGTGGCAGCGATGTTGAGAGCCGCGTTGTTGTAGATGGATCCCATGTTCATGATGATGCGTTCCTTGTCCTCGTCGTTATCCTGCAGAATACAGAGGGCGTCAACCCACAGGTACGGAATACCCACAGCATTCGTAGCCTCAAATGGCATCCTTGATAGTGCGCTGCAGCCCTGAGGATGCTCGACGTAAGCCCCCCGGTTGCTCGAATAGATCTTTCGTCTGCGAGGTGTACGTCGTTTGCGTAACCTGCCCCCATACGTACGAAAGGGTAGCGTACTGAAGAGGGTAGGCCCTCCACGACACACCATGTTTCCACGTCGATGACGCGAAGCTGATAAGACACAGGTCTGAGCGAGGGCCTGTTGGACTGAGGATGCTGTGTTTCGCATATGTGCAGCCACTCCTTCAATTTGCTCATCGCAGTTCCGTCCTCCACCTCACGGCCTGTGAGTGGTACGGCGCTCTCGGTGGTCATCCTCTGTAAGATCAAGTGATTTTGCAGCGTTTGGTCGCGTCTAGACTCGAGGACAACCTCTAGCCGAAGAGCGTATTTCGGTCCCTCGTCGAGGACACGCAAGCGCACTTTGCAGCCCCTGTACTTTGAGGGCTCCTCGCAGTCCAACATCCCGTCGCTCTGGACTTTGCGCCTGATCAGCCTGCAGAAGGCACACTGCTCGTGTCTCAGAACCCATTCAATGTCGTGGACTTCGATCTTGGTCTGGCCAGGCAATTGATTGCCCGGTAATCCGCGCTCCGTGAGCAGTCGATTAAAGTCGATATGCCGGCACATCTCACACAGATACGCGGGATCGTCCGGCTGGAGGACCTCGGGTCTGGTATCCACCATTCTTCGTCCTTCTTTCCATCCGACTTTTCGAGTAAGCCCCAGCGACCGATGAACTGGCGATGCTTGTATTTCCGCCAGCTGGACTCATCTGCTCCCAATGGGACCACCTTCTCTACAACCTTGCCTCCCTCATTCTCGTCTTCGTCGTTCGTCGCTATGTATGTCTCGATCCCCTCGAGGTCCTCATCCGCTGGACGATTGACACTATGGCGGGTGCCCTTCTTCTGCGCTTCATCAAGCCCCTCCCTCATTTCTCCCCCCTTCTCGCCGTTCATCCGCGATAGCCTGTCTCTCATGTCCTGGACGTCCGGGTCCTGTACATGGGTGGTACCATCGCGACTGGCCCAGACTTCGTCCAGGATGGCGGTGGTTTCGCGGAGTTTGATGCCATGGAATTTGATGTTCTTTAGCTTGTTTTTACCCATTGTGGTGTTGCTCAACATCTTAACCCCCTGTGGACAAGGAATCGTCTGGACAACAAAATCAAAATCGAGCACACTGAGGTCCTGAAAATGCTCTCAGGCGATGAATAATAATGTTTTAAATATGATTATGTTGGATCCATCAAGGCAGACCAGCTTCACGCTTTGCGGCTGAGTCGACTCAGCATGCTCCGCCCCGCTTGGTGCCTGATCACCCCTGTCAGCTCGGATCCAGCGCCAAGATAACGCAGTCTATTAGAAGCAGTCTTACATCTTCATATAGGGGTTCTATATACATAGGCTTTGCTTAGCTGTCATCTTAGAAGCTAGCAGTTGAAGATATCGGCTGTCCAGTTGATATCAGAGCTGGGCTGCCAACTAAGATGGGTTTGGGCTTATGAATAGGGCTCGTTTGAAGAGGCAAGTGAAGCAGCGAGGGGGGATGAGTAATATGCAGGGCTGAATCGAGAGAGTATGCGACCAGGGGTATGTGAAGCTTGTCCAGCTCCGGAGCCTAGGATCGTGGTGCTTGCGCCATTTGAAAAGAGCTGATGCTGACATCATGTGTTTTCTGTTTGTGAGTTAAGACTGCTTACCATTGTGTGCAGAACAAAGATCGCACGCAAGGTGTACTGATCAGGCTGTGCTTGAAGGCATGGGACTGATCTATACCATCGGTAAGCTTAGTGGCCTTGTGTGAACATGGGTTTCTTTTGAGACTGCGCGACATGTAGGGAACATAAGTATATTCAACGGTCGGAAGGAAAAGCTGCCGAATGCAGATGCAAAGGAACAATGCTGAACGGCGACTTATCTACAATCATCCGTCCTGGGTATCAACCATGTCATCTCCATGACCCTCTAACGCCAGTCTCTGTGAAGAGTTTCCTATAACCGTGCCTTTTCTCTCCAAGCAGTCCATGTAACGCCATCCAATGTGAACACCAGTGTCAACCAACGGCCGATCCTGGCCTATACCGCCTGCCAGTCCATTGCGTCCACCATGAAATCCCAGTCCTCAGAGTCGGTCATCCAGTCGTAAGCGCTCACGGGTCCTCCCTCGTCCATACCCAAACCTCTCTGGCGAACGTACTCTTCTGCCACAAAGAATGCCTGGTCGAAGGCCGCAAAGATAATCTCCAATATCTGCTCGAGATTGTAGGCTTCGAGCGGTGCCGGCATGAATCGCCGAGGTTCCAAGTCGTTGTCGGCGTACTTCCATCGGTTCCGAAGGTCCTTGGCACGCGAGAGCTGCTTACGCACCGTGGGGTTTCCAAGGGTCTCGTGGAGGGGGTTGTTCGGGTCGTCAAGGGCCGTCAGCACGTTCGCGTGGTATCGGTGCTGGCCGATGGACTCGTGAGGCATTGGGGCCTTGAGGTTCTCGTTCGGACCGCCGTTTGGATGGCCGTACCCATTTGCATTGGCGCTTCCCAACCCATTACCATTCCCATTGCCATTGCCGTTGACGTGAAAGCCGTGCTGCGCATAGATGGAAATACCATATATTCCCATCAGGTGAACCAGGGCTCGTTCGATGAGCATGTAGTACTCGTAGAAGTCGATCTTGAAGTGTATCTCTTGCGCTTCGATGTCCTGCTGCGTCTTGCCCTCTCGGTCGGTCGCCGTGTGGTATCCGTACTTAAGGAACGGCAATTTCCAATTGAGGCGGGCGACGATCTTGAGGAATCGGGAGAGTTCTTGTTCGGGCGAAGGACCGTCATTACAAGGCATGTTCGGAGCATTGGGAGCCGGTCGCGGTGCAGAGGCTGCAAACGGAGGGGGAGGCCGAGGCCAGGACTGGGGAGGGATAATCGAGGACGACGCCCAGCGCGAGGAGGACAGTCCACCGGGCATCTTGGGTGGTTTGATCGCGGCTGCGGCAAGGACAGGTAGTTGAGTAGGTAGGCAGTCTATCAATGAATCAATCGACGGGATTGCTGATGTTGGATCTAAGGGTCAGTTGGTAATGCTGAAGCGTCCCATGGCGACATATTTGGGTTTGGGAGAGTCGGGTAGAAGATGCAATGTACTGGTCGAAGAGTTGGCACATCCAAAGATTGGATTGTCTCCCGGGTCACGGCAGAACACAAAGGGAATACAGGACGGGACGAAGAACCAAGACCGTTGGCGGGGTTTTGCAAAGAGGTTACCTGCCTGCCTGCCTGCCACCTGGGTGAAATGTGAAAGGTTAAAAAGGTCATTGTGGTCGGCATTAGCAAGGAGACGCGCCCGGTGGACCTCGGTCAATTAGACGCGACTCACCCCGTCACCTGCACTTATTAGTAAGTTACCCCTATCTACCTTACGTTAGACAGTTATTTGTAAGTAACTTCTGAACTTAATCACAAGCATCAATCTACATCTTCAGGGCCAGTTTCAGTCCATCTCCGACTTTCTACTTGGTCAACCGAGATGATGTGACAGTTAAGATGCAACCTTAGCGTCGTCCTATAAGTATAGCGAGCCGTATAAATACGGTCAATCTCCCACTTAATCTAGAAGGAACGGCAACAATTTTCCTACGAATTTTAGCAACTGCTTACGACGAAAAGAAAAGAACAATTACGGCTTGTTCTAAGCGAGCGGTGTAGAAAAATAAAACGTTTTAGATAAGATCGGCTTAATCGTATTAAGTAGCAAATGCTTTAAATGTAAACCGCAAACATACGGCAAATATCTAGCTCTTTAACGTTATACGTTAAAATAAAGGAAGAGAATTATTACTACTCCCTGCACCTCAGATACGGCGGTAAAGAAAGAATGGCAGCATTATTGTTAAGAAGCAACGTCATCAAGGTGTTATATACTTCCTGAGGTCTCTTGTCGATGAGCATCACTTACGTCGGTGACAGCAACAGGTATCGTACCACCTGCATCATATCGAATACCTCATTGATCTTGCCCAGGTTCACCAAAGAGATAAAGGTTCCTGGAATCCCAATCCCACTTGCTCAGGCAACCTAGGTACCGAGCCTTAATGCAGGGCGGCATGCCAAATCGGTCCAGTCGCCATCGCCGCTGCTCTACGGGAGGCCAGCCGGCAACCACTCCTCAACAACCCCTACACACCTGCATGGCATTCCACCGATGCAGGTACCTACTCAATTCACCGCTCGAGGATGTCTCGGTGCTGAAAATTCAGGCCGTTTCCTTCTCATGCTCCCAACATCCAGCAAGGTGATGCCATCATCATGGTGTGTGTTGCAGCCGCGCGACTGGTTTCCTTCCTCTATTGCTGCATACTCCTTTGCATAGGTACCTACACCCTCATGACATGGTGTTTTGGGGGAGAGTCGCACCTGCAGACCAGTGCTTCGTGTTTGCTGTGCTCTGAGTCTAGAGCCTACATTTGCTGTGCCCACCTCGATCTCTTCCGTCTCCTCCATCTCTTATATTCTTCATCCAGATCACCGCATCATCCATCTACTGCTACACTCTCTTGGACTCGACTATATCTTAGCCTTGAGGCCTGCTAAACTCCACCAACTCAGGGCAACATCATCATTCTCTGCATCATATCCGTCCAGCACCACTTGTCGTCGTCTGTCGTTGTTGGTCACCAACTCACTTCTCGTGGCTTGCTCTCGCCAGTTCTTCACGCTCTACCATCACGCCCAAAGATGCAGTTCCTCTCCACACTGGCAGCCTTTGGCGCCGTTGTCATGCTCGGCAGCGCTGCAGTCGTACCCGGTCCCCAGGTTCACCATCCGCTCGGTTTCTTGGCAAGGTTTACCGATAAAAAGATGCACAGACCTCCGAGATGTGGTGTACATTTCCGAGGATTCGCGTAACCAGTGCCATACTCTACGCTATAAGTTCAGCTCAATGCAACTCATCATGGTGGAAGGCTCGAAACGTGAGTTAACACTGCTCTATCCACCTTGAGGCTCAGTTGACGTGTGGTATCAAGTGGCCATATACAACAATCTATGGTGCAGTATCGACGACCGTGGGGCAGTCCGAGTCGGTGATGGCTTTGGGTCACTGTCTTGCCTGATGTGGGAACGGGAGATGGACTTTTCCTGACGATGGGCGCGGAGCAGGCCATGGGTATGGAGGTCTGCCTGGCAATGGGTGCACACAGTACTTAGGAAACAGGAGTCGGGCTGCTCCTTGAAACAATAGCTTTATAGTAATATCAGTCCTTCACAGACAACAGCTGCGCGCGTTCGCCTTCGTCGAAGATTGAAGTGTACAGGCTTCGGCCTTCTATTTCACCAGAAACCTCTAGAAGTCTGATGACTCGAACATCGTGTACTCGTCTTCTCATCGCAACATTGAGGCATCGACAGACACCAGCCACACCGTGGCGCTGAGACCTTATGCACGTCAGCCCTCGGCGCCAAATGTTCAGCCAGCCCTGCATGCCCTCCATGTCACTTGAACAGTCAAGTCGACACTCGACACCCTCGAGATCCTCTGACGCTGATTTTGCTTGTTCATAATATCCACGAACCCATACTTGAAGCTTCACCTTGCCTCAGTCCGTCGTGCCCCTCGCTCCAGCATCATCTCCGGTCCTCCTGTCCCTTATACGTGCCAAAGCTACTCACTTTGGTACGCGCATGGCGGCCCAAGCACCTGTGTGGTCGACGGCCGCCCGTCTCACACGCGTCAACCTTTCGTCGCGGTCGCGGATCTTCGCCTTATCCCCTCTCCGCTGCTTGGGAGTGCGGGCTCAACTTGCTCGCATTTCGCAAGCCAGGACTTTCATCGCACGTCTACCGAGCCGGGGCGTGCTCATCGGACCCAATCGCGCCGACCAAGGAATGACTTGGACCTAAGCAGGGTTGTTATCTGGGATGCTTTGGACTCTGGGCATCTGGCATACAAAAGTATCCCAGAAGACGATCGGCCGCAATTCCTCATTCTCCAGAGCCGCTCCAATAAGAAGCGTAGAAGGGATGTCCTAAAAGTATGGCTTCGCGATGCCTGTGAGTGTGAACGATGTGTTTATCCTCTTTCTGGGCGAAAACACTTCGCTACTAGCGATATACCGCCTGACCTGCCCATCGAGGCCACAAAAACGCACGACGATGGTACATTAGAAGTGCAGTGGAAACATGATTTTCTCGAACGCGGCTCCATGCATCACTCAGTCTATCGACAGGAACAGTTGAGATACTTGGCTTTGCATCCAGCTTTGACCAAAGTGAGTAACACATCGACAGTCGCTCGCGGTCCTCGCACCCTGTGGGACCGTCGCAAGATCACGCGCGCTGCGAGTGCGTTTGAGTACTCTGAGTTACTCCTGAGAGGTCAAAGCTTTTACAACGCGATACGTGCTTTCTATCTCCACGGAATTGTGCAAGTGCGAAATTGCCCTGAATCTGAGGAAGGGCTCCTAGCTCTCACCAGCCTGTTTGGTCCCTGCTGGGAAGGCAAGCTCTTCGAGGGCGACTTCAGCCACGTCAACGGGAGCGGAATGGATGGGAAGCAGGCCATTCGTCTACATACGCTACATGCACGTCACCAGCATCCACCGAGAATCAAGGTTCTCCATTGCCTAGGCAACGACTGCGGAGGAGGAGAGTACGTCTTCAGCGACGGGACAAAATCGGCAACGGAGCTGGCCATCAGTGAGCGTCACCTTTACTGGGACATGACGCAAGGAGAAAAATAAACTTCACATACAAAGACGGGAAATATTCCTACAACGTTTCACGATACCCCATCAAAGAACTGCATGGCAAAGTCAAATCGGTATCCTGGGATCCTTTCTGTCAGCTGCCGATGCAGAACAATGTTCACTCACAGGATAGGATGGTGGCCCCCAACGCGTGGCGGTCATTCCAGCACAAGGTTGAGGCACCCCACAACGTCTTATCACTCAACTTGAAAGCCGGAGACTGTATCATCCACGATAACTTGAAAGTTCTTAGTGGCCGGCGTGCCGTCACTGGTGACTTGGCAGCGCGACGAATGAAACATCTGTACATTGCGGGGGACTACCTTGGTTCAACGTATAGGTCACTTGGCACGGCTGCGGGCCTTTCCAATGATACAAGAGACGAGGGTGCCGCGGAAAGAATCCAGGTTGAGGAGCTACTTAGGCTTGAGAAGTAAGCCTCGGACGTTCTCGAATACCGGTGCTCTCCAAACAGAGGGTCTCTGGGCTGTGAAGGACAGATCAGCTTCAGCTTGGTTGATACGGGTGGCATTTGCTCCACTGTTTGGGGAGGAAGCAATGGTAATATGGAAATAATACAAGTGCGTACTCCTGTGATGTATTGATAAAAGGTACCTCGCATATTGTGTGCAAGCGCCTCTGGTTAGCTAGAGGTACACTTAACCCTCATAAGTCTCCGTACGCCCCATGTTGATAAGACTCCAGACCACACGTGAAGATTTCAAAATACTGGAATAAGCATACAGTAATAAGCAGCTCTGGTTTGATACGCCACTCCCAAAGCTTATTCCATGGTGCTTATTCCGATTCGATGAATTTACCTTTATTTTCCGGATGGGTGGTGCAGAGGCTCATGAGGGCTCAGTGCGGTTGCAACGTGGGAGCTTCCCGCTTCATGTCCTTCCACCGATGGGCAGGTAGACTGTGTACACTGACTCTGATGGCAGTCCCAATCTTGGCAACGTACCTTACATGTACACATCGCGGCTGCCTTCGCGGGACATAGCACCATCACCCTGCCCTAGGGTTCGACACTCTCATCTCCCAACTGATCCGTCAGCCCCTCCAGCTCATTCTGCAGATACAACAGAGCTATCGGCATCCCCACTACAGACATCTACTAGAGTAACTACTTCAGTTATGATGGCAGGCCAGCAGACGCCAGAGCAGCAGATTCCTGCCCAGCAGACGCCAGCCCAGCAGTTGCAGGAGCAGCAATTGCAAGAGCAGCAGTTGCGAGGCCAACAGATGCGAGCCCAGCAGTTTCGAGAGTACCGGTTGCGAAACCAACAGATGCGAGCCCAGCAGAGGGAATTCGAGCGGATGCATGCCGAGCAGATGCAAGCCCAGCCGATGCCAGCACCCACGCAAGGACCCCAACCTACATCACAGCCGACACAGACTCGCATCGAAGCAAAAGCCAGCCATCAACAGAACGGCGCTCAAGCTCAGGGGTTGCAGACTCAGCAAAGGCCCGGACCAGTGTCAACACCAGTTGCTCGTGCCAGACCCCACCACCACCACTATCACCATCCCAGCTGCAGGAACGCTCGGCGACCACAAGTACCACCTGGTAACTTGTTGTCGACACAGGGGCAACCTTTTGTGCAGACTCAGCAAAGGCCCGGACCAGTGTCAACACCAGTTGCTCGTGCCAGACCCCACCATCACCACTATCACCATCCCAGCTGCAGGAACGCTCGGCGACCACAAGTACCAACTGGTAACTTGTTGTCGACACAGGGGCAACCTTCTGTGCAGCCTCAGTCTGATGGGAGCGACCCGCGACGCGGATCAGGCCCCTTATCACTCCCGCCCCGACGTCCGACACCGAATGAGGCCCGTAGACTTCACCGGAGGTGGATAATAAGGACTGAACAAGAGAGAATGCGAGAGGGGGCGCGACAGGGAGCGAGAGAGAGAGAGCGACAGGGAGCATGTGCGGAGCCCGATGATGACGAAAGTCAAGAATCTGGCATGGAGCGGGCAGGCGGGTTATAGCAATGGTGTTACTGATTGATTGGGATTGGAATTTGGTAAACCGAATAGATTCAGAGCGAGTATGAACCACGGCCAATAGACTTTACGAGCCTTCTTGAAGCTGCCGCGTGATATGACAAGTATGTGGCAGTCAATCTCACATGCCTATTGGCTTTGCCGTTAGGTTGGCAAGGGCTGTGGCCGGCATTCCTCGACCAACCATGGATATTTGATCAATGCTGTATTCGTGTAAATGGAATAAACGGCCCGGAATAAGCAGCATGAGCCCAAGAAGCCATCTTTGATGCTTATTTCAGAGTGCTTATTCCATTGTAGTGAATATACCCCAGACCGAGGGGAGTGCGGAGGCTTTCGGAAATTCAGTGTAACAATCGTTGGCCTGGACAGCTTTCTGGGCAAGCAACTAATCTTACAATTCAACCTCTAAGTTGACTACCTACATATAATGATGAGATGCCTAAGATCTGTTTGTGTACTCTTCGGGACCCGTTTTATACCCCTGACTCCTGAGCTGTATTACGCAGGGGTCAAAAGCCAACCTCCCTTGCTCTCCCAGGAACGCTGAGTTCATACCACCATGCCCGCCATGGCCTCTGGGAGCGATTGCGGAGAGACATAATCGCTTATAGACGAGGCTGAGCACCACCACACACACAAAAGACAGCCCTTAGGTACTACCAACTAGAACAAGCAAACCACGTTCAGATGGACTCGTGACGCAAAGTCACCCCTTGCGTCGCCCCGATGGCAACGGCCTATGTGGTCATCCCTTATTCTGAGGCTGTGACATTGGGGTCTGCTCGTCTTGTCCCGGTTCATCCGAGATCGCCTCGATGGACAAAGAACTTCGGTCGGCTCGAGAATAGAGTCACAGCCAACACCAACACGGCGCAGCGTTGGAATGCGAGTCAGGCGACCCCAACATGCAGTGCGACCGACCCAATCCAAGCCGCGGCCCCAACGATCATAAATAGCACCCATCTTGCCCTTCATACCCCGAATTGGTATTGCCTCGACACCTCCCCAAGTTGAACACGCCGACATTCACGATGATTTTTCTTCCCAATCGACTCTTGTGCCTTATGACGACGGCGGTCCTAGCCGCGACGTCAGGCGTTGCTGCTGATGACTTCATCGGCTTCGATCACAGCTGCGTGTCGTGGTACGTCGCGCCGGTCGGCACGCAGAGTCTGCTCATCGCCCGCTGCTACAATGCGCAATACGCAACGTCGAAGTCGGATGAGGATATCATCTGTTCGCAGTTGGATTTGAATCAGTACGTCATAACGTTACATCACCGGGTGCCTTGTCACTTGGCGGCAGACAGCGTGCTTGTTATCAAGCTTGGGCTATATATAGGGTCGCCAACTAGCTGACTGACTGACTGACCGGCTGATCATCTGCGATAGTTGCTTCAGGTACGACGGCTACGACCAGCTGACGCCAAAGTCCACGCCGGACGACACGACGTGGTACCCGAACAACTGCTCGCAGGCGAACATAGAGGGCGATTCTCCGACAGACAGCACTACGGTCTTGGCCACGTTCTGTAACCTTGTTGCACCGGGTTTTGGTGGTATTATCCCTACAAGTGTGGATTTAGGTATGTTGACCCAGCCCCTATTCCCTTAGGCTGGCTGTGCCCCTTAGAGGGACCCGCAGGCTTGTGTGAGATCTTATGCGGGTGGCTGACTCCGTCTGGTTTCTGACTATAGGCCCTACGATTGCGAATTGGAATGGATATCTCGGGTGTCTTGATACTACGGGGGTTGCTTCTACTATGTGTCGTTGATCTGAGATGTTGGTTTACGGGCAATTCCTGGGCTGGTTGAGCGTCACTTCTGAGGTGGATGTAAACCTTTCTTGTGAACTAGGTGGCGGGGGTTTACGATGCATGGGTTGTAACAACAAATGTGTTGGTGGGCTCCCCATTCCCCTCCTGCGATGATCGCGAATAGCGTTTGGAATGACCGCCGTGCTTTGAGCTTCGCTGTGTACACTCACCCCTATAAGTCTCTGTCCGGCATGCCTACACTGTGTCAATCTTGAATATTTTCGCTATGCTCATTCCAATGGGATGAAGACTCGGGAAGGAGCATCGAAGACGGCTTTCATGCGTCGATGCCGTGGCTCTTCTTAGCAGTGTTCAATCCGAGGCATTCGAATTGGACAAGGGAAGGACAGCTAAGCATCAAAAGCCTTGGAGGGTTTCACTGCGGTCCTCAGGCTGTATACCCTATCAATGAAGACCCATCAATTTTCTGTATTATCAAACGAAAACGCCACTCAGGTATACTACGGATTCCTGATACTCTCTAAGCTACCTTTGCCCAGTTCTGTACAGGACCAGAGGCCAAATCTATCCGTGGCTCGGGTTCCATCTCCGTAGGGCTATGCCGCTCATGTCCCTTTGTTAGGTTGTATTCCTCTCCTCCTGCGCGAATTTCAAGCCCTTATCAGGAACGATGTATGATCTCATCCCTATCATAGCATTCCAATCGTCAGGGCTGTCATTATCGCTGTTCAGTTTAGGCCACGTTTTCCAATAATAGCCTTTGTCCATCGCCCGCGTACGTGGTGTGCTGTAATCGTGTGCCAGGGAGCTATAAAGGCATGGTTGTCAGCACACTCTTCCTGCCTTTTATCTCCTCCGTGCGAGTGCGTTCGCAAGTTGCGGGAGTCTGAAGGTCAGGCATGGTTTGTAATAAGTTACTCACAAATGGACATATTCACCATCCTCCCTCAAATAGCCGGCATCCCTTTTGTAATCGATCCCTACCCCGTTAAGTACCACGCGGTCAGCTTGTACAACCATCGCAAAGGGTCTCGCAATCTCGGCTATGATCGATCGCAAGTTGACCGTGGCACGGTATGAGAAGACCAGCGTGTTCTCGTCGATCTCCGCGAAACCTCCCATGCCATGTCTTCCCACGATTCGAAACCCAACTTGTTCCAGGGCAATCCGCGTCGTCTCTGTATAGGACGGGTCCTGCAATACAAGCTCGACCTCGGCTCCGGTTATTTCCATGAGTGTAAAT